CGCCACGGATATCCACGTCGCCTGCGTCCGACGAGACGGAATCGCCGCTCGACACGACCACAGACCCGCTCGACCCGCTTGCACTGGTGCCAGACGCAACCGACAACGAGCCCGATGCGCCGGAGTCGGCACCGCCCGTGTGAACGCCCACGTCGCCACTCATACTCGAGCCCGTCGCGGCTGCGCTCGCCACCTTGACGCTGCCACTGGTCGCACCGATGCCACTCACCAGCGACACCGCGCCGCCAGCAGATGAGTCGCCACTGCTTCCGCCGCGCACCGACACAGACCCGCCGCTGGACGCGACACTTGACCCGCCAACCACGTCCACTGACCCGGACGAGCTGTCGAGCGAGTCGCCACTACCCAGCGTCACGTTGCCGGACACGCCACTCGATGAAGCGCCGCTCCTCACATTCACGGACCCGCTGGCACCAGAAACAGCAGATGAGCCCACCGTCACGACACCGCTGGAGGCAGCCGCGTCACTGCCGCCGCCGCTCACCAACGATACGGACCCGCCCTGCACCACGCCAGAACCGCCTGACACAGACACCACGCCGCCGGCGATGTTTCCTGCAGAGCTGCCGCCCTCCAACCGAACGGCGCCTGCTACGGCTCCTGTCGAAGACGATGTCGACAGTGACGAACCGCCCGTCAACACGACGCCGCCTGCAGCGGATGCGGCGCTCGAACCGCTCTGCACGACCACATCGCCGCCGTCAGCCGCGGACGGACCCACCGACAAGCGGATGCTTCCAGCCGAACCAGCGCTGCCAGATCCAGACGCAGAGCCGGACGAAATCCATACACCGCCCGACGCAGAGCCTGACGCACTGGCCAGACGCACATCGCCGCTGCTGCTCGGGCCTTCTCCGCTGAGCAACGCCAGCGACGCGCCGTTGCCCAACGTGCTCACGCCGCCAGACACCGTCACGTCACCGCCCGTCGCGCCAGCACCACCGGCCAAAGCCAACGAACCACCCACGTCGTCCGAGCTGCGACCGCCGGACACGCGCACCGACCCGCTAGCACCTGCAGCCTCGCCGCCAGATACGCTCACCGACCCGCTCGACTGCGTCGACGACGCACCAGATCCGATCGACACTGCGCCTGACGAACCGGTCTCGACCGACCCACTCGTCAACGACACCGCGCCACTGCTCACGGAAGCCGCACCGCTGCCAGACCCGAGCGTCACTGCGCCGCTCACCGTCGAAGGACTTTCACCGCTCAGGATCGTCACGCTGCCGCCCGCCGACGAATCCGACGCGCCGCCCAACACAGACACGCTGGAGCCCTCACCCGTAGCGGACGAGCCACCAGTCACCTCGATGGACCCTGCACTAGCGTCCCCGGACCCGCTTCCAATGCGGACGGACCCGCTTGACACGCTGCTAGCGCTGCTGCGCACGTCAACGCTGCCACTCGAACCACCGGACACGACGCTCGTAGAAACGGTCACGCCGCCACTGCTCACGGCGCCGTCGCCACTCGTCAGCAACACCGAACCGCCCACACTCGCCGCAGACGAACCGCCATCGATCGACACGTCGCCGCCCGCGCCCTGAGCGTTCGCAGATCCGACGACCCTCACCTTCTGCGCTGCGGTCGCGCTGTCCACGCCGCCGCCACGCAACTCCACATCGCTGCCAACAACACCGCTGTCGCCCTGGACGAGGCTCAGGCTGCCGCCAGAACCGCTACGGACGAACACACCGCTGCCACCAGCGGAGCTGCCGGAGATGCCGCTCGACACAGTCACGTCCCCGCCGACGCCGCTTGAAGACGAACCGCCCGACACGCGGACAGCACCGCCAGACACACTCGACGACGAAGACCCGCCGCTCACATCCACGGAACCGGAAGACCCCGTCAGCGAACTGCCGCCGCTCACGAGAACACTTCCTCCCGACCCCGCCGCGCCGCTGGAACCGCCCGCCACGCTCAGCAAACCACCGGAACCCGTACTACTAGATCCGCTGGCCACACGCACAGCACCGGATGCGCCGTCCACCGCAGAGCCAGACACGACCGACACAGCGCCAGATGCAGACCCACCGCTAGCAATGCCGCTTCCGACCGACACAACGCCGCTCGAGACACTGCCAGTGCCGCTAGACACCGACACCGCGCCGCCCGTCGACGAGCTGCTAGAACCGCCCGACACAAACACGCTGCCTGCCGTGGTAGACGCCTCGCCAGACTGCACGGACACGTCGCCGCTGCTACCCGACCCCGAAGAACCGGAAGACAGCGTCACCACGCCCGACGCCGCATCCACCGACGCGCCGCTCCCGATCGTCGCAGAACCGCTCAAGACGTCTCCGCTCGCAGAAGCACCGCTCGTCACGCTCACGTCGCCGCTGCCCAGCAAGCCCGCGCCCGAAGAAACGTCCACGACACCGCCAGCGCCAGCCTCGCTCGCACCGCCAGTCAGAGCAATGCCGCCTCCGGTCGCAGCGCCAGACGAACCAGCACCGCCAGACAAGGCCACACCGCCAGCAACACCCGTAGATGCAGTCAGAGATCCGCCGCGCACGCTCACCGAACCGCCACCCACACTGCTGTCCGTACTACCACCGGCGGTGACATCCACCGAGCCGCCGGCAGCACTGCGACGAACACCACCAGACAAGCTCACCACGCCGTCCTCGCCGGACGACACGTACACAGAGCCCCCGCGCGTGCTCGTGCTTCCAGTCGAGCCGCCACGGATATCCACGTCGCCTGCGTCCGACGAGACGGAATCGCCGCTCGACACGACCACAGACCCGCTCGACCCGCTTGCACTGGTGCCAGACGCAACCGACAACGAGCCCGATGCGCCGGAGTCGGCACCGCCCGTGTGAACGCCCACGTCGCCACTCATACTCGAGCCCGTCGCGGCTGCGCTCGCCACCTTGACGCTGCCACTGGTCGCACCGATGCCACTCACCAGCGACACCGCGCCGCCAGCAGATGAGTCGCCACTGCTTCCGCCGCGCACCGACACAGACCCGCCGCTGGACGCGACACTTGACCCGCCAACCACGTCCACTGACCCGGACGAGCTGTCGAGCGAGTCGCCACTACCCAGCGTCACGTTGCCGGACACGCCACTCGATGAAGCGCCGCTCCTCACATTCACGGACCCGCTGGCACCAGAAACAGCAGACGAACCCACCGTCACGACACCGCTGGAGGCAGCCGCGTCACTGCCGCCGCCGCTCACCAACGATACGGACCCGCCCTGCACCACGCCAGAACCGCCTGACACAGACACCACGCCGCCGGCGATGTTTCCTGCAGAGCTGCCGCCCTCCAACCGAACGGCGCCTGCTACGGCTCCTGTCGAAGACGATGTCGACAGTGACGAACCGCCCGTCAACACGACGCCGCCTGCAGCGGATGCGGCGCTCGAACCGCTCTGCACGACCACATCGCCGCCGTCAGCCGCGGACGGACCCACCGACAAGCGGATGCTTCCAGCCGAACCAGCGCTGCCAGATCCAGACGCAGAACCGGACGAAATCCATACACCGCCCGACGCAGAGCCTGACGCACTGGCCAGACGCACATCGCCGCTGCTGCTCGGGCCTTCTCCGCTGAGCAACGCCAGCGACGCGCCGTTGCCCAACGTGCTCACGCCGCCAGACACCGTCACGTCACCGCCCGTCGCGCCAGCACCACCGGCCAAAGCCAACGAACCACCCTCGTCGTCCGAGCTGCGACCGCCGGACACGCGCACCGACCCGCTAGCACCTGCAGCCTCGCCGCCAGATACGCTCACCGACCCGCTCGACTGCGTCGACGACGCACCAGATCCGATTGACACTGCGCCTGACGAACCGGTCTCGACCGACCCACTCGTCAACGACACCGCGCCACTGCTCACGGAAGCCGCACCGCTGCCAGACCCGAGCGTCACTGCGCCGCTCACCGTCGAAGCACTTTCACCGCTCAGGATCGTCACGCTGCCGCCCGTCGACGAATCCGACGCGCCGCCCAACACAGACACGCTGGAGCCCTCACCCGTAGCGGACGAGCCACCAGTCACCTCGATGGACCCTGCACTAGCGTCTCCGGACCCGCTTCCAATGCGGACGGACCCGCTTGACACGCTGCTAGCGCTGCTGCGCACGTCAACGCTGCCACTCGAACCACCGGACACGACGCTCGTAGAAACGGTCACGCCGCCACTGCTCACGGCGCCGTCGCCACTCGTCAGCAACACCGAACCGCCCACACTCGCCGCAGACGAACCGCCATCGATCGACACGTCGCCGCCCGCGCCCTGAGCGTTCGCAGATCCGACGACCCTCACCTTCTGCGCTGCGGTCGCGCTGTCCACGCCGCCGCCACGCAACTCCACATCGCTGCCAACAACACCGCTGTCGCCCTGGACGAGGCTCAGGCTGCCGCCAGAACCGCTACGGACGAACACACCGCTGCCACCAGCGGAGCTGCCGGAGATGCCGCTCGACACAGTCACGTCCCCGCCGACGCCGCTTGAAGACGAACCGCCCGACACGCGGACAGCACCGCCAGATCCACTGGATGAGGAAGTTCCGCCGCTCACGTCCACGGAACCGGACGAACCCGTCTCCGAATCGCCGCCAGTCACGAGAACTCTTCCTCCCGACTCTGCCGCGCCGCTGGAACCGCCCGCCACGCTCAGCAAACCAACGGAACCCGTACTACTAGATCCGCTGGCCACACGAACAGCACCGGATGCGCCGTCCACCGCAGCGCCAGACACAACCGACACAGCGCCAGATGCAGACGCACCGCTAGCAATGCCGCTTCCGACCGACACAACGCCGCTCGAGACACTGCCAGTGCCGCTAGACACCGACACCGCGCCGCCCGTCGACGAGCTGCTAGAACCGCCCGACACAAACACGCTGCCTGCCGTGGTAGACGCCTCGCCAGACTGCACGGACACGTCGCCGCTGCTACCCGACCCCGAAGAACCGGAAGACAGCGTCACCACGCCCGACGCCGCATCCACCGACGCGCCGCTCCCGATCGTCGCAGAACCGCTCAAGGCGTCTCCGCTCGCAGAAGCACCGCTCGTCACGCTCACGTCGCCGCTGCCCAGCAAGCCCGCGCCCGAAGAAACGTCCACGACACCGCCAGCGCCAGCCTCGCTCGCACCGCCAGTCAGAGCAATGCCGCCTCCGGTCGCAGCGCCAGACGAACCAGCACCGCCAGACAAGGCCACACCGCCAGCAGCACCCGTAGATGCAGTCAGAGATCCGCCGCGCACGCTCACCGAACCGCCGCCCACACTGCTGTCCGTACTACCACCGGCGGTGACATCCACCGAGCCGCCGGCAGCACTGCGACGAACACCACCAGACAAGCTCACCACGCCGTCCTCGCCGGACGACACGTACACAGAGCCTCCGCGCGTGCTCGTGCTTCCAGTCGAGCCGCCACGGATATCCACGTCGCCTGCGTCCGACGAGACGGAATCGCCGCTCGACACGACCACAGACCCGCTCGACCCGCTTGCACTGGTGCCAGACGCAACCGACAACGAGCCCGATGCGCCGGAGTCGGCACCGCCCGTGTGAACGCCCACGTCGCCACTCATACTCGAGCCCGTCGCGGCTGCGCTCGCCACCTTGACGCTGCCACTGGTCGCACCGATGCCACTCACCAGCGACACCGCGCCGCCAGCAGATGAGTCGCCACTGCTTCCGCCGCGCACCGACACAGACCCGCCGCTGGACGCGACACTTGACCCGCCAACCACGTCCACTGACCCGGACGAGCTGTCGAGCGAGTCGCCACTACCCAGCGTCACGTTGCCGGACACGCCACTCGATGAAGCGCCGCTCCTCACATTCACGGACCCGCTGGCACCAGAAACAGCAGATGAGCCCACCGTCACGACACCGCTGGAGGCAGCCGCGTCACTGCCGCCGCCGCTCACCAACGATACGGACCCGCCCTGCACCACGCCAGAACCGCCTGACACAGACACCACGCCGCCGGCGATGTTTCCTGCAGAGCTGCCGCCCTCCAACCGAACGGCGCCTGCTACGGCTCCTGTCGAAGACGATGTCGACAGTGACGAACCGCCCGTCAACACGACGCCGCCTGCAGCGGATGCGGCGCTCGAACCGCTCTGCACGACCACATCGCCGCCGTCAGCCGCGGACGGACCCACCGACAAGCGGATGCTTCCAGCCGAACCAGCGCTGCCAGATCCAGACGCAGAGCCGGACGAAATCCATACACCGCCCGACGCAGAGCCTGACGCACTGGCCAGACGCACATCGCCGCTGCTGCTCGGGCCTTCTCCGCTGAGCAACGCCAGCGACGCGCCGTTGCCCAACGTGCTCACGCCGCCAGACACCGTCACGTCACCGCCCGTCGCGCCAGCACCACCGGCCAAAGCCAACGAACCACCCACGTCGTCCGAGCTGCGACCGCCGGACACGCGCACCGACCCGCTAGCACCTGCAGCCTCGCCGCCAGATACGCTCACCGACCCGCTCGACTGCGTCGACGACGCACCAGATCCGATCGACACTGCACCTGACGAACCGGTCTCGACCGACCCACTCGTCAACGACACCGCGCCACTGCTCACGGAAGCCGCACCGCTGCCAGACCCGAGCGTCACTGCGCCGCTCACCGTCGAAGCACTTTCACCGCTCAGGATCGTCACGCTGCCGCCCGCCGACGAATCCGACGCGCCGCCCAACACAGACACGCTGGAGCCCTCACCCGTAGCAGACGAGCCACCAGCCACCTCGATGGACCCTGCACTAGCGTCTCCGGACCCGCTTCCAATGCGGACGGACCCGCTTGACACGCTGCTAGCGCTGCTGCGCACGTCAACGCTGCCACTCGAACCACCGGACACGACGCTCGTAGAAACGGTCACGCCGCCACTGCTCACGGCGCCGCCGCCGCTCGTCAGCAACACCGAACCGCCCACACTCGCCGCAGACGAACCGCCATCGATCGACACGTCGCCGCCCGCGCCCTGAGCGTTCGCAGATCCGACGACCCTCACCTTCTGCGCTGCGGTCGCGCTGTCCACGCCGCCGCCACGCAACTCCACATCGCTGCCAACAACACCGCTGTCGCCCTGGACGAGGCTCAGGCTGCCGCCAGAACCGCTACGGACGAACACACCGCTGCCGCCAGCGGAGCTGCCGGAGATGCCGCTCGACACAGTCACGTCCCCGCCGACGCCGCTTGAAGACGAACCGCCCGACACGCGGACAGCACCGCCAGACACACTCGACGACGAAGACCCGCCGCTCACATCCACGGAACCGGAAGACCCCGTCAGCGAACTGCCGCCGCTCACGAGAACACTTCCTCCCGACCCCGCCGCGCCGCTGGAACCGCCCGCCACGCTCAGCAAACCAACGGAACCCGTACTACTAGATCCGCTGGCCACACGAACAGCACCGGATGCGCCGTCCACCGCAGAGCCAGACACGACCGACACAGCGCCAGATGCAGACGCACCGCTAGCAATGCCGCTTCCGACCGACACAACGCCGCTCGAGACACTGCCAGTGCCGCTAGACACCGACACCGCGCCGCCCGTCGACGAGCTGCTAGAACCGCCCGACACAAACACGCTGCCTGCCGTGGTAGACGCCTCGCCAGACTGCACGGACACGTCGCCGCTGCTACCCGACCCCGAAGAACCGGAAGACAGCGTCACCACGCCCGACGCCGCATCCACCGACGCGCCGCTCCCGATCGTCGCAGAACCGCTCAAGACGTCTCCGCTCGCAGAAGCACCGCTCGTCACGCTCACGTCGCCGCTGCCCAGCAAGCCCGCGCCCGAAGAAACGTCCACGACACCGCCAGCGCCAGCCTCGCTCGCACCGCCAGTCAGAGCAATGCCGCCTCCGGTCGCAGCGCCAGACGAACCAGCACCGCCAGACAAGGCCACACCGCCAGCAACACCCGTAGATGCAGTCAGAGATCCGCCGCGCACGCTCACCGAACCGCCGCCCACACTGCTGTCCGTACTACCACCGGCGGTGACATCCACCGAGCCGCCGGCAGCACTGCGACGAACACCACCAGACAAGCTCACCACGCCGTCCTCGCCGGACGACACGTACACAGAGCCCCCGCGCGTGCTCGTGCTTCCAGTCGAGCCGCCACGGATATCCACGTCGCCTGCGTCCGACGAGACGGAATCGCCGCTCGACACGACCACAGACCCGCTCGACCCGCTTGCACTGGTGCCAGACGCAACCGACAACGAGCCCGATGCGCCGGAGTCGGCACCGCCCGTGTGAACGCCCACGTCGCCACTCATACTCGAGCCCGTCGCGGCTGCGCTCGCCACCTTGACGCTGCCACTGGTCGCACCGATGCCACTCACCAGCGACACCGCGCCGCCAGCAGATGAGTCGCCACTGCTTCCGCCGCGCACCGACACAGACCCGCCGCTGGACGCGACACTTGACCCGCCAACCACGTCCACTGACCCGGACGAGCTGTCGAGCGAGTCGCCACTACCCAGCGTCACGTTGCCGGACACGCCACTCGATGAAGCGCCGCTCCTCACATTCACGGACCCGCTGGCACCAGAAACAGCAGACGAACCCACCGTCACGACACCGCTGGAGGCAGCCGCGTCACTGCCGCCGCCGCTCACCAACGATACGGACCCGCCCTGCACCACGCCAGAACCGCCTGACACAGACACCACGCCGCCGGCGATGTTTCCTGCAGAGCTGCCGCCCTCCAACCGAACGGCGCCTGCTACGGCTCCTGTCGAAGACGATGTCGACAGTGACGAACCGCCCGTCAACACGACGCCGCCTGCAGCGGATGCGGCGCTCGAACCGCTCTGCACGACCACATCGCCGCCGTCAGCCGCGGACGGACCCACCGACAAGCGGATGCTTCCAGCCGAACCAGCGCTGCCAGATCCAGACGCAGAGCCGGACGAAATCCATACACCGCCCGACGCAGAGCCTGACGCACTGGCCAGACGCACATCGCCGCTGCTGCTCGGGCCTTCTCCGCTGAGCAACGCCAGCGACGCGCCGTTGCCCAACGTGCTCACGCCGCCAGACACCGTCACGTCACCGCCCGTCGCGCCAGCACCACCGGCCAAAGCCAACGAGCCACCCACGTCGTCCGAGCTGCGACCGCCGGACACGCGCACCGACCCGCTAGCACCTGCAGCCTCGCCGCCAGATACGCTCACCGACCCGCTCGACTGCGTCGACGACGCACCAGATCCGATCGACACTGCACCTGACGAACCGGTCTCGACCGACCCACTCGTCAACGACACCGCGCCACTGCTCACGGAAGCCGCACCGCTGCCAGACCCGAGCGTCACTGCGCCGCTCACCGTCGAAGCACTTTCACCGCTCAGGATCGTCACGCTGCCGCCCGCCGACGAATCCGACGCGCCGCCCAACACAGACACGCTGGAGCCCTCACCCGTAGCAGACGAGCCACCAGCCACCTCGATGGACCCTGCACTAGCGTCTCCGGACCCGCTTCCAATGCGGACGGACCCGCTTGACACGCTGCTAGCGCTGCTGCGCACGTCAACGCTGCCACTCGAACCACCGGACACGACGCTCGTAGAAACGGTCACGCCGCCACTGCTCACGGCGCCGCCGCCGCTCGTCAGCAACACCGAACCGCCCACACTCGCCGCAGACGAACCGCCATCGATCGACACGTCGCCGCCCGCGCCCTGAGCGTTCGCAGATCCGACGACCCTCACCTTCTGCGCTGCGGTCGCGCTGTCCACGCCGCCGCCACGCAACTCCACATCGCTGCCAACAACACCGCTGTCGCCCTGGACGAGGCTCAGGCTGCCGCCAGAACCGCTACGGACGAACACACCGCTGCCGCCAGCGGAGCTGCCGGAGATGCCGCTCGACACAGTCACGTCCCCGCCGACGCCGCTTGAAGACGAACCGCCCGACACGCGGACAGCACCGCCAGACACACTCGACGACGAAGACCCGCCGCTCACATCCATGGAACCGGAAGACCCCGTCAGCGAACTGCCGCCGCTCACGAGAACACTTCCTCCCGACCCCGCCGCGCCGCTGGAACCGCCCGCCACGCTCAGCAAACCAACGGAACCCGTACTACTAGATCCGCTGGCCACACGAACAGCACCGGATGCGCCGTCCACCGCAGAGCCAGACACGACCGACACAGCGCCAGATGCAGACCCACCGCTAGCAATGCCGCTTCCGACCGACACAACGCCGCTCGAGACACTGCCAGTGCCGCTAGACACCGACACCGCGCCGCCCGTCGACGAGCTGCTAGAACCGCCCGACACAAACACGCTGCCTGCCGTGGTAGACGCCTCGCCAGACTGCACGGACACGTCGCCGCTGCTACCCGACCCCGAAGAACCGGAAGACAGCGTCACCACGCCCGACGCCGCATCCACCGACGCGCCGCTCCCGATCGTCGCAGAACCGCTCAAGGCGTCTCCGCTCGCAGAAGCACCGCTCGTCACGCTCACGTCGCCGCTGCCCAGCAAGCCCGCGCCCGAAGAAACGTCCACGACACCGCCAGCGCCAGCCTCGCTCGCACCGCCAGTCAGAGCAATGCCGCCTCCGGTCGCAGCGCCAGACGAACCAGCACCGCCAGACAAGGCCACACCGCCAGCAGCACCCGTAGATGCAGTCAGAGATCCGCCGCGCACGCTCACCGAACCGCCGCCCACACTGCTGTCCGTACTACCACCGGCGGTGACATCCACCGAGCCGCCGGCAGCACTGCGACGAACACCACCAGACAAGCTCACCACGCCGTCCTCGCCGGACGACACGTACACAGAGCCCCCGCGCGTGCTCGTGCTTCCAGTCGAGCCGCCACGGATATCCACGTCGCCTGCGTCCGACGAGACGGAATCGCCGCTCGACACGACCACAGACCCGCTCGACCCGCTTGCACTGGTGCCAGACGCAACCGACAACGAGCCCGATGCGCCGGAGTCGGCACCGCCCGTGTGAACGCCCACGTCGCCACTCATACTCGAGCCCGTCGCGGCTGCGCTCGCCACCTTGACGCTGCCACTGGTCGCACCGATGCCACTCACCAGCGACACCGCGCCGCCAGCAGATGAGTCGCCACTGCTTCCGCCGCGCACCGACACAGACCCGCCGCTGGACGCGACACTTGACCCGCCAACCACGTCCACTGACCCGGACGAGCTGTCGAGCGAGTCGCCACTACCCAGCGTCACGTTGCCGGACACGCCACTCGATGAAGCGCCGCTCCTCACATTCACGGACCCGCTGGCATCAGAAACAGCAGATGAACCCACCGTCACGACACCGCTGGAGGCAGCCGCGTCACTGCCGCCGCCGCTCACCAACGATACGGACCCGCCCTGCACCACGCCAGAACCGCCTGACACAGACACCACGCCGCCGGCGATGTTTCCTGCAGAGCTGCCGCCCTCCAACCGAACGGCGCCTGCTACGGCTCCTGTCGAAGACGATGTCGACAGTGACGAACCGCCCGTCAACACGACGCCGCCTGCAGCGGATGCGGCGCTCGAACCGCTCTGCACGACCACATCGCCGCCGTCAGCCGCGGACGGACCCACCGACAAGCGGATGCTTCCAGCCGAACCAGCGCTGCCAGATCCAGACGCAGAGCCGGACGAAATCCATACACCGCCCGACGCAGAGCCTGACGCACTGGCCAGACGCACATCGCCGCTGCTGCTCGGGCCTTCTCCGCTGAGCAACGCCAGCGACGCGCCGTTGCCCAACGTGCTCACGCCGCCAGACACCGTCACGTCACCGCCCGTCGCGCCAGCACCACCGGCCAAAGCCAACGAGCCACCCACGTCGTCCGAGCTGCGACCGCCGGACACGCGCACCGACCCGCTAGCACCTGCAGCCTCGCCACCAGATACGCTCACCGACCCGCTCGACTGCGTCGACGACGCACCAGATCCGATCGACACTGCGCCTGACGAACCGGTCTCGACCGACCCACTCGTCAACGACACCGCGCCACTGCTCACGGAAGCCGCACCGCTGCCAGACCCGAGCGTCACTGCGCCGCTCACCGTCGAAGCACTTTCACCGCTCAGGATCGTCACGCTGCCGCCCGCCGACGAATCCGACGCGCCGCCCAACACAGACACGCTGGAGCCCTCACCCGTAGCGGACGAGCCACCAGTCACCTCGATGGACCCTGCACTAGCGTCTCCGGACCCGCTTCCAATGCGGACAGACCCGCTTGACACGCTGCTAGCGCTGCTGCGCACGTCAACGCTGCCACTCGAACCACCGGACACGACGCTCGTAGAAACGGTCACGCCGCCACTGCTCACGGCGCCGTCGCCACTCGTCAGCAACACCGAACCGCCCACACTCGCCGCAGACGAACCGCCATCGATCGACACGTCGCCGCCCGCGCCCTGAGCGTTCGCAGATCCGACGACCCTCACCTTCTGCGCTGCGGTCGCGCTGTCCACGCCGCCGCCACGCAACTCCACATCGCTGCCAACAACACCGCTGTCGCCCTGGACGAGGCTCAGGCTGCCGCCAGAACCGCTACGGACGAACACACCGCTGCCGCCAGCGGAGCTGCCGGAGGCACCGCTCGACACAGTCACGTCCCCGCCGACGCCGCTTGAAGACGACCCGCCCGACACGCGGACAGCACCGCCGGACCCACTTGTCGATGCTGACCCGGCGTCGATGCTCGTTGCTCCTGCTTGGCCTGTGGAGGTTAGGCCTGCGTGTATTTTGATAGACCCAGCAAGTCCGGATAATGCAGAACCAGTTTGAAGTTCTATCGGACCTGATTGTTTGGATGCGGCATCTCCAGTTTTGATGAGTGTGTTACCGGTCGTGCTTGTGTCCGACTGTTGTGTTTGAATTGCAATCGCACCACCGACTTCGGTCGCAGCGTTCGGCGCTAAAATCGATATGCTACCGGACTGAATGTTGCCATGCCCAGATGAAATAGAAATGTTGCCTCCGAGATTGGTCGAATCTCCACCTTGTACAACCACATTTCCGGGACTCCCGGAACCAACAGAATATCTCAAAGCCCCTCCCGACGTATGCCCCGATAGGAGGGCAATATCTCCACTTTTCTCAACCCCAGCACCCGTCTGAACTGTGAGTGAGCCAGCTTCACGGACACTCTCGAGCGACGTTGTGGACAGCTTCACATCACCAGAGCGTGTATCGCTACTAGCACTGCGTAATTGCACGTCACCAGCGGAACCAGATATGTGGTCTCTCTCTGCATTGACCAAGAATTCGCCAGAAACGCGTGTGGTCGCAGAGGTAACATCAACAGTACCCTTTGACCCCGCAAACGAGTCACCGGTGCTTACGGCGATCGATCCACTTTCTCCAACAGCAGACCACCCGGTCGTCACAGATATACTTCCGCTGTTTCGACTGCCACGGGAGTCCGGTGTCTGCAAATTAACATCTCCTGGATTTTCGAAGTTTTCACCACTTGCAATGACGACGCTGCCGGCCGCTGTACCACTTCCTTGGGAAGACCCGGCTTCAAGTACCAAAGATCCGCCATCGCCAGCCATGCTATCGCCAGCTCGAACGTTGACCGAACCAGAGCTAGCTTGGGCTCCTCCACTAGAAATGAAGATGCCCCCGCTTGTGCTGTAGCTCGATGATCCCGTTTCGATGCTGACATCACCACTGCTTCCAGTCGGAGAAGCATTTACGTAGGACCCCGCGTCTGCAGTGGCGATGTCAATACGCCCGCTCTGCGCCTCACTGTTCGGGCCTACCTTGAAGCGTTTGTGCTGAGCGTGAATAGCTGCAATTAAATCCATTGTGATTTGTTGCTTGTTCACTTCGTGAAATTGCTCCAAACTGAAGTTTTTCTCGGGAAGCGTAAGCGTTGAAACTGTCACGTATTCTGGAAACGTTTCTTCCACTTGTTGAGCAATGACGCCACGAACAGTGACGTCAGGGATACCTCGAATCTCGCGCCACATCTCCGAATAACGATATTTTTTTACTTCAAGAGTCTGAATGCGCTGCAGAATGTCATCTTCATCAACATCTTCGATATCCGTCTTAATTCGTCGATCGGACGGGTATGTGATCTCGGTGATCTGGGCTGGGACGTGACTGATCATCTTGTCCGGTTGCAAGCGCCAAATTACTCCTCCAGGTACTTTTGTTTCCCCATGAGATACTGTAAGCTCTCCAGTTTGGACACTGATATTCAGGCTGTCCCCGCCGCGAATCTCCATGGATGACGAAGTGTCTGCCTTAACACTCACTGATCCATCACCTGATACACTCATGTGAGACGCAGCCGCATCCGTTCCTGAAACAACTATGTCCCCACCGCCAGACTTCAATGTCACGTGTCCACCACTTCCGGTTGGTGCAGATGCGGCCCCGCTAACTATGTCGATGTTTCCGCCGTGGGTAGACCCTTCGCCAGACTTAATGACAACGTCTCCTCCATTCAGGGAAGTGCTAGTTCCAGCCAACACGCGAACGGTTCCAGTAGAGAAACTAGAGCTGGAGCCACTTTGTAGTGCAATATCCCCACTTACTCCAGCCGTAGCATCCCCACTGCCAATGACAACTCCGCCACTTGAAGGAGCTTTGGCTGTTACAGCTGTCAAAGTACCGCTAGTAGAACCTAGTCCGGTGGTAATTTGAACCATACCACCGTTTTCTAGCAAAACAGTAGAGGAACCACTAGTGACGATAACGTTACCGCCAGCGACAACAGGATTGGAAGATCCCGAAATGGATACAGTACCCCCTGCAGTTGAGCCTGTACCAGCGGTAAGCTCCACATTGCCACTCTGGGTAGTGCCAGCGTTTCCAGATGAAATTTTTACACTTCCAGTCGAACTGTCACTGTCAGCAGTTTTGAGACGTATCATGCCACTGTCACCACCAGCTTCGGCGTTTCCTGAAAGTACAGCGACATCACCACTGGTTTTTCCAGACCCGGAAGACACAACAACTGAGCCGCCAATTGCAGAAGGATTTCCACCGCCGGTCAAGCTAATTGCGCCAGCAGTTGCCGTTCCGTTACCGCCTTCAATACTAATTAAGCCTCCGTTTCCACTCGATGCAAGTCCGGTATAAAGACGAATGGAACTGGAACTGCCTCGAGCAGAACCCGATCCAATCTGAACCGATCCGCTGTTAGCATTGCTGTCTGCAGATTGAATCATGACGTTTCCACTGTCAGCACTTCCACTAGCTCCAGAGAAGAGCCAAACATCTCCTCCGTTCTTGTTCGATCCATCTCCCGAATGAAGAGATAGCTTGCCACCAATCGTGCCAGAACCAGCATGAACGCCAGCATCACCGCCAATCGCTGTTTCCGAGTCACCAGCAGCAAATACTAAATCGCCACCATCACCAGTTGTGCCAGTAGTACTTCCAGCAGACAAAGACAAAGGGGAACCCTTCGCCTCAGAAGACAAGCCCGCAGCAATCAAGATGCCTCCGCCTTCAATATCAGAACTCCCCGTGATGATTTCCACGCGACCGGCAGCACCTGCAGGTGAGCTTCCAGTGGAAATAGCAATGGTGCCACTGGAACCGGCTCCAGACGCAGGGGTAGTAGAAACCGAAACAGACCCAGATGATACCGAGCCCGCCCCCGTCTCAAGGTCAATGGACCCTCCGGTCCCTGAGGCTGATTCTCCAGCTGCCACTGAGATGTTGCCGCTGTTTACTCCGAGGCGAACGATAAAGTTACCACCAGCACCAGAAGTGCTATTTCCAGTACTCAAGGCGATTGACCCTGGAGCACCAGTATCGGTACTTCCTGTGGATAGCGCGAGAGATCCGGACACGCCGGTGTTCGTATCACCAGAACCCACAGTCACACTGCCAGTTGTGCCATCTGACGAGGTTCCAGAAGCAATAGAAATAACGCCTGATCCCTTTACTCCTTGCCCAGACGTGATTTCGACAAGCCCACTGCTTCCATCAACGGGGGCGGCTTCAGTTTGAAGCGTCAGATCCCCGCTCGATGAAATAGCATTTCCACCACTGATAATGTTCACTGCTCCACCTGACGCAGCAACAGCTTCGCCGCCTCTGAAAACAACAGGCCCACCAACATCGGTCGTAAAGGAACCTCCATAACTTTTTCCACCGACAAGCTCAACAGAGCCTCCGCGACCGCCACCAGCCTCGTCATCTCCTAGGCCAATGCCACCAATAATTTTGACACTGCCGCCAACTGCATCTTTCGCTTGAAGCGCATCTCCGCCAACAATGTTGACAGTTTGACCGTTTCCAGTCATTGCTTTGCCAGCAGCGACTTGAATGCCTACACCTTCCGAAACTGCTCCGAGGCCGGTGCTAAGCACTATTGATCCGGCAAAACTAGTAGCGGAGTCACCGGTCTTGAGTGCAACCTGTCCGGAAGATCCATCATCGGGTGCCGAGTCCGGTGTTTCCAACGACAAATCACCGCTAGAAGTTGCCGAGTTGTATCCCGTTGCAATAACAACTTTACCACCTTTAGCTTTCGAAGAATCTGTCGAGCCGGCGGCGATCGAAACATCCCCACCAGCGCTTCCTGATCCCGACCCGACAGCAATGTTAATCGAGCCTGCTCTTCCAGTATCAGCATCACCTGTCTCAATGACAACACCGCCAGATCCACCCTGGCTAGAACCACCAGTGTTGAGCTGCAGTGCGCCTGTTGTGCTCGGTGCTTCGGCCGTGTCAATTGATACGTCGCCACTTGACGTAAGCAATGAGCTGCCAGAAGAGATCGAGATGGCACCACCAGTGGACGCTGCAGCAGACCCACCAGCAATAGCAACCGCTCCTCCCTGGTCACGGGCCTTGTTCATGCCGTCAGAGGATCCAGCCACGATCTCCACATTACCACCGTTGCCGCCATCCTTGTCATCAGTTGAACGTCCTCGGCCGCCAACGAGGCGGACACGACCTCCAACGGCACGAGCAGCAGTCGAGTCACCCCCAGCTAACTGAATCGCACCGCCATCGCCAACAGATCCGAGACCAACAGCTACAGTGATATTGCCACCGCCGCCCTTGACAGCATCGCCGGTTAGGACCGATATATTTCCAGAACCGGGCATGTCGGTAGAGTCACCAGTCTGGATCACCATTGAACCAGAATACCCAGCTTTCCCAGCTCCGGCAGTTGACAAAGTCACGCCTCCGCTGGAAGTCGCAGAGCTCTTTCCAGATTGAATCGCAACACTGCCACCACCATCCGTATGGGTCGTTGCACCAGCGGTGACAGCTACATTCCCTCCCTGGTGACCAACGCCGGAACCCACAAGAAGTCGAATGTCTCCACCAGCTCCATGTTCCGATGCGCCAGAGCTGAGAGTCACAGAGCCAGAGGAGCCACCTCGAGAATCTCCGGAGTACATAGTGACAATGCCGCTACCACCGTTGCTACCGCCGCGGTCAGAGCTAATGTCAATGTCGCCACTAGAACCAGGGAATGAAACCCCGGTGACAACGACAACTGATCCAGCCTTCGCAGCAGAAGTACTTCCTGCTTGGACTAACACATTCGATGCGCCTTGGAGGCTGGAACCACCTTGCACGGAAATGTCCCCACTGGTTCCTTTCGTTGCAGCGCCGGAGCGTACGGAAATGGACCCGCTTCCCTCGTTAGTAGTCGCACCAGTCCCAACGCTGATGCTTCCAGAGGAGCGAGTGAGCTTCTCGACAGCGTCGCCAGAAAAGATCTTCACATCGCCACTCGAGGAGGAGGTTGCATTTCCAGTAACGACTGTCACTGATCCACCCGTCGCGGCGTTGCCTTTTCCACTAGCTAGGCGAATAGATCCACCTACGTCTGTCGTGGAACTTTTACCGCTGGCATCTCCACCTGACACGACAACATCACCTCCATCACCACCGTCCTTCAGATCGGAGCTCAAGCCACTACCTGCAGTAAGTGAAATTTTTCCACCAACTGAGGCCACAGCCGTCGTATCGCCAGCCCGCGCGATGATGTCACCACCGCTTCCGGTTCGACCGGTGCCAACAGAGACCTGCACGTTGCCGCCATGACCTCCAGTTGCGCTGCCAGTCGTCAGTGAGATCATTCCCGAGTCACCTTGCGCAGCTGTACCGGATGAAACTGCAATCGAACCACTCACTCCAGCTGTCCCGGAGTTATCGGTGTTCACAGTAATGCTTCCACTGTCTCCTTTCGTACTGTAACCAGAAGCAACAACAACACTTCCACCAGTTTGTCCAACTGCAGATGTCGAGCCAGCCTTCAGCTTCAAGTCGCCGCCAGCTTTGGCCAGACTATTGCCGAGGGAAACGTCGACACTGCCGCTGCTACCCCTGTCAGAATCGCCCGTTCGAAGACTGTAGCTGCCCGAATCGCCATCTTGGCTTTTGCCGGTACGAAGCTCAATCGAGCCGCTGACTCCATAGTAAGCGGAATCGGCCGTGCGGATGCTAACGTCTCCGCTTGAGAAATAGTCAGAACCGCCAGTGATAATACTGACAGCACCTCCAGTTCCTTTGTTGGCCTGGCCACCCTGAAGAGTAACTGCTCCGCCTGTGTGTGTGCATAACGAAGCAGTTAGAAGTGTACCGATGTTAGCATTTCCTATAGTAAGTTTGACAACACCAACCGATATCTCCTCCACTCTGGCCTCCGGCTGCGCCACCAACAACGTTGACAGGTCCACCTTTACCACCTCCACCAGGAGAGCGATTGGTTCCACGACCACCAGTAATAGCCACTTCTCCTCCAGTTGATCTGAGATCGCCCATGTCGCCGGCAGTTACGGCAACACGACCACCGCTGCCAGTCCAGCCAGACCCTACACTGACCACGATGTCACCAGCTGGGCCAGGCTTAGCACTTCCCGTCGCTACGAAAAGCGACCCGCTCGGGCCTGTAGTAGCATTCCCAGTTTCCACCCGAAGCGTTCCCGACACTCCTTTCTTGCCAGAGTCGACAGTCATGAGCGCCATATCTCCGCTGCTAGAAGTCGCCCCCGTGCCAGAGAAAAGCTCAACTCTGCCGCCGGTTGAAGTTCTACTAGTTCCGCCTTCAACGTGAACGATTCCGCCAATATCGCTATCAGCTTTCCCGCCCATGCCTTGGCCTCCGCGGACTTGAACAGCACCTCCATCACCTCCATTGCTTGGGTTAATGCTTGTGCCGGAGCCAGCTTGAAGCGAGATCGTTCCTCCCACTTGGGCGGCCGCTGCAATAATAAAGACGATTAGCTTCAATAACACACTTTACTAAAATGAAGAATGCTTACCTGAAGAATCACCGGCTGTCATATTCAGGTCCCCACCGTTGCCAGTATCTCCCACGCCAACGGACATGATGACATTGCCTCCATGGCCCTTTTGCGCTAGCCCCGTTACGAAGGTCATCGCACCGCTGTCCGTCGACTGTGATTTCCCAGTCGTGAACGTTAATGACCCCGAGCCGCCATTAGGCCCACTGTTTGGCGTCTGAACCAGAACATCACCCGACGTAGTTTTTACAGAACCGCCAGTGGTCACAGTGACGGAGCCACCAGTGAAGGAGTGGAGTGCAAGCCCAGCGCTTATAGTCACATCACCACCAGGATTTTCGGTGTTATTTCCGACAGACAAGGAAACGAATCCACCTTTGCCCTTAAGAGCTTGACCGCTGTACACAGTGACTTCTCCGCTGTCACCCGCCGTAGTGTCACCGGAGTTTATGCTAACGGAGCCACTTGTACCCTTTGTTCCAGATGAAGCTGTCATCATGGACAATGCCCCGCTGGATGTGGTCGCGCCAAAGCCAGTTTCAACGCGGATACTGCCACCACGTCCTCTGTTCGCAAAGCCACCCTCGAGGGTGATACCTCCGCCCGTATTCAGTGCTGTACTGCCGCCTTGTGAAGCACCGCCAGTCAGTTTTACAACGCCGCCATTGCCTCCGTTGGTAAACGCAGGACTAAGGCCTTCACCAGCCTGAATGGCAACCGTTCCTCCCGTTCTGCCACCGGCGTCAGTAGTAGCCCCGGCTGTCAACTGAACTTGGCCACCATCCGTCTTCGTACCGGTACCAACGGTAACAATAAAGTCCCCACCATGCCCAAGCGTTGCAGCACCCGTCGCAAGCACAAGTGCTCCCGAGTCTGTAGCAGTAGCTGTTCCTGTCTGAAGCTTCACGCCTCCGCTTCCTCCGGCCCCGCCGGCATTGGCAGTATTCACAGTAATGTCACCGCTAGAGGTGGCCTGACTTGCCCCCGAAACGACCGACACAACTCCTCCGGTGCGAGAATCAGTCGTGCTTCCTGCTTCCATGGAAATCATACCACCTTCACCAAAGTCGCCGCCGCCAACAAAGAGTTGGACTTGACCTCCTTTTCCGTTTTTAGCAGCTCCTGTAGCAAAACTTATTGGGCCGGAGTTTCCATAGCTTGACGTTCCAGTGGACACGTAGATCATGCCGCTTGCACCCCGTGAACCTGCATTTGGCGTGTAGATTAAGACAGCCCCACTGGAACTAGCAACCCCCGAGCCAGAAGACATGGATAGATCACCTCCATAACCATACGCCGCGCGGCCGGAGGCAACATTGATACTACCACCATTATCAAGTGAGTTTGAGCCACGTGCTTCACCACCGATAATGTCCACATCGCCACCATCTCCTCCGTCTACGGCATTAGTTCCCGAGCCCGTGCCACCAGTTAGAGTGACTTTGCCTCCGGTTCGGCCCATCCCGGATGACTCACCAGCACTGATCTGAACATCTCCACCATCAGTTGCATCACCAGCTCCTACAAGAACCTGGATTGAGCCGCTGTTACCTCTTGATGCTGTACCCGTCGACAGCTTCAAGACTCCAGCAGTGCCATCAGGACTGTTTCCGGTGGCAATAGACATTGTACCACTCATGCCCCCGCTCGCAGCCTGAGCCGATGCTATCTCAACAGCTCCGCTCCAGGAGTTTGCACTTCCTCCGGAAACCATTTTGACGTTACCACCGACACCGCTTTGAGCTCCGCCACCCCGAATAAGGACTGCACCGCCAGTATCTTGTGCAGAGGATCCGAGCGACGAACCACCGGCTAGAACAACTTGGCCGCCATCACCTCCATCTCCAGAATTGTCGCTCGTACCAGACCCTCCTGTTAGGTACAGAGCTCCGCCCGTCGTAGCAGCGTGTGTCGAAGATCCCGACTCGACAGTGATATCACCGCCGTCGCCAAGGCCATTAGAGCCCACCTTGAGAGAAACACCTCCAGCCTGACCTTGAGACGTACCGGTTCCAAGAGTAACTGAGCCAGCTCTTCCCAACAATGTGCTTCCTGTGCGCAGACTAAAGCTGCCAGAGTCGCCGAACGCAGCTGAGTCACCCGATGCCAAAAGAATAGCGCCAGACGAGCTTAAGCTTGATTTGCCACTGTATATGTTCACAGCCCCTCCTACTGAGGAGGAGCTGCTTCCACCTTGAAGCATAAGCTCTCCGCCACTTCCATCAATAGATTGACCTCCGACAAGCTTGACCCGTCCGCCGTCCCCTTCAGCTTGGGAATGAAGTCCATGGCCACTTCCTCCAGCAATGCGAACCTCGCCACCAACACCACCGTTAGAGGACGTTCCAGATCCCCCACTAAGCTCGATGGCTCCGCCTGTTCCGCTGTCTCCAGCCGTGTTGCCGCTACCAATGCTAATGCTGCCGGGTGAGCTTTCCGATGAGGAGCCAGCTTGCACTTGCACACTTCCAGCAGAGCGGCGAGTAGTGTATCCAGTTCCAACGACGATATCACCAGACTTGCCTTGTGCAGCTGAACCACTTGTAAGACTCAGTGATCCTGTGCCTTCCCCAACCGCGCTTACTGCACTCGCAATCTTAACAATTCCAGTGATTCCTGAAGTACTCGTTCCAGAAGACAGGTGGATTGCCCCACCATTTCCACTCTCAGTGGGTCCACCAGTAAGAGTGACTCCGCCACCATTTCCAACAATAGCCTTTCCGCCGCTTAGTCGAATGTCGCCGCTCGTACCCTGGGACGAAGTGCCACTTGAGATATCGACTCGTCCCGAGTCTGGTCCGGAGTCTCCGGTCGAGAGACGAATAACGCCGCTCCCACCTTGAACACCCGGTGCCGTCTTGATGACCACGTTTCCGCTTGACTCATTTTGACTGAGGCCACTAAGAAGCGTGACAGATCCGCCAGCTCCACCAGTAGCATTTCCACCAACAACAATCACATGCCCACCAACGGAAATATTTGAAACTCCCATTGAGGCACCACCGCTGACGGTGGTTGTGCCGCCAGACGAGTCATCTGCATTTGCTCCAGTTCCACCAATGATTTTGATCGCGCCACCAGTTCCCCCTGCCTTGACTGTTGAGCCCGCTGTAGCAACGATCTCTCCTCCTTTCGCAGAGTTTCCAATGCCAACCTTCAGTGAAATTGAACCAGAACTTGATTCATTTGCGCTTCCCGTGAACAGTAGCAACGGCCCGGTGGGTTGAGAGGATGAGTTTCCAGACCCAATAACCACAGCACCGCTCGACCCATTCACCCCAGCACTGCCAGTGACGATAACCACTTCACCTGAAGCTTTCGTGCCAGAAACACCCGTCTCCACACGCACTGATCCACCGACTGCATCTCCGCCGGACGAACCGCCACGCACAAAAACGTTGCCTCCTTTGCCACCGTCGGACGAACCGCTGGACAGCACAATTGATCCTGCTTCCTCCGAGGACGAAGGCCCCGTGCGAAGCTCCATGGAACCTGATGCCTTGAACGCCGCACCCGTCTCCAGAATAACTCTACCAGACACTCCCTTGGTGGTGACAGCGGATGTTCGGATGGCGATGCTGCCGCTTGACGACACGGTGCTGGTGCCCGAGACAATGTTGATGGACCCGCCAGTGGTAGCACCTTCACCACCAGCCAAGTCGATATCACCTCCAGTCCCGACCTCGGACATTCCGCCCGAAAGCTGCACAGCTCCGCCCGTGACCGAGTTGTCGAAGTTCTGGACTCCGAGCCCGTTGCCTCCGGCGATCTTAACAGTCCCGCCACGCCCGCGGTTCTGATGCACCCCGTCGCCCGCAGCGATTTCCACCGCGCCACCAGCCGTGTTGAACCTGTTGTCGTCGCCAGCGCGCAGCTGAATCACGCCGCCCGACTGCACAGACACAGCCGACTGGTTCACGACGAGGGAGTAGTTCGTCGAGTGCATGGTGACACCCTTGACGACGATCCCCCTGCGCACGTTAGGCGGCTCCTGGTGGATGATCACATCCCCAACAATGATCGTCTCTGCTCGTTGTCACACACGACGCACAAGTAACGATTCAGTTTTTAGTCCCCACGGAATTCTACTCGCAAGATACAGCTGCACGCACCTGGAACGACCACGGTCGGGCATGGCGCATCACTGACCAGCGCCTTGCAGCCCGAGCCGAAGCCCTCTTCCACCGCCATGCACGAGGCGTCCGACGCGCACCAGACGCACTCGTCCGACGCGGCGCAGGTGCCGCAGTCGGTGATGGTGTCGCACTGCGGGTTGACGGGGCAAGCCTCGGCCTCCGGGATCCAGTCGCTGCACCAAACCTGGTAGCGGTCGAACGGTCCCTGCAGGTTGCCGGCCACGCACGTGAGTGTGGACTGGCAGAAACCGCACGACGGCTCGGCGGCACAGTCGTAGCACCGGTCCATGGCCTGCCAGAATTGCGTGTCCGGGGGCGGCGACAGCGCCGAGCAGTTGACCACCGACACGTGGCCGTCCTCCCGCACCCACGACTTGGCCGTCGGCGCCGACGACACCTGCAGCGCGCGCAGACTCCACACGCCCAGCAGGGTCGCCAGCACCGCGCCCGCCCGCAAGCTGCCGCTCCACTTGGCTCCTCCGCCGCCGCCACGGCTGCTGCTCTCTCCTTGATCTTGGTTGTTACTTGTTGCTCTCCACATGCTTGCTCGTTACTACTACTTTCTCGACTGAAATGCACTACTTTTTTATAGGTTTTTACTGTTTCTCTTCCTGTTTTATGGGGGTTTGTTTTTATTTAAAGAAAAATGAAAGAAAAGACGAATACGAAGATGAAGTCCACGGACCCAGACCCTTCCGGCTACAGCCAGATAGCGGAAGAGAGGGGTCGCGCCAACCTCGCGTCAGTCACACACACGCAATACAGTCACTCAACTCACTCGCGCGCTCCCGGGGAAGGCGGGCGGTCTCTTTGTCGCCCAAGACGAGCTCTCCGCTCGCAAGAGGAGGCCCGCCCGGACACGCTCGCGCCGTCTGCTGCGTGTTCGCTGCGGCGCGTGTCCTGTGCTCTGCTCGGTTCTCGTGTGTGTTGTGTCCCTGTCCTGTGCTCGCTGCTGCTGCTGTCGGTCGCTGTCTTCCTCGTCGCTCGCGCGCTGGTCGCTGAAAACGAAGAATGGGCGGGGGGTCGCTCCCGTCGGGGCCACTGGCCAATACAAACGCCAAGTACGAGCCAAAGATCGCCCGGTCCGAGCAGGTCAACTGCGCATGACACGCTTCCTGCGTTGAAAATATGGAAAGAATTGGAAAGTCAATCTCGGTCGCCAACCTACCGGAGTGCATAACCTTTCGGAGCACTAACTGGTCTTGTACCGGCCCCAGCAAGATGTACTATACTCCGCTACCCATTGTGAACCTATACCCCTCGCAGATCGTTGCAATTCTGAGCAGCTGATTGCTCAGTCGCTAAGGCACTGTTGCATCGCATATTTGGGGTGAAGGGTCATACCTCAATTTCAGTCACCATTCCAATCCCGAGAGTAACAACCTGTCACACTCCATACCCTGCGTCGCCGCGATAGGTCAGTCCGCTCATCACCCCGAGTTCATGTCTGCCACATCAAGCGCCTTCGGCTGGCCTGGACACGGTGCTGGTACGGATGCTTGGTGCTGCCACCTAAGCCGCCACCCCAGCCCGCAGGCACCACCTGCAGTCCTTGGTGAGCACGCGCTGCGCCCTCCTCATACTGTACTGGGCAGGGTTTGCACGCGAGTCGCAGTCGAGTTGTCGCCGCGCAAGAGACACTGCGAGCCAAGTTGAAGTCGGGCACTGATTGCATTAGTCTGAAGGAAAGCGAGTTTGGCAGTCGACCGACACGGCTGCGTTGCCGACCGACACGGCTGCGTTGCAGAGCTCCAGGACCGGTGTCCTTGCCGTTTATTTAACGACCGTGTCAACACAAGGGCCGGCCGTTACCGGCGCGGTTACTTCGCGGGGGGTATTGCCGATTCCCTGCCGACGAGTCGAGCGTCTCGGCAATTGCGGTGCATGTACCGGCAAGACCGACACGGTCTTTGCCGCTCGGGGCTCGGTGGTGAGACTTGAGTCGGTCGTAGCCCAAACTCACGCCCCTGGTGGGCACACTTGCTTACGACGGTGGCAGCCCGAGACTACGCGGCACTGAAAAGCTATGGTTTTATTTATTTTTGTAGAATGCCCTACCTTTTACTAGTACTAAAAGTTAGTGTAGAGCGGGGTAGAGGTAGTCGTTGGTGAGCGAGGCCCACTTGCAGCCATCCTTTTGGACGGCGCGCCAGCAGCTGTGCGTGATGTTGGCGATCTCGTGGATGAAGAGGCCGCCGCGCTCGTCCAGTGTCTTGAGCCCGAACGTGTCCGACGTGTACTCGAGCGTGTCGTTCATGTTGACGATGGTGAGGTTCATGTACTTGGTCTCGATCTCCTCGATCGTGTCCACCTCCGAGTAGCGGCCAAAGATGGAGCTCTGCCACGGCATGATGCGCTCGTCGGCGGGCGAGGCGAAGAAGTGGGCCTCCTCCAGCTTGAGGAAGTTGGCCTTGCGGCGGCGCTGGTCGTAAACGCACTGGTCGTCGCCCGGCAGACAGCGGTTAACGTTGTTGTACACGGGCAGGAAGAAGTTGGCGGTGGAGAAGCTGCCGAACTGCGGCCAGCGGTTGACGTTGAACTGCGAGTACGTGTACTGCGCGTCGGGGTTCTCGATGGTGTAGATGACGTAGTCCTTCTGCATCTTGCCGTAGTAGTCCTCCGGGCCGTAGGCGCTGTAGTTGAACATGGTCTCGGGCACGAGCGTGGCGAGGAACGGCCCATCATTGGCAATCGAGTACTCCACCTTGTCGGGGCCGATGAACTGGCCGTTCTGGAGGCCGGCTATGCTGATGTAGCGCTTGACCTTGTGGTCGTCCATCTCTTCGATGACTGCGCGAGCGATGGCACCGCCCTGCGAGTGGGCGAGGAAGATGTAGCCGTTGTCGAACTCGGAGCTGTTGGCGACGATCTCACGGATCTGAGCGACAGCCTTCGGGACCTGCAGGACGATCGCCTCTAGCGAGCAGGGCATCTCGCAGGTGAGAGGTACAACGGTACGCCCCTCGGCCGTGAGGTTGGCCACGAAATAGTGAAAAATAATGAAGGAAATGTGAGCTGCTGACCGCGAGCGCGGCGGCGGGCTCTTAGCATGCTTTGTCGTAAAAGTTGTCGCTTAGCACTGCACACCCGACAGCCTCTACATTCGTTCATTACTCAGAGATGATGAATGGTCACTCAGAGATGATGAATGGTCGCACGGATTCCATTGCCTTAGGCGATTTTGGTGTGGACCGCTCTGTAAAAGAAGTCTGCAGGCACACCCTGCAGAGCCTTTCTTGCAGCGATGGAAGTGTAACGGGCTACCGTTGGCGCGCTTGGGTCGTGGGTTTTCGAAATAGTTAGCTGGTAACATCGCTGAGGTGGACAGAGATGCTTAGCTTGGGCCAGCCGTAGTAACCAAGAACCTAACGAGCAAGTAAAGGAATGTTCAGTGCAGCCGACATGGGTGACGTACCTGCGCGGCACAATAGGCTACGTGAGGCAAAGGACTGCAGACAAGCGAGGCAAGCGACCATTTATTGGTTCCATGCACCAAACTTTCAGGCAAAGAGCAACCAACCCCCTTAACTATGTTGTACCCGTAAGTGTACGACAACTTTTACGACAAAGCATGCTAAGAGCCCGCCGCCGCGCTCGCGGTCAGCAGCTCACATTTCCTTCATTATTTTTCACTATTTCGTGGCCAACCTCACGGCGGAGGGGCGTACCGTTGTACCTCTCACCTGCGAGATGCCCTGCTCGCTAGAGGCGATCGTCCTGCAGGTCCCGAAGGCTGTCGCTCAGATCCGTGAGATCGTCGCCAATAGCTCCGAGTTCGACAACGGCTACATCTTCCTCGCCCACTCGCAGGGCGGTGCCATCGCTCGCGCAGTCATCGAAGAGATGGACGACCACAAGGTCAAGCGCTACATCAGCATAGCCGGCCTCCAGAACGGCCAGTTCATCGGCCCCGACAAGGTGGAGTACTCGATTGCCAATGATGGGCCGTTCCTCGCCACGCTCGTGCCCGAGACCATGTTCAACTACAGCGCCTACGGCCCGGAGGACTACTACGGCAAGATGCAGAAGGACTACGTCATCTACACCATCGAGAACCCCGACGCGCAGTACACGTACTCGCAGTTCAACGTCAACCGCTGGCCGCAGTTCGGCAGCTTCTCCACCGCCAACTTCTTCCTGCCCGTGTACAACAACGTTAACCGCTGTCTGCCGGGCGACGACCAGTGCGTTTACGACCAGCGCCGCCGCAAGGCCAACTTCCTCAAGCTGGAGGAGGCCCACTTCTTCGCCTCGCCCGCCGACGAGCGCATCATGCCGTGGCAGAGCTCCATCTTTGGCCGCTACTCGGAGGTGGACACGATCGAGGAGATCAAGACCAAGTACATGAACCTCACCATCGTCAACATGAACGACACGCTCGAGTACACGTCGGACACGTTCGGGCTCAAGACACTGGACGAGCGCGGCGGCCTCTTCATCCACGAGATCGCCAACATCACGCACAGCTGCTGGCGCGCCGTCCAAAAGGATGGCTGCAAGTGGGCCTCGCTCACCAACGACTACCTCTACCCCGCTCTACACTAACTTTTAGTACTAGTAAAAGGTAGGGCATTCTACAAAAATAAATAAAACCATAGCTTTTCAGTGCCGCGTAGTCTCGGGCTGCCACCGTCGTAAGCAAGTGTGCCCACCAGGGGCGTGAGTTTGGGCTACGACCGACTCAAGTCTCACCACCGAGCCCCGAGCGGCAAAGACCGTGTCGGTCTTGCCGGTACATGCACCGCAATTGCCGAGACGCTCGACTCGTCGGCAGGGAATCGGCAATACCCCCCGCGAAGTAACCGCGCCGGTAACGGCCGGCCCTTGTGTTGACACGGTCGTTAAATAAACGGCAAGGACACCGGTCCTGGAGCTCTGCAACGCAGCCGTGTCGGTCGGCAACGCAGCCGTGTCGGTCGACTGCCAAACTCGCTTTCCTTCAGACTAATGCAATCAGTGCCCGACTTCAACTTGGCTCGCAGTGTCTCTTGCGCGGCGACAACTCGACTGCGACTCGCGTGCAAACCCTGCCCAGTACAGTATGAGGAGGGCGCAGCGCGTGCTCACCAAGGACTGCAGGTGGTGCCTGCGGGCTGGGGTGGCGGCTTAGGTGGCAGCACCAAGCATCCGTACCAGCACCGTGTCCAGGCCAGCCGAAGGCGCTTGATGTGGCAGACATGAACTCGGGGTGATGAGCGGACTGACCTATCGCGGCGACGCAGGGTATGGAGTGTGACAGGTTGTTACTCTCGGGATTGGAATGGTGACTGAAATTGAGGTATGACCCTTCACCCCAAATATGCGATGCAACAGTGCCTTAGCGACTGAGCAATCAGCTGCTCAGAATTGCAACGATCTGCGAGGGGTATAGGTTCACAATGGGTAGCGGAGTATAGTACATCTTGCTGGGGCCGGTACAAGACCAGTTAGTGCTCCGAAAGGTTATGCACTCCGGTAGGTTGGCGACCGAGATTGACTTTCCAATTCTTTCCATATTTTCAACGCAGGAAGCGTGTCATGCGCAGTTGACCTGCTCGGACCGGGCGATCTTTGGCTCGTACTTGGCGTTTGTATTGGCCAGTGGCCCCGACGGGAGCGACCCCCCGCCCATTCTTCGTTTTCAGCGACCAGCGCGCGAGCGACGAGGAAGACAGCGACCGACAGCAGCAGCAGCGAGCACAGGACAGGGACACAACACACACGAGAACCGAGCAGAGCACAGGACACGCGCCGCAGCGAACACGCAGCAGACGGCGCGAGCGTGTTTATAGTAGCGTACTCCCTATGCACTAACTGTTGAGTCAGCTGTACGTGTAAATAACAGTTAGTTAGTGTATAGTAAATTTTGCTAACATGTATCTGCCGAACGAGCATCACTAATTTTTGCACAAAAATGGAAATTACTAAAGATTTTTACAACTTTATCTACGCCGCTCCGATCCTTCTGGTTTTCTATATTTTAAGACGCTCTTGATTCGATATTGTGGCCCACATTGTCCCAAGTCAACGGTACTGTCGCATTAGATGCTGCCAAGTCTACTCCAGATGCCAGTGCAGCGCCAGAGCCGTAGTTACTTGAAGTGCCAGTCTAGAACGGATAGTCAACTCCGATCGAGATGATCGACGAATTTGAAGACGCAGAGCTGAATTCGGCCTGGCCCGAATATATTTCGCTAGAAGACGGGTCTCAAGGACGCAGAGTGTTTAGATCCATTCTGTAGGTAAGAAAGACATCCTAAGAATCAATCAGAAAGACGCGCTGTCCGTCCGAGAGTAGATCACGCTTATCCACTAAGTACGATTACCACTAAGTACGATTTGCTGCTGAGCGCAGCGAAGGCGGCTCCGTTGCCGAAGGCGACCCGACCCCACCATACGATATTGCGGGGCCGCAGGACCCGCCCCGGCCTCTGTATTACTAACCTGACATTGAGAGTAGTGCAGCGAGCCGACGAGGCGAGCGGAACGGGTCCACTACTGCCGTAGCGAAGCGTAGGCAGCCTGCTCTTATAGCGCAGCGAGCATTGCGAGCGAAGCGCCAACTAACAAAAAATTCACCGCCGCGTGGTGGCGGCGCTCGGCTAGTTAACTGCAATCAGCCTTAAGGTTAATATATATCATGATTATTCCTTTGCTACTAACTCGTCAACTAACAGTCAGCAAACGTACAGCTAACAGTGAGTTAGTGTCTAGTAAATTTCACTAACAGCAAAACGCCCTACACTAGTTTACAGATGTCTGTAAACTCAAATTGTTCAATGAATGCATTGTAAATTATTGTCCTAACTTCTAAGTTAGGATTTGAAACAAATTATTGATTGTTGTCGTTCAACCATGGACGAGCCTCAGCGCCAACTGCAGCGCTTGATTTTCCCTTGGTTGGGCAGCATGAGCGGGCTCAGCCCATTGACTTTGGGAACTTGCCTGCTGTAGGTTCGCAGACATGGTAAGTACATGTACTTTTAAGTACTTTTAAGTAAGTACTGCCGGGGCCAGACTCAAACTAAAGGGGGGGGGGGGGGCAGAGGTCCGCCAATACTGTATTTTATTGAATTGGGATCATTGTCAACCCCTAATAAATATTACAATTCCTGGACAAACAATAATAAATATTGCCGTAATTTATATTGTATTGGAGCATTGAACATACTATTTTATCGATTTAGAGGGGTAAAACTGGCGTCACAGCACCAGCAGCGCTCGAAACGAGCAGTTTAGTAGCATCATTTGCGTTGATATTCAAGTTACTAGACGTGACTTTCACTATGAGGCCCATCTGAATCTCAATCAGCGCGTAGCTACATGTTGCATGTTCACAGTATTATGATAGCGGTCGGTGTCCCAATCCTGTTTTCTCTCGTTCAAGGGTCATTTACGGCTAATGCAGAATCTGCATTGCAGATACTACAGTAGTCGCTAGGGTATGGAACTTACCTGAACGTGGTATTGACGTACCCTTAGTGCTTTGTGACTAGAGTTTGGCATCATCAGTCGAAAATTCTATGCAAGCGGACTTTTATTATTTTTATTGTCAATAATTGGGTCAATATGATATTGTATTGGAACCCGGTTCGCCCAGTAATAAAGATTTTTATTGGAAAACCCAGTTATTTACTGTATTGCAATATTGTTTTCCGACCTCTGTCCTCCTGGAGGGGGGGGGGCAGAAGGGTCAAAAAGAGATATGTTAGAGGAACCAGGCCCCACAAAACCCGCCCCGGAGCTGTAGGTTTCTGGAGTGAGCCTCAAGAAGAAACTGTTACGACTAGGAAGAACATGGTGCGAGCTTACCTTAGCGCCGTTCATGCTGGAAGCAGTTCAAAATATTTACCCGCGGAAGCAAAAGGCGACTGTTCAAATCCGCTTCGATGCTGCCGGGCGACAGCGACTTCTTTCTGGCGCTCTTTGGTGCCCTCGCCCACGTCGCCCCGCTCGTTGACAGCCCGCAGTCCACAGCTCTCTCGGCCTTCTCCAGTCCATCCGACGCGCTGCTGAAGACGCTCTCAGCCTCCGTTCCAACTGTCGGCCGCTGCATTCTCGAGGAGATTCGAGCGGACGTCCGCGCCAACAAGCTGCAGTTGCTGCAGCGCCAGCGCCTGGGCCTGAGGAAGGCGCGACAGGCCAAGCGAAGGCAGATACAGCGGCTGAACGCAGTGGTCGCGGCGCAGTGTGACGCGGCGCTGCTGGACGCCGCGACGCACGACCAGAAATTCGAGTTCTTCCTAACGGACACGCACGCCAAGGCGGTAGCTAGACTGCAGGTTACCATCGCTGTTGCTGTGGTATTGGTGCACATAGTGGTGACTGACCGACGCTTTGAGTGCAGACTTTATTCTATGAGTGCATTGCAGAGATGAAGAAGGCGCTGGTGCGCATGGAGAACGTCGCGGCAGACACCACGGAGGAGTCTGAAAGTATGGTAAATTGTCTAGCTGTGTACTTTACACTTTGGAACTCGATCATGTGGCACCTTGGCGATGCCGTATTGGCATTGAGATTGACTTAGAATTTGTATTAGGTCCAGGAGCTACTACGGCGCTACGAGTGGCAGTTGTTCCTCGCTCGACTGCAGCAGGATTGCAGTGGCGATGTCGAGGCGTCCTTGCTTGTCCCACCGGCATCTTCTCGCGACAAAAGCAGTCGAAGCTCATACGCTTTAGAAAACACACCAGTGAAAGCGGTTCTGCAAAGGGCTCTTCAGGAGCATGGCCCCGCATTGGAAAGTGGAGATTCGCTGGTGGTGCGGTCCGTCATCGCACTGAAGAGAAGTCCATCAACCCGCCGCGCTTCCGAGAAAACCAGATCTGTTTTCTCGGAAGCGCGGCCCTCACTGCACTTCGGCGCGCCAGCTGAAATGTTGACAGAAGTCATGGGGGTCCTCATGCGCCCCCTAAATACCTCAAAACTCCGACGGCGCCTCCCACCTCGAGGTGGGGCCGAAGACCTATCGACCCCATTTTTCGCTACTGGTGGTGGCATGTGCTCGACATTTCGACTAGTGGCGGCTAGGGAGACGCTACAGTTTCCCGGGACTGCGTGCGATGTTCCGTTGAGCTCCGTGTTTATTCGTTGGATGGATGGCAGACGGCAGACTAACCGTAGCGGTTTACTTCCCGGTGCCGACGATGCAGACAGAAGTGGCTGGGGGCTGTACAACGAGCTCGCGGATTCCAACATTTATTTTGACGTAGCTGAGTACGAGGAAAACTTCGCGGCAGTCATGCAAAACTACGCGACAAGCGCCACCCTCGATGCCGCTTCGATGCCGTTTCCAGTTGATCACGCAGTGCTAGCCTCTGCTCGACGATCTTTACGGGAGATAAGTGCCATCTTGGAACGACCTCGTGATCAGAAGGAAGCTAAATCCGCCGATACGATTTTCGCACATCGGCAAACGGGAAATGGTGATATTGATGCAGACTCCAACCAGCCAGAAGCTGTTCATGGCCATCGCGGTACTTTTGCCCGTGCCTCCGTACTCCAGCTCGTGCAAACACTTTATTATACCAAGAACTTTCTGAGCTCGCTGACACCGGCTGATATCGACATACTGAGAAAACTGTAAGTGCATCTTTATCACCAATCTCTCATGAATTAACCTTTGACTCGTTTTTAAGCAGCTACCCGGCAACACTATTTGGTGAGGGCTGCCTCTCAACACTCTATGTTCCTGTCTTCGGTGGCGTAAGGAAGCGTGAGGTGCAGCGAGAAGAGTGTACCTTACCAGCCTCTTCTTCGGAGGTTGTCATGCATCCATTGGATGATCGTGCAATTCACGAGCTACTGTTCATCTATGTTGCTCGTGGAAAGCACACACTAATGCAAGACGGGAGCGCCAGTGTGGATTCGAACGAGAAGCTGACAAGCTTGGCATATTCGGATGCTGTCAACACATTGATACCATGTCGGCGAGTGGAATCCAACAAGCGAGCTGCTTCTCCATTTTGCGTTATCAAGAACGCTCGGGGATTATGCCAGCAGGACGGAGGGCTGAGTGCGCAGAATGAATCTTCATATGCGACGGAGCTCCAGCAGTTTGCAGATGCAGATATCGTCTTTGTTGAGGTAAGTTTGACCGAATTGAAAGTTCTTGGCACCGAGCTGATTTCCTGGTGGTTTTCAATCAGTGCGCGGCTTTTCCAGCCCGCCTTGGGTCTGCCCGACGAAAGCCTCACGCGTCGACGAACGTCAAGACAAATGCGGTTTTGGAGATGCTCGGCACGTCTTGCATATGGCGCTCCTGTATTAGTCACGATCTTTCTACCAACTCGAATCTATGCAAATGGCACACTTCCGTCCAGGTACGCTTCCGACGCATATTGCAGGCTGTGTCCACTCTACTTACATCTCCTTTGTATACACTAAAGCATTTTCTCGAGGTTGAGGAATCGCTGCAGTACGTGCCGAATGAAACACGAATGAGAGAGGCCTACCTAGCAGCGGAAAGTGGCTCGACGGCTGAAAAGACAAAGCGAGTCATCCAGACGTCCAGCTCGCTTTTAGAGGTACTCGTACGCATTTGTTAGCGCTGTTTTTGTGAGCCAGCTAACAATTGCTATTTTGTGTTAGGAATTATCATCGAGACACCTGCCGCAGTCTATCAAGGCCTTCTTTGAGCACGTCGTCAGAGCTGCATCCAACCGCAGGTATCAGAGCGAATACGTGGGAGCGGTGGGGCTGGAGAAGTTTGCCTCATTAAGCGACCTAGAGCAGTCTCACTACGAGCTGCAACATTTGGTAGATGTGTCTGAAGAGATCGTAGGCACTGAGAATCGTGTTACTCGCGAGCTCCGACAACTCCACCAGCTAAGTACGTCCTCACCTTACTGGTGGCGGGAATGCAACAAGTTGCTAACTCTTTTGTGTGCAGCGGTGTACCCGGGCGTTGAGGACTCGTTCATTCAGCACGGCTTCTTCGACTTGGAGGAGGTATGGCCACCTCATCTATCAGCCCGTGGTTTGCGTTGACATCATGGCACTAAGCCGCACGTGTGTAAATGCAGCTTCAAAGTGATATTCGCACACGAGACTTGGGTCTGCTGCTGCGCCTGAGCCAGCAGAAGTTGCAGATTCTGGAGCATCGACGGAGAGATGAAGAGAGGCAAGTCGTGCGAAGGCTTGCGCCATCCACATCGTTGCCGGCCATGAACTTTCAGCCAGTGTCGGAGCAGCCAGCAGCGACCGACCCAGCCTTAGTCTCGTCATCCGTCTACGACGTCATCCACGTCATGCGCAAAGGACGGCAGTCGCTGTTAAGGCAGCAGCGTCAAGATGCTCTGGACGGGGGACTACGAAATGGGTCCAAGCGCAGACACGGCCTGGAGCGCTGCGCGTCGGACTTGGCGTATCGTGCTAGTCCGTACGAGGCGAAGGTAGCGCCGACGACGAAATCTCGCGCGGGTGGAGCTAGCAACGGCAAGAAGTCTGCTCGACAAGCGCTTGGACAGATGAACGCAAGATAATCACAGGCGAATGAATAGAGCGGAAGCAGGCGGAGTTCATTTGATCTGACACGAGCTGCGCACTGCTCTCAAGCTACACAATGCAGTCGTCGTGAGCCGAGGACCCCATGTTATACGGTTGTTTACTAACAGCTTCACGGCTGCGTGTACGGCAGGCCGACGTTGCCCCAGTCGCACGCCTCCGACATGACCCGCGCCACCTCGACAAAGGTGCGCTCGTCCTCGGCCGAGAACCCGTTCTTCTTGGGGCAGTCGAGATCGATCAGCGCGATGACCTCGCCCTGCTTGTCGAAGACAGGGACCACCAGCTCCGACTCGGACGCGTCGTCGCACGCAATGTGCCCGGGGAACTCGTGCACGTCGGAGATGCGCTGCACGGACTTGGTGCGCCACGCGGCGCCGCAGACGCCGCTCTGGAAGCGGATGCGGGAGCAGGCCGGCTTGCCCATGAAGGGTCCGAGGATGAGGATGTGGTCGTGGTCCGTCTCCTTGGGGTTGGACAGCGGCCGCACGAAGTAGAAGCCCGCCCAGTTGATGGGGCGCTCGGCCTCCAGGAAGGCGTGCCAGATGATGGCCGACACGTTAGCAGCGTTGGCCACGTAGTCGCGCTGGCCGGTGGTGGCGGTGAAGGCGGCCACGTCGCCCAACAGCTCCTCGGTGTTGATCGGCGCCAGGTAGTTGTGCAGCTGGCCCTCGTCGGGGCAGTCCGGGCTCCATCCGATCTGCTTCACGAGCGTGGCAACGCGCTCCTTGAGCTCGCCCTCCGCCGTAACGGAGACCACCTCGGCGCTATCCTTGAAGACGGCGAGACTCGACGCCGCCATCTCGCTCGACGGCGACTGCACCAACGTCTGCAAATGCACAAATAATACTGTCAAACCCTCCTCCTTGTGGCAGATCACGGCACTGCAGGGTGGAGCCTCAGACACGTACAATGTCGTCGCGGCCGCGGAACAGGAACACGAGCGGCACCAGCAGCTTCTGCAGCTCGCGCTTCTGCTTGCGGTCGGGCTCCTGGGGCAGCGAGAGCGCCACCACCGGCTTGCTCTTGGACAGGGCGGCCGCGCTCTCCTGCGCGGGGGCGAAGAGCTGCAGCGCGGCGTCCAACGGGGTCAACTGCTGCTGAGCTGCCATCTTGGCCGATGAATCTAAAGTGACGTCAGCTCAGCCTGAGACCATCGCGGCTCGGTCCCTTTTGCGCTCAGGCGAGTCTCGGGTTGCACCGGCACTGGTGGCCTGCGGACGTCTTGGCACACCGAGGTGATACCAAATGGATTGGCCGCGGTGGCCAATCGCAGAGACCGAATGCTGCTCCTCCTCCTGTGAGGGGCCGCTTACGCCATGAGGTGTGGTCACTCACCTTCATCGTCCTCGACGACGACCGTGCCTGTCTTCGCGTGCGCTGTTGGCTCGTAGTGCTGTGCTCTGAGATGTACTCGAGCCGCACCTGTGGCCGCTGCTGCCGCCTCCACCTCACACTGCGCGATACGAGAACGCGACCTATAACATTCTGCGGTTCGTGTGCGCGGACTCTCTCTCGGTTTACGCAGTGAATGGTGTAGTGCAGTTGTAGTGGGTAGTGTAGTTCTCGGGTTACAGCGAGCATGCATGGCCCCGCCGAAGAGAAGCGCTAGGCTTGGCGGGGTGAGTCACCCCCGGGTGAAGACTGTAACACAACTGCAACCCAGATATTGAGGCTTCTCCGTGGCTCGTCCCAGACAGCCCCCGCCTGAGGCTTCCGACACATTTTCTCATTCGCCAGCAACGATGGAGAGCAGCAGCTCGGACGTGGTCGGCAATGGGAGCCATGCGGCTGCACCGTCGACAAGCTCCATGCCCACTCCGCTCCAGATCGCGCTCTGGGTGAGCGAGTCTACCTACTGCCCTGCATTCGTAGACGCCGTAGTCACTAACGCTTTGTCCGATCATGAGATCAGAATGGTAATCCAAGGCAGATCCGCGAGTGCCTGGAGGCCGGCGGACAGGACGCACTAGAGACGCGAGACCGTCGCGGCAATCGAGCGCTGCACTTGGCGTTGAAGTTCGCCCACCGGAACGCCACAGCGATCGTAAAAGCAGTGCTGGTACGATTTGGACGGTTCTGCAAGGGGTTTGCTCATCCGGGACATCTATTGATATCCAATTGGCCGCTTTGTTACTAGGACGCTGGTGCTCGTGTTCGCTCTCGTGATACGGAAGGCTGGAAGGCCATTCACCACGCTGTGGTAGCGGAAAACGAGGAGATTCTGCGCCTTCTCGTTCGCAGAGGTGGGTATCGCCCAGACAGTCTGCATCGTACAATTTCTTACCCGTGTTGTGTTTCCTTTAGAGAAAGAGCAAGCACCGGCGCTGCTGCAGAAGAAGATCGATGACATTTGCCCCCGGCTTGCTGAAGTGCCGGACTTTTACTGCGAGATGCGCGTTGACGTCTCGACATGGATCCCTGGAGTCTCTCGCTGGCTGCCGTCGGACACAGTGAAGATTTGGAAGGCGGCGCAGGACATGCGCTTCGACGTCACTTTGGTGGGGTTCGAGAACGGCAAGTGGGACCGAGGAGACCTGTCCTTCCTGCTCCAAGGCTCCCAGGGCAAGTTCTTGTGCTTGGACAACGAGGCGAAGACCTGCACCGACCTGCTGAAGCTGGACACGGAGCTGTCGGAGGCGGATCTGGATCAAATGGTGCACTTCCTGATGACCACGTCGATTGTTACGACGGACTTCGACGCGTCGAAAGTTGCCTTCGAGAAGAAGTTTGCGTGGTTTTCGTCCAGCCCCATGCGGCAAGACATTAGCTGCTGGAAAGACACCCGCGTAGTCGACATGACCGGCGTCGAGGCCTCACTGCGCTATCGTAAGCCTCACAACCCGAAGCACCCGCCTCCAAAAGCTTCGAGCGACCAGGTATGCCCCCCCCCCTTTCAAAAGTTTGCAGTATGCGGTACTTACTTGTTGTGGTGTGTCCAGACTACTGCGTGTGATGCGGTGTCGCTACTGACCGAAGTGGCCGCCGTTGGCGATCACTACACGGAGGTAGTGGTCGACCCGAAGTCGAACCACGTCGTGTCTGTGGAGTTGAGGAAGGGCGAGGAGTTGACGTGGAAGTTCTCCACGGAGAAGCGCGACATCAACTTTGGCGTTCGCTTTCTCGAAGAGAATAATGGCGAGCAATGGGACGAAATCGTTCCCCTGCAGCGCACCCAAGCACAGCTGAAAGAGCAGGCAGGATCGTTCCGGACCACCTGCTCGGGGACACTTGTCTTCACATGGGATAACTCATACTCGGTCATCCGGTAAGCTTTGATCGTTCTCTTTCGCGGGTTGACCTTATTGTACATGTACTAACCCCCCATCGGACAGACCAAAGCTGCTGCGATTTACTATTAATCCAGGAGGTGAGACGGACGGAGATTCCACTGGAAATGAGGACTGGGACGCGCAAACGCGGGTCAAAGAGGAGGAGATGATGTTTGAAGACTGGTTTGGTGTGTCGACCGAGAGTCTGCCGGCCTCGCTGCGTGCGATGCGACCTCGTCGCTGCATCATGGTGCACACGCAGCCCTCCTGCCGCAAAATCACCAAGTCGTTCCCTGCTACGGTGTACATGTGCGACCATTTCCCGCTCAGCGTAAGTTGACACCCACGTGCAGTATTCTAGGCTCGCAGATTTTGACGTGGTGTGTCGCGTCTTGGTCCAGGTGTCCGAGTTCCTCCCGGTTATTGAGGTGCTCTCCAAAACCACGAGCGCCTTCGAGAGCATGCAGGAGTTTTTCTCGGCGGTACGATGCTGATACTCTGCTGTTTACATGAAGGCTAAGACACTTAACAATTGAGTGTGATGCTGTTGACGTACCAGGCATTGACGGACGGGTTCCCAGTGCAGTTCTGCTTCCCTTTGGTGCCGTCGGTGTCAGCGACCTTCCGATTTGATCGCATGGAGCTGCAGACACCGGAGAGACACCTGTTCACTGTTCCCGCCACCTACACGATGCAAGTTGAAGACATGCTCTCGCCGCGCACGCACCAGGCGATGCTGCAGCGCGTGACGGCCACCTAGGATCGGGAGCCGTGTCTTCGTAATACTTCAACGCCGTATTGCAACCACGGATCTATGATGATACACGTAATACATGTACCCCCAAGCCTCTATGGCAAGCTTGCAAATGCGCATGCTGCCGCGAGCAGGCAATGAAGCCCCCACCTCCACTCGTGGTCTGGAAATGCTCTTTGTGCTTGATCCCCCAGTTCGGAGGCTCCGTCGGCGGCTACAGACTTTCGTTTATTTGTACTTACTACGTAGTAGGTCTCTATACTTCCGGCACCGGAACGACCATGCGTCGGCAAATGCTCGAGCGCCGCTCAGTAGGCAGGCAGGCTTCGCTCGGTGATCATTGTTGCGTGGGCCACCCGAAGATTTGCGTGCGTGCGCCAAGTTGAAGTACGCAGAGACCAGCACGGCCGCCAAGGGGCTCGCGGCCAGCCAAGCGCAGTCGCCAACTTCTCGCGTCCTGCGCAGGTACTTAGCAGTCAAGAAGAGCAAGCCGAGAGATCCCAAGCGCCATGAACCTGCTGCGCCTGCTGCCGTGCGCGCTGGCCGCCGCCGCCGCGCTGCTGGCCCCCGCGGCCGCCGAGGAGCGCTGCTTCGCCAAGGACTTCATGTTCGGCTCGGCCACCGCGTCGTACCAAGTGGAGGGCGCCTACATGGACGTGGGGCGCACGCCCAGCATCTGGGACGACTTCTGCCGCCAGCGGCCGGGCCTGGCCTGCGCCAACGTGGCCGACGACTTCTTCCACCGCTACCCGAGCGACCTCAAGATGATGGCCGACGACGGACTGCAGTCCTTCCGCTTCTCCGTGTCCTGGTCGCGCGTCATGACGTGGAACCCCGCCACGCGCCGCATGGTGCCCAACCCAGCGGGCATCGCATTCTACCACGACCTCATCGACGAGATGACCAAGAACAAGCTCGTCCCGATCCTCACCATCTACCACTGGGACCTGCCCTCGGCGCTGCAGACGGAGCTCTCGCCCGCCGGCTGGCTCAGCGAGGATATCATCCGCCACTACGTCGAATTCGCCACGCTCATGTTCCAGGAGTTTGGCACCAAGCTCGACTACTGGACGACCTTCAACGAGCCGTACTCGTTCGTCACGCAGGGCTACGGCACGGGCGTGCACGCGCCCGGCTTCACCGGCTCGGACAAGAACACGTACATTGTGACCCACAACCTGCTGCGCGCCCACGCGCTGGCGGTGCAGAAGTTCCGCGAGTTCCGCGACGCGGGCATCGTGCGCCCCACCGCCCGCATCGGCATCGTGCTGGTGGCGCACATGATGTTCCCGCTCGACCCGACCAACCCCGAGGACGTCGCTGCCGCCGAGCGCGCGCTGCAGTTCGACTACGGCTGGTTCCTGCAGCCCATGATCTCCGGCGACTACCCGGCCGTCATGCGCGAGGTTGTGGGCGACCGCCTCCCCCGCTTCACGGCGCAGGAGGCCGAGATCATCAAGGGTTCGTACGATCTCTTCATGCTGAACCATTACGCGTCGAAAACCGTGACTGACTGTGACTCGCCCACCTCGAAGCGTAGCTGTGACCAGCTTACGCTGGGCTGGGAGAAAGACAAGGGTGTCGACGATACGCGCGCCCCCGAAGGCTCGCGTCTGTCGAGTAAGGACCGCCACGGCAACCACAACTGCGGCTGGTTCACTGCGTACCCGCCCGGATACCTGGCGCTGATGAAGTGGGTCAGTGCGCACGACCCGTCCGCCGACGTGCTGCTGACGGAGAATGGCTGGTGCGGCAACGATGAGGTCGACAACCAGGACCAGATGTGGTACTACGAAAACTACATGGAGCAGGTCTACAAGGCCGTCACGGAGGAGAACATCAAGGTCATCGGCTACACGGCGTGGTCCTACCTGGACAACTACGAGTGGGGCTCCTTCGAGCCACGCTTCGGGCTTTACTACGTCAACTTCACTTCCCAGACGGGCTCCAAGGACTACGTCTCGGCAAAGCCCACGGAGCTCGAGCGCATTCCGCGTCCGGCAGCCAAGTGGTTCAGCAAGCTGGCCAAGACCAAGTGCATCCCTTCCGCGTCGGACGCCGCCGCGGCCAGTGCCCCCAGCGCATCGTCCGTCAACAGCAGTGGCGGTCTTTCCATGTGGTCTATCGTTGGCATCGTGGTCCTGGCTGTCGCGGTTATTGGCGCTGCTGTCGCTGGTATCCGCGCGTTCTCGCGTCGTCGCGGTTCGAACGGCGAGCGCAGGCCGCTGTTGTAAGAAGCGAGCATTTGTGGCACTTAGCAGGCAATAGGAACACATCAATCTCTGCTCAATGAACACTGATGTCGCTCTCTATTCCTTCTCGTCGTGGCGTATCTCGCAGCGCATGCGATCTTAATGTGCGGGCCTTATTAACGCATGCAGAAGGTTGTGAATCTCATGCAGTCATCCTGATGTGATCACAGTTTTTGATCACATCAGGGTGACATAATACCGAGCAGTGCAGGAGGAGCAGGCACTGCGAGATCAGCTGGCGCGAACCAGCCAAAGCAAGAGCTCAAGGCAGTGACGCTGCAGGTGGAGTAAGCCCATCGAGACGAGCTAGACCACGAGCTGGACAGACTTGAAGCCGAGAAGCGCAAGCTGGAGGAAGACCTCGTTACCGGTTGGCAACCAACTCGCGGTTGCCGCCCAAAAAAACGGGAGATTAAGGCCGACTACGCTTCCAGCAGCTTGATATTGTGCGCGCGCAGTTCGGACACAAACACACGGGCACACCCCAAGTTGATTGAATCGCTCGTGTTGGTTTCAGCAGCTCTACAGTAGTGCCTATATCTTCGTTGGCCTTGCGAGTTGTTGCCGTTTGACTGCCCCTCGCTTTCACCAGGTGCGTTTTCATAAATAGGAGCAGTCAAACGGCAATAACGCAAGCCCAATGCCCTTGGTGAATAAATCTATGTGAGCTGTGGTTTGCTGCTGAAAGCAATTTTTGATTCTGAGATAGCATGTGTACCGTAAGGATGAATATCGTCAAACTGCCGACAGCATACACTAAAAAAAATGATTTTTGTATGGTCCTGTGAGCCAATAGAAACACAGCTGAAGCCTTTTAACGAATCATACAGTGTTCCAGCGAAATCTTAGCCAATTAAAACACAATAGGGGTAGGGTAACGGCTACCGACACGTGGCCGACGCATAATGTCGACAGCGACAGCCAGACATTTGAGCGCCGATTCAAAAAGCAAGTCATTCACATATTTGCTGGATATCAAGAAGCCAACCGACACTAGACTCGAAAACAATGAGCCTGCAAGACCTCGCTCCAGAGAACACGAAGCGAGCGCAAGCAACAGCAGTCAACGTCTTCACGGCTTTCCTCGCCTCCGAGAATGTCACTCTCGAATTTATCCGCGCTACCCTCCTGGCAGCTGCCAGTGGTTCGGTGCTCGTGAAGTTGCTGGACCGCTTCGCGATGCACCTCGTTTGCTCGAGGCCGAAGCGGGGATCTACGCAAGCGGAACACCGTGATGAGCTACTACCGGAACGTCAAGAACTGGCTGCTGGAGGATTTCCCCCAGCACCGCCACATTGTGGAGCAGCGGCTACTCAAGATGGGTCGTATTTTGGAGCGACACTGCCTCAAACTGCAGCAAGGTGGTATGGTGACGAAGGCGCCAGCATGCACCAAGGCCGACTTGCGCTCTCTGATCGACGGACTGTACTTCGATGCGAGTTCTGCCAAGGAGTATCACGATGCTGCGCTCCTATCCATCATGTGGTACGCGCTTGGACACGCTCCCGATCTCGCGTTTATCCAGAAGCGCAACCTGGCGGTCGGCTCGGGCAACGTGCTATTCCTTCGCCTGATCCGAGCGAAGACGTCGGAGGAGCAAGACCTCTCTCTCTTCCCAGACAAGAGCTCCTTCATCACGTGTCCGCTCCACGCCATCGCCATGGCATAGGCGATGCAAACATTCCCGGTATCGTCTGTACTCGACCTTGAGCACCTTTCGGGGCTGAACGTTGGAGATGAAGCGCCTGCAACGGAGGCTACGCCACTTACCGATGCGCTTGTCCACTGTAGCGATGATGATGAACCTGCTAATGCAACACCGGAAGCGAGACGTAAGTCTACCCCGCTGAAAATGCAAGGGTACGTCAATCGAGTGCTCAAGGCCGCAAGCGCACGTCAAGCTGATGCTGGTGTTTCAAGTGGCCTCTCGTCTCATTCTTTCCGGCGGGGCGGTGCGCAGCATGCCAACGCGGATGCTTCGTTAAGTCCTCAATGGATCTTCGATCGTGGCAGTTGGAATATGATGGCGACGAACAAGGCCTTTGCCTACGTTTTCAACACCACGAGTGAGGACAGGAAAGTATCGAAAGTGCTCAGCGACTGGAAGTCAAACGACAACCCGACCATACCTTCGGCTGCCACATTCGACTCTGCAACGACGACGAAGATTCGCAGGCTTGGTCGCATGTTGTTTGCGTCCAGCTTGGATCTTGGGGACGCCTCATTGATCATCGATGATCAAGTCGCAGACCTGCTAGTGGCATCATTCATCCAGCACTTTCCTGAGGTCAACGAGAGATACCCGATGAGCCCATACACTTCGCGGATGCGCATGTGTCTTTTCCCTCTTCAAGTGTCGATGCCGGAGCCGCTGGGCTGGAGTGTGGAGCTGAAACGACAAGCAAGTGAAGTTCGAGAAGAAGAAGAAAAACCCTTCACACGTGAGCTTCAGTTGTTCAACCATCTTAATGCAGTCATAGCCCAACTCGTGGAAGCGAACAAGGCGCAGTCCGAGCGCATTGCAGAGTTGGAAAAACGGGTGCCGGTTGGTGGTGCAGTTGCTTCCCAGGCCGGCTCAACCCCAGACACGATCACTGACCGTACCGACCTGTCATTGGCCTTGGACACCCCGATGAAGCCAACCAAGCCCAAGGTCCGCGAAGCCTCGAAGACTACAGCCGCAACTTGGTTTGAGTGGTACACGAAAACCCCTCGCATCTGGGAAGTCTGTGACGATCGCCAGTACAAGTCTCAGTCAAAGCAGATTGTCGCCTTCATGAAGCTATTCCTACCTCTGGGATTCAGCCTTGACCCCACCACTGGAGAGTATGCGGACCGTGTCATGCAAGCTGGCAACACAGCTCAGAAGAATATGCATGAGTTTCTTCAAGTGCGAGGTATCAAGCGCAAGTTCGGCTCGGGCCTACTGAAACAACTTCGCGCACTTCATCGAGATGGAGCTCTAGACGAGCTCATTACCCGGTACCGCACAAGTTTGGCTCTTGGCCAGATCGCCGACCCTGCTCCTGAAACGACAAAGGAGTGTTTTTAGAAGCACTTTGGGATTTTGGAGAAATCATGCGACTTTACAGTTTGATGGAGTTTTTTAACCTATTAAAGGCATGAGCTTAAATAAGAGCATATACACTTCCCATGGTTCGTTACACATTCAAACCACTGTGGCATACCTTCACCATTTTGCAATCGCCAACACGAAGCCGATGGTTCACCTCAGCCAGAAGAAATCCAAGCGCGCTGTTAGAGCATTTATTAGGCGTGAGTTCCCCCTCGCGTATGTTACAGATGAAGCTTTACGCTACCTTCGCCACGTGCTGCGTGAACAGGTTACCGAGGCTCCAAGCCCAAGGGGACCGTTGTTTGACGTCCTCTCGCTGTTGCAACAGCAGACTGGTCGTAGAATCGAAGGCCACCACGTTCTGGCATGGCGCTCTTCGCGGCGCCCCAGCCTCCGACAGCTTCCCAGTACCGGCGCGAATGCATCCCATGCAGCTGCCCACGAGTCGACGCAGGCGCGCGAGGCTGACGGCAACCTCGCGCCAGTCAACACTCCGCTAGGAGCTGAGGAGAATGGGGGCGCCGTTGCCACTATCGCCGCCGCCACCGCTTGGACCAGCACCGTCGAGAACCCCGCCAGCACTGTCGCTGAAGCCATTCCCACCAGCACAGCTGTTGAAGCCACACCCGCCCTCACTACTGCTGCGAAGCTTGCCGCTGATGATGTTGCAGAAGAGAAGCACGCCACCGCTGTTCCTGCTGCCGAAGAGAAGCTCTCCGCCGCCGCTGTTCCTGCTGCCGAAGAGAAGCTCTCCGTCGCCGCCATCGCCGTCGCCGAAGAAAAGGTGACCACCGCCGCCATCGCCGTCGCCGAGGTAAAGGTGACCACCGGCGCCTCCAGTGCTGACGCTGCACAACCGCTCGCTGATTCTGGGGACGACTCCAGCGACGACGACGTGGTCTGGATCCCAGCTCCAAGCGGTCTACCTGTCACAACTGGCAGCGGTTGCGTGCTCAATGCCGACGATGGGCGCGACGACAGCGAGGCGAGCGAGACCGAATGGGTCCCGACGGAAAACCTGGCCGCTCCTCCTTCCACAGCTCCGCAGCTCTACAACATCCGCGCAATCACAAACTCATACATGAGAAACGGTAAGAGAGTTTACCTTGTTGAGTGGGAGCAGACCAAGAGCCTGCCACGAATCTGCCTCGGAACATGGTTGCCGCATACAACCGACGCCGCAGAACCCTTGTCCGTCGAACCTTCATTGAAGACCAAGCTGGCCACAGCCGTGGACGACTTCGAAACTCGGAACCTGCACCAGAGCGCCGCCGTCGCCGACCACTTCGACGACTTCGCAGAGCCCTTCACTTCTAGATAACGCAGGCACAAGACAATAGTTCGAAGGGTTCAAGCGCATATATTACCATTGAGGAACGACTACCCAAGTACAATGAGGCTAAGCTGCTTTCGCGGCACAACAGTCTTCACCTCGCAAAACAGCTAGGCTACGCCATAGGATAGCACACCAAGCTTAACAGCCGCATCACAGCCTACATTAATGCATACAATATCAACAAACGTCAGACACGTGAGCCCAATACCACCAAGCTTCCCCAGTGCTTACCTCATCATCTCGCCGATGTCCTTGGTCCTTAGTCCATGCTGGAGCTGCATGCCGCGCGTCTTTGCTGAGCTGCTGCTGCCGCGGGGGGACCCGCCTCCCCCCACGCGCGGACGCCCCTTGCTCGCTGGCACCGCCCCCGCTGCCTGTCTGCGTGCTGGTGCTGCATGCCTGCCGCGCGCCTTTACTGAGCTGCTGCTGCCGCGGGGGGGGGGGGGGGGGGCGCCCCCCCCCACGCGCGGACGCCCCTTGCTCGCTGGCGCCGCTCCCGCTGTCTGGCTTCGTGCTGGTTGAGATGTGTTCTCTCTGTGGCCTGTCCTTAGCGACATGTCGTCTTCGTATTCTTTAAGCCAATGATAATTTTATTAATATTAACAAATCAGAGTCAGTGCTAGTGAAGGTTTTAGCCAATAAGATTGATGTCGGCCGTGTCGGTCGCTGTCGGCACCGTCACGCTATGGATGAATATAGTGGTCTTTCCGACAGATAAGAGACCAGGATTGTTTCATGGTCGTCTATATAGAAATAACAGTCCATCATATTCTGACTTGGAGTAATTTCAGCCAATAAAATCAACTAGGGGTAGGGAAATCCTTTCCGACACCTCCCTACATATATTTGTCGGAATCCTAGGCTGAATATGTATATAATCATACTGAAACCCAGTACAAAAAATATTTTCAAAATATTTTGGCGATTCAGACAACTAGGCAAATTCCTACTGTAGGCATAACTTATTCTAGGTAGCGAGACACCGGTGGACAGCCACCAGTGTTAATATTGCATAACGAAAGTGTCCTCGCGGTCATCATGAGCCTCTCTGTGTTTGTGCCTACAAACACCCAAAAGGCGCGAACGACGGCGATTAACGCGTTCGAGAGAATGCTAGAGGTCGAGGGTGTGAGCATGGAATTGTTTCGTGCAAGCATACATACAGACCCCTCGGGCAAACGCTTGGCTGCCACAATGGACCGCTTCGGCTATTATCTCGCCACTAATGACGGTAAGAAAGGTAAGCTAGCTCGTAACACAGCTACATCGTACTATAGAAACGTCAAGCTGTGGCTATTTGATGAGTTTCCACACCTGCGTTTACCCACGGAGATGAACTTGTTAAAACAAGGGAAAACTCTAGATAAGCACTGCTTAAAATGTGAGAAAGGAGGACTCGTTAACAAAGCGCCGCCATGTACTAAAGAGGACTTAGGTTCTCTAATTCGCTATGTCTACAGCACAGCACGTGTCAACTCGGACTACCAAGATGCTGCGCTAGCCTGCCTCATGCGGCACTGCTTCGGCCGCTCGTCGGACCTAGGCTACCTGCGCAAGCAACATGTGTCAGTGTCAGCGGACGGCGTCTTCTACCTGCGGCTCCTCCGCGTTAAAACGGCTGAAGAACAAGGGTTAACGCTCACACCTGACAAGGAGGACTTCCTGACATGCCCGCTTCACTCGCTCGCGGTAGCTCTCGTCATGCAGACCGCGCCCTGCGCGGCTCTGTTAAGCCAGCTCCCTGAGCTTGTTGCGACGAGCGAGGAGCCGCTAGACCCCGGTGTGCCACTGCAGGCCTTGCTAGAAGCAGAGCCAGCTACGCTCAGGGTCACCCTGATGCCACCCTCGCCTGCTGTCGCCGCTCCCTTTCCCGCGCCAAGTCCCGTGCCAAGCTGCAGCTCAAGTCCCCAACCTGCAAACACAGAAGCACAAGTGAGTAGTACAACGAAGGCCAGCGCTGGGGAGAAGACGCGCGGTGAAGACGGTGTTCAGGCGTATGTCAACCGCCTCCTCAAGCGCGTTGCCGAGCCCGCGGGAGCCACGACCGACTTGACTTCCCACTCCTTCCGACGCGGCGGCGCTCAGCACGCTAACGGAGACGATCGCCTTGCCGCTCAGTAGATCTTCGACCGCGGTGCATGGGACAGGAGCAAGGTCAACAAAGGGTTCGCCTACGTGTACAACACGCCGCAGGAAGACCGGAAGGTTGCGCGAGTGCTAAGCAGTTGGGAGGCCGCCGCAGCTCCTGTTGTCCTTGATGCTGCGGCGCTGGATCATGGAGCTCAAGAGCGTCTGGCATCCTTGCGCGAATTCCTGTTCAGCACCTGTACTGGACTCATGGAACACAGCCTCAACGTAAGCAGCAAGGTCCTCACCGTCCTCACGGCATACCTGGTCCGCTACTACCCGCAGCTAAAGGCGCTGGCTCCGGATGCCCCGATTGTTGAGCGCGTGGAAGAGTGCTTGGCCTCCGCGGGGATCTCGACAGCTGACGTGCTCGCATTGTCGGTGGCGCTCAACGAACAAGCTTCACCTGCTGAACCTGTTGCAGAACAAGCACACGAATCCAAGACGCACTCATGCCAAGTCCATCATCACCTTCTAGCTGTCATTGATGAGCTTATCGCCTCGAACCGAGCCCTCTCCGCGCGTCTTACAATCGGGAGGCTGCGCAACTAAAGTGTAAGCGAAAACAAGTACCCGATGAGGAGCCACAGACACAAAATACGTCAGATCAAGAGCCAAAACCCAAGCGCAGAAAGAATGCAACGACCAACCTGTCCATCGCGTGGTTCGAATGGTACACGCGGGTGCCACGCGTCTGGGACTCCGCCGACCGCCAGAAGAAGTCCGAGTTTCGCCACGTCACGGCGTTCATGAAGCTCTTTGTGAGCGAAGGCTTCACGCTTGAACCCAAGGCGCCGGACTACAAGGATCAAGTCCTGGACGCTGGCCGTCGGGCTGAGAAAGCCGTGCTTGCCTTCCTGAAGTCGCGCAACGTCAACGCCAAGGGAGCTGGAAGCGTCTTGCGTGCGCTGCACCCACTCCACAAGAATGGCGTCTTGGACGAGCGCATTGCCGCATACAAGACGCTACGCGCTGTCGGTAGAATTGTTGATCCTGCGCCTACAGAGACACAAGACGTCTTAGCCACTGTAGGTCACGTCTAAGAAGGTTAGATAACACCGCTACTTCACAAACGCATTCATGCACCAGCACTACCGGCACAACACGCACGCACGCCTCACCAACCACGCACACAGGAGGAACAGCAGCCGAGGCACGCCGCAGCAGCGAGGCACAGAAGAAGGGTCACGCAGGACGAGCAGCCGTCGCAAGCCCGGTGCGGTAGCAGCACGGCGCAGCAGCAGCACGGCGCAGCAGTCGGAGACACGAAACGGCAGCACCGAGTCACCGCACGACGCAACCCCAACGCCAATCTTGATCGATAACACCGGCCTGAATTGAACAGGCACCTCAGGGCCGAAGCCCTGCGCTCTATCCATTGAGCTACGGTGTTGGTGCCCAGGGGGGGGGGAGGCGGGGGGAGGGGGGCTGCGACTGGCTGATTGGCTGCGGCTGAATCTTGGTCCGGAGGCTTGATCCCGAGCTCTGAAAAAAAAGCAGACTGAGGGCGAGCGCCGTGTGTCGGCGACTGGCAGCCACCAAATTTTCGTTGGGACAGGCGGCGAATGCTGATTGGCTGAAGGATGAACCAATCAACACTCTTTATTGCTTAAGGACCCTGATTGGCTAATGAATTAGCCAATGATATGCCGTGGGGGGATAGCTACCGCCGGACTGCTTCTAATTGTGGCCCCTCTACGGCCTCACTAATGAATTTGCCGGCTCCTGTGCACATTACTCCGGGGACAAAATGCGCCAATACACAAAATGTCAATTTTCTCGGCCCAGGCTTCTAGAGGCGATTTCCTCGCGGCTGTGAGCACCGCATGAAAGCTGACTGGAATCGGTCAAGTGGCCCCCTAGACCTACTCTACCGTACACATGATCTAATTTCCGATTTTACATTATTTCCGATTTTGCCCTGGCTTTGACAAACTTCCTAGTTGTCGGAATATGTAGGGATGTCGGAACGGCCGCGATATGGTAGAATATCGTGTCCGTTCGGACATCTAGAATTTCGCATTACAATCGTACACTAGTGCTTGGCCTATCAGAAGACTTTCTCATACTTTGTGAGCCAATCGGCGTGCCTCAAATCTCATGCTTTGCCGTAAGTAACAAATCGGACAATTCGGACATATTTTGTCCGAACATCTGAAAAATATTTGATATTTCTATAGTTAAAGTCAGTAAGTCACATATTCTGAAAATATCGTCAATATTCGGACACATATTAATTTTGAGGTCGCCAGACAGACGAGGCAGCATAACCACTCAAGAAACGACTCATGTCGACGAAAGCGCTCATACCTGGGAACTCCCAGCGGGCTCGCTCGACGGCTCTCAACGCCTTCGAGCGCTTCGCGGTCGCCGAGGGCTTAACCGTCAACGCCATCTATGAGTTTGTAGGTGGGGATTCAACTGGCGATACTCTCTACATTGTTCTCGACAAATTTGCAGTGTATTTAGCATTTAAAGAAATCTCGAACGGCTCGCTGGTATCCAAGAACTCGGTCGCCAGCTACTTTGGCAACGTCAAGAACCACCAACTCGAGCTGTTTCCAGCTTTAAGTGCCGTATCGGGTCGTCGGCTGCAAAAGATTGCGTCAATCCTCGACAAGTACTGCTCCAAGCGAGGCACAGACTTTACGCACCAGGCCCCACCGTGCACGAAAAGCGACCTGCGCTCGCTCAGCTTAGCGATATTGAAGGGAGCTGTATCTGTGCAGGACTACCAGGATGCAGCCCTTCTCAACATTCTTTGGTATTTGCTGGGTCGGTCTTCAGACACTATGTGTCTCGTGAAAAACCAGGTCGCTGTATACCCTGGTAAGTACTTGTCTTTTTATTTTTCCTAATTTGGTTTTGACCTTGTGTATTTTTAATCGTGGTACACAGGTGGGTGTCTATTTATCACCTTTAAGCGCATGAAGTCTGCCTCGTATCAAGGAGCGTCGATTTTTTACTACCCAAACGATTTTTCGTCTTGCCCAATTCACGCACTAGCTTTGGCTACAATTATGCAGTCGACGCCAAGCGAGTTTCTCATGGATCAACTTCCTCGGGATACACAAGAGCTCCTGCCGACTGAAATTGGCGAAACTCCGCTCCGCGAACTACTTGATGCGCGTACCAGGTCCCCAGCAACCTTCAACTCTGAGTCGCCGACCCCAAAAGCACCTTCGAAAAAAGCGACAGTCCCCGGAATTCACGCGTATGTTAATCACGTACTGCAGAAGTGGAGTGGTGTCTGCCAAACCAAAGTTACTAACCTGACGCCAGGGCTATCATCGCATTCATTTCGGCGTGGAGCTGCTCAAAACGCGAATAGTGACAGCAAAATCAACACACCTTGGATTCTAGACCGTGGAGGCTGGAGCATGAGTGCTGTGAGCAAAGCGTTCAATTATACTGTTGGCACGACGCAGGAAGATCAAACCGTCGGCAAGTCGTTAGCTGGATGGGATTTAAAAGCTAGTCCGCGGCTACCTGCACTGGACGACTTCGATCCTCTGGTTCTGCATCGAATTCGCCTACTTCAAGACCGGCTTTTCTCGGCTGCGAAGGGGTTCACGGAGAGACTCAGCTTGCGAGATGATGTAGTGGACGTACTTACCGCCACCGCCATTCTCCACTACCCCGACATGCTTCGGCTTAGACCAAAGTCACTGTACATCAAACGGGTTCAAGAAGCACTAAGTCAGGTACAGGTGACAGAGGCTGAAATTGCTGCATGGTCAATGGCTATTCATCGTACCTTACAGCCGTCCAAGACCGACACTCCACGCAGTCCGGCACCACGGCGTGTTGAAGACGACGAACTCTTGCGGAGGCAAACCTTGCTCTTGGAGTAGCAGGCGCAGATCCTTGGAGGGCTAGCAGCCGAAGTGAAGGCATTGAACCAGCGGGTGCAGCGGCTTGAGCACCCATCGGACGTAACCACCGCTCCGTCGACAACAGCAGCTGGTAGCCTGTCGAGCTCGTCCAGCGCTTTGTCGGATACTGCAAGTGGTTTATACTGCCGCAGTGGTTTCTGCCCCCGTTGCCAAGCGCGCGTCCAAACCGGCGGCGCTATCACGAGTGCAAGTTGGCCGTGGCCTTTATGCGGGTTTTTCTCCCAGCCGGATACAACGTGACCGGAGATGAGGTCACAGCAAAGGTACGCATCCTGAGCTCAGGACGGGAGGCCGAGGCAAACGTTCTTGCTTTCCTGGAGGCTGAGAACGTCAAAGCAAAGTCGCATGACACAATTGTTAATGTTTTGAAGCGGATGTATGCTCAAGGCAAGCTAGACGACCGCATCAGGAATTACCAGCGACTTCAGCAGGAAGGCAAGGCTCTTGAAGATGCACTGGTGCATGTTCTTGAGCCCTACAACAATCACAGCACAACGTAATTGTAGTCGCGATCCAGTGTTAGGTCCATACATAGATTCATTCACCCATCTCGTTATCTACTTACATGAAATGAGTGTCACAGTAGATGTCCGCCGTAGGCATCTATCTCATGTCGTCGACCCCGCTTTTGGCCGCCACCTCCACCACCTCCTCGTCCTCCTCAGCGGCTGCTGCTGCTGTCCTCGACGGCCGCCACCCCGCCCGAGGACCAGTCGCAGTACGACCCGCCGTCCCGCACGTCTTGCTGCTGCTGCAGCTGCTGCTGTTGGCCGCAGTCCCCAAGCCGTTGTCCACTAAACAGCCGCTGTATGGGGGGGTTAAAGGCAGTCTATTTGAGGCTTACTTTGTCCTATAGTTGCCTGATATGCAAGAAGCTGTGACTGGATAGATCCGGTCGGCTGTCTGGATGAGTCCGAGGGGCTGGGCTGATGCTTCCGGGCGGACCGCAAGAGGTACGCATGCAACGGTGTTGCTGCCGCCTCTGCTGTCATGCAGTCGAAGTCATACGTCGTGTTCGTTGTGTTCTTCGCCAGGATACTTGCGGGGCGTAGCAATTGCAGTGAAGGATTGCCCCACTGCACACTGAAGAGCTGCCCGAGAAGTTGGCTGAGCTCGTCGGTGTCTGCCGCCTGGGTTGGTCTGTTTTGGTGACGGAGTATGTTCGAGTGGCCTTCGATGCGGACGTAGACTGTTTCTGGTGTTGATGCTTGGAGGAGCTCCGCGATACCTTGGGTGAGAACTTGGTTGGCCATGTCCTGGCTGGAGTCTGTAGCTGGGAACCCCATGCTGCCAGCTTTGCGGGTGTGCCACGTCCCGTTGGCGCGTTGGTGATACAGGATCCATCCGCCTCCTGGCGGTGTCTGCTGCTGCGAGCTAATCGCACAATGAAGACACCAGTGATCGAGAGGTGGCGTCCATTTGGAGGTGTCACTCGTCGTCATGATGCCGAGGCATGTCTCCAGGCACCATGCCTGAACGCGGGTCGCGCTCTTCTTCTTCCAAGCTGCTGTTATCGCCTGGACTTGGTAAATACCAGCCGACCACACGGCTGCTCACGTTTCTTGTGGAGATGAGTGTTCGTTGTTGAAGACAGCGTCGTTACGCAAGCGCCACAGCAGCACAGGGGTCACGGTCGTCCATATCCGCCATAACGTTGCCATCGCTTCGTTGTGGTGGGGTGTCCATGTCGCTGTGCACTGCTGGGCGTGGGCGAGTAGCTCGGGGGTCACTGCTGGTGGTTGTCGCTGGGCTATGGCCGGCTGGAGACTGGCGATGTCGTTCTGGGAACACTCGCGGCCGAGCCACTTGGATACCCAGTCCCGCCATGAAAGCTGGGCTTTTTCGCACTCCCAGATGATATGATCAATCGTTTCGCGGTGAGTCGAGCATGTTGCTTCGGGGAAGGCCAGGTGGGTGGGCCATCCTTCTCGGTAGAGGTTCAGCTCACCGAGCGTGATTCGGTACGTAGTCCAGTTTTGGTAATCCGTAAGAGGCCATTGGTGCCCCACAACTGAGCTGGGCTCTGTGTCAGTGCTGCTTTTCTCCATGATGATCGTTCTTCTCTTCGCTGCATTTTGTCCAGCATTGGTTGAAGCGCGTGCTGCAGCGTTTGTCGAATTAACCGTGAGCGTTGTTTGCGGACCGTCGTCGCAGCCGCTCTGCCAGGTGTAGCTGGTGGTACTGCCCACGGGTAGACGGTGGTTCCTGGCGCAGACTTTACGACGAGCGCTCTCATGCGTTCCCAGCTCTGAGCTCGGCGAGATCGCCTGTGCTTTCAAGCGCAGGAGCTGCAGACGCTAAGTGCCACGTCCATCCGTCCTGGTTCCTTGTAAGTGTCAGCGCTTGGCGAGTGAGACCGTTGTTCGCGTACGTGGCCGTGATCGTGTTTGTTCCGGGGGTGATATTCCATACCAGTGGCGCTGCCAGCACAGGGAGTTCGAGTAGCCGTGGCTGTCTATCCTGGACGCTCCAGTAGTTCCACGGGATGCTGTGAGCGATGCTCAGACACCAGTCGAGCACGTGTTTGGACTTGGTGGTTGCCGTTCGCGCAGGTTGGATGAGGACTTCCTTTCTAGGTCTGGTAACCGGTGGCAGCTGGATGATAATGTCTCGCGTACGTCCAATCTGGATGGTCGGGTAGTCGCGGGCCCGTAGCGGCCTGCCTTTTGCGTCGAGGATACAGGCGTTGTTGTCCCATGGTGTGTTAAGTAAGAAGTCCACGTCTACCGGTGGATTATCTTGCCGTGGCGCCGCCATGTCGTCACGAGAATGACTTTTGACTCTGGTCCGATCCAGCAACAGTTGCTTACCTCGGGACCCGCGGATTGGGGTCCTGCAATGGTTTTCACGTCGTCAGGGGATGGTGTTAAGTTTCGAGAATGCGCTTCCCATAGTTCCAATTTTCCCAGGCCTTGGGCCGAGATCTGCGGTTGCCCGAAGTGTTCACGGAGCGCAGCCGAAATCATGGCTGGCGATGTTGGCCTGAACGCACAACAAAATTTTGTGCGTTCTTGTTGGGGGTGCACGGCTGCGTGCCAGGCTGCTGTGTAGACGTCGTCCGGAGAATGGAGCCATTTGTCAGCGAGGTTACTCCTTGATACTGCAAGCGCACTTGCAATGTCTTGAAGTCCAAGCCCGCCGTGTTGCTGCGGAGTGTAGACTAGAGCAGGGTTAAGCTTGTGCTTGACTGGCTCAGTTCGTGTGGTGGCTGACCAAACGAAGCCTTTTTGCAGCCGTGTCAATTCTTGGAGCGTGGCTTTGGAGGGGACATACTGCCGTCCAGTGTACAGGATCGCTGGGAGCGCTATTGCATTGAACAATGTCACCCTCTGGACGACGGAATTGCCCATGGTAGTTGCTATTCGAAGTCGGCGTTGAATGTTTTCAAGTCGGATTGCCCAATTGAGCTCTGTCGAGTCGTGGTTGCCGACCCAGTAGCCCAGTTGTCTAGACGTTGCGGTTGGTTCTTGTACAGGGAACCCTTGCCATCGCGACGGTGCCTTCGCTGTGTTGAGACCAATCAATACACTATTTTGAGGCTGGACATGTAGTCCGGACAGCTCTCCGAACTTCTCGAGAATGGGTTTCACAATGTCGAGTTCCTTTAGAGATGCCATGTACACAGTACTGTCATCCACGAACGCCGAGAACTTGTGTCGATGAGCCGTATCCCCTGGGATGGCGACCCCTGCTAGAGCTGGGTGTTGGTCGATGGCGTGGACCAGTACATTTACGGCCAGGATGAAAAGCAGAGGGGCCAGCGGGCAGCCCTGACGGATTCCGGAGTTCACAGGCCATGGTTTGGATATATTGCCGTTCACTAGGAACTGCGCGGTAGTTCCTTCGTTTAGCGTCAGGATTACGTCCAAGAATTCAGGAGGAAACCCGTAGCTACGGAGGACAAGCTGGAGGATTTCTCGTGACAATGTGTCGTACGCCTTGCGGAGATCGAGGCATAACACTGCCGGTGATTCTTCCCACGGTTTCGTCGGGTCGTCAAAGCTGGTTGCCAGAATCGCCCGTAGGAGCGTGACTGTTTTGTCAATGTTGCGTCCCCGCACAAAGCCTTGCTGAGCCGAGCTGATGATTCTGGGTAAGATAGCGTGAAGTCGTTCAGCCAATATGCGTCCCAGAACCTTGTACGCTGTGTTTAGCAGTGCAATTGGTCGGTAGTCCATTGCATCAGCTGAGTCCCCTTTCTTTCGGAGCGGGATGATCGTAGCACGCAGGAACGAATCGGGCACCCCTGACCCCTTGAAGATGGCATTGTAGAGTCTCGTCATACTCGGTGAGAGCTCGTCGGCAAAGTCTTTGAAGAAGTCGTGGTTTAGACCAGTAGTCCCCCCTGCTTTATGCCTTGGTAGCTGCTGTATGGCGGCTATCGTTTCAGGTTCCGTGATGGGAGCCAAAAGTGCTGCCACTTCGTCTCGCCGGAGCCGCTTTTCCACCGGAATGTGCACAAAGCGGGTGAACTCTTCCTCGAGGGAACTGGAGTCAACTGAAGCGTGGGATGACCCAAACACGTGATTCCACTCCGAAGCCATTCGCTCTTCACTCGGCATGGCATCCGGGTAGAAGTGACCTGGAGAGGGATCAATTCTGGATATGTGCTGGTCTCGCTGCCATTCCGAGTCACGCTTAAACAATTATCGCGCTGTTTCCGGCGATTGCTGTATGCTATCACCGAAAGACCGAGCAGCACGGAGACGTGCTGTCGCATCGAGGTCTTTTTGATGCTCTGCTCGCGATGCCGTCGGTTTTCGCGTTGCTGCTCGCAGGTTTTCGAAGTAACGTTGTGTCTGCTTTCGGTCCTGTCGACTTGTATCTCGAATAAGATTCTGGATATCTGCCACCAGCTTGTCCCATTGACCTACCGGGTTACCTCCGTTGTCGAATGCATCCAGTAACTTGTGAAGTCCCTGTCCAAGTGCTTCTCGGACACGCTCTGGTCTGCCGCTGACGATCGGGTGCTGGATCGGGCGATGACTCCTTTGGTGTCGACGGTGTCCCAGTGAATGTTCCAACCGGACTTCATAATGGTCCGAATTGTGGGCCGGGGGTAGTGCTTCCACCCACTGCACTGCCGCATAGGGCTGTCCTTTGACGTAGAAGCGGTCTAGGCGGCTAGCCCCATCCTTTCTCCAAAAGCTATAGTGGTGAAGCGGGTCATGATCCACATCTTCTTCGTCAAGCTGGTACTTTAGCGAGACTGCGTCAGTTAGTTCGAGCCCTTGTAGCATCTCCTGCAGGTACGGACTTTCGCAAGAAGCAGTGCTCGGTTTTCGACCTGTTACCCGGTCTTGCTGACGATTCAGCACACAATTAAAGTCACCTCCGAGTATGATGGACTCATGATGGCGTAGCCAAGGGTCCAGGTCCGAAAAAAATTCCAGGCGTTCCGCTTGGTCGATAGGAGCGTAGATATTGACAAGCAGCCAGCCATCGAACTCCACAGCCATCACTCGATTGGTCCAGCTTTCTCGTTGCCAAGGTCGAACTTTGCTGCTCACGTGCGGGGTGCAGAGTATTCCCAATCCTGCTGATTTCGTTTCTGTAGTGGTCCAGTAACTCAGCGGATGCTCCGGTGCCTTTCGCGCCCACGTCCGGTTCCAGCGTTGCTTGACTGCCCGAACTTGCTCTGCCGTGTGTAGTCGCGCGTCTTGTACCATGATGACGTCGGGCTCCGTTCGCCCACGATGCTTTTTCCAGTCGTTGAGCCAGTGTCGTCTTGCTTTTTTTGCGAACCCCATCAAGTTTTGAGTTGCAATTGATACTGTTTGTCTTGCTTGTTTTCCTGGTAATCTGCGGGGCTGGTCCGATGCGAACAATGTCGAAACATTGTATAGCTCACTGAAGTAGTCAGCTTCTAGAGGCTCTGCTCTCACATTGCAGGTTTCCTTTAGCATGGTTAATGAAGACACGGGTCTGGAACTGAAGTTGAAGCCTCATCGCGAGGCTGCGACGCGCGTAGCGCCAGCGTTGTTTCAATGATGGCCCAACACTCGAACGTCTGCGCTCGATACAGCGCGGCATGCAGTGCTGGTATTTGTTCGAGAACTGTGAACAGCAACCCGAGGTGTTCTACAACTGAGCTGAGAGGTCCAGGGGGTGTTGCTGCCAGCGCCCGTAACTCGACTTCGTATATGAATGCAGCTACGATCATTCTCGAGAGTACATGCGTTTCGTTCTTTTGACAGAGCTCAAGTAGCCGAGAATTACCAAAGTTCGCCGCTTTCAGTGTATTCCACATCACCGGTGCGTAGATGTCCAGCTTTTCGGGACTTCCGGCAGCAGTTTCCCGTAGGTCCGCGCATCGTTCAAGCAGCCATTCTTTGCGACCGACATCTTGGTCAGGTACTGCTGCCCAACTCTCGAGACAGTGTAGTAGACATTCTAGCCGACTCTGTTCGGTCCACGTATCTAACACCGCATCCGTCATTGTGCTCAGGATATATTCTGGCGATTCGAAGCATCCGCAGTAGACTTCGTGGGGCCTCGGAGACTGTGTTTATCCACGTTGTGGTATCTGCAGGAACTGTCGGGAATGGTGACATTGATTCCTTTGCCCATCGAGTTTGCAGCCGATTCCACCCCGCTTGTAGGTGTTTTTTTCGCAGCCGGTTGCTTCCAAGTTGGGATTCTAATCCGTGAAAACGACCGACACCGGTGCGAGTCGTTCCAGTGTCTCCTTCGTGAGGGTCAGCATCCGCCTGTGTGGACATCGAGTCTTGACTCCAGACCGATCCGCTGGTATTGCTGGGGCTTAGGTCTGACGGGGTTACATCCATACTGACTTCGCCTTGTCGTATGCGTTCCTGCCACGACAGCAGTTGCTGTATACTGATGTCATAGGTTTCCGTCCATGTTGTTACCGCTGCCGAGTCATCCCAGTCTAAGTCATGCAGCTCCTTCACCTTACCAGGGGAGAGTCCATGGATTCCCGCCGCTGGGAAAGCGTGTAACTCGGATTCCGGCTACCCCCATGTTCCTCGATCGCGTCGCCCTCCTGGCGTTCAGCGTCAGTCAGGTGATGTCCGTCCTTCTCACTATTACCTGCTCCCATTTCAGTCATCTCCACGTCGTTAGCCGAATTGGCCGCACCAGCAGACAGCGTCAGGTCCACGCCTTCCTTCACAGTTACCGATCCTGCGGCAGTCATTGGAGCGGTTGGCTGATTGAAGCGAAGTCGCATGTAGTACCGTGCTGTAAGCAGCAGAACAATTGGAGCTGTGCCCTCTGCGTACGTTGCTTGACGCGCCGCTTGAAGCCGCTGGATCCATCCCTCTGGTTTCTTCCCTTCGTAGTTGCGTTCCCTCACAGATTAGAAAGTCTCGCCCGATTTTGCTGCTTCGGCTGGCTGGAAGATTTGATAGTTGGCGTCGTCCAGTCCCGAAGGCGCAACGACCACAAAGATTTCTCGTTGAAGAAGTTTTGCCAACAGCCGCAGCGTCACCTCCGTGCCCCAGTAACGATAGTCGATGTATGCTGCAAGCTTGGATGTTGTGCAGCATAGTGCGTGCAAGTAGTCCTTCAGACCTTGCGCTGATTGCGCCTCCGTTAGGCGCTCTTTGCCGTTGGTTAGGCCTTCGTCCAACGAGCAAAGTATCGCTTCACGAATATCGTGAGGAAATTCTTGCTCGAAGTAGTGGCTTACCGCCGACCACATTCCTTTCTTGAGCTTCGATGTCAGATTTTCCAGCGCAGGTACGCTGCTTTTGTCGGCGAAGTCTCGGTTGAGGAGAGCCATGGCCACCGCATAGTACTGGCAATTGCCTGTTTTCGGTGTGGCTACCCGCTCCAAGTTACAGTGCTGGAGCACCCGTTCATCGGAGTTCAAGGCCTGCTTGGGCTGCTCCGCCAGTAGCGCCGTGGCGTTGCCTACGTCGCCCTGGTCGTCCACAATGTGCTTCGCAGCAATTTGCGACTCAATGAGACGCTGGTGCTTCTCCATTGCAGCCGTTCGGTGGCGCTGCCTCCCTTGTATTTCCTCACTGATAGAACGTCCGACGGTCTCTGCAGACGGCTTCCTTGGTGCTTCTGGGATGTTCGCTGCTTCGACCTTCGTTACATTCGAATGCGTGCGCTCAACCAGAGCCTGGAGGTGCTGAGCAGCGCGCGGGGAGCCAGCAGTGACCCATTGTCCAGTCGGCTTAGGCGGCGTGCGTTGTGCCGATGGTGGACTCGGCGATGCAGGCTTCTCAGGGATCCTAGTGAACAGTCGAACAGTGGGCGTCGGGGCTTTAGCTGCTACTGGGGGTGGGGGGGCATCCTTTTCTTCGATCCAGTACTTTTCTAGCTCCGCGATGCTAGTTATCGTACTCGCTTGGTGGGGAAGTTGGGCAATCGCTGCCGTGGTCACCGTTACACAGTAGTGCTGCTTCCAGGAATCGTCGGGCACGTTACACTGGTTTCGGGTGTGGCCAGAGGCCCAACATTTGAAACAAGGCGGTGCCCTAGAACGGCTTGCATGTTGCACTAGGATTTTGTGGCCAGCCCAGTCGATGAACCGCATTCCGTTGAGAAATTCGGGGCAATGTGTGCTCTTGAAGTACACATCCCATGTATCCGTCTGTAGCTTACGGGCCTTTGACGACGGTTCTTGCCACGTCGTGTAGGACCCATGGAACTGTCTCTGGATGAAGGCATCGAATGCTGATTCGTTCAGAAAGCGGGACACATTGAGTAATCGAACGTGATAGCGCTCCCGTGGCTGCTCGTCGTGGATGCCATCCGTCCCAACTTGGCGGGCTCATACCAAAGCCGCTCTGGTCTTCAAGTCCACGTTATCAGTGAGCACCGCGGGATGTTCGTTCTGCAAAGGGAAGCGTCGACTCCGAAAGGGGAGGGAGTGGAAAACGGCGCTCCACTTAGTGGCGAGTTCCCTCATCCAGAAGATGAGATGGACAGCGTGTCGTCCTTCATCGTAGCAGACCTGCTTGGTTTCTCGTAGCATAGCGACCACCTGCGTCTTGTCATAGCCTCCTCTTCCCACCCCCAATAGGATCATGCCTATCAGCCGTTCACGGGTCTGAAAATCGGGATATACTGGAAAGTCGGGTTGGAGAAGAAGGACCAGGTCTACCTCCACTTGGGCCTTGATCGTATTTTGGATGACTCGTAGGGACGCATTATTGCAGATGCGTTTCAGAAACTCCGGCAGATGCTCACAGAGAATAGAATCTATTCTCTGTGAGCATCTGCCGGAGTTCTATTCAATAGATCCTTCGAGGAGACCTCGGATCACTTTCTGTTCTGGCTCCGTTGGCTTGCGCAGTAGTGCAGGAAATCCGAATGGGGCTTCACACAAATCCCGAAGTTCATCTATTTCCTCCGGAGAATAGATTTTCCGCAGAAATCGAAACGTCGACGTGGAAGATCCCGTCATTTCGACATCATTATCCGTAGCCTCATTTTTCGAGAGTAGCTTTTGGGACCATGGGTCGCTCGTTGGTCCTGCCTTGACTGGAAGTTCAGCGATACGGTGGTCAATTGTCTTCGTAAGTGGACGTGTATGCGCTTTGTAGATCGACCGAGCTAGATCGTGCATGGCTGCCCGCCATTGGCGCTCGTTCGATCGCCCACTGCTGAGATGAGCCAGCAGGAACTGAAGCATTCGCTCTCCTTCTTCATCGGTGAGTTCCGGGTAGTGATTGCGGTCAGCAGGGAGCGGTTCCTTAGGTCGTGCGTTGAACACCTCTGCGAACATCGCTTCGGCATACTCGACTGCGCTGACTACGTCTTTGGCCCTGGTGAGATCGAGTCCGGTAAGCTCACTGCGTAGATACGTGTACATCTCTGCAAACGTGAGCTTCTCGGCCGTTTCCTCCTCGTGGACAGCGTTGACCTCCTCTGCCGCCCTGGCTTCTTGGTCTGTTGCTGGAGCAACCTCGTCCATCTCCACATCGGGCCCCGGTGCCTGGGACGTGTCAGTGGGTGTTGGCGAAGTCATGTCGATCACCTCGTTATCCTCTTCTTCACGCGCTACCCTGCGGTCGTCCGGCGGCTTGCCGTGCCCTCCCATGAGTCCTTGATCCCGGGGTGCTGGTACCGTGGTCGTTCGATTAGAGGGTCGTATAGTTTAACCAAGTGTTTCACCCGCTCTGGCTCTTGAACTGTGTTACTTCACGCCTTCCTCGTTTAGAAGGTTCCCCCCGAACACGCCGCCACTCTCGTCACGTCGCGGCTAGTAAGCAAAATCGGAAGTGACAGCCGCTGTATGACAGAGGATTGCAAAATATTTTATGTGCACCACACTTCACGGAGCATTTAATAGTATTTATTTTTAAAGGTTGTCCGAATTTCCGAGCCGCACGGTATGGTATGCTGCTGCAGGATTAAATCGGTGTCGCATGTATCACACCTGTTTAAGTATCCATCATATATTGAACTTTTATGAAAGTAAACTTAATAGGTCATCTAAATAATTATCTAGTCGGTCTCTATCGGTGAGGAACCATCAATTGCATCATCAAGTTTCATTCGAACCATTTCCCATTCTCACGCCCGACCCGAAGACGCAACACCAGGACGAAGTTACAGCACGAAGGCAAGTGCTTGGTAGGGCGCTGTTGCAGCTAATAGCTTGCTTGCACACGACTTAGGCGCGCCGCACTTGCGGCGCACCAGTCGTGTGCGCTGTGCGTATATCTGTTCTGTTTTATTTTCGCTATCTCAGCCCCCGCGAAGCCCTGAAAAACGCTTGTATGCATGACGCTCACTTCCGCGCAATTGCAGTGAGAGGAAGCAATTCTACAGAATACATAGTTTATATGTACTGACGATCGACGCATCGGGCAGTTTTGGTTCATGGTTCTTGGTGCTGCGTGTACACAAGGTGCCTAAATCATCATGGCCTCGTCGGAGATGAGCTCTTCCGCCGGCGAGTCGTCCTCCACCTCCGCTTCATCGTTGTTGTCCCAGACGAGGTCGGACAGCGATGCGCTTAGCTTCTTGTACGCATCGTGGAACTTCAGGCACGCGCCGCTCGTACGCCGGAACTCCACCACACACCGACCGGGGGCCTATAGCAGCAATTCCGATACAACCACGTCAAGTCAGCACACGTCCTAATCGGTCATTCCAGTACGCATACAGATGTCGGCAGCCAAAACACATAAGACACACAGCAAGCAAGCACCAGAGAGGTAGAGCGACAAGCAGTGTGAGGCTGCTAGTTGCGGTCACGGACCCTCCTCCTCCGCTCGCTCGCAGCAACGACGTGCTCAGGCTGCCGCCGGTCGTCCTCGCAGGGGCTCCTTACATTGTCTAGTGAGTAGATGCGCACAGCAAAGCCCACGTCCTCAGCATCCGCAGTCATCGTGGCCTTGGTTTTGAAGCGGTCCTTGTGCGCCACAAAGCGCGCCGAGTGCTCCGTCAGCGCCTTCTCCACGCGCGTCTGCAACTCTGTGGCCGTCCGGCTCGACTGGAAGCTGGTATAGAGCGCCACGCTGGCGGCCGGGTACGACGGTGCCTTCTTCGAACTTACCTCTGCCGTTGCGGGCGCCGCTGCAGTCGGAATCGCCATTGATCGCTCGACATCCATGTTGAACGGGTCGAACTCCTCGTCTTGTTGCTGCAGACGCTGCTTAGCGGCAGCGCGCAGCTTCTCCTCGCGCTCCTTGCGCTTCTCATCCTCCACCTGCAGCTTGCGGCTGAGCAGTTCTGCACGCAGCTCCTCGGATGATACAGCGTTCTCCTTGAACCAGGGATGTGTCTTGATCTCTGCGAGTGTGATACGCTCCTGCGGCTTTACGTTGAAGATGCGCGTCATGAGCGACATGGCGCCGGGCGAGAAGGTGGCGGAGCGCGCGTGCGCCGCCCAAAATGCCTCGTGCTGCTTGGCAGCGCAGGCTCTGAACCACCAGTCCTGGTTGGTGGCGATCTGGAAGGGCGGGAACCCCGCCAGCATGATAAATAGCACCACTCCCGCGGACCAGACATCGGCGGGCTCTCCTTCGTACGGAAGGCAGGACAGCACCTCCGGGCTCATGTATCCTCTGGTGCCGCACTGCGTGTACAGCTCGGCGACGGCGCCGTCGGCCCCCTCTCTCAGTCCCGAAAGGCCAAAGTCTGCGATCTTCAGCGCAAAGCCCTCGTCGAGCAGCAGGTTCTCCGGCTTGATGTCTCGGTGGTACACCCCCTGCGCGTGGCACGCCTCGAGCCCGGCCACGAGCTGCTGGAAGTAGGCGCGCGCGATGTTCTCCGAGAAGCAGCCCGTGTACATCATGAAGTCGAAGAGCTCTCCGCCCGTGGCCAGCTCCAGCACGATGACGATCACCTGCTTGCTGCTGCCGTCCTTCTTCGGGTACGGCACGTCGTCGTGCACGGACAGTAGCCGCAGCACGTTGCTGTGCGAGACGCGCGACATGGCCTCCACCTCGCGGTACACGTTGATCATGGCCTTGCGGTGCAGCTTGGCCATGTCGATGACCTTGAGCGCCACGCGCTGGTGCGTCACGGTGTCCACGCCCAGCTTCACCTTGCCCTGGAGCCCCGAGCCCAGCGTCTGAAGCACCTGATACTGCGCCAGCATGCGCGGCTGCTGCGACGACGGCGCAGCGGCGGCGGCGGCTGAGGTCTGTTGCTGCTGCGCGGCGTCCATGTTGGCGACTGGCGCCACGGGCGCGGAGAAGAGCACGGACGTCATCTCGGCCTGGGGTTCTCTTCTTCCGTGCGGGTTGGCAAGTGCGACGTCAACCCACGTCAGGGCGAGCTGCAGCGTTTTAATTGGCTGAAAAATATCGAAACTATACTTGTGATAACACATATTAGGAATGACGGTACCTTTAAATGAATGACGGTACCTCCATATTATTATGTAGCCTTTTCTGCTTGAAGGAGTCCAGCGCGATCAATGTCGGGCCTCTCGCCGGCGCCGGGCACCACCGCCATCATCGTTGTTAGCAGCTCTACGGTATAGCCTATTTCTTTGGTGGGCGTGCCAGTTGTTACTCTTAGACTGCACCTCGTTTTCAATGCCTCCCAGCTGTGGTTCGCTACTAAACGTGAATGTTCGACATTGTTTTACCTTTTGTTCATTTGCAAGCTGCAACACCCTTGAATCTCGGACAGAGGTCATTGTGTACAGTGGTGAACTTGGGCAACGGAGGGACCGATGTCGACTGGTTCGCGAGCATTACAAGCCCGCTTGATATCGCAGTGGTTTTGTAGTTGCTTTTGCGGTAAGAAAAAACTAGCGCTTTAAATACCAAGAACCGGCATGCCCTCCGGCTGTGAAATAGTCGCAATATCCACTCGGTATTTTTCCTTAGCAGTGCCGACGTAGGATGCGGAGTTGGCAACAAAATGAAGAAGTGGGACTTTGCTCGAGATGCTTTTGCAGCTTGTAGGAAATGAAAATGCTCACCTTTCCTTTGTAGACACCGTAGCCCATCCACCTCAATCACCCTCTCGGCTGCAACAGCAGCACTAACGTTGCTTCCTATCCAGGTATGTTCTACAAATACATGGCCTTGTATGCTTGTACCAACAAATGCACTTCCAGAAGAACCTTCCCGTGATGAAGCTCTACGAGTGCTCAAGTGCCCTCGCTCTTTTGCGAACTGATTAGTGCACTTTGAGTACTCCTCAACTGATCGGTCTGCTCCACGAAACGCCCATTAACTCCCTTCATCTGCGCTTAACAGCCCGCAAGTTCAGTCTGCAAAGCCTGCTCTTGATGGAGATAATCGTTCAGGGCCTTGTCAACATTCGCATGACTGCAATTGCGGTAGTGTCGAACCTGAACTACGAAGTCATGAACGACAGGTATGATCACCAACAAAATCACGTACATGTACATGTATTGTGAAAACCGATTAGAATGTCTAATGGATTGTTAATCCGCCGATTTAGTGGCTTAATAAGACCGACGACCCCCGATTTGATAAATCCGACCTCCTAATTAGACTGGGTACCTCGATTTATACTCAAGATTACTACCTAGGACGACTTACCGAGTCAGAGCATACGAGTCGGATTTACATTTGCTAACCGGCCGATTAAGCCAGAGCCGGCCGATTTGCTTGCTATTCAGACGGAATGTCCTATGTGCAACCGGCATTCGCTCCTTGTAGGCTAAATACATGTAAGTCGCCAGACAACAATCACTACAGTCGCTCTTGGCTAGGTAGTCAAGGCTACAATACTAATATCAGAACTAAGCAGGAAAAGCCGCACGCTATAATACATGTAACTGAGATATGCAGGCGACCCGTTTAAGCGCGGTGTTGTCGCTGCACTTGGCGAGTCTCGGGTCGAGGGTACATGTGTGGTGTCGAGAAAGTTGAGTGAAGCTCACGGCAAGACCCGCGGTGTTCGGCGTCAACTCAACTGGCGGATCGATGCACATCGCCATTCGTTCGATGGTGTTCGACGGCCGCTGATTGGGCAGTCTGGACAGATGACGATGACTCGTCGACACTCAAGCTCAAAGCCGTGGTGTGTCCACACGACACCGGGACTTCAAGGACGACCCGAACCTACGGCGAGCTTTGGCCCGAGTTCCGCACCTAAGGCGACTCCGGGAGGCCGTCCCAGCCTTCAAGAGAGCTCGGAAGAGTCGGTGGTTACCTGGAAGATCCAAAACGGACACGTCTAGACTAGATATTTGTATTGAACCATAGGAAAGAGAAGATAGAACAGATAAGCCCTTTGGGCAACAATAACAAAACAGCTTTTCCTCCCAACCACTCAAGGAAGACGTCCGGGCTATCGGTGAGGTCCCGTAGCAATTGGTTAAACCTGTTGGAAGGATTATGACTGTCGGTGGACGCGCCTGCTAGTATCGTAGCGCGCGTTTACCCGTGGTCAGGCCAAGAGAAGAGAAGAGGTGGCCGTGTATACGAAGGGCGAGGCGTCGCCATGTAGTGGAGGAGCGAGACCGCACTCCATTTATCCTTCCCGCCGGAGTATAGCTCCGGCACCCTCGTATCAAGCCGTGACTGGCTGGGACCCTTCCTTCCTGAGGGCCTGCGAGGTTTATATTGTGTGTGAGAGCGTGCCAGTCTTTGCTCGTGGCTGGTGACGCTGGGTTCCGTCAGCTGACTAAGCGGAAACACGGTGCACAGAGGAAACATCAACCCGGTGCAAGGGAAAGTTCCTGGGCCTTCAGGTTCTAACCCTAACAAGCCCATTGAGTCATCGGGACTTGGTGGGTGTTGTTGGTGGGGAAAGTGTGCTATTATATAATTTAGTGCGTGTTCCTACACGACACATGCATGTTGATCGAAATTGCTAGGCTGCACATAATTACGACCGATGAGCGATTTATACTCCGATTATAATTGAGACATCCCCGATTTATTAGTCTTCAAATCCGCTTTTAGCGATGTTTAACCGGCTAATTCAGCAGGACAAACCATGACTACTGTAGTACTACTGTACATCCATCTACTGCGGGGATGCACTAATACATGCACTCCCTCCTGCTCAGCCAGGATTTTTGTTTTATATTTATTGGTAGGCTTACTGTACATGTACAGTAAGCCTACTGGTCCAGTACCGCATTTCGCATGTAGACCGATACACTACATGTTATAGGTTTAGGTAACAAACAGTAGATTAGCCCAAAAATGATGTATTGCCCAAAACCAATAAAATGGGTTTATATTTTGGGTTAGACAACAGCTTCCTCCAGGATAATGTTTGCCCCAAAGTCCTGACCTTCGTGCACAGGGCGGCCTTCCAGCAGTGACAGCTTTTCTAAGTCGGCGACTAAATCGGCAGCAGCGACGCATGCATCGCTTGGAAGCAGGCTGCTCTTTCGAAAGCCGTTCGCGATTGTTTCAGCTGGCAGCTCGTCCCAGGCTTGACGTACCCATTCACAGATCCTGGTACGGTTCGGCCGCTTCAGCTTGAACTTCTTCCCGGAGCCTCTCAGTGCCTTCATTTGAGCCTGCATGTCCTTGTGTCAGCGCTGGCGTAGCTGCACCTTCAGCGGGAAGTTCCATGCCACGTCCGCCGGCTGCGAGACCGGCGTGGCATGGGGTGGGACCTTCAACAGCACTACGTTGATCGATGCTGCATACAAAAGAACGCTTGCCTTCCAGTGTCCACTGAAATCGTCTCACAAGAGGAGGATGGGCTCTCGGGGGACTCGTGCAGCGAAATGGTGCTTTAGAAACGCGATGGACAGCTCTGCATTCCACCACCCTGTCACATAATTAATCATTTAGTAAGCGATGAGTAACAATGGATACAACCCAATGATAATAAAGTTTCAGCATGTACCTTTGGCGTTGCCGTAAACCTCAAGCCCTGTAGTTTCTCGAATCGTGCGCACGTTTTTCCAGTTGCGAATGCCGAATCCATAGCGACGAGCATTGTTCTCCTCTTGGATTGCATTGTCCTTGGAGGGTTTCACCTTAAGCACAACAAAGGGCGTGTAGCGATTGCCATCCCTGTCACCGAGAAGCATTACGGAAGCCCGCTCTTTTGAAGCCCCGCTGCACTTGACCCACACAGTCTTCTGGCCTCGGCGCGTCACCGTCTTCTTGGCTACATATTCAAAAAATACAGCTGCCACAGAGTCGGTTAGCTCACGTCACATTAATAATAGTATTAGCCCACACACAACAGTTACGATACCCGTTTGATCAGCGTTATACACACGCTTAATGCCGAGGTTTCGCACGGTTGCGTCGACCTCTGCGGCAAAGTCGGCTGCGATCTCGTCGAGGTTGGCGGGGCTAAGCTGGCTTTGACGCGTGGGGGTTAAACAGGTGACGGCGCTTGAACCCAGCGACCCACTTGTCGGACGCCTTGAAGTCCTTGACCTCTGCCTCCTCCGCGACGTCCAGCGCCTTGTCTGTTAGCATTTGCGTGGAGACAGGGATACCGTCTCCACGCAGCTCATCGACCCACTGGGCAATCTCTGCCTCATTCTCCGCGGACAGGATTGTAGCCACCCCCCTGTTGCGTACCTTCTTGTGCTCTCCTTTTCCTGCGGCGGCCGGGGCTTCCAGCTTGTTGCGATTGCGCGCCCAGCGTAGAATTGTCGTGCGTTTAGAGTTGTAGGCAGTAGCGGCGAGGTTGGGGTAGAAGTGCTCGATGGTAGCGCGCATTTTGCGCACGACAGCTAGGTAGTTTATGACGGCGAGCTTCTTGATCACGGGCTCCGAGTTGACCTAGTACTGCTGTACATGTCTGCCGACGCCTCCGCGGCTTGATCTTCCTTTTGGGCGCGCGCGCCTTTTCAAAACTGCGGCTAGCCTTCCGTTTGGCGCGCGCGCCATATCAAAACGGGTGGCAGCAACGAAATTTTGGGTCGCAATTATCGGTATACCGGTATTTTGGGGTGTGTCCGTCTACATGCGATTTCGAGTACTACACTAGAGTGCATGTGATTGGTTCAATTCCAAGTGTATCCCTTAAGCTGCTGCAGCCCTCTACATGCGAAATGCGGTAACGCTCCATGGGGTCGGAGATGTTGGCATCTGGAAGTGATCGGTGCACCTCGATTGTAAACCTTGGACCTCCTGCCGCAGCTTGGCAACGGCATTTTGGACGACAGCTTCGGCCTTGAGCTGCCTCTCGCTGTAGCGAGCCTGTTTCACACGGCAGCGTTCTCGACTGGTACATGCACCAGTAAGCCTACCAAGAAAAATAAAACAAAAAATCCTGGCTTACAGGGACTACGCCCCCGTGGGCGCTACAGTATCACGAATACTTCGAAGTATAAGATGAGCTACCCCATGCTGACCGAGTTTTCCAGAGCTCATGCTATTGCTAATATATGTAAAATGTACGTTGCGAGGTATCATCTGTGCTAGATAGGTCTCCTTACAATTTTTGTCCTCAGACATTTTATCGCCGACATTAGACCTGTTTAGTGCAGTAACTGTACGGTAAAGCACTTTAGCGCACTTTTGGGGCACATGCATCCAACTGGTTTTGGGCACTGGTGTGTGAAAAATACTTTATAATAGTGCACTTTAACGGACTTTCGTGCACTGCACTAAACAGGTCAGGCTGACATATTAGTCCACAGTCCAAACTGTTTGCAAAGCGGAACGTTGAAGTGCACTGTACTCCAACATGAAGCTTGGTGATGTCGTCAAAAGTACTTAGCCATTAGCAACTTGACTTCGAACTGTTAAGCTAGTTTTGTTGATACCTCATCGAGGGTTTCACTTTCGATGGATACGTTGTCTGTTCGTTGAGGAAAGTGGACTCCCGTGCCAAGTGTCTCTAAAACACCAAATGGACGACCAGAAGACCCGATCTAGTTTCTGGGGTACCTGGAACCCGAAGCGGTGGGGCAGGTAAGCTCGTGAGCTTGCGAGCATCGAAGAGGGTTGCAAGTAAGACTTACCATTTTTTTCCTGTGAAAGTACTATTAGTATCAGAACATAGCAAATAATATATTAATGCAATAACATTATAATAATACGTTTTTATTACTATTGTATTGGATAGTATCTTTGTATAGTAGTATTTCTGTTAGGCGATTTACTACAACAAACCCAAGGAGACAATGGAAATGGTAGCGAGCGTCGCGCCCGCCGAGGACGCCGCTGCAGCGGATGTGGAGCGCCAGATTGAGGAGTCAGTGCTCCGCACCGCAGAGATGTTTGCGCTTACGAAACGCAGCGCTGCCTCGGCCTTCGACTACGCGCCCAGGTACGGCCAGCCAGTCACTGGAACGAGTGGATACATTGCCGAACTAACTTAAATCTCCTCTCTGATCGCCCCCCCCCGTAACCAGCAAGAAGGTGCGTGTGCGGACCAAGCTGAACAACACATACCTGCTGAACTTCCCGAAGGCGCTGCTGGAGCCGAAAACCACGGACACTGCGACTGTTGACGTAGCCCCCACAGCTACAGAGGTGGCAACTCTAGCAGCTCCGGGCCCTGCTCCTGCTCCGGCGGATGTGGTGGTGGGCGGCCATCAGGTGCCCTCAGCTCCTGGAGTTTCAATTGCAGAAGAGGACTCGACAGCGGAGAAGCCGTCGTTCGTGGACCAGGTGGCGAAAGAGGCCGAGGAGGAGCTGGCGCTCAAGAAGCGGAAGATGTACGTGCTGCATGTGGTTTCGTGCATATTTGCGCTAGTTCTGAGCGAGTTTCCCCGGTATTGCATCAATGTAGTGCGGCGGCGAATGTCAACGGAGATGCCTCCTCGGCGGTCGTAGAGTACAAGAAGCAGGCAGAGACGGCAGCTCAGTTCGGCACGAGCGCCATCGTGCGTCGCCGCGCGACGGAGGTGCCCAAGCCCAAGTGGCACGCGCCGTGGAAGCTGAAGCGCGTGATCGCTGGACACCTCGGCTGGGTGCGCTCAATTTCTGTGGACCCGACCAACGATTGGTTCGTCACGGGCTCGGCCGACCGCACAATCAAGGTTTGGGACTTGGCCTCAGGGCAGCTGAAGCTTACGCTGACGGGCCACATCAACGCCATTCGCGGCTTGGAGGTGAGCCCGCGCCACCCGTATCTCTTCTCTGCCGGCGAAGACAAGAAGGTGCTGTGCTGGGACCTTGAGTACAACAAGGTGATTCGGAGTTACCACGGCCATTTGTCCGGCGTATTCTCGCTGAAGGTGCATCCGACGCTGGACATTCTTGTCACTGGCGGTCGTGATGCCGTCGCCCGAGTAAGTATTTAGCTGCTTCGTTGGAGTTAGAACGCAGGCAGGTGAGTAACAATTGTTGATTCTCGGCAGGTATGGGATATGCGGACCAAGAACCAAATCCACGTGCTTTCTGGCCACCAGGGTACAGTGTGGGCCATGGAGACGCAAGCGACGGACCCGCAGATTATCACGGGCTCTAGTGATAGCACAGTCAAGGTACGGATATATTCACACGAGTATCCTGTGCCTCAAAACGGAATATCTGACGGTGTGGGTGCTGTTTTCGTTGACTAGCTGTGGGATCTCGCCGCTGGTAAGGTGATGACAACGCTGACAAACCACAAGAAGGCTATCCGTGCCGTCACCAAGTCTCCAATGGTAAGGCACTGTTCACCTTTTTGTTAAAATCTGTAACTTGTTAAGCTAAATGGCTGCTCGCTCTCTACAGGACCACACGTTCATGACGGGTGCCGCTGACAACATGAAGAAGTGGGAGGCGAAGGAAGGCCGCTTCCTGCGCAACTTCTCGACGCACAACGCTATCATCAACTCGATTTCGATCAACCAGGACGGCGTCATGGCCTCGTGCGGCGACAACGGGTCCATGAACTTTTGGGACTACCAGACGGGCTACTGCTTCCAGAGCGACTCGACCAAGGCGCAGCCCGGTTCGCTGGACAGCGAGACGGGCATCTTCGCGTCCACCTTCGACAAGACTGGCCTGTAAGTGTTGCGCACGTGTTTGCTGGCTTGCTGGCGGAGCTTGTGAGCCTGACGGTGTTTCCATGCTGTGTTTTTTTTTTTTCAGGCGGTTCATCACGTGCGAGGCGGACAAGACCATCAAGGTGTGGCAGGAGGACAGCTCCGCGTCGGAGGAGTCGCACCCGATCGACATGGCTCAGTGGACCAAGGACTTCACGGCCCCAAAGAGATACTAAAAAGGAGAATGCTTGACAAGCTGCAGTGAGCTGCCTCGCGCATAAAGCTTGTGTTAGGTTTATCAAGTTTCAAGTTTAGGATTCCATCGATATACTTGGCGTTTGTATGAAAAGATTTCCCGCCAATCCGGGCTTCCGTAATATTCGCGCCATTCTGAATTTTACCAAAGGGATTCCATTGATCCGAATCACAATGACCAGCGCGGCGCCGATGAACCCCAAGAAGATGAAGGTGAGCGAGCTGCGCCTCCAGCTCGAGTCGCGCGGGCTGAGCTCGAATGGGCTGAAGACGGAGCTGATCCAGCGGCTGGAGCTAGCGCTGGACGAGGAGGAGTTCGGCAGCGAGGCGCAGGAGATGGAGGAGCTCAAGGTGCCGAGCCCCAAGAAGACCAAGAAGCCCGAGCCCAAGAAGAAGGCGGAGCCCGAGGCCGAGGCCGCCAAGAAGACCAAGGCGAAGGCTCCCTCCCCTGTGAAGAAGGCGGCGCCTGTGGCCGCGGAGGAGCCCGCCCCCGCCCCCGTCGAGAAGGAGCCGAAGAAGGACGAAGAGTCCGTTCCCGCTGCTGATGCTGTTGCTGCGGAGCCCGTGACGGAGAAGAAAGAGGGGGAGCAGGAGGAGCCGGAGACTGGCAAGGCAAAGGAGGGAGCCAGCGAGCCGGAGGCGGATGGCGCCGCCTCCAAGCCCATGACGGAGGCGGAGAAGCGCGCGGCTCGTGCGGCCAAGTTCGGCATCCCCCTGAGTCTCGAGGACAAGAAGGTGGGGCAGTGGTGGTTGGTTGACGGTCATTAAGAGAGGAGGGAGCTGACGGGTGAATGCTATGCTACTTTGTGACGTCCAGGCCCAGCGTGCGAAGCGTTTCCACCTCCCCAGCGCCGGTAAGTCCAGTGTCTCTGGTATCATTTACACGGAGAGTGGCTATATGCTGACGGGTTTAATTGCTGTCTGTTGTGGCTGCAGTCGCGGAGGAGGAGAAGGCGAAGCGACTCAAGCGAGCGGAGCGATTCCACCTGGAGACGAAGGATACGGTAGGTCGACGGCTGGTACCACGACGGATGGGACCCATTACTGCCGCGGTGGTGCTAACGTGACGTGTTTGCTATCTTTCCGCTGCCTGTCGCTAATACCAAAAGCTCGACAAGAAGAAGGAGGCGCGTGCCGAACGCTTCGGCCTGAACGCCGAAGAGAAGCGGCGCCTGGAGCGCGCCAAGCGCTTCAACCTTGAGACCAGCGAAGTGGTACGTTCGTCGTTAGCCCCGCTCGTCGCTGCGTCGCCCGAGTCATACCGACGAGTCGGCGACGACCAAGCAGCACCCGCACTAACCGAAACGCGCATGCTGTTGCTTGCTTGCTTGTTTGCTTGTTCGCAGTTCGAGGAGAAGCGACGAAAGCGCATGGAGCGCTTCGCGGCGGCCCCGAAGTGAATGAGCGCACCTCACCGCCCGGCGGACGCGGCCAGCCCCGTAGAGCCTTAAAAGTCCCGACGTGCCGCGTCCCCGAGATGATCCGCCACCAACTTGAGCTAGGTAGGTACCGGTAGCTACACTCAGTATCAACTCATCCTCCAGTTTCCAGTTTCCAGTCGCCAGCCAGCAGCGCCGCAGCCTCGTGAGCTGCGGCGGCTGCGCTGCTATAGCCTCCTCGTACAAATGCAACAAACGATGATTCGTGCCTTCGGTTCGGGTCTTCTGGGCCAGAAGCTGGTTGCAGAGAGCTTTCGAGCACGTCCGGCGTAGCGGCAGGTGTCGCCGGTTTGTTGCTGCTCGTCGTGTCGACGCCAGTTGGCTCTCCTATGTACCGCACACCATGCATAAGAACGCCCGTGATTGGCCGGACCCGACGATGGAGGAGTCGGCTAAAAATCCTCCCCTCGTAGTCGTCGGCCACTTCAATTCCTCAATTCTTCGGGCGCGGGCAGCAGCAGCAAGAGCCTCTGTAAGCCTCCGACCTGCGCGTAAATCTCGGGCCCGCTTCGCCCCATCCGACGCCCCATTCGACCCCCGAGCGTGTCGCCTCAGTAGCGCGTTCTTCCTCCCCACTCCCTCCTGCCGAGCGTCATGTCCACGCCGCCGCCGATCGCCCGCCAGGCGTCCAAGTCCGACGCGGACGTGGAGCTGCTGCCCGTGGAGGTGGGCCAGCCCGTGTGGGTGCCCGCCACCGCCGCCGAGCGCGTGTGGGACAAGGCCACCGTCATGGCCATCGGCGGCCTCAAGGTGACGGTGCGCACCCAGGCCGGCAAGATCCAGCAGGTGGACCGCGGCCTTGCAGTGCCGCTGAACCCGCGCGAGGCCGACGACATGACGTCGCTCTACTACATCCACGAGGCCGGCGTGCTGCACAACCTGGAGGAGCGCTGCAAGCTGGACGGCGGCGACGGCACGGGCCAGAAGCCCTACACCTTCATGGCCAACGTGCTGATCGCCGTGAACCCGCTGCGCGAGCTGCCCAACCCGAGCGTCAGCGAGGTCGTCAACACGGCCGGCAGCGCGCCGCACCCGTACTCGATCGCCGAGATGGCCTACCAGCAGATGGTCTACAACTCGGGCACGGACCAGCCCACGAACCAGTCGGTCGTCATCAGTGGCGAGAGTGGCGCCGGCAAGACCGAGTCGTCCAAGATCGTGCTGCGCCACCTGACGACGCGCGGCCTGTACGGCAAGAAGGCGCGCGGAGATGACATCGAGAACATGTCCAAGACCCGCCAGCAGCACGGCACGTCGCTCGACCACCGTCTGATCGAGCAGAACCCGATCCTTGAGGCCTTCGGTAACGCCAAGACGCTGCGCAACTACAACTCGTCGCGTTTCGGCAAGTTCATGAAACTACAGTTCACGGCCGACGGCGAGTTCAAGCTGGCCGGAGCGCTCGTGGAAACGTACCTGCTCGAGAAGTCTCGCCTCGTCTACCAGGTGGACGGCGAGCGCAACTTTCACATTTTCTACCAGCTGCTGGCCGGTGCCTCGCCCCAGGCGCGTAAGGAGTTCGAGCTCACGCAGGCCGAGGACTTCTGCTACCTGAACCAGAGTGGCTGCTACATTGCCGAGGAGACGGATGACCGCGCGTGCTTCGAGGCCGTGGTGCGCGGTCTCAGCTGCGTCGGCATCGATGAGCAGGTCCAGCACGTGATCTTCTCGGTGGTCGCGGGTCTGCTGCACCTTGGTAACATTGAGTTTGACGAAGAAGATACGCCTGAGGGTGAGGCCGCCGTCATCGAGAAGGACTCGGCCAAGCGCGCTATCGTCGCGGCATCTAGGTTGCTCGGTGTGAACGAGCAGGACCTGCGGAAGGTGATTATGACGCGCGACATTGTGACGCGTGAGGAGACGTACACCGTTCGCCGCAACGAGCAGGCCGCCGTGTACGCGCGTGATGCCATTGCCAAGGCGCTGTACAGCCGCATGTTCGACTGGGTTATCAAGCAGGTGAACTCGTCCTTGGGCCACGACCCCAACCCGCTGCCGTACATTGGAGTGCTCGATATCTTTGGTTTCGAGTCGTTCCAGCGCAATGACTTCGAGCAGCTGCTTATCAACTACACGAACGAAGTGCTGCAGGCTACGTTCAACAACCAGGTGTTCATTGCTGAAATGGAGCTGTACAAGCGCGAAGGTATCACGGTTGGCCGGATTAAGTGGCCCGATAACCGCGAGTGTGTCGACCTTATTGCGTCCAAGCCCAACGGCATTCTGTCTCTGCTCGATGCCGAGGCTATGAACCCGCAACCTAGCGATGCCAAGTTCCTGCGCACGCTGCACTCGAAGCACTCGAAGCACCCGTACTTCCCGCGCCCCCACCCGAAGGACATGGAGCACATGTTCATCGTGAGGCACTTTGCTGGCGCTGTGAGCTACACGATCGGCTCGTTCATCGACAAGAACAACGACTCCATTCCTCCGGATATGTCGAACCTCTTCTCAGGATCGTCGAACAAGTTGGTTCCCGCGTTCTTCAAGCAGGAGGTGGACACCAGCCGTCCGGGCAAGAGGAAGCTGACCAAGAGTGTGGCGGCCAAGTTCTCGAACCAGATGCAGGAGCTCGTGGACACCCTTGATGCGACGCGATGCAACTTCATTCGCTGTATTAAGCCCAACGCACTGATGCGTGTAGGCATGTTCGACCCCCGCTACGTTGTTGGCCAGCTTCGTTGCCAGGGTATCATGCAGACGGCCCAGGTGCTCAAGGTTGGCCTGCCCACTCGTGTGAGCTACAGCGAACTGGTGGGCGCCTACAAGAAGTTCATGCCGGCTGATGCTCAGCGGCTGTTTGCGAACCAGAGTGATCCAACGCTCATCACGGCCATTCTGTGGGCGTTCCAGGTGCCAATGGATGCGTACAAGTTGGGTATTACGAAGCTCTTCTTTAAGGCCGGTAAGATCGCTGTGCTGGATTCGATCTTGAAGATCAACTGGGCGACAGAAGGCCCGCACATTGTGTCCCGCATGAAGTTGTGGCTCGCCCGTCGCCGTTGGCGTGTGGGCCTGGCGAAGGTCATCGCGCAGAACCGCTTTGCGAAGCTGCTGCGCCGTATCCAGTTCCGCCGCAACTCATTGGTGCGTATTCAGCGCTGGTGGCGTGCTTACTCGGTGCGTCGTGAGTTCCAGAAGAAGCGCACCGCTGCTGTGGTGGTGCAAGCTCTGTTCCGTGGTATGACGGCTCGTCGGCTGTTCAAGTCCAAGAAGCAGGAGATGCTTGCTCTTGCAGCTGCGCGCGCTGCTGAAGCAAAGCGCCAAGCTGAAGAGGCTAAGCGCCGTGAAGAGGAAGCTCGCATGGCGGCTGAAATCGCTCGTCGCGAAAGCATTGCTCGCGCTGCGGCCGAAGAAGACCGTCTGCGCATGGAAGCCGAAGCCCGTGCTGCGGAGGAGGAGGCTATTCGATTAGCGAAGGAGGCTGCGGCTGCTGTCGCTGAAGCCGAGGCCGCTGCTGCGGAGGCTACTGCTGCCGTGGAGCACGAGCGCCAGGCGGAACTGCGTGCTATTGCGGAGGCGAAGGAGCTCGAGGAGCGTATGGAGCGCGAGCGCGAAGAGGCAGAGCGTCGCAAGGAGCAGGCACTTCTGGAGGCTGCCAGCGTCAGCGCAAGTCTGCTAAGCGGACTGGCCCAGGTGAACAGTGTCCAGACCCCTGCTGGCCAGGTGCACGTGGTGGAGATTCCGGACGACGTCTCGCAGGAGAACCGCGAGCAGCTCCAACAGCTGAACGACCTGCTCTTGAGTGGTGCCATCGCCCAGGCCGAGTACGACGAACTGGTGCCGTTCCTGCTGGAGAAGCCCGAGGAAGCCCCGTCAGGCGCTGCTCTCACCGCCGAGCAGGAGGAGTCGCTGAGCCGTTTGTACACTACGGGTGTGTACGGCATTCAGATTCGTTGCCCGGCTTGCGGTGCTACCAACAACACGGCTAACGGCAACCACTGTGACGAGTGTGGCTCGCTGCTTACCACGAGTGACGAGTCGTCTGCTGCCGCTGCTGACCCCGCGTACTACGGCTACCGTGGCCAGTCCCGCCAGCAGAGAAGCCTCTCGACACTGACAGCGCCTCTGGGTACGTTCTCTACGGAGAACGGTCGCATCGTGATCCACGATGGATACTTCGAGGCGCAGATGCACCGCACGCAGGTTCTGCAGGACGACAACTACACGGAATACACGGTCTACGTGCTGCGCTGTCAGTGGCAGCCGAAGGATTCGCACGAGTCTACCACTTGGCTTGTGTCTCACCGCTTCAGTGTGTTCGAGAAGCTTCACAAGGACCTGAAGCGTAAGATTCCGACGGCAGTGGCCACGATTCCTCTCTTCCCGCGCAAGCACGTCCTTGGTGGCGTGTTTAAGGGCAAAACTGGCAACTCGAGCGCCATTGTGGAGGAGCGCAAGCAGGGTCTGGAGCGATACGTAGCGCAGGTGCTGGAGCTGTGCGCGCGTCTCCCCGAGAATTTGAACGTGCCTGAGCTGGACCGCTTCTTGAACGTGTCCCGCCAGGTTGAGCAGTTCCGTCGCCAGGTCTTGTCGAACGGAAGTGACGAGTCGGGTGCCGCCCCGGCCGGATTCGGCCGCGCGTTGAACGTAAACGCTGGAGGTGCCGAAGGAATGGCCGCGCGTGAGCAGGCGCGCTTGCCTACGGAGCTGCCTACGCCGCTGGATGAGGAGGAGTTGTCCCACACGGAGCAGGCGGTGGCGCTGCTGAACGCGTCGATTCGTTGCGCGCGTGGAGATTTGCGCCGCGATGCGAGTGTGCAGCACCACCTGAAGGTGTGCGTACAGCTCCTGCCGCGCCTGCAGATCTCGGCGAACCTGGACAACCCGTTCGCAAACGTGGATCTGATCCCGCGCGCGATGCAGTGCCAGGAAGACCTAGAGACAACCATGGGCCTGTACAACGACTCGCTGCTTGCTGTCACAGAGACGTACGCTCTCTCAGCGCAGGAGGGCGGTGGCGTGCAGGCCCCTCCTCCTTTCGTCCCGGGACAGCAGAACTCCTATCAGCCCAGCTACGGTGTGTAGGCGTCTTCGGTGAAGACGAACCAGTTACGAAATATGGACAGCGAAGGGAAATGGCCGCACAAGTTGTGTATCGCTTGCCCGTGCTTGCAACTGAAGCAAGCACTACGGGTTGTAGGCCGAAGAGCGCGAGTGGAAGGGAACAGGCAGCAAGAAGCCGTTGGGAGCTTGCTTGGAAACGAAGTTGGCGGGCTGTGTAAGCCTAGGAGGGAGAGCGCTGGTGGTTGTTTGCATATAGCTGCATGTTTCCAATACATTGAAGATCTGAACATTGCAACTGCAGCACGAACTCAAAAAAGATATATTCACTAGTTACAGGAGAAGTAGAAGGTGGCGGCGACGCGCTTCATAGGAACTTGTGGGTCGAAAGCCCGGTCTCAACATGTGCGAGGAAAATTTAAGCGGCACTTGCAGGCACCACGTTGCGCACGGGCATTTGAGCTTGGACGTGAGGCTCGGGCTGCTGCACTTGCTGGGCATGTTGAACCTGCTGCTGGATCGGCGCCACTCCCGACACCGCCAGCAGTGCGTCGTTATACATTGCAACAGCCTGCTGCAGGTCTTCCTGGCACTGCATGGCACGAGGAATCAACTCGGCATCCGCGAACGGGTTGTCCAGGTCCGCCGATCGCTGCAAGGCAGGCGCCAGCTGCACGCACATGTCCAAGTGATGCTGGACAGTGCCGTCGTCACGCACGTCACCGCGCGCGTTGCGCACCGCCTGAGCAAGCAGTCTCACTGCACCCTCCGCTTGAGCGAGCTCCGTTTTGTCCATGGGAGGAGCCGCCGGCTGCGAAGGCATCATGGCCGGACCAGTGAACGCCGGGATGGGAGACGACACTGACGTCGCCGCCGTCGACGTTGAAGCCGCCGAGCGCTGAGAGCCGTCCACAGGCGAGCTAGCAGACACAACAGGAGGCGCAGGACGCTGCGAGCGGAAGATCTGGATCTGGTGTGAGGCGTCCAGGAACTCGTCCAGCTCTGGGGCCGGCTCGCCGTTGGGCAGGTGCGCGCACATCTCGAGCAGCCGCGGCATGTAGGTCGCCAGCCCCTGCTTCCTCTTCTCCAGCCTGTCAGTCAGGTGATACTTGGCCGGGAACGGCGGCAGCGACGCCGCCGTGGAGCGCGCCAGCCTCCTCTTGAGCGCCTTGTGCAGCCGCTCGAACTGGCTGAAGCGCTGCGATACATACCACGTGGCCAGGAGGTGCTGATTGTCTCCGTCCCGAGGCTGCCACGTGCAGCACATGACGAAGACCTGGCACGCGCTGCCGTCCGCCGTGGCGATGAGCTGCGTGGTCTCCATGGAGCACGAGAAGTAGCCGTTCAGCAGCAACACGCGGCCGTCTTCGGCGGCGCTGAAGGCCCCGCTGGGCGGCGCCATGGCCGTGACAATGGGCCATCTCGATCTCGAGCTCCTGCCTCTTCCGCTGTAGCTGCCGCGTGCGGTCATGGCCGCTGACAGCTCGTCGGCCACCGTGAGCTTCGAGCTGCATACGTAGCAGCGCGGGCCGCGCGCCGTGTCGTTGCTGGTGCCACATGCTGGACAGCGCAGCTGCAGTCCGGCGCCTACGTTGGCCGCGGCCACGGGCGCGAGGATCTGGTACTGCGCCGATGCGTCGATGGGCTCAGGCGCGGGCGGACTGGTGTCAGCCGAGAAGTGGACGCTGCGCTGCTGCTGCTGCGGACTGGCAGAGTGATGGTCCTGGTCCTCTTGGGCGGAGGAGGCTGGAGGGTCGCTGGGCTGTTGGGCTTGGGCTAGGGCGGCGGCGAAGGCGGCGTCTTCTTGGCGTTGCGGTTGCGGCTGAGGCTCTTGGGACGATGCCGTTGGGGACGCCACGAACGGCAGCAGCTCGTCGTACTCCTGGCGGGACAGCGAGCCGCTGACCAGCGAGTCGTTCAGGTGGCGGAGCTGCTCGCGGCGCTCGGCGACGGACGGGTCGGCCATGGCTGCAGATGAGGAAGTGGAATGGCTCCGAAACGCAGGCGAGCCTCTCTTCTTCTTGTGTCGTTTTGGCCAGAGCCGGCGTTGGACAACTCTGCTAACTGAACCAAGATGTCAAATGGTGGTACTATCGGCGGGGCGACGAAAAGCATGACTTTGGGCTGCAGCTTCCTATCTCGTTCGGGCTGCACGCAGCCCCGCGACAACCACCATTGCTACACGTAACGCTATATGCAACGCGCATTAAGAAAACGCAACTTTAAGTGAGGACTGCACACCGGCGCAACGGGTATTTGAGCTCTTCAGCGGCATCGCCGCCTTCTAGCAATAGTACCATCATCCGGCAAATTCCCGGTCTGCGCCTGTCACATAGTGAACCCAAGTCACACGCTGGACTTGAAGCGCCCAACCGAACAGAAAAGTAGCTCTTGCACTGCTGGAAGTGCCAGCAGAGCTCAACTCGACAAAGCTCGGACTGGCGGACGCAACGCCGACCTGCATCACATCACCGCCGCCGCGTCCGTAATCGAGTTGTCGTAGCTCTTTTGTAGCCAAGTCACGGCGATCAAGCGCGCGAATGCGTCGGCCGACAGCTTCCCCGCCTCCTCCCCGTCGGCCACCGTGAAGTGGAGCGTCCTCGTCTCGTTGGCCAGCATCAGGAACGAGTTGGCGCTCCAGCGACCCAGCGCTCCGGGCGCGTCCACCTCCACGAACAGCGCCACAAAGTCCGTCGATGCAAGCTCCACGCTGAACACGACGCCATTGGCCGCCTCAGACTTGACCACGGATCGAGCGGTCACCTCGCCCCAGCCCAGGTTCAGGCGCTTGATCGGCGCGAACAAGTGGTGCGTGTCCTCGCAGGCGGTCATCTCTCCCGATAAGGCGACACTCGTTGCTACCACGCAGCGGACGTGCAGGAAGCACGATCGGCGGTGGCAGGATGTCGCTTCATGGTCCAAAAAGGCGTCGACGTCCAGCTCCTCGATGGAGCGGCTCTCCTGCGTATTCACCAACAAAAGTCAGCTTGCTTTTACTGAAGGAACATATCGTGGCCAAACGTACCAGGGCTGCGATGGGGATGGCTTGGCGGTTGATCGACTTCACGAGGCTACCGCACTTGGTTCGCCGGAGCTCGTACCCGACGTCCACCGTCAAATCTGCGTTCACGTCGCTCACGCCGTACACTTGCAGTGCGTTGCCGTCGTCTCGTTCGTGGATTGATACGATGAAAGGAGCAAATGCGCGCTTCGCCGCGTAGTGCAAGCTCTTCCATCGACCGGAGTACTCGATGCTGGACCAACTGCTGCCTTGCCAAATGTCGTTCAACTGCCAGTACAAAATGCCCATCGTCATGCCGAGCTCGGGATTCTTCCCGCGGCGCCACGTCTGGATGGCAGTTTGATAGCACAGCGACTGCTGGATCTGCGTCAGGTACAAATACGACTCGATCCGCTTGCTGATGCTGAACCCGAAGGATTCATCGCCTTCGACACGAGCCTTGGATTCGTCTGCAAGCCACTTTTCATTGTCAAAGGGGAACGGGACGTGAAAGCGGCGGTTGAGTTGGGTAAGCATCTGCGTGGTGCCGTTTTCATGCCTCTCACGGTACTTGAGAAACTGCCAAAAGGTTTGAAAAGATCCCCAGTCCTCCTTTGAGCTCACATCGCGAAGAGACGTTGCTGAAGGCCAGCTCTGAAAGCCAAACTCGGAAATGAAGCGAGCGCGCGGGTACATCTTGTAGTCTTGGCAGTCGCTGTTGTAGTCGTAGAAGTGAACATCACTGCAGGACAGAGAGAAGTCACGTAGGTTAGCTAACGACTACTTAGACAAGTCCCAAGTGCCCAAGCAATTCAAACTCACCCGAATGCTACCCCGTTCGTGGCCCCCCACCGCTTGACGTAAGGATCAACCGAATACAACCCATTTGACGGAGACGTGTCGACGAATGGCCGAGTCGAGTCCATCGCAGCGATGGTAGGGTGAATCATATCCACGAAGAGCTTGGTGAAGTCTGCTACTGCGATATCCCGATTGAAGGTCGTCCCCGGTGGAAATATGGGAGCCTCAACGAACTGCTCCATCATGTTTTCGTTCTCGTTGTTCCCGCCCCAGATCGCGATGCTCGTGTACTTACGAAGCCGGGCGACTTGGAATGCCACTTCCTTCAGCGCATTCTCGAGGAACGCGGTATCACGAGGGTACATCCCGCAAGCAAACATGAGCTCCTGCCAGACTAGGATACCCAGCCGATCGCACTCGGAATAAAATAAGTCGGATTCATATCGGCCACCTCCCCAGACCCGAACCTGATGAGGATCAAAACCTTTATCAGCATTTTGTCGTCGAGGATATGAGAAAGATATTCGAGCTCGCTAACCATGTTCATGTTTGCAGCGTGCACGCTCTCCAGCAAGTGCCGCACTGTTGACGCCCTGACCCGCGTGGGAAACGAATCGGTGGGGATCCAATTCGCGCCTTTGACGAAGACAGGAACGTTGTTAACTTTGCAGTAAAACGTTTTTCCGGTCACGTTGCCAGCATTCGTGTCATCCTGGACGAGTTCCACGTGGCGGATGCCGCTCTTGTGCGAAAGAGACGAATTGAACCACTCGCTCCAAGCATCCACACGCATGTCGTACAGGTAGGCCTCGCCATACCCGGCAGGCCACCACAGCCTCGGATTCTCCAGCCGAAACCTGCATCGACGAACACATAAGTTAGCTATCTAAAATCAAAGACGTACATGCCACGTTGCGCTCCTCACGATAGTTCTATCACCGCATCTTCTCCCGAATCCTCCTGCACTGTCGTAGAGAGCGTCGCCTCCTTCTTCTCGTCCACAAACAAGTTGAACGTGACGTTCTCGTGCCTCCCATCCCCTCCATCTAACGTCACGCTGACAGTGACATCCACAACGGAAAGATCTTCCTTCCCACCAGGGAACGCTTGCATCACGTGCAAGTCCTTCAGCTTCACGACCGACTCCTGCAGCTCAATATACGCCGGTCCTGCGATGCCCGACGTCACGTATGCCGGCCCCCAGTCCCATCCAAAGTCCGAGCCGGCCTTGCGGATGAAAGACCGACGCGTGGGCTCCGTCCACGTATTGAAGTTCAGCGTCGCCGGGACGAAGTACGGGTACTGCTCGGCCTGCTGTCTGGCGTACTGCGTCGCAGGCTCAAACACGACCTGGACGTGGTTCACGCCCGCCACCAGCACCGCTCCGACGTCGAGTCTGTAGGGCACAAAGGAGTTGGCCGTCGTCGCCAGCTGCTCCCCATTGACTGTCACGCGCGCAACGCCGTCCAACGTCTCGAACACGAGCATCGCCTTGGAGCTGTCGGTGTCCCTGGGCAGCGTCACGAGCGTCTCGTACGTCCACGTCTCCATCGCCACCCACTGATACTCTCGCTCATTGAAGCGGTAGTACGGGTCGTCCAGCAGCCCCGCGGCCATGAGGTGCACGTGGGCGGTGCCTGGCACCGTCGCGTTGTCCACCTGCACCGAGCCATTGGCCGAGCGGAGCGTCCACCGATCCAGCGGGATGACGCGGCTGGTGACTGCGCTCGAGCATAGAGTTGCGGCTAATACTGCAATGGAGGAGAATAGTTGCAACGCCCTCATCGCCCTGCTTGCGACTGGGGAGATTGGGGACTGACAGGCAGGCAGTTGACACCATCCGATACGCACTTCAACCACGCCCGATCTGTATCCATGACGTGGGTCCGTATTGTGTACACCACACCACTGATACAAGAAAGTGTCCGCTAAAAATACATGTACTCTGAAAATATTTAGCCAGTGTGCGGAGCTCGTCGAGGTGCTGGCAGCTTGAAGCGAGTGAGTGCCGTCGAGCGTGCGTGGAATAAGAGCGCGGCGAAGAGAGACCGAGGCGCTTAGGGAACAGGGAGAAGACAGACAGACCGACCGACGGCCATGGCGACGCGAGACTTGACGCGCTCGTTCCTGCAGCTGCGCGCGGATGAGAAGGCCAAGGTGCTGCGGCGCAAGAACATCGTGAGCCACCGCGAGGAGGGCAATGCGCTCATGAAGAGCGCGGAGCAGGAGGCCACCAGCGTCGCCATCGCCCCCGGCTGGGTGGACGTCGTGAACGGCACCAACCAGCACGTGGCGCGCATCAAGGAGATGAGTACGTGGCAGAAGAGAGAGGGGCGGAGAAGGCAAGAGGGAGGAAGACTGACCAATGTTGCAATGTGTTGTGCGTACTTGCTGCAGTGGAGAAGCTGAACAAGCTGCACACGAGTCGCCTCATGGTGCGCTTCGACGGGTCCGAGTCCAAGTACGAGCAGGAGATCGACCACGTCACGCAGGAGATCACGGACGAGTTCCGCAGCGCCGAGAAGGGGCTGCGGCGGATGGCTCAGAGCGACAGGAACGGCGAGTTCTCGGCCGCAGACGCCAAGACTAGGCAAAATGTGCAGCGGTACGTGGGCTGCTCTGGTGTGGCTGTGCCAGAACATAGATCATCATAGTTGACGCTACTTTGCTGGATATTTATCTTCTGTTTGATGAGCAGGGCATTGGCGACGCAGCTTCAGACGCTGTCGGGAGACTTCCGAAAATCGCAGAAGACGTACCTCGCGCGTGTAAAGAACCAGAAGGAGGGCCCGGTAGAGTTTGACTTTCTCGCAGAAAATGAGGCCAGGCAGAAACGACGTGGAGGGGCTGATACGGTGAGTTGGCTGCATGCAACCTACGAGTTGTTATCAATGCTCAACAGTCTTAACACCATTGTGTGCGATTTCTCCCTGGTGTTGCGTGCTTGTTGCTGCTGCTGTAGGGATTCACTCAGGCTCAGATCACGGAGGTGGAAATCGCCGAGGACGTCATCAACGAGCGCGACCAGGAGATCCAGCGCATTGCCACGTCCATCACGGAGCTGGCTACAATATTTAAGGAGCTCGCGGTGCTCGTGATCGACCAGGGCACGATCCTGGACCGCATCGACTACAACATGGAGCAGGTGGTGGAGCAGACGGAGAAGGGCATCGAGGAGCTCGAGAAGGCCGAGGAGACGCAGAAGAACAGCCGCCCCATGAAGTGCATCGGCCTGCTGCTCGTCATGATCTTCATCATGACAGTGCTGCTCGTGCTCAAACACTCGTAGACACAGGTGGACACATTGCCTGTGTGGACGTCCTCCAGCTAAAAAAAAACACAACCCCCCCGAATCTCAATACAATTATTGTCTTTCCAAAAGTTTGCAATCCTATTGTCATATTTTGCTGGTCAAAGATGGACGTCGAGGTGAAGCAGCAGCAGGCGCTTATGCTCTCGCTGCGCGTCTTCGTGGACGCTCTGCGGGACATCAAGAAGACGGAGGACGCTGCGGACGTCCACCGCCATGTCGTGGAGGCCGTGCGCGTGCTGTGCGCGTCCTCCGAGACGCAGGACAGCGCCCAATGGCACGACGAAGCGTGGCGACGCGGCCTGGTGCCCATTTTCCAGCAATTGTGCCTGTGCATGACGCGTCTGGACGCTCTCGAGGCCCAAGAGAGGAAGAAAATGGGCCCGCAGACGCCCCGACAGGCGGAGAAGCCCAAGGCGCCCGCGGGTCTGCTGAGTCTGCGTGACTATTCCGTGCTGCAGGCGGCAGTGGAGCTGCTCTTCTGCTGGGGCGCGTACCCTCGCGTGGCTGCTGGAGTGTTGATGCCCATCGAGAAGAGGAAGCCTACACGCACGCTGGAGAGTAAGGGGGTTTTACTGGAGGAGAGACGAGATCGACAGTGAACTGATGTGTGGTGGTGTTTTGTTGTGTTGTGTGTGGTGCAGTTTCCAAGGACGTGCTGATGTGGGGCTATCGCGGATATACCAGAGTTATGGTGGACGGTCAGCGGACGAGTGAAGAGACGTCGAGCGAGCTCTTGGGTATCACGCAGGCGTTGTTGCAGCTGCTGTCGCTGCCGCAGTTTCAGCCGATTCTGCTGCCCAAGTACGTGATGGAGTTGCTAGCTCTGCTTGTGTACGGAGAGGTGGCGATGGATACAGAGACGCCGAGGCCTGTGCAGACGGAGTTCATTCGACTGAGAGAGATGGTGCTGCGTGTGCTGCCGCTGAGGATGAGCATGAGTAGTCTGCGTGCAGCTCTGGGGCAGGCTACCCCTGCTGCGAGTGAACAGGCTGTCGGTCAACGGTTCAAGGCGCGGTGTGGGAACTTGTTGTCACGCTTGTTAATGGAGGATGGAGGCATCGTCGCTACAATTGAGATGTTGCTTGGGGCTGTGGAGGAGGGAAACACGCAAGCGAGAATGCAGGTGGCCACTCTCATCTGCCAGTGCCCCAGCGGTGAAGACCCCGAGAAATATGCGAGGGCTCTGTGCGCACAGGTTCGCGAGTTGTTACTGGCAGCGGTGACACTTGAAAAGGGAAGCACTACCAGCAAGCTGCTTGGTGAAATGGCAGCACTGCTAGCGGATCAGCTCGCGACACGCCACCCAGCACTATTCGACACGCAGATCTTGTCGAAGCTGTTCCACCCGTTGTTGATTTATGAGGATAGTCGGCTGGATGCTGCTACTCCGCCCGGAGAGACAAATGAGGCTGCGTTGACGCACTGTGTGGAGATTGCGCGACTGCTCCTGTGCGGCCCACCACCTTCGCAGCGCTTCCTGCAGGCCGTTGCTCCATTAGTGCGCCCCCTCCTCCATATGTATGCCTTCGCGGCAACAAGCAAGAGTTTTCTGGCCACACCGCTGCGTGCGCTTCTTACTGCGTGGATCAGATCGTGCTCGAGTGCGTCCTTGCTATTACAAGTGGCCGTGCTACCCGTGGCATTGCCACTTCAGCCTACGCTGACAGCGTGTGGGTACCAAAGAAAGTATGCTCAAGAATCGTGGAGGCCACTACGGCAGTTTTGTGCTGGAGGTGGTGGTGGGATTTCGCTTCGTCTTGTCCAACCGTCTACTTTATCGATAGATGAAGAAGATGTCACCGACTCATTGAAAATGCTGATAATGCCGCTGGTGGAGCTCCTGGGCGACAAGGAGCTGGAAAGCTCGGAAGTGGTGGGCGACCTTTTCTCGTCCCTCCTGCTAACATACATGCAAGTGCGGAAGAATGGCGGGAGTGAGGGCCTTAATTTGATCGACAAGAGGGAAGATGCTGCATCGCCTCTGGCCTTGTACGAGCCTATGAAAAGTCCGTCAAGTGCGGAAAGTGTTGAAATGGTACTCACACTGCTGCTGGCGCTTATTGAGTGCTTAGGACCATCTGTGCTGCGCAGTGCCGCTACAGTATTGCAGTGTATTGGAACAGTATTAGAAACGTACAACACGCCTGCTACGAAGCTCGTGGATAAAGAGCAGCAGCAAGGAAACATTACACCATTAGAAGACGCTGAAGAAGAGGAAGAAGAAGGCGGCGAGATCCTGACAATTTGCCTGGGTGTGGTAATGACCATTCTGGAAGCTGGATCCTCTCGTCGTAGTGATTCGGAGGAGCAACAGCTCCGTGCGATGCTACCCGTGTTGGAAGTGCTGTCGCGTCACCCGCGACCCGAAGTTGCTGAACTGTCGAGTAATGCGCGTGCCCAGATTTTAAGTCGTGGCGCGTCGGAAACCAATCGAACGAGCACAAAGAGAGAGGGTGAGAAGAGCTTTGAAGGAGTGCTTCGCGAAGCTGAACAAGATCTCTCAAGCGAGTTGGTACCACTACGCGCGCGTGGTGTTGTCACGCTGACAAAGCTAGTGCGACGGAGTCATGCTCATGCGCACGATGCAGAGTGGACACCTCGGGTGCATGCCTTAGCTCGCGTCTTTCTTCTTCATCTGTACGACTCCGAGAGCTACGTCTTTCTTGCAGCCGTACAGGGTCTGGCTGCGTTGGCAGATGCTCACCCCGATGTTGCTATCCCCGCGTTGGTGAAGGCCCTGCTCGATTCCAGCAACTCACTCGAGTCTCGTATCAAACTTAGCGAGGCGCTATTGTTCTCAGCAAAGCGCTGCGGCGAGACTCTCCCCAAGTACGGCAAGCTGTTCGTCTATGCGTACTTGGACTGCATCCGCCCGCCTCCCTCGCAGAGAAAGCGTGTGGAGCGCATGCAACAAGAAACGAGCAAGCGGATCCAGCTCATCCAGGAGGTTGAAAACCCGGCCACGAAGACACAAGAAGCAGCACAGCCAGCCAACGAGCCCGAGAGTGGTGAGCAGGAACTTCTTGCGGCCGCTACCCTCAGAGCAAGCTGTCTGTCCAATCTTGCCGAGGTGTGCGCACTTTTGCAGTGGGGGCTCCAGCCGTTCCTGCTTGATGTTATGACCTGCGTCTTTGGCGTACTTCAAATGGAGCTCGAGCTTGCAGCCAAGCCCCGACCGGCCACCCACGATGCGACAGAGACGGAAGAGCAGCAAAAACTGCGGCAGCACCAAGAAGAAGAGCAACAGCAGCGCGTGGTGGCCGTGCGTCGCGGCGCCGTATTCGTTCTGCGGTACCTCGTGGAGCTGCTTGGGTGGAAGATGCTGGAGCTCATGCCGGACCAGCTCTCGCCGCTGTACCACACGCTCAAGCACGTGGCGCGCGTCGACCGGGACCGCGTGGTGGTGTTTCACGCGAGCCGGGCGCTGGGCGCGCTGGACGAGGTCATGCGCACTGAGCTGTTCCCGCGCGTGGAGCAGCAAGACGCGGCGTTCGGCATCTCGAGCTTACGCATTCTTTAGTGCAGGCTGCCAACTTCAACGTGGCCCAAAATACTAATCTTTTCAATGGGTAATCATTCTCTTTTCCACCAATCACTGGGCGTTGCGCCTACAACATTGTTGCCGTCTCCACAGCCTGCAGTCTGCCGATTCTGCAGGGTTCAGCAGGGCTGCTATCAAACATCACTGCCACGGTAGAGCGCCCAACGCCGCTCAAACCCGCCGCTAGGGCGATCTTCGCCGAGCGAGGCAGCCTAATTTGCAAGCATCTTCTGGCAATCTGACGCTATAATCCACACGCCATGGCCCAGCGCTGAAGAAGCCAATCGCTGCCTCATCAGCCGTCCAGTCACTGCGTCGTAGAAGTATCTGTCACTGATTTTTGAGGCTGGCGCCGGTGCGGCGTGTGCGTACTGGACTGCACGCTGCACTGCACCTCGGCCGGTAGATGGAGGTGATTCATGAGACCAATGTCTGTCACCGCAGCGCCTGCGTTTGGGGACAGGCCGACTCGCTCTCCGACGTCACCTTAGAGCTGTTAACTGCGGCGCCATCAACTCCGCCGTTCGTCAATGCGCTGCACGTCGATCTGACGCTTCCGTGCCCTCCGTCACGATTGGCTGAAAAGTGAGCCCTGTCACACTTCAACGTGGAATCCTCGCCGCATTGCTCGTCCGCCCTCATTCCCCGATTGCCAGTCTACCACGCAAGCGTCCTAGGGCCCAGAGTTGTCATGTTCCAGTTCACGGCGCCTGCACTGCCGTGTGGCGGCATCCAAACCAACCGATCAGCCTCCGAGGTCGAGAGGTTCCGCGCTCGCCATCGCCGCCTCTGTCGCGGCCAGCCGCAGTCTGCAGCGCTGTCACTATCGTCCAAGGTCGACGCTCCCGACGAGGACGAAGGCCGCAAGCGCAAAATCTCGGCCAATTGGCGCCAGAAGCAGCGGCAGGATCGACTCTGCAGCCAGTTCGAGGACGGCTACTGGCCCAAGTCGGCCGGCACCGAGATGCACCTGGGCTTCAACGCCTTTGACTTCTCGTCATCGCCCGAAGCCTTTTGCGACGAGCCGGTAGAGCCGGTGGAGGAAAAGAAACCAACTTCATTATACAAGCTGGAGGAGGAACCAGTGGAGCTTCCAGCTGAGTCGTCTTCTGACGGGGACAAGCAACAGAAGCAGACCATGACCGAGGTGGCCAAGCAGGTGACGGCTATGGGTTTCAACGGCGCCAATCTGTGGCAGCGGAGGTTTCCGGGACTCGGACAGCTTGGTGGGCCAATTCAACAACTTCCGATGTATGGCCAAAATTCTATGTGGGGAATTCCGGTGCACTACGCCACGATTGGCGATCAACGACGAGCACTTTATTACCAGCCCACGTTCTTCATGTGAGAGCTCGTCGATCCAAGACTCTCGGTTGTCGGCGCTCGCAAATGTACTATAGTTTATCCATAAGCGTTCATGAATGGACCATCCCCTTTAGGAGTTGCACTGATAATTCATCTTGATGCGTTTTTGGTTCTAAGTTATTGTCAATTCTGCCCAAATTTTCCAAAAGGGTGCGGTTTGGCTCCGGTCTTGAAATCGAGCGGCGAATCGAACTTCGTCGCTAATTGGTCAATATTCCCTGAAGTGCCCGAGTGCGCACTCCGCCCAGTCAATGCAAGATGGAGGAAGCGGTAACGCGCACCCTAGCACTGTCTATCACTGCCTCTACGCGCACATCAAGCCCGGCTATACTAGAAGCCATCTTGCCCACGTCTTCAATAAGACCGAACACACGATCGGCAATTGGCTGCAAGCCTACTACGAGACCGGAGTGTTCCAGCGTGCTCGGACCACTCGAGAGAGGAAGTACACGAAGCAGCAACGGGTGTGGCTTTTTAACTACTACCAACATCATCCACTCTCCTACTTAGATGAAGCCCAGGACGCCTTCAAACGAACTCACGGCACCGAGATCTCCAAGATATCAGTGTGGCGAATCATTCACTCGTTTGGTCTGACGTGGAAGGTGTTGGAGCGGAGGGCGATTCACATCAAGGAGCAGGACGTCTTCCGTTTCGTGGAAGAGCTTAGTCACCTCGACTGGAGCCACCACAACCTCGTTTTCCTCGATGAGGTCTCATTTGACAACAGAGGGATGGTTCGCAAGCGAGGCTACGCCGTCCGAGGGAAAAAAGTTGCCATCCGCGGCGACTTCGAGAGAAAACCTCGTGTGTCGATCCTGGCCTTTATTGGTGTCAACGGCATTATCGACTACTTCAGTACGGAAGGCACTTTCGATCGGCTAGAGTTCACCAAGTGCTGTCAAGACCTGATGCACATGGAGAGGGGGCCGATACGCCAGTATCCTGGACCAAACTCAATCTGGATCATGGATGGGGCTACAATCCACCGACACCCGGAAATTATTCACTATCTACGAAGCGTCGGTTTAGTGGTGATCTTCTTGCCAGCGTATTGTCCGTTTTTTAATCCTATCGAGTTCCTCTTCGGATACGTCAAGCGCTCCTTTCAACGACAGTACTCGGAAGCTAGCGGGCGAGATTTGACTCCATTCGTCGTTCAGACGTTTCAACGCTTCAGAGATTTCGACATGAGCAAGGTGTTCGAGCACTGCGGTTGGAAGAAACAAGGCTACTTCGATCTTGTTGGACATCTTTCAGGTGAGAACAAAGCCGAACTCGCTGCTAGTTAACGCAACCAAGATGAATTAAAGTTTTCGGAACTTGAATCGTAAGAGTAGCTAAAACTCATCAACATGCAATCCTTTTCTTTCGTCACTCGGCGTGCTCTGTGTCTTCGACGTTCTCCATTTGAAGGAGAGGGTCGATCACTTCGTCGCGAGCAGGAGGGGTGATGTGGTGCAGAAACCCCATGATAACACTCTTGCGCACCTCCAAACGGCGCTCATTTTCATCGAGATACTGTCCGAAAAATTCCCACCTTTGGCGCAGCTGCCGGTAGTCAGCAATTGTGGCCTCCACAACATCTAGCGCCACATTTGCCGTTCGAGTAACTTCGGCCACGTGTTGGTCCATCTGTGTATCCACGAGTCGAAGCAGATTCGCGATATACGCTGGTGGTGGTTGTTGAATAGCGGCGTCCCACGTTGACCTGTTGAGATTCCGCGTGAGATGGTTGGCCCACAGACGCCAAACAACACCTTCAACTTGGAATGTAGCCCCCCATTGCTCTCGAAGTCTCTCCACAACATCTCGCAACGAGGTCTCAGCGGTTGCACCCCCACGATCGGTCTCCTCAGGCTGTATGCAGGCTGCGACGAATTCATCTCGATCTTGAGCTCTTGCGATCGACAAACCATACTCGTAGATAACGAGTGTCACTGTATGCCCTCGCATTTTTTGCAGCCACTGCTTCCACGCTTGTGCTGACTTGGTAGACTCCACTACCTTCTTTTTGGCCCTGAACTGCATGACACGGTCCCACTCGCCCACCTTGTGGGTCTCGACAGACCACTCGCCGTCCGTCCGCACCGCTCTGCACTTGACACGGCCGCTGAACAAGCTCCAGATCTTCTGCAGGATCTCGTCGAACGATCCGCCATTGACAACGACGTCGTCGAGAGTGTCGGCCGACGTATCGCGTTGGGCGATGGTCGCCTTCACGATTGGCTGCAATAGCAACTGGTACCGATGACTTGGAGCTGCTTGGTCTGCTTCTGTTGTTGCTTCGTGCATGCTCTCAGGCCGGGGCAGCGACGTGACCACTCGCGATGTAGCTGGTGCTGCTGGAGGTGCCGCCAACAGACCAACGGATCGTGCAGGAGAAGCAGTAGCGGGTGCTGCCGGTGCTCGTGTCGCTGGAAGCTGCTGCGGCCGAAGCGCTGCTGGGGTCGCTTGTAGTGGTCGTGTTCCTTGACCACTGGCGTCTGTTTGCGATGGAGATGCGCGTGGAGCCACTGTGGGCTGCGAGGTCGACGGAGAGCTGCCTGGCGTCGGGGTGCGGCTTCGCAATGGGTACGGCGAGACACGCGTAAGAATGGCCTGGCGTGGCGACCTCCGTGGCGTGGCCACCATGATGCAATTCCAGAACTGCAAAGCTGCAGCTTCCGGCTCCCAAAGGAAAGCCTCTTATCACGCATATATTTCATTCCTTATGTTAGGTTGGGCGATTGGCAGGTCGGTTTCGCTGGATCGATTCAACCAATCGCTCTCGGAAATTTTGAATCGAACGCACAATACATATATTAATACACTTTTCAAAGTTGCTGTCTGTCAAAGTCAAAGTTTGTCAAGCAGGGAAGTAGTATAGCTAACACCCCCTACGACCATTCTTTTTGTAGACTTCAGATCGATTTTTCAAGGCACGCGTACAAGAAAACTGCAAGTGTTCTGGAATCACCAGTATTTTGTTATCGTTAGCAGTAACCCCCAGCAACGCAAAATTTGTTCGTCCTAGAATGTAGCATGAATCACGACAACGAGGGGGGAGTCAAGGTACCTCGAATGGGAGGTCGGCTCTCGCAACATTACCTGCCGCATAGGGCTCTAACGAGAAACGCTGGCTCTGTAACGTAGACAGCGTTACAACCAAAATGGCAAAATGGCAAAATGGTGCTCTTCCAGCACTACACATACATTATCGCCATCGACGACGGGATCCGATAGTCGAGGTTGAAGTGAGCGCGAACACGGCGAACGATAGTCAGGCCCGCCCATTTCTGCCCGAAAAATCTCCAAGCGACCCTGAACTTGCAGTGGGCGATGCTCCGGAGCACTCGTGCGCTCGTGAGCTGGCCCCATTGCCGGTTATGATTGGGCACGTGCGACTAGATGGGAAGATTCCTCTTGCTGCTGCTGCAACGCCTGCGCGATCTCAAACGACGACGCCACTTTCGGTCGAGCCGCTCTGGGCAGTTAGAAGTAGTTAGTTGGTTAGTAGCTCCGCGTTCACAACGCAACCCAATCTCCACGATGCAGCAGCGACTTGGATTGCAATCTGCCGTCGCTCTGCTGGCCTGGGCAGCTCTCGTACTGGTGACAACCACCAACGCGCAAACACTGCGCAGGCCTTTGTCGCCGGCGGATGAAGCAGTCATCCCGGAAGTCGACGAGACGGTGTCGCTGGCGCAGCGCGAGGTCTTCGGCATTACCCTCGCAGCGCTGGTCATCTTCGTCGCAGCCGGGGGAGGCACTGGCGGTGGAGGCGTGCTGGACCCCATTTACATCTTGGTGTGCGGTCTCAGCGCCAAGGTGCGACCAGCAAGCACACGGTGGTGGACGTCGGCCGATCTGTAAACTGACTCGGATTGACGTGGCATCTCTTATCTTGCAGACAGCTATCCCCCTTTCCAGCATCACGATCCTTGGAGGAGGTACGTCTCACTAGAAGTTAGCGTCAAGATACTGTGATCAATACGACTAAAGCTGTTTCCTGTGTCCGCAGCATTCGGCAACTTTTTCCTGAACTTGCGCCGCACGCGTGACGACTCGACCACTCCGCTCATCGACTGGGATGTCATCCTTGTGATGCAGCCGCTTCTCTTGTGTACGCTTAGTCGCCCCTTTTTCAAAGACTTCCTCCGTCAGCGGCGTGAGTTTGGTTCTGACGACAACTTGCTCTTTGGTGGTGTGCTTTAGTGGGGGCAACATGCGGGACGTACCTCAACACCGTTCTGCCAACCTGGCTTCTGTGCGTGCTGTTGGTCATCGTACTGAGTCTGACAGGCACGCGGACTCTGCAGAAAGCCATCAGCGCTCGCCGAAAAGAGCGCTGGCAGTGCTGCGTTTCACCCGAAGCTACAGCTCTTCTGGGGATCGACTCGTCCGAGAAAGTTTCTTCGACACCCGAGAAGAAACCGCAAGCGGACGTACCATGGCGGAAGCTTGCCACACTTTCAAGTCTCTTCGTCGTCATCGCTGGTATGAGAATCCTCCGCGGAGGAAAGGACTTTGACAGTCCCCTAGGCATTGACTCGTCGTCAGCGCTGTACCCGATGCTCGTGGCAATGCCCTACGTCTTCCTGGTTGGGATCAGCTACTTTTCGCTGAAAAACTTGGGCGCTACCTACGAGAAGCAGCAAACTCCCGGATACGAGCTCGAAGCGCACGAAATCAAGGTACGAGCAACGAGTATCGCTTGGTTGTTGGTTATGGAGTCTAACTTCGTGAAACTTTTGCAGTGGACACCATTGTCTATTCGGTTCTTCCCCTTTTTCTCACTTGCGGCTGGAGCGGTCTCTGGTATGTTTGGTATCGGAGGAGGCATCATTAACGGGCCGCTGCTGCTCGAGGTGGGCATCGATGCCTCGGCCGCTTCGGCCATGACCGCAACAACCGTGCTCTTTTCCAGCGGGAGTAAGTTCTACACGTATGAGACTGAGTGCGTCTGCTGTATTGCTGACTGTTGTTATGTATATTTTTCAACAGTGTCGGCTTTCAATTACACGGTAATGGGGAAGACGGACATCCATCTAGCGCAGGTTCTGCTGCCCATGGGCTTCCTCATGACCTACATCGGCCAGCTGTGTCTGCTCAAGGTCGTGCGCCGCTTTCAATGCCCCAGCCTAATTATCTTCTCGATGGCCGTCATTGTGCTCATCAGTGCTATCGCCATGAGTATCGAGAGTGTCCGTGCCGTGCTAGCCTGAACAAGCGGAGCTCCGAGTATTTACTTTTTCTTATAAAGCAATTAGCATTTTCACCTCGACCGTCGCGAGTAAGCAACCGATCCTGTTCATCTAGTGTCGTGACGCTACGCTACGCTTCCCGCGACGATCCCTGTGAGAAGCCAATCGCCTGATAATAATACCGGCGTGGTCACCTTGCGCAACCAAAGCCGACGCTAATAGATCCTGCGTCACATGCAGCCCGCCAAAGCGTACTGTCTTCGCGTGCGGGACGCAAGCGTCTCTCGAGGATGGACCACCACATCGTCGACCAATGCACAGAGTTGAAATGCACACGTTTCGAGCTTTAGTCTCAGCTGTCGGTACACCACGTTGAAGTGCATCTTTTGAAGCATCTTTCGAAGGTATCTAATAGGCATGACGACCATGCAAGGTGTGTGCAACGAATAGGTAGCGGTCTAGTTGCCGCAAGTTCAGTAGCTGTCACTCCTCGGCACATTTGCACTCCGTCCACCCTCATTTTCGATCTAGGATTGGCTTGCTCACGTAATTCATCGCCCTACTCGCAGCCGCAACACGTTCCAGACCATGCCACCCGTGCTCTCGTCCGATACCGTTCTTTACAACGACGAAGCTACCGACATTGAGCGCTTCCGTGCTCGTCATCGCCGGCTGTGCCGCGACTACCAAGAAAACTCGGCGCAAACCTCTAAACGAGTCGAGAGTGTGGACGAAGACGATGGCCGCAAACGCAAAATCCCCGCCAAGTGGCGTGCGAAGCAGTGCCAGACCTGGAACCAGCACGAAGACGGCTACTGGCCCGAGTCGGCCGGCACCGAGATGCACCTCGGTTTCAACGCCTTCGACTTCTCGGCGTCGCCCGAGGCCTTCAACGACGAGCCAGAGGACCCGATCGAGATCATCGACCTGCGGTACGACACCTTCTGTGAAGAAGATGACCTGGTGCTGTCAGTTGACAGTGATATCCCGTCGTACAAGACCATCCTGGATCACCACTACGAGACCATACCCGAGGAGCCCAAGCCTGCGATTGAAGCTAAAGGCTCGTCATCTATAAAGGAGCTGAGCATGGCCGATGTGGCGAAGCAAGTGACATCCATGGGCTTCAGCAGTGACAGCCTTTGGGGGTGGAAACTCCCTGGCCTTCGGCAGTCCACGCAACAGCTCCCGTCTTTAAATCGAGACGGTGTGTGGGGCGGCCCAATTCACCACGTTACGCACAGCACGCCAGAACGAGCTCTTTACTATCGCTACTATGCGTGAGGTGTTGTGCATGCTAATGTTTAGATATCCTGTGCCGTACCACACTTTTTTGTAGTAGTAATGAAGATACCAACATGGGCTAGAATTTGCAGTAGCTGGCTGAGAGAGCAGGATCCGTAGAATTCAACGAGCATCTTCTAACAAACAAACCACAACCTTGTAGCTGAAGGGGCAGCACCGATTGGCTTGCCACCCACAAAGGTGTCGGTGACAACACATTCGCTTTCAAAGTTTCCTTTAGGTAAAATTTACGCTTTTGGTTTATGGTACATCTGTGAACATGAAGCTAAGGTACAATCACGTGGCTTGCTGCATGCAGTCCACGCACTCCTTACTACGCAAAGAACTGCGGCTGACCGTGAAGACACTGGCGCTGGTCGTCGTGCGGGGCATACGGCATCTGCACGGGCGGCCGCCACATGCCCAGGCACGGCGAGCTCTGCTCCCATAGGCTGGCCGTGTTGAAGCCCATGGCCGACACCTGCTGGGCCACGTGGGCCATGTGCTGGCGCCGCTGCTCCTCTTCCTCCTCCCGCTGTTGTTGTTGTAGTTGTTGCTGTAGCCGTTGCGCCTGCTGCTCTGCGGCGGCAGCTTCAACCTGCCGGGGCTCATCGTGGAAGAAGGCCTCGGGCGACGCCGAGAAGTCGAAGGCGTTGAAGCCCCCGTGAAGCTCAGCGTCGTCGACGTCTTCGAAAGGCCCGCGGTGCGCAGACTGGTGGTGGGGAATATGGTGATGGTGATGGTGATGGTGATGGTGCTGCTGCTGTTGCTGCTGCTGCTGGCGCCACTTGGCCGAGACTTTGCGTCTGCGGCCGCCGTCCTCGTCCAGCGCCTCCACCCTGGAGGCTGCGCTGCCCACCGCCCCCGGCTGGTCGCGGTGCAGGCGGCGGTGGCGCGCGCGGAAGCGCTCGATCTCGGCGGCCTCCTCGTCGAACTTGGGCCCGCCGGCCGCAGGCGGCATGAACTGGAACATGCGACGCAGGCTTGCGCGGCACCGATTCGATTGTGGCGTGTTGCTCCGGCGATAAGAAGCGCTTGGCTGAACTTTCGTGACAGAGCCGTTTTTCAGCCAATCACGACTCGGCAAATCGAAACGTCACGTCTGTCGCGATTTTGTTTTTTGCAGGGCAAGTTGCCTTTTTGAGCACGAGCACATTGCAGTCTCACTTAGGATACTGCACAGTCTGCCCGGTGCCGGCGGTGCGCAGATAAATAGACAGACAGGAGCGACTTGGTCGCGCGCGTGCACGGCACTGACCCGATGGGCGGACGGACACGCGCTGCATTGCCTTTGACAGCGATTCCATGTCGTCGTGCACGGCCTATTCGTAATGCCAACGGAGAAACCAGCCTAAAGCGCAGTGGATTCTTGCGACCGCGGCTGCAGCTATTGTGATCGGCTCCGAGTGGCACACGCGCCGCGCTGCGGTGGTGACTCGGAGACCTGTTCGGCGGCGATTGGCCTGAGCCGTCGAAGCCCGGATCGTTCATAGAAAATGCCCGGCCTAGCCTGCCGTCCAAAGGATGCTTCATCCTGCAAAAACTCGCAGCTGGGATCGTTGTTGCCGGTGGAGGGAGGCGGTCTAAAAAAAAGTATCCTGGCTTGCAACAAGATCTGGGGTCTTAGGATCTAACTCTTAGGTTAGATTCCGCTTTGCGCTGCAGGTCATGTCCGCGCCGAGGCCATAGGCCTTGGCCGGCCTGTAGCCTTCGGGTCTCCGGGGTTGCACCGAAATCGCAACGCTGAACTGCCACAGTGCCCACCGTTCAATCAGCAGCAAACGGCATTTGCTGTCCATTCTTCTTTCGCTTCGTCGATCTTGAATTGGGTGTCTGCAATACTCCCTACAGCAGCAAGCACAGCAGGCCACTGCTATAGGCTCGGCCCTAAGGCTCAGGGTCTGAGCCAATAATTTGTTGCGGTATCTATCTGGTCGGACCTCGCAGCCCCAAAAAGAAGACGCTGGGCCGGGGGAACCGGTGTCCGGCTCGCCACCGCGCTTCCACATGCGGCGATCTTACAGCATTGAACCGGGCGCCACTTACTTATTTTTTACGCTTGAGGTGAGTGAGCTCGGCTGCAACATGAAACCGAGCGGAGCTCCTGGCGATCTGTTACATGCTGTATCGTACTAATCATTGCCTTATGGTAATCATTTGTTTCATCCAATCACCGATCCCCGTCACAGTCTTCTCCAAATACAGTACATGTACATGTAATTGTGCGGCTTGCCAAATATCCCTTAAGGCGGCACTTAATACACAATAATGGTCTGGTGTGAGTTCGCTTAGGCAGTTTTCGAGCTCAAACGCGTTATTTCTTGGATAGAACCAGTAATTTCACGTGGACGCGTGTACACTGTAATTGCTGCTTGTATACAACACGTAGTATGCAATCTGGACTTCTAGAACAACGCCGTCTATAGACGGCGTTGTGGCTGAGTCCAGATGTTCACTGTGAACATCTGGACTTCTAGAACAAATTGTCTATAGACGGCGTTGTGGCTGAGTACCGATCACTGTGAACATACTACGTGTTGTATACAAGCAGCAATTACAGTGTACACGCGTCCACGTGAAATTACTGGTTCTATCCAAGAAATAACGCGTTTGAGCTCGAAAACTGCCTAAGCGAACTCACACCAGACCATTATTGTGTATTAAGTGCCGCCTTAAGGGATATTTGGCAAGCCGCACAATTACATGTACATGTACTGTATTTGGAGAAGACTGTGACGGGGATCGGTGATTGGATGAAACAAATGATTACCATAAGGCAATGATTAGTACGATACAGCATGTAACAGATCGCCAGGAGCTCCGCTCGGTTTCATGTTGCAGCCGAGCTCACTCACCTCAAGCGTAAAAAATAAGTAAGTGGCGCCCGGTTCAATGCTGTAAGATCGCCGCATGTGGAAGCGCGGTGGCGAGCCGGACACCGGTTCCCCCGGCCCAGCGTCTTCTTTTTGGGGCTGCGAGGTCCGACCAGATAGATACCGCAACAAATTATTGGCTCAGACCCTGAGCCTTAGGGCCGAGCCTATAGCAGTGGCCTGCTGTGCTTGCTGCTGTAGGGAGTATTGCAGACACCCAATTCAAGATCGACGAAGCGAAAGAAGAATGGACAGCAAATGCCGTTTGCTGCTGATTGAACGGTGGGCACTGTGGCAGTTCAGCGTTGCGATTTCGGTGCAACCCCGGAGACCCGAAGGCTACAGGCCGGCCAAGGCCTATGGCCTCGGCGCGGACATGACCTGCAGCGCAAAGCGGAATCTAACCTAAGAGTTAGATCCTAAGACCCCAGATCTTGTTGCAAGCCAGGATACTTTTTTTTAGACCGCCTCCCTCCACCGGCAACAACGATCCCAGCTGCGAGTTTTTGCAGGATGAAGCATCCTTTGGACGGCAGGCTAGGCCGGGCATTTTCTATGAACGATCCGGGCTTCGACGGCTCAGGCCAATCGCCGCCGAACAGGTCTCCGAGTCACCACCGCAGCGCGGCGCGTGTGCCACTCGGAGCCGATCACAATAGCTGCAGCCGCGGTCGCAAGAATCCACTGCGCTTTAGGCTGGTTTCTCCGTTGGCATTACGAATAGGCCGTGCACGACGACATGGAATCGCTGTCAAAGGCAATGCAGCGCGTGTCCGTCCGCCCATCGGGTCAGTGCCGTGCACGCGCGCGACCAAGTCGCTCCTGTCTGTCTATTTATCTGCGCACCGCCGGCACCGGGCAGACTGTGCAGTATCCTAAGTGAGACTGCAATGTGCTCGTGCTCAAAAAGGCAACTTGCCCTGCAAAAAACAAAATCGCGACAGACGTGACGTTTCGATTTGCCGAGTCGTGATTGGCTGAAAAACGGCTCTGTCACGAAAGTTCAGCCAAGCGCTTCTTATCGCCGGAGCAACACGCCACAATCGAATCGGTGCCGCGCAAGCCTGCGTCGCATGTTCCAGTTCATGCCGCCTGCGGCCGGCGGGCCCAAGTTCGACGAGGAGGCCGCCGAGATCGAGCGCTTCCGCGCGCGCCACCGCCGCCTGCACCGCGACCAGCCGGGGGCGGTGGGCAGCGCAGCCTCCAGGGTGGAGGCGCTGGACGAGGACGGCGGCCGCAGACGCAAAGTCTCGGCCAAGTGGCGCCAGCAGCAGCAGCAACAGCAGCAGCACCATCACCATCACCATCACCATCACCATATTCCCCACCACCAGTCTGCGCACCGCGGGCCTTTCGAAGACGTCGACGACGCTGAGCTTCACGGGGGCTTCAACGCCTTCGACTTCTCGGCGTCGCCCGAGGCCTTCTTCCACGATGAGCCCCGGCAGGTTGAAGCTGCCGCCGCAGAGCAGCAGGCGCAACGGCTACAGCAACAACTACAACAACAACAGCGGGAGGAGGAAGAGGAGCAGCGGCGCCAGCACATGGCCCACGTGGCCCAGCAGGTGTCGGCCATGGGCTTCAACACGGCCAGCCTATGGGAGCAGAGCTCGCCGTGCCTGGGCATGTGGCGGCCGCCCGTGCAGATGCCGTATGCCCCGCACGACGACCAGCGCCAGTGTCTTCACGGTCAGCCGCAGTTCTTTGCGTAGTAAGGAGTGCGTGGACTGCATGCAGCAAGCCACGTGATTGTACCTTAGCTTCATGTTCACAGATGTACCATAAACCAAAATTGAAATTCAATGAAGTAAACAAGTCTACCTACCTAAGGCGCGTTCTTAAGTTCCCCGGAGCTGGGATGCCCCTCGTCCGTCAAACTTGATAATTGTAAGCATTTTTTAAGCCCCTAACTCTCGGGAACTACCGCGAACTACGGTGAAAGAAGAACATGGTCAGATAGCCCTTTCGAAACGTAACAAAGTGGTGCACACTTGGCGCGCATTAGTGAAGAAATGAAGTACTTGCAGTAGCTAGGGCGAAAGTCCCACGTCCCGACCACGCGAAAATGATGCGGGACCGGGACAAAACGAGCTCGGAAATAAACCTAGCCCGCTTTCTGAAAGCCAATCAAATCCATCTATTTCGTCCCGGGACTTGGGACCGGGAACTGAAGGACGGCCCTAAGCTACGTCCATACGGCAGTAGGATTCTTGGTGCCAATGATGCGACTCAGTTCTTGCTCTTGATGCGAACACTCGCGTGGGCTCAATGCCAGGGAACAACACAAAACTTCAATCATAATCACTATCTTGGTATTCAACATGCTATGTCTCTAGGTTACGAGTGGAGCGGTGGAAGGTTAAACGATGCGTGACCAGGGATGACTTCCATGTTGGTTCCCAGGCGGTGCGCCTGGATGAACCCGGTCGACCCGGAGCCCTCGAGCGAGCTGAACGTGACCTCGCCCCCGAAGTAACGAGCAAATAGCCTTGCCATGGGCAGCCCATAGCCACCTCCGCTGAAGTGTTGCCTGTAGCTGTGGTAGTTATTCGAGTCGATGGGCGGGCATGGTCGACTTGTGGTGTAGTCATAGTGCCACAGCTTATTCCAGCGGCTGCGAGGTACACCGCCGCCTTCATCGCTCACTTTGATAGTCAGGTCTTCACTCCCCACGCAGATCACGATCTCTACAGGTGGGAGTCCCTTTTCAAGCTTGTACTTGCTGACGTCAGGGAAGATCTTAACGCCAGATACATCGTTCACCTACAACGTTCACCAACACAGAGAACATGAGTATCCATCACACGAGTGACATGGTTGTAGCCAACGAAAATGTGTAGCAGCACGCACCGATGGAAGGAAGAACCCCAAAGACGGGCTGTCCGGGTTCATCACTTGCTTGAAATGGTTCACCGCACCAGGCGCTTTATGCGTCAGTTTCTTGTGGTGCTCCACGGTTGCACGCATCGCGTTCTTCACAAGTTCGAAGACCTATAAACAACGGGTCACCGCAAGCTGGTTAGACGAGAGGCCCAGTCATCGGAGCGGCCGCGGTGGGCTATTGTATCGTACCATGTGATGTAAGTGCGAGCGCACATACATCAGCGGCGTACTGGCACTCGCTGTTGCGTGGATCTCGACCGGCGGTGCTTCGCCGCAGTACTGGACGCACAGTTGCGTGGCACGGTCGCACGCCTCGCGCACGATCTCCTCGACGTTCACAAGGTGCACCCGTCCTCCGGGGCTCTCGAGCGACTCGACATGCTGGCCAATGAGCATGCGGATCCCGATGCGACCCAGGAAGAACTTGTTCAGCCGGTCCTTGATATCTTCCTGCGCACTCTGCATTTGCAGCGCGCTGTGTCCGAGGTCCGTGGCCTTGAGCTGCTGCAGTCCGTAGCAAATGAGCGGCACGAGGTTGGAGCCCCTCGCTTTGGCTTGGCGCAGCGTCTCCGTGAACTGCCGGTCCTCCGCCTGCTCACGGCAAAAGCGCACCCCAGTTAGAAATCTTAACGCCCTCCTCTACTACAGTAGTAAACGACTCCTTACAATGGTGCTCGGTGGCTTGGTCGTGTTGATCCAGTTCAGCTCACGTCTGTACACGTCGATGGCATCGCGGATGGACGTCGTGTCGCTTAGCCCCAGCGGCAACTCCGACAGCTCCACAATGGCACTGCATAGAAACAACAGCAAGCACTCTCGAGTTAGCATCACCTCGTAGCCGGGTGCAGCAGCAGCAGGGTCGGGACGCACCGCGCGAACCGCGACTGCAGCTCCTTGTGCAGGAACTTGGCTGAGACGATACGCAGCTTGGCGCCGCCGTCCGCGAACGTGCGCATCTGCTGCAGCGACAGCGGCGTGGGCTCCATGTCGGCGATCTCGCGCACTTGGTCCATGGGAATGGGCGTCTCGTGCCTGCAGAGGGGGTTACCACCGAAATAGGTCAGAAAATGGACTGCTGTGTGTGTGTGGGGGGGGGTGCAGCACAGTACGCACAGCTCGGGGGCGAAGCGGTGGATCTGGATGCAGCGGGCACTTTGGGCGTGGCGCGCGCGGCCCAGCGCCGCCGCCTGGAGACGCGCGGAGCTGCCGCCGCGGCACCGAAGCAGGTCCATGGGGGATTCCGTTTTGTCGGTGGCGTTAAAACTGCCGATGTGGAAGATGCCACAACGAGGTTCAGTTGTGGCATCTTCCACATCGGGAAATCAGCCACAAAGAACGTGGGCGCGGGATCGACCACAGGAGCGTTCTTATCGGTAAGCGCCCCACGGGGCAATTCCTCCAAGGGGGAATAATATAACAAGCTAAAAAACAGGGGCCTCATTGGTGGAAAAGCCACAAGAACATGCTCAATGGACGACCATTTTGGGCCGACACGCGGGTTTACTTACTGTACAGCACAGCACAGCATGGGTTCTCGTTGCTACAGGTGCTGCCTCCATTCAGGCTTGGCCAGGGCAATTGGGGCCCTCAACGGCTTTGGCACCGACGCTGCTGCCGAGATTGGTCGTCTTGGCCTAGTAGACACGCGGGCATCGACCGCCGAAACGCAAGCGCCCAGCCTCCAGGCTCTGGTCTGAGAGACCAAGCTCCGGGCCAGCGCATTGCCGTCGAGAGGGCAGCATGCACTGCACACTACATGCCGGTGTCGTAGTTGCCGAGAGCCCCGCGCCCGTCGACGTCGTCATGGGGCGCGGCTTATCTTCAACGTGGAAGTTGCCTTCCGGTGGTCGGCACAGCACGCGACGATCGCTTGCTCGGCGATCCGAAGCCATAGCAATCAACCGACTCGCTCGCTGCTTGTATTAACTTGTTCGAGTTGCTACGCATTGTACATGGATCCCTAGACTACAATACAACATGGGCTCTCATAGCTTCCGAGCCTCAAGACACCTTACGCAGCAAGACGGTCGGCCTCCCAGTCGGCCACGGCCTGCATTCGGCGCCGGAGCGGGACGACCGACTCCGTGTTGGTCCCCAGGCGGTGCGCGTGGATGAAGCCCGTCGTCCCCACTCCTTCCTGCGAGCTCAGCGCGATGTCGCCGCCAAAGTAGCGCGCGAACAGCCTCGCCATCGGCAGCCCGTAGCCGCCCCCGCTGAACTGCTCGCGATACGTCGGGTACTTCTCCGGGTCGACCGGCGGATACAGCGCGCTCGTGGTGTAGTCGTAGTGCCAGAGCTTGTTCCAGCGGCTGCGCGGGATGCCTCCGCCCTGGTCGGTCACCCTCACCGTCAGGTCCTCCTTGCCCTGGCAGATGACAACCTTCACTGGTGGCAATTCCCCGTCCGCGGGCAGTTCGCAGGCGTCTCTGAAGATCTTGACCCCGGCAACGTCTTGCACGGCTGGGAGGAAGAAGCCCAGTGACGGACTCTTGGGGTTCATCACGCGCTCGACAACACCCTTCACCTGTTTGCGGCTTGGCTTCGCTCGAGAGCGGTGGTGCTCCACGGTCGCGCGCATCGAGTTCTTGACGAGCTCGAACACCATGTGGTGCAGGTGCGACTTGACGTACATGAAGGGCATGTCGGCGCTAGGCGTCACGTGGATCTCAACGCGCGGGGCCTCGCCGCAGTACTCAACACACAGCCTCTGCGCACGGTCGCAGACCTCGCGGACGATCTGCTCGACATTGACACGGTGGACGCGGCCGCCAGGCTGCTCCAGGGACTCGACATAGTGTCCGACAAGCATCCGGATGCCGATGCGGCCCATGAAGAACTTGTCCAGTCGATCCGTGATGTCTTCCTGGACGCTCTCGAGTTGCAGAGCCCCGAAGTCGAGGTCCTTGGCCTTGAGCTGCTGCAGCGCGTAGCAGATGAGCGGCACGAGGTTGGAGCCCCGCAGTTTGGCCTGGCGCAGGTTCTCTGTGAACTGGCGATCCTCGCTCTGTTCACAGCAAGCACAGTTGCCGCAGTTAGGCTATCGATCTCGATATGGGCACAGCTGCTCCGCAAGGCCGCCTTACAATGGTGGTAGGGGGCTTTGTCGTGTTGATCCAGTGCAGCTCCTGGCGGTAGACGCCGATGGCCTGCTGAACGGCTGCCGTGTTGCTCAGTCCTAACGGCAGGTCCGACAGCTCCATGATCGCTCTGAACAAGGCCATAGGAAGCTCATGAGACTCTCTACATCTGTATCTTCCTCGTTTACTCTACGTTGCACTACTCCGGCGACCGACTCACCGAGCGAATCGGGACTGCAGCTCCTGGTGTAGGAACTGGGCCGACATGAGGCGCACTTTGGCGCCAGCGTCCGCGAACGTCCGCATCTGGCGCAGCGACAGAGGCCGCGGCTCGGTGGCGGCAATCTCGCGCACTTGGTCCATTGTGATGGCGGCCTCCTCGAGCTTGTGGCTCACGGCGTGTGCGTGCAGCGCGACGCCGCAGTGGTGTGCGCTGGCGGTCTTGGCGACCAGGACCAGCACGCGCAACAGGTTCTGCGGGGTGGCCCCGCGTCGCACGATCTCCATTACTGTTGGGAATCCTTCTTCACGCGTACGGATTGCGTGCTCGAGCGCGATTTGGGAAGTGAGGCTGTGTGCGAAGCTCTCGGCGCCCCACAGGTGCTCGCGAATACTCGTGGCGACCACGCTCGCGATCGAACTTGCGTTTCTCGTTTTATACCGGATACAGCTTGTCTTTGCATACAGTTAACTTCAACGCCGGCAACTTTTGCCGGTGGTGCCGATGGCTTCACAACGTCGTGATCGGCGTGACAAGCATGGACCTGCAGTGACGAACTTCGGCTAGAGTACTCTCGGGGGAGTCTGCCCCTTGTGCGTCGCGCCAATACTGAATTCTTCGCTGGAGTACATTAACCATCTCGAGATGGACAGCTTGGCTCGAATGGGTAAGTACTGTCCGCGTATCCAATAACGTCGGGAAGAGCCAGACTTCGAGCGCGAGCAGGTTCACGTTAAATGGCAGGGCTTCTCGGCGTGAATACCCGCCAGATTACCCGTCGACGTCGACGCCACTGCAGTAAAATCACGCTTGAACATGTTGCATGTATTCGTGTTGCAGTTGAAGTTTACAATTGGGCACCCGAGAATGCAATACTTATTGTGAGAACCGGCTAAAACGCCCATTTGTAGCAACCCCTTATTAGATTGCATAATTAATCAGAGTACAAATAAGGGCTGAAATCGATCGTGATCTGGATCCATCGCTTGGCTGCTCGATTGCCCAGTATAAGGTGGGCGTTCTGCTCCAAGCGCGGCTATATCGACTCCCATAAAACGATCGTCTAATCTGCACATCCACTCACATATCGCGGCCGTTCCGACATCCCTACATATTCCGACAAATAGGACACATACCTAAATTATTAACCAAATGTAGGTTGTTCTCTCCAAAATACAACAGCGGTGAAAATGGCGATGGTGTTGAACACAAGCACAAGCAGCTATAATAATACTAAGTGTAGTAGAAGAAATCAAAGAGTCTAAGAATGGTTACATATATTAGTGCAGTCCGTCACCTTCTAAGATGCTGTACCTCGGCAATCATGCCGGTTGTTGCAGCACGCGTAGTCTAACGTCCTGCCACTCCTGTCCATCTCATTCGAATTCACCAGCCTCGAACGCGGGCCCACCAGCGAGGTCATGACGGTGTTGCTGGGGGCCTTGGGCTGCATCTTATCCGTGGCAGTGACGCGCATGTGGAAACCCAGCACAGGTCCGCCGCTTTCACCGGCGTTGGTGGGCCACTTGCTGCATGTAGCCTGACAGACGCCCCGCTTTTTTAACTTGCTCAACGTGCGGTCCTGTAACCACGCACACCCGCCCACCTTCTTGCCCTTGGCCTTGGTCGTCTCGCTGCCGGTCGTGTCCACGGTCACGAGGACCACCTTGCAATTGACGGCGACGATCTTGGGACGCATGACAGCCGCACGAGCAGTAGGACTTGCCGAAGCATCAGGAGTAGTAGCCCTCGACGGAGGCGGAGTCGTGGACGCTGTGTCGGTGACCTTGTTGTTGGCCGCCACCGCAGCTGACCTGCTGGCCGAGCTGCCCTTGGTGCACAGCGCATCCGCTCACCAGGCAGCCTTCTTCAGCTCTACTCGCTCTTGATCATCTCGCCGTCGCGCAGTTCTCGCCGATGTAGTTCCCTCGTGCAGCAGCTCCACGGTGCTGTTCGCCGCGTGCACGCGCACCACCTTCGCGAAGCGCGCCGCGGCCTCAAAGGCACGGCATGCTCCAGCCCACGACGGGTGCTTGAGACGTCATGCTGCCGAATGTCCTCGAACGCGTGCGCGGTGGCGACGGCGTTGCGCGAGAGCCCCACTTCCCCGCTTGCCGTCGTGGTCACGATCGTGCCCTTGGCCGCGCCTGCGTCGCGTGTGCCTTGCCTGGACTTGGTCACTTGGTCGCCATGTTCCGAATCTTGAGATGACAGATGACCAATCAAACCTTTTGAACTCAAACCTCCCGTCCTACTTTAGGATACATCCTACTTGTCAGAATGGCAAAAATATTTGAAAAATATGTTTGCTACTTGACTTTTGTAAACACATATACATATTTAGGCCAGCCTTCCGACAAATATTTGTCGGAAAGTGTCGGAACGCGTTCATATAACCCTAACGTATTGCATTGGATAAAATATCCACACCAGGCAAAATGATAGGCTGTAATTCGGGTGGAGATCAGCCATAAGTTATCAGTCGGAAAGACCACTATATTCATCCATATGCATCGCAGGACGCGATCGAATTACAAATCGATCGAGCTAAATCAGAGTCTAATTAATCGATTTACGAGCAAAATAGGCAAATAAAGCAGTTTTCACAATAGATTAAACCTTCTAAACTGCAGGCAAAATTAATCATTGCATTTCAGTGACACCTCCTTAAATGAACCCCTCTAACTGACCATGTGTTCCCTATCTGGTTAGGATTCCTCGACTGCAAACGGGATTATATAGATTTCACTATAGGTGTTCTATAACTGATCAAAAACCTCTTTATTCTCTAAATGGTCGCCATTGTTGGCGCTAAATGGACGCCGTAGTAATAGATCCAAACTCATATATTTTTCTCAATCACTTGCCTGCCTCCTCCCACGTATGTCATTGCTACCACTACTCCCGCCATAACAAATCGAGCGAAGAGAGAAATTGTATTTGGATGCTACAAAGAGTTTGCAGAAACTGCAAGCTTGTCATAAAGAAGTTAGCCACAGTATTTTACAATCAGCGCAGCGTACATATATATTTTACGAAAAACTAAAATATTATGATGTCGAGACGACTAGGGGCTATGCAGTAGATACCAAGCAAAAGATAAAACTGCAGGCATGGTGGCAGGATATCGGGACAACAAATATTCCTATAACCTCACTGTATTGAAACTCACGTACAACCTGAGGGGATGCGATTCTGCTAATACCAATGAGAAGAAGGAGTAGGAACAGACAATACCGCGCCTACCGTTATTAGTTGAGTTCTGATTGTGTGAAGACCAAACAAAACAAGAGTACGAAAATGCTGGAGGGGTACCAGGTAAAGAAAGCCCTTGTGCACCTAACATATGAAAATGTAGCCATTAGAAGTGTAGACATTTCTTTATCTGCTCAATTCTTTAACTGAAACAGCATCTTAGACCGACCGAACTGGGTGTCATTTATAGAGGTGTGACTGTATTGCCATTAATTACTGCCAATTCGTGCACGAACCTGCTCCACCGTGTTGACGTCCCACAAGTCGCGGTTGTACTGCAGACACATCAGCATTTCGAGCATGGTGGGGGAGAGACTCTTCCGCACGTCTGTGAGCACCAGCTTCGCCGCCGAAAAAAGCGCTCGCATTCGTTGGACGTCGGCGGCGCGTAGGCGACGTCCACGAAATGCGAGCGCCTCGGTGTCTTCCTCTTCTTGAATGCCGCCTTGACGATAGAGCTGTTGCCGTCCTCCTGCGCTGGCGCCCTTTCAAGGGTCGTCGATCTAAACTCGGCACACGCCGACCGTTCCGCGGCCATCAACGACTCTCCGCGCTGACTTGACGAGGCCCAGTTCTAAATGCGGGGTTGATGACGATCGGAGCCGTTGTGACCAGTCGTGCTTGAGTGCAGGGTACTCCTTCACGACCTGGTCGAAAAGACGGTGCACAGTAGATAAAGTTAGCGTAGACCTCTGTAGCTCTTTCGTGACGCCCTCGAACTTCACCAGGTCCTTCTCCAACGCCTTGACTCGCTCGTGCTCGGCGCGCCGCAGCAAAAGCGGCTGTACTTCGTACTTGACCAGAAGGTCATGGCCCAGCTTGATTATGGTGGCTGGAGCTTCACATAGCGCGTCACCATCTCGTACGTGCTCGACCACCTGGTGTCGTTCCTCAACAGAGGCGACAGATGGGAGACGCGGCGAAGCAGAGCGCGGCCCTTGATCGTTCGGAGCTTGGCCATCAGCGCGTGCACCTTCGCAATGAGCTCGTCCTCGGTCTTGAGGAAGTCCTTCACCACCAAATTGAATCTGTGGCTAGCACATCCAATGAAGGGGATAGCCCCTTCCTTCCGGCCGATGCATTGGTTCACAGAGCAGTTGTCACTCACCATGACCTTCACCGCGCTCTAGGGCTTGTTATAACGAGACTGCATGTCGGCGATCAGGTCGTACTGACTCTGCGCACCCGTGTCTTCCTCGAACTCTACTGGAGCGAATGTTAAAAACAGGAAGCGGCGCGATGAGCACTCGCGACCGTCATAGTACTCGGTATCAGCGCCGTCACCGGTAATACCGGTACTGTCGCTGCCGAATACCGCGAATATCGCGATGTAGTGACGACCACCACGTATCCTCCCGTCCAGAACGAGGCCGAACGATGCAAGGAGCTCGCGAGCGACGCGCAGCTCTAGCAGCTCGAAAATCAGCACGATGTACTTGGAGAGGGTACGAGAGAGAGAGGGAGGCGTTGAGGCGCGTGATCCGCCGCTCTACGAACGCAAACGGGAGGCGGTCCCCGATGACCCACTCGAACCAGCGATATAGGTATGCTGACGAGGTGTAGGCGCAGCGGGTTCTGGCGGCGTGAAGCCTCCTGGGCCTCTTGCTCGTACTTATCGTGGTTGTGCCGCAGGTCGTTCAGCAGGTTCGTGTAGCCATTGACCTTCTTGTACGGTTTGTCGCACGATGTTCACTTGTAGAAGCTGTTGCCGACATCAGTGAAAAGCATGGAGCAGATTTGGCTGCTCGTGAGGACCATGGTGGACACGTGGGGCGAAGAGCTTGGGCGGTGACGGGTGAAGAAAGCAAATTTGATTTTGATGGAGACTCCGCTGCGAGTGGTGTGGTGAAGTGGTGACAGATCGACGAGTGGTTGGTGGTGGACTCTTCGGTGGACACTGGTGGCTGCAGCGAGCTTCATTTGAGCAATTCAAGTACGAAATGTGTGCAAATCAAAAATTAAGTGAGGGACTAAAATAAATCATTGAACTAAGTATTCGAATGTATTTTTATGAGTATTATTTTTTCGGGTGCCCTGGTTTACAAGCTGCACCCCGGACTCCCGTTTCGTTGGTACTTGAGCTTCAACCCGACTGCTTTGGCTCGCGAAATTTCCACGATGCAGTAGTGCATGTAGAGATAGAACCCACCGAGCGAGGTCGTGTCGGAGCCAGTACAGCTACGTGGTGTACGATAGAGTCGATGAGGAAGGGGGATTGAAGATACATTCCAAGTTCAAAACCAAAATATCAAGGCAGGAAAATTGATACCGTGTTGGCTGGCTTGCTTCCCTCTAAGCTAACAGTCTTACTCAAATTGATGTTACACGCAGCGAGCTGCAACCGCTTGGCTTTAGTTGCTACATTGAACCATGACTGGGTCGACGTGCTGCTGCATGCTTCCAAACAAATTACTCCGAGTTCTTGAAACGTCGGGCAACCTTGTGTCGTGTACCGCTGTGTTACTGGATCATATCGGGCCTGGGGGATATGGTTCATGCTAGCTCCGCCCAGCTCGTTTGCCCACTATCGGTTTGTACGCATTTGTGGGAGCTTTGTATCGGTCAAACTTGCACCAGCGGAGCTTGCCTTTGCTGTTTTGCAAGCCGACAAAGACGCTCGTTCAAACTGGTCAGAAGCTGATCACTCCACCCTTGGACAATATCGCGTTGCGTTCAACTTAGCCGCGGTCTTTGATTCAATGGATTGTTGTTGCTGCCAAAGTCGACGAAGTACCATGCACCAGCTGGGCCGAGGGACACGACAAATCTGGGTGGCAAGCCACACCAACGGAAGTCGTCGCGGGCTGAGGATTCGTTCGCTTGGGCTTGCTGAATCTCGGTACCTGGTTGTGCTCGTAGAGACACGCGTCCTGCGTGTTCTCCAAGCAGCCGCCGCCACTCTAGTTCATTTCTCATTTCACGCTGCTCGTCATCGCCGAACCAATTTTGCAAGAACGAACGACATTGAGGAATCGAGGCCAAAAACCTAAAAACCTGTTGTCGCGCAACAGGTGACAGCTCGATGCACGCATACTAAGCGAGATGGCTTCAAGATCGCTCTCGCAGCTTCGTTGCTTTCAGTAATCGAGGCCCTGTGACTGAGCAATCGACGCGGAGCAGGGGCATCCCGGCCACATAGACTCCAAAGTGGCAGTCAAGCTGCGAGCCCATGCTGACCGCATACGACCGAGCGTCTCGGCCATGAGCAAGCGAGCCGCAGTGCCAAAGCCGAGCCGGCCCGTTAATAAGCGCTGAGACGGCAGCGAAGACCGCGTGGATCTTGCACAGGAATTAAAATACGGGCAAACGTCTGCTCTGCCAACGAGCCCAACGTCGTCCAAGCAAATAAACGGCCACCAGCTAAATTGAGCGCAGGATCCTCGCACCAGGCGCTGAGGTTGGCGAGATCCACCGTTACGACGAGAGTGGCGCGCAGAAAATTCTCCTTGTCAAACGACATGGTGGTCTACGCTTTGCATGAGCGTGACGCGCGTGTTCTTGTGGCCCCGGGGGCCCCGAGTCGCATAAGTCGTACCGTATCCCTGTCCAAATCGCAACGAATAAATATCCTTTAATATACGATATGCACATTCGTGGGCGTAGAAACTAATAAATACCTATTAGAATGGATACCCCGACTAATCACGCCTTAGCTGATATTATGCTACATTCAGCGCGCTCTGAAGCGACAATAATAGTCGGATAGAAACGCACAGAGACCAAGCAGAAGCTGAACTTTGCCTAGGTATCCGCTTGCTAAACGGCCGCTGGGACCTATCCTCCGGTTGCTGGCAGATTTCAATTTGCTCTCAATCCACCACTACAACACAGCATGGAACTCGTGCGGTGCGGTGCCAACCCCCATCTGCTCACGGGCGCGCTCTGCGCCGTGGCCAAGACCGTCGTCGCACGCCACGGCGCTGCGCGGCTGCACATGGACGCCTTCCGGCCGGACTTCGAGGCCAGCGCCATCTCCATGGACGAGGTGCGCGAGATCGCCGACAAGGAGCCCACGCCCATGTCCCTGCAGCAGATGCGCACCTTCGCCGACGGCAGCATGAAGCTGCACGTTCTGTCGGCCAAGTTCGTGCACAAGGAGCTCCAGTCCCGCTACGCGCGCGCCATCATGGAGCTGTCCGACCTGCCTGTGGGCCTGAGCGACACCACGTCGGTGCGCCACGCCATCAACTTCTACCGCTACGAGCTGCAGAGCATTAACCGCATGAAGTCGCCCACCAACGCCGCCGAGGACCTCGTGTTCACCGAGAAGATCCGCAACGCCAAGGAGCGCGGCTCCAACCTCGTGCCGCTCATCTGCTACGGCCTGCAGGAGCTCAAGGCAACGGACCTCGGCCAGAGCGCGCTGCAGCTCGAGACCGTGCAGGAGGACATCTCCTCCCGCCTGGACAAGTTTTTCCTCGGCCGCATCGGCATCCGCATGATCATCGGACACCACGTCGAGTCGCTGGAGCACACGGGCGGCCGCGTCCACCTCGTCAACGCAGAGCAGGTCGTGCGTGACGCGTGCGAGCGCGCGCGGAGGCTCTGCATCCAGTACTGCGGCGTGGCGCCGCCCGTGCAGATCCGGGCTACGCCCAGCGCCAACATGCCCTTCATGTACGTCGAGTCGCACCTGCACCACATGGTGTTTGAGCTCGTCAAGAACTCGATGCGCGCCACCGTGGAGCACCACCGCTCCCGTTCGCAGCCCCAGCCCCGCGGCAAAGTGAACCGCTTCGAGCGCGTGATGAACCCGAAGAGTCCGTCGCTGGGCTTCTACATCCCGTCCGTGCAAGACGTTGCAGGGGTCAAGATCTACCCGGACGTGAGCAAGTACAGCGCCGGCGACGACTTCCCTCCCGTTGAGATCGTGATCTGCCAGGGCAGCGAAGACCTGACCGTCAAGGTGAGCGACGAGGGCGGAGGTGTGCCTCGCAGCCGCTGGAACAAGCTCTGGCACTACGACTACACCTCGAGTCCTCTGTGCCCGCCCATCGACTCGGACAACTACCCGACGTACCACGAACACTTCAGTGGCGGCGGCTATGGTATGCCAATGGCACGATTGTTCGCTCGGTACTTCGGCGGTGAAGTTGTCTTCAGCTCGCAGGAGGGGTCCGGCTCGACGGCGTTCATCCAGGCACACCGACTGGGGACGAACATGGAGTTGGTTCCTCTTCGAAGGCAGATGCAGACGGCAACGTCGCCCCCTCCGCACTGGCAACTGCGCCGTTGTGCATACGCATAGAGAAGCAGTACAGTTGTTCACTTCATTTTATTTTATTTATCGAATCAATGGATAAGTAGACTATGGCATCCTGGAAATTAGTCTTTTGAATCATGACAACAATGATGAAAAGACCAAAGCAACCTCGAGCTTGTCCAGCAATTGTAACGAAGTCGAACAAAAGACCCGCCACTACGAGTCATTCTTAAACCACTGTCGAGAATTTGACGCTTCTCCTCGTAAGTTTTCGGCTCGAAGCCGAGCTTGATGGTGGATAGTAGCGGGTTGTTGATCCACTGACGTTCGAGACGGACCGGGCGTCTTGCGGGAGCGTCGTGTTCACCGACTCAAGCGTACACGATAACCAAGTACGTTCCGGTTCACGGAATGTATTCGTTTTCATCTGAGCCTCACTTCAGGCTGCCGCGACAACACGGCTTACACTGCGTGCTGCTTGATCGGGTCCCACGCAGTCACGAAGTACGTGTCCAACCCATTCAACTTCTCGACCTGTTCGCTCGTGAGCTCCAGCTTGGCCGCCTCCAAGTTCTTCTTGATCCTCGACTCGGTCACCGACTTGGGCAGCGTCACGAAGCCCTTGGCCAGGCTCCAGGCGATCAGCACCTGCGCAGACGTCGCCCCCGCCTCGCTTGCAATCTGCTTGAGCGTGCGGTCGTGCATCTTCTGGGCGCGGGCCAGGGGCGAGTACGCCTCCATGATGATCCCCTGCTCCTCGCAGTACTTGACCGTGTCGGCGCGCGCGAGCCACGGGTGCAGCTCCACCTGGTTCACGGCGGGCTTGACGCGCCATGTCTGGGCGAGCTTCTGCAGATGCAGCTCGCCAAAGTTGGACACGCCGATGTCGCGCACGACGCCCTCGGTCTGCATGTCTTCCAGGGCCCTCCAGGCCTCGGCGCGCGTGGCGCCGTCAAAGGGGGCGTGCAGCAGGTACAGGTCGATGTACTCGAGCCCGAGCTTGCGGTTGCTGAGCCGCACGCCCTCCACCACCTCGTCGTAGCTCCATCGGCCGCGCGGAGCCACGATCTTGCTGGTCACGAAGACCTCCTGGCGGGGCACGCCCGAGTCGCGGATGGCCTTGCCCACGTCCGCCTCGTTGCGGTACACGGTGGCCGTGTCGATGTGTCGGTAGCCGAGACGCAGCGCGGCCAGCACGGCGTCGTACGTCTCAGCGCCGGGGGCGCTTTGGTACACGCCCAGCGCGACGGCGGGGATCGAGTGGCCGCTGGGCAGCAGCTTGGACTTGACGAACGAGCTCATGCGGGTGGCAGCGCTGGGGGGGATGAGAGACTGGGGAGGCCTCAGCGGAGACCGTCACGCACGAGGATACGTATGCACTTGCCACTATTTACGTGACTTAGTTACGGTGGCGAGCGTCAACACGGATTGAATGAGCTCTGCTGGGAGTGCCATGGTTCTCTCGAGCGCAGAGCACTTTGCCGAGTGAGTGCGAGTGAGTGTGGCTGGGTGGATATGCACAAGCGCTTGCAGGCCGTCGGCGTGCATCACGGTAGTGTTGACCAATTAGGTCGGAGACGGATGGGGCTGATACTGTAGTGTAGAGGGGTGTTGCCACTGCTTGGTCGGCCAGACCGCGATGCCACCTTGTCCGACTCCCAGCATGGAGTCATGTTGAAGCTGCATGCAAGTCGCAGCGTGGCACCTCAGCGGCGACTAGCGCACAAGATCGAGGCGACCTGATAACAAGTGAGACCTTACTTCAATCGGACGAGGAGCGCGTCATACCGCCGGTAGGTGTGCTCATTGGCCGCGACTGGATCGAAGGCGTACAGGAGCACTGCATCGCCGGCTTCTGCATGCGTGGAGCTGTCGCCCTGTAGCTTGGCCTTTCATTCCTCGTCTTGCCTGTGCTGCCGCTCGTCTCCTTCAGCTCGTCCGGGTCAACGTAGCTAAGAGACGTAGCGCCATGCCCCACGCCCAAGAACTCGACTTGGAGAAGAGCTCCGCCAACTCGTACGTCCAATTCGATACCGATGCTGACGTCCCCGTCGAGTACGAGAATGGCGACACCTGGTACGCGCGCGCGCAACGCTGGGCCGAGAAGAACTACATGGAGCCGCGCAGTATCGAGCGCGTGCCGGAGGACGAGCGCCACGACACGTCGCTGATCAACGTGTGCACGATGTGGCTGTCCCCGAACATGGTCATGGGCCACTTCGCTGTCGGCATTCTCGGCAAGGCCATCTACGGAATGGGGGTCGTCGACTCGATGCTGGTCATCCTATTCGCCAACCTGCTGGGCGTCCTCCCCGTGTGCTTCTTCTCGTGCTTTGGGCCCGTGTTTGGCCTGCGTCAAATGGTTCTCAGCCGGTTCTGGTTCGGCGCGTACGGCATCCGCCTCGTGTCCGCAATCGCCTGTGTTTCGGGGCTCGGCTGGGCGACGGTGAACGTGATTGTCGGCGCGGAGCTCATCCACGCGGTCAACACCGACGTCCCCGCCTGGGCTGGGATCATCATCATCGCCTTCTGCACCTTCCTCATCACGCTCTTCGGATACAAGGTCGTGCACTACTATGAGCGGTACTCGTGGATCCCCAACTTCATCGTGTACTTGATCCTGCTGGGCACGTTCATCCACTCGGGAGCATATGTCCACATTCCAATGGGATCCGGCAGTGCTGAAGTCTCTGGCGTGTTGAGCTTCTTCTCGGTTGTCTTCTGCACAGCTATCAGTTGGAGCACCATGGCTGCGGACTACACGGTGTACCATCCTCCGAAGGAGAGCAAGCGCAAGATTTTCTTCGCGACGTGGCTGGGATTGATCTTCCCGTCAGTCTTCACCTAGTGGATCTCTGTCATCGTCATGTCAGCCACGGGTCTCGACCCCAATGCCACCGACAACATTTACCTGAACGGCTACAACGACTCGGGCGCTGGAGGTTTGATCGGTGCAGTTCTCATTCCCCACCTAGGAGACTTCGGTCGCTTTTGTCTCGTGATCATGGCGCTGTCGACTGTCGCCAACAACTGCCCGAACGTGTACTCGTTCACGCTCAACATCAAGGTCATCGGACGCTGGACCCGCTTGGTTCCTCGTTTCATCTGGGCGCTCATCGCTGCAGTCGTGTACTCCATCATCGCCATTGAGGGGTACTCGCACTTCGGTCCGTGCTCAACAACTTCATGAACTTCATCGCGTACTGGGCGTACTGGGCCACGATTTACTCGTCCGTGGCGCTGACCGACCACTTCGTATTTCGACGCGGATTCGACGGCTACCATGTTGACGATTGCAACAAGCCCGAGAAGCTCCCGATCGGCTTCGCGGCCATCTTTTCCTTCTTGTGTGGCTGCGCTGGCGTGGCGCTTGGTATGAGCCAGACTTGGTTTACAGGCCCTCTCGCGAGTCATGACGACATTGGCTTCGAGCTGGGCTGCATCTTCACCGTTGTGGCCTTACTGCTTTCAAGACCTGTCGAGAAACGAATCTTCAAGCGGTAAGTATTGAAGAACTAATGTTGAGGGGGGAACTAAACCAGCATAACTGAAGTGTCCACGTATCAATCCATCGAAATACACACATACCACGGAGATGCAATGGACTCCATAATTGCGTCCGGCATTGTAGGTACTCGTCGAGCACCCACAATGCGCTGCTCGGTGCTGCGGGCCTGGGCTCGTGCTCATTCTCCAAAAAGCCACCAATGACGCACTGGAGGCGCCTCAAGCAACGCATCACGCCGCACTGGGTGAGGTGCGGTCACTCACCTTCATCGTCCTCGACGACGATCGTGCCTGTCTTCGCGTGCGCTGTTGGCTCGGACGTGCGAAGGAGCCCGTGATCATGCGCACTGTCAGCCTCCTGACATCGCAGCCACCCTCCCGACGCTGCTGGAGTGCATCCAGCAGCTGGTGCAGTTTGTGCAGGACGAGCATGAGTAGTTCCTCGCCGTCCGAGCCCTGGAGCGTCGCGAGCGAGAAGACCGCCGGCAGCAAGTCCAGCAACGAGGCCAAGAGCAACTCGACGCAGTGCGCGAGGAGCAGGATCGAGTGAGAGAGGTCACTTTCGACTGGGCGGTGCTACTGGACGTACTGAGCCATTTGGTCGCGCACTCGCTACTGGGCTCGTTCCAGGCGTTCGCCCCGCTCTCACAGCGCCTGAGCGCGGAGACGCAGCAGAGCATGGACGCCATATTCGGTGACCAGTATCGCGCGGTGCTACAGCGCGGGGAACTCCTGGGGATCGACGCGGCGGCGCTGCAGCCCAGCTCGCGCTTTCGGTCCTGGGCTGCGATGGTCCAGTGGAGCAACGTTCGCCCCATTGAGAACACGCGACAAGACGTCCGCCAGCGTCTCAACCGTGCTGACTGCGTTGATCCTCAAACGCAGCAGCGCAAGATTGACGCGTACAACACGCGTGTGCAGCGCAAGCAGCGCGAAAAGGAACTTCGAGCCCGGATGAAAACTGTGAGCGCGCGTTTGAAGACATCGCGCGTGACGCGTCCACAGGAGCGCGCTCTCGAGCAGGAGGAGAAGTCCCAGCTCAAGGACGAGCTGGAGCTGCTCGAGGGCGAGGATGCGTTGCTCATCAGGCGCGTCCGCCAGTATCGACTGAAGCCGACGCTTGAGCAGGCCCGGCAGCTCAAGAAAACAATGGACGCGTGCCGGTACACGCACAACAAGTGCGTCGAGTACCGGCGCAAGGGTGGTGATGGAGGCGAGAACAAGCTCCAGAAGCTCTTCGTGGCGCGGCCCAGGCAGCGCCAAGTCCCGCTGGAGTACCCGGAAGACATAGGGCCGGCCCCCGAGTGGGTGCTGGAGACACCCGCCTCAGCACGCTGTCAGAAACTTTGTGTCCGCCACCAGCGCGGCCTTCACGAACCTGGCGCGCGGCCACATCACCCACTTCAACATGCACTTCAAGTCCAGACGGGAGAGCAACTACTTCACAATATACGCAGACGCGGAGGCGACTCACCTCAACTCAGCACGACACCGCAGGGGCACGCGGCACTTTGGTCCAGCGCCCCTTCCCCGGGACCGCAAGCCTAAGAAGGTGGATCAGTACCTAACGATCCCCCCGTACCCAACATCCTCATCAGAGCGGACGAGGGCACGGAGATCGAGGGCGAGGTGCGCATCGTGTACGCACACGGATACTGGTACGCCCAGATGCCGCACGTGGTCGCTCCACTGCCCGTGGAGGACACAGGGCGCTGCACAGCGGGGGACCCGGGTCTCAAGGGGTTCCTGACCACGATGGACCTGCAGGGCAACATCGCCCACCTTGGCCGCGCCAACTGGGATCGACTGTTGAAGCTGAAGACCCGCCAGCGAGCGGCCCAACGCCGAATGAGCAGGTTCGTGGCGAACAAGAAGTACCGCAAGCGCCACCACCTCGGCCGCCACACAGGCCGAGAGTGGAAGCAGTTCGTGGCAGCTCGCCGCGAGTTCTACACCGTGACGGTCAAGCTGGACAACTACGTGAAGGACCTTCATTACAAGGCAGTTTCACACCTGTGCCACAACACGGACGTGATACTGCTGCCCAAATTCTCGACTTCGTCCATGTTGCGCCCAAGTGCCCCGTGGACGCACGCGTTCAACGACCAGATGAACACGCTGGTCCACTACCAGTTCCGGCAGAGACTGCTGGCGAAGTGCGAGGTGGCGGGCAAGGCCATGGTGCTGTGCTCTGAGATGTACTCGAGCCGCACCTGTGGCCGCTGCTGCCGCCTCCACCTCACACTGCGCAACGAAGATGTATTCCGGTGCCCCCACTGCGGCTTCCTGGCTGGACGAGACGAGAACGCGGCCTACAACATTCTGCGGTTCGTGTGCGCGGGCTCTCTCTCGGTTTACGCAGTGAATGGTGTAGTGCAGTTGTAGTGGGTAGTGGTTACAGCGAGCATGGCCCCGCCGATGAGAAGCGCTAGGCTTGGCGGGGTGACAGACTGTAACACATTATTATGAGGGGAATTATTGAAATCACCATATATTATTAGGACTTACCGCTCGCTAGTCGTCATTCTGCGGGCTACTTGGCCATCGTCACGAGGAGCCCGTCTTGCTGGTAGAACAGGCGAGTGGTGTAGTCCCCGATGGATGCGCCAATGGTGCCATTGACTCGCATCAGCAGGCCGCCCGTCAAAGAATGGATAATCGTCGCAATAGCCTCCGGGCTCAAGAAGCTCTGCACGTCGGCACTCATGCACTGGCCAACCGATGCCCGCGGACACAGTGACACATGCTCATCGCAGTGAGAGCCTTGGCAGCAAGAGAAGCAGCCGCGAGTGTTTGCAGGGATGAATATCGGCTGGAATACTGCTGGAGAAAACCTAGCTAGAGATTCGGCGTAGTACTTCTTGCACTCCAGCTTCCCATGGTCGCCTAACATGGCATACAAAAGTAAAGTAAGAAGCAGTATCATGAACGATATCGCAAATGAGTTCACACACCTGCCACCTGGTCTTCGCAAGGATACAGCTCGAGATCCACCGTGGTCACAGTAATACTCTCGCTGAATGGATTACGCAGCTCGAGAGACGTTGGAATCCGTGTCAGATGGAAAATCGACGGAATATACAACAACGACGAAGTGACAAGGGTTGGTGTCGCGGGGAAAAGCTCAGCCAGAGTTGACAACTTCGACGGAATCGAAAGAGCTTCCATCGCTGGCTGGAGTAAATCCAGCGAAGTACTCTCCTCTGACCCCTTGATAGCAATCTAACCGAACAACAACAATACATAGTATGATGTCAGTCCACATACCTCGACCAAACACCACGAAGGATTGACGATAAAGTACCTCCTGGGCAGCTCCATGCGTGAAGTACCCACAGACGAAATTGGACAGAAATCTCTCTGCAGTCGCACGGTCGCTCGCCTGCGGGTTGTACTCGAACCTTCCTCGTAGAATCGTTGGTTGGCCGCAACAGTTGAGACTAAAATCCGAGATCTTCGCGGAGCCCATTCGCGCACCATCGAAAAAGACGTCCAAGACGAGTGAGCCCAACTTTGTCTGTACAATCGACGGGTTCTGCAGGGAAAACTCCATCGTCATGACCATGGACTTCTTTGAACCTTGCTCAATGTCGACGCTGAGAACTTTTACGGGCGGGTTGCGAAAGGAATTCATAGCTGGGATCAACGGTTCGCCTTCGACCGGAATGTTGCTCAAAGCTAGCATTCCCATCCGAGTTTCCACATCTGGGAACGCTCCTTGACCTGCTCGACTATCACTAGCCAAACGCATCATGATACTTCCATTGTTCGTAAGCAAGGACTCGATAAAGCCTGACATCCCACCAACGTCTTCCTTGTCATGGAAACCAATCGGATAGAAGTGGCTCATATTCAAGCGGAATGCTCCGCCCTCCGACTGGTTGAACTCGCAGGACTCTCGGGCTGATACCAACGAACCGAGGTGATGACCAATCTCATTCTCCAGAGTCAGAGCAACAGACAAGTTTGAAATTTTCAATGGGATGGCAATAGAGGCTGGCATCTTCACCTTCGCTTTCATGTCAGTGCGGACTTGCATTCGCGTATTGGTCGTCGGGCCTCTCTCACCGGGAGGAGCTTCGTCCAGAATCACATCCAGCTGGTTCATTTTGATGTCCGAAATCATGTGAAAGCCCTTCGCGACGCCGGGGAAGCTTGTCCCAATTGTCAACCCCAGCAGCGCCTCTTTCATCCACACGCAATCGGCATACTGCGTCCCAGTGATCTTCACTACAACTTGCGAGCTGTTGCCCTCGAGATACCTCGAGAAAAATCCCGCCACAGCATCGCTCACTTGGCCAGCAGCATCCTTGGTTGGTTTCAAGTTCCCAGTCATCTTCAGCGAGTAGGTTCCTGGGGCCAGGTTCATCGCACCCTGTAGCTCTCCAAACTTTTCCCGTGGCGAATTCAGGCTTAAGTCCATGGTGAGTGTGCCAATAGACACCGTGAACAAAGATGGATTGCGGATATCAATATGTGTCTCCATCGGTTCTTCGTCCAGAGTAGCGCTACCGGTTCCCGGCAGAGTAAAGTTCTTCACCGTCACATCCTGGAAGTTATTCATTCCATCCAACAGCGCGGTGGTACGAAGAGGCAGTCCATTTAACTTCAATGTTCCTGTGTAAGTCAGACATTCAGAAGAACGGCATCAGACAATGAAGTACTCAAGTACATCTTGTAAGTATGAATGATCGGCACAGCAACGTACCTAGGGCTCCATGACACACGACATCCATACTACCAGCGAGCGTTAGCGGGACCTTATCCTTGACGACCGAGGCACGGACGAATCTGCCAAATGCTCTCCCTTTCTCTGCGAAGTCGAGCTGCGTCAAGCACTCGACAGAAATGTTGCTTCGGCCCACTAGTCTTCCATTGATAATGTCAACAGACCTAGTTGACAGTGTCCCCAACGCCACGTCCGCTCCATTGAGAGTGACATTCATGTGAACGTCCGTGATCGTCAACGCCGAATTGGACCCCAACGGACTGGTGGCCTCCACCAAGACAGCCGTGTCAAGTCGTACGAGCTCGTTAGCCTTGCCCTCTTCCGGGGCGTGCAGTGAAATCCCGCGGAAAAACATGTTCCCGACCAGCGGGTCTTTCTGCGGCGGCAGTGAGCTGTCAATCGTCAGATTCCGCATCGCTTGGTTGTACAGCGCCACCGACGTCGCCTGCGGGTCACAAGTCACGACCGTAAGTGCCGCCGATACATTGCTCAAGTACTTGGTAATGAGTCCACTGATTGCTTCCGAGTTTTCCCCCAGCATATCACCCTGCAGCTCCAGCAAATTGTACCCCTTGCTCATATCTGCCGCCCCCTGCAACGAAGCGCAGTACGGATGAGACGCTTCTCCGTCCGCCACCGGTAAGCTCGTATCCTCTGGCGACCATAAGTGCGCCACCAGCGTCCCCTCCCCCACCGTCGGGTAGTGGGCATTGAGACACAGCGCTCCAACGGGTCTGATCGTCGTGACCGACGGGTTCCTGATGCACGTCTTGATACTGGCCAGCACCTTCTTCTGGGTCGAGCGGCCCATGTCCACCTGGGCGATCTGCATGTCCCGCAGTCCGTCCATGCCCCTGAACTTCATCACCTTCTTGAGCGGGATACCCGAGGCGCTGAGCCTCACGAGACCGCCCAGCAGCCTCACGTGGATGCTCAGCGTGCTGCTGATCTCGTACTGCACCTCCGGCAGCCTCATCATGTCCCCGGCGAATTGGTCCCACGCCCTTTTGTCGCCAATTTCCAGCGTGGAATTGGGGAAGTTCTGGTCGTTGACCCCGTGGCGGATCTCCATGCTCGGGGCCGCGAACGTCCCCACCGGCTGCTGCTTGTACGCGATGGCGAAGGTGGCGGCTTCCACCGTGGCCGGGAATGGGGACGCCGCCAGCAGACTCAGACTCAGATTGAGAGCCACCGAGCTGGCGCCGGGGCGGCTCAGATCCATGCGCTCCACGTGCATGACCGTGTCCTTGATGGCCTTGGTGGCCACGCGCTGGATCTGGCTCGACACGACCGCGTACGCCAGCGCGCCCAGCAGCAGCACGGCGCCCGCGACGGCGGCCAGGCGGCGGCGGTACCAGGGCGTGCGGCCCGCGCGCTTGCCGTCGCCGCTGTACGCGCCCTCGTGCGGCCCCAGCAGCGGCTGCTGCGCTGCCAAGCGCTCGTCCAGATCCAGCTCCAGCTCGTCGTGGTCCATGGCTCGGTTGGTCATTTATCTTCAACTGACCTGGGAATTTTGATGGGGGAAACGGTACTGTCATGTGTCATAAATTGAAAACATGATATGCTCTTAGGTAGGATTAGTGTTTGAGATTATCATTTGTCAAAATGCGGGCCAAGGTGGAGGGCGACGCGGCCAAGGAGGCCAAGGAGGTGAAGGCCGAGAGCGAGGGCCCGGGCTTCCCCGTGGGGACCACGCTGGTGGCGCGCTGGATGGGCAAGACGGAGCGCACGTGCGTCGTCATCGATCGGAGTGCGTGGCGCCGCAGATGCCGCCTCCGGAGCGAATCGTGACAAAAGTTGGTACTAATGCCTTTTTGACCCTACAGCGGCGCTGAGCAACGACCGGTTCAAGTATTACGTGCACTGGCATGATGTACGGGCCCTTTGCAGCAAAAGTTGTATTAGTACCAACTATTGACATTCTCTCTGTTGCCGAGTCCAGTTTAACCGCCGCATGGATGAGTGGATCAACGAGCACGAGATTGTGCGCCGCGGCACCGACGAGGAGACGCTCAAGCTGCAGGAGAAGGACGCCAAGGAGAAGGAGAAGGAGCAGCGCGCCAAGAGCCGCAGCAGCAGCAAGGCGGCCGGGTCCGACAAGAAAGACTCGGCTGCTGCAGGTGGTGCTGCTGGAGCTGCTGCTGGAGCTGCTGCTGGAGCTGGAGCCGATGCCTCGGCCCGCACGCGCGGCCAGAAGCGCAAGACGCCGGACGACCAGGAGTTCGCGCCGCCAGAGGAGCACGATGAGCACGAAGGCATGGACGCGGCCAGTATCCGCGAGCACGAGGAGGTCACCAAAGTCAAGGTGAGCAGGTGCAGTTTTCTATTGGATGTTGAAGTTTTGTGATTCTAAGTTGTGTGTGGGTGTGTTTTCTGGGTTGGGTAGAACGTGCGATTTGTGGAAATGGGGCGCTTTCGGATGGCAGCCTGGTACTTTTCGCCATTCCCCAAGGAATACTTCCCGGATGGCTCAATTGACTGTGTGAGTTGCTACAAATGACATACAATGCCGTTTCGATGTGCTAACAATTCTATGCTTTATGCTGGCCAGCTGCACTTTTGCGAGTTCTGCATGGCCTTCTTCTGCCACAAGCGCGAACTGACCGTGCACCAGGAACGTCGCGTCTGCAATCGCGTAAGTGTATACTACTGGTTGTTTGTGGTGAGGCGGTTATGTTGTTTGACTCACACGTTTACCACGACAGCACCCGCCCGGTAACGAAATCTATCGACATGAGAATCTGAGTGTGTTCGAAGTGGATGGTGCAATTTCCAAGATTTACTGCCAGAACCTCTGCTATTTGGCCAAGTACGTCTCATCCGTTTTACCTAGACGTTTCATCGATGTAGTTGTCGTGCTGACATGTCTGTTGCCACAGACTCTTCCTGGACCACAAGACCCTGTATTACGACGTCGATCCGTTCCTGTTCTACATCGTATGCGAGGTCGATTCGCGTGGTTTCCACCCCGTGGGGTATTTCTCCAAGGAAAAATACTCTGAGCTGGGGTACAACCTGGCGTGTATCCTCACGTTCCCGTGCCACCAGCGCAAAGGTTACGGCCACTTCATCATCCAGTTCTCGTACGAGCTCAGCAAGAAGGAGGAGAAGGTTGGCTCCCCGGAGAAGCCGCTGTCCGACCTTGGACTGGTCAGCTATCGGAGCTATTGGACACGTGAACTGCTGCGTATTTTGAAGGAGTATCCCGAAAAGGAGGTGTCTATCATGGAGCTCACCCGGGTATGTTTTTTTTTCTCACCGTGGATGCATATAGGAGGCGTCCAACTGATCCCTGCGTTGTACCTTTCAGATGACATCCATCAAGAACGAAGATATCATCGCGACGCTGCAGCACCTCAACATGATCAAGTATCTAGGCGGGCAGTATGTGTACGTGGTGCCAAATCAAATAGTGGACGCTCATCTGACGAAGCTGACGAAGAAGGGCCCGCAAGTCGTCCCGGAGAAGTTGCACTGGGCGCCGCTGCACTTGGATATCAAGCGTGACAAGTGGTCGCTGAAGGCCATGACTGCTGACAAGGAGGACTAAGTCGAAGACGGAAGCAGGAGGTACTGTAATTCATGCAAGGCAATGTTGTTTTATGTGTATGTATGCTTGTTTGTCCTACTGGTCTCTATCCCCCTATACATTCTTCTAAGTCGTGTGGTTCGCTAGTCATGGAGTTGTTGCATTCTGGCAAGCCAACTGGAACTCGAGCTTCTGCTCTTGAGTCATCTCACTCTGCGCTGACTCAAGTATGCCAGACAGGCCACTGCTCTGCAGCGACTTGGAGCACTGCAAGTGGTACCACTCCATGAGCATGAAACCCTCGAGGTGGACGAACATGAGCCCGAGTTGCCACTCACCCTTGGCGATGCGTTGCGAGCACACTTGGCAGGTGGTGGTGGCGATGGGTGCCACGCGCGCCACGGCTTGATCGCATCGGCTCCAGGAGCTGCTGGACCGTGGACTGGTGCCTGGTGGCGGTGCGTCGGGAAGTTGGTCCATGCTGATAGTTAAGGTGAGAAGTACGCAGGAGGAGGCAAATCCAAATCTACAAGAGGCTGGAGCTCGACCGGCGGACAGGAATCCAAGATGGCAAGCTAGCTGGTGATTTATCTTTCAAGGCGGACTTGATTCATACGGTGATGAAGTGACGACGACAAGGCAGAACAGCTTGAGCCCTTGCAGCGGTGAGCAAATTCGCCTTGTGGCTACATTTTCAGCGATCCTAGATGGAGTCATCCCCAAGGGTTGTACATTTCTCAACAAGCTTACCAGTGTGCAACTACTGATTTTTTTGCTTGTTCGTGTAACTTTCTTCGTAGCATACTGACGGTGCAGTCCGCCAAGAGTGCAGGGTGCGAAATCGAGCACGTATTTGCTGTATCCTGTTGGATAACATTGCAGTTTGCCATTTCTGCCCCACTTCACTTTCCATCCACGAATGCGCTTCATCCCAGGTAGAGAAATCCACAGCCGAACGTGGACATCGTTGAAGTGCATGGTACAGCCGAAATCCCAGCTAACGTGTGCCACGTACGTAGTATATCCTATTCGATCCAGGCTACCAGGTATAGAACGCAGGTTGTACGCCTGGAAATCTTTCGCCAAGCGACCACTGTACAAGGTATCAGGTGAATGAATTCCCGGGTACTGTAACCACGATACGTTAATTCGGTTTATCTTGTTCTACTGGTGTGTGTATGTATGTCTATCTACTCTTTGCATCGTTTTCTCTCTTGCTGCCCCTCTCAACACTGGGGCGACTGCTATTGTGCTTGCTCTACATGTACTACTGGACTGCGACGGTAACTCACTCAGACGGCACTCGACATCGATACATCATATACGAGTTGCGTCCGGCTGGGATCACGAGGCGGCCGCCTTCTGGCACGCGGCCTGGAACTCTTCCTTCTGCGCCGGCGTCATCTCGCTCTGCACGGTCTGGAGGACGTCCGAGAGGCCGCTGCCCTGCAGCGACTTGGAGCACTGCAGGTGGTACCACTCCATGAGCATGAAGCCCTCGACGTGGATAAACATGAGCCCGAGCTGCCACTCGCCCTTGGCGATGCACTTGGAGCAGACCTGGCACGTGGTGGTGGCGATGGGAGCCACGCGCGCCACGGCCTGGTCGCAGCGGCTCCAGGAGCTGCTGGAGCGCGGGCTCGTGCCCGGGGGCGGCACCTGCGGGAGCTGGTCCATCTGCGTAGCCATGGCTAGTCGGTACTTGAAGCAGCTGAAGCTGGAGGCTGAAGTTACTTGCAGTCGAGACGAGACTGCAGTTGGTGCTTGGTTGGGGACAACGCGTGTCAGGTCAGGTCAGGCAGACAAGGCTCGGCTTCGGTGGTCAGTGGAACCGAAGGAGGAGGAGGAACTTGCTTCAGGAGGAGGAGGCGAATCCGAAACTGCAGATGGGGCTGGAGGACACGCTCGGCGCTCGGCACTCGGCAAAGGAGGTGGAGGGTGGCGTTCGGAGCCTGTTACTGTGGCAGGCTTTTCGCTGTGATGTCGCGAACGAAACTGATCACTGGCGCGCGCGGCTGACGGACGATCGGGCGGACGATTGACGGACGGACGGAGCAACAGGCGGCGGCGGGCTTCCTCCGGTGCCTGTGGGTATGGCAGCGAAATGCGTTCTGGAGCGGGGTCGTGCCTGCCACCTGCCGGCCCGGTGCGCCAGCGGAGCACCGCTCTGCTCTGCTCTGCAGTGACAGCGGCTCGGCAGCCGATTTTTCGACGCCGTTAAAAGACGGGGACTTGTCGTCGCGTCGCCACGAGCTCCGCCACGACCGCACGACTATCGCCGACTTAGCCAAATCGCAGGGATGCCGGCGTTTGGCGCTCTATTGAGCGCTGCTGCACTGTGGGTGAGTGTTAGGTGGGGGTGGAAGGCCATCGGATCGGAGACCGAGAGCAATCCTGCAGCCAAGTAAAGATACTGGAGAACCCCTCACGGGCGGCGGCGCAGCAAGCAAGCGCGCGAGCGAGCGAGAGCGTATCGCAGCGACACCACGCTGATTCGGCGTCGCGCCCTGCTGCTGGCGGCGCCATGCGAAGGCGCTTTCGTGGCTCGCGCCAGCAAATTCTGCCGAGCCGATCGGGGCGGCCAGCTGGCGCGGGGCCGTCCAGCTTTGCGCCGCTCCGGGGCCCGGCCCCGCCCGCTCTGCGCTCTGGGTTGGGCCTCTTGGTCCGATGTGCTGGCGCGTGCGGGCGGCACTTTCTCCTCGGAAATATTCGCGCGCTGCCAGCGCCGGAGCCGGTCGATCCCGGACCGGATCACCACTTTTTTCAGAGGTCTCCGTCTCGTGGCGCCGGCGCCCGCTCCCTGGAGACAGAGCTGTCTGTCATGCTCTCGCGAAGCGAGGTTGGCTTCGTCAGTTGTCTTGCCGCGCCGTCCTGCTGGAGGGTGGCAATGCAATGCATTGGGTTGTATGTACTGATTGCTGCCGGGTGCGACACGAGGCACGAGCGCCAAACAAAGGACGCTCGCCGTTTGGCCATTCTTTCGAGTCCGCCCAGGGCGGAGCTGGAGCTGGTGCTCCCTATATCATGTCGGTGCTCGGTTCTTGTTCAAGTCGATGGTGTTTCGGGCTTGTCTGCTGCGTTAACTGTCACGGGGACGAGCAGAGACACGGCAATGGAGACGAAGCTCGTCGCCACATTGCACCGGCGGACCAGGCCGTCGTAACGCGGTGATTGCCGAGTGAACTTTCTCCACGGCACCAAACCTCGGGGGCTTCCTCCTGCGTAGGGTAAAAGTCAAAAGGTTCACTCAGCCCAGCCCTCATGCGTGTCAAAATTTGCCCGTGATCTGTTCTGGGCGGCGCGACGACTGCGCGAAGCTTCGCACTCGCGTAATTTAAACGAGCAATTAAGCTATTCAAGTAGATTACCCTTGATTTGTTGCAACGTAAATAGGTTTGTGTCACTACTAATAAGTAGGTAAGGACCAAACCTTTAGAAAACGGATAAGTAGGTTTGGCCCTAACCTACTTATAAGTAGTAACACAAACCTACTTATGTTGCAACAAATCAAGGGTAATCTACTTAAATAGCTTAGTTTCTCAAATTTACACTTGGACGTCCCTCTGTTCGTCAAGTCCCGCTTAGGCGAGATCCGCACGGCGTCCAGGTGGTGGTGAGTCTTTCGTCAGTCATTCCATGAGCGAAGCTCAGCGGCAGGCCGAGAAGCATGGAGTGACGATACTGACACGCGCGGTCGACTAAGCTAAGTGGCTACAGTCTCACTTGCCGATCCTTGGAACCAGTTGGCTCGGGTACATGTAGAGGAAGGTTGAAGCACAAAACCTTTCAGCGCCATGACATGGCTCCAAGGAGCTCCATCGTAGGCCCGCTCGCCCTGCGCGGAGGATTTGTCGAGCGCATGGCCATGAAGAGGAGCCACGGCACGGCAAGCACGAGGCTGGTCTCATAGAGTAGGATAGAGTTTGCTTCAACTGCTGAGCTACGTGGCTTCAGTCGCAGCTCATCTTGAGCCTCATCTCGAGTTATTTCGTTCGTCCATCGAAAAGGGTAGAAAGGGAGGAAGAGATGCAAGTTGCAGCGCGAGACTCTCGACGCTCGTCATGGAGCCCCGTGTCGTCATCAGCATCGCACAGCTTCAACGTAAAATAAATGGCAGCAATTTCTTTTTTCTTTATCAATTCACCTCACAAAGGCACCCGATCCTCCACGCTCTGCCGGCCGGAAACCCCCTGTGGCTTGGCCCGCGAGCAGTGGGTCCGTGCAGCTCGCTACATAATGTTAACTCCCTCCCCTCGCCCCTCGAGCTCGCTCGCTTGCTTGCTTGCTTTACATGAAATCGTCCGTGCCGCTGCCGTCCCCCTGCGTGTCCAGATGCACCGCCCGGAAGCGCTCGTTGCTGTCGCGGATCTCGTCCTCGCTGTCGTCATACTCCACCGTCTCCGCGTCCGCATCCACGTCCACCGTCTCTACTACCATGTCGGAGGAAGGCGCGGTCGGAACGCTCGAGCCCTCCCCATGGTCAGCGAACCCGCCTCCTGTCATGGTCATGTACCCATCGACGGAGTCGGCGGCATCCGCAGCGTCCCCTTCACCGTCTAGTGCCGCCACCGTCGAGCTGTGGAGACGCACGGTCGGCACGGGCGGCTTCGCCTTCTCGTTCTTGACCCACACCTTCCAGCCATCCACGGGCGGAGACTCGTCATCAATGTGCGACTGTACAAAGTAAAAGTCCTCGTCCGACATTGTCCCCAGCAGACTCTTGTTCGGCGAGTAGGAAATGTACCAGCGACGCGCCTTGCTAGGCATGCAGCAGCGGAACAGCGTGTACTCGATGTCGCTCTTCACGCAAGCGTAGGTCAAGCAATTGTCGTGGATGTGAGACGTGCTGACGTACACTCCGTTAACCGAAGCATAGCCCGCCCCTTCCACCACGTATCGCCGCTGCTCCTCCTGGTAGGGGATACCAAGCGCCTCGCCCAGGCGCCATAACATCTCCAGCTTTGCTGGTTCCCGTTTGAGCAGCGCAAGACGCCCGCCCAAGCTAGGCTGGAGCGACTCGAGGCGCAGCCACTCGTAGAGCCACTCCCATTCGCTGCGGTGCTCTGCTAACCACGTGCTCACTGCAGGCACGCGCGCACGCAGCTCCAGCACTAGGATCAGCTGACGGTACACGAAAAGCGGGACGTGTGTGGTGCTCGCGTAGCGTGACCGCAGACTCTCGCGGCTTCTAGCTGAACTGAGCAGCCCGTAATCGCTGTGAACCAACGCCAACTCTACCAGTTCCTTTTGGTAGTCGCACTCGTAGCCCAGTACGCGCTGCACCGCCACGGTACAAGCGTCCACAACAGGTTGTCCCTTCCATCCCGTTTCAGTGCTCTGCAAGCAGTGCAGAAGAGCACGCAAGAGGCGCGTCGACGTCTCATGGTCTCCCAAACTCAAGCGTAGCAGGAGATCACACGTGGTTTCTGCTTCCTCCTCGAGAGCCGAGTCGAAGAACACGTCGTTAAGCAGCGCACCACGGCTTAACGGGCTAAGCCCTTCTAGAACTTGTGCTCCAGTAGGGACGTCTCCGTTCGTCATGGAGTGTCTCTGGAGGTCCTCGCTGAAGCCGAATGCGCGTAGATCCTGAAGCACAGACTTGGTAGATGAAGCTGCCATGTCCGTGTAATACAGCATAAACCCATCAAGCTCCACACGTGCAGCTTCTGTAGCCGAGTCATCCTTCACCGAGTCAACGCTAGGTGTCCCATACTTGGCAAGCATACTTCGAGCCTGCTGCTCAACAGCGGGACTGGTCGTTGCACTGCTAAGTGACACAGAAAAGAATTTCTTGAGCTCCTCGAGACTCAGACCAGGGTTGCCATCAGGACCTCCCTGCGTCTGATGGTCTTCAAAGATCTCAGCCAGCGCATGCTCAGCCTTGTCCGACAAAACCGTGCGGTGCGGATACTGCGTGCTGCCCTCCGTCAGCAATGGTTCCGTTGTGCGCCTAGGCAGCCCCAAGATTGCAATGACAGCTTCCAGTAGATACTGGTAATCCGGCGAGGCGTACCGCGAAGCAGTAGGCTGCAATGTCGAGGACGGGAAAGCATCCTTCAATGCGCTCGGGCCGCGTTCGCACAGGAAAAAGTTAACCAACCGCGCAATCATCTCCAGTTGTTGCAGTTGAGAGCGAGCCGTGGCACTGATTTCAGCACAGTTGCGCAAGAGCATGAAGCACTCCTCCAAGTGTGACTGTTGCATGATGGATGTTTGATCCAGGAAAGAAGCGATAGCCTCCAAAAACGATCGGATTACTGCCGTGTCAGCTGCCGCAGCTGCTTCAGCGCTCGCTTCATCCAGCGCCGCTTGCTCTTCCTTCCGGTGAGCTTCGTACGCTGTGAGTGCACGCGAAACCAAGTGCACGAAGGACTGGCGAGCAATCGAGTCGGGGCATTCGAAAAGCAGTCCGCGCAACCAAACAATTCGCTTCGATGTCGATAGTGCCGAAAAGAAGCGCGCGCAGATAGCCTTGGATCGGGTGAACTTGGATGCCAGCACAGTGATCCACCGTGCAATTCCGTGCTTCTCGCGCGAGTGCAACAGCACACTCAGCACAAACTCGACGCCGATCTCTGTCAATGTCATCTGGATTTCTTCATCGGCACGGACCGCTGGTACTGCTATCGCCACTGGCGCGGCTGGTGGAGTTGCCGGGTCTGTCGACTCCGGTGGCGGCGATAGAGCCATGGGCACAGCCTCATCCGAAGATTTGGCAGGGGTATCTTTGATGTACTGGGACTGCACCATCTCACGAAGGAACTCGTGGAATTCCACATCGAACAGGTACGAGTTTTGCAGGAACGCCTCATTGGATTTCCACACTTCAGCTTCATACTCGCAACGATCTTCATCGGGTGCAGCAACAACCACATCGGTTGATGTTTCAGACCCAGCATCAGCCTTTTCAGCTGGCGTAGCCTCAGGCTCGTTGGGGATAACCTTCTCATAAAAGAGCATGAGGGCGTTGCTGAAGACTTCCATCTCCATAGAGTTGTTGGAACCGTGCCACGACCGCCGCTGCACTCCCCCAAAACACTCAGCCTCGATGTTAGCCGGGTCAAATGGTGTCACATCTTCATCATCATACTTGAACCACTTCTCAGACACGTGATCGTAAATGAAGGAATAGTAGTGACCACCTTGAGCAACACCAGAGTGCACCAGAATACCCTTTAGGCGGTACTCGTAATTAGGGTCCGATTGGGCCGAGCTCTTCTCATCACTTTCGCCTGTCACGCTTCGCGGCGAAGCTGCAAGCTTGATGCTCGACCTAGGGGACACTGAAGACGAAGAAGTTCGGATCGCCGGCGTATCTCTATTCACATCAGCCATAAACTCGTCGGAGTCGCTCGAGTCATCAGAAGCCATATCTTCGTCAGCAGACGTATCTTCGCGCTCTTGTTGCGAAGTTGAACGAGCCTCTTGCTCTTCGATGCCCGCCTTCGTGTATGGTTTCATGCTCAGACGCATCGGGAACGAACAGCGGTTGTTCAACTTAACGGTCTCGAATGTCGTGTAGTCAAGGTCGAACCGTTTTAGGTGAAGAATCAACAGGTTCGGTAGCGACCCGAAGCACGTGCGCCGTACCGCAGCCTTTTTGGTAGCACAATTCTCGCACTCGACCTTGTTATCACCATCCATCAGCTCGCCTTCAACAAAAGCCGATAGAGACTCCTCAATGCTCTCCTTGCCACGGATCTGCAACTCTAGGCGGATAAAAGGCTCTTCACGCTCGTAGCGGTGTCCGCAGTCCTTCGGAAGCTTCTGCGAGATGAGTTTCCCACCGAGTACGTCTTGAAGACACCTCGTTCCCTGAGGGGTTGTTTTCAAACCAGTCTCCAGGCGGTCCAACAGTTTGTCGCAAAACTCGGTGGCATCATTCTGCTGGTACACCGAAAACTCCAAGTTCAGGCATGTGCACGAGTCAACGAATGCCTTCGGGTTGAAGTAACGCATTTCGCTGTCGCGCAGATAGCAGAATGTTCGCTGAAGTTGGCGAAGAACTTCCAGTGTCGCGTCAATGCCCGTCAACTCTGGCTGCAGGATGACATAACGGCCATTTTCATTTCCCGGTCGCCCTTCTGCAAGCACAAAGCTCGCCTCGCCACCATTGTCGTATTTCATTGTATGCTGGCCCGTCAGGTCGTCGTATCCGACAACATTGGCTTCGTAAACTCGACCCCCCAGGCACTCCAACGCCACACGACAGCCAACCAAGCGCTCTGGAAACTTTTCGGCCTCAGCTTTTGTAGGCTCTCGAGGGGTCGGACGCGGTGCTACCTTGGCACCTAGCAACCCTTGGCGCAGCGTCGGGTGCATGAACAACTGCTGCAAGAAGGAGTTCATGTAGCACGAGCAGCCTTGGTTCTTGAGACCGACATGTTCGCCGTTGCCACGTGTTTCAATGTTGTTTTCTTGACCCCACTTAAACCGCAACGCGTCGCTTCGGGTAAACAACCTGGTCAAGCGACCCTGCAAGTCGTGCAAAATACTGGAGTCATACGAAATCGCACTCGCTAGCAACTTGAACGCTGGCCGGCGAGTCTCCAACGACACACAAAGCGGACAGCGGTGTCGGTCTTCAGAAGGTAAAGTGAACAAACAGTCCTCATACACAACATCTACAATGTCGCGAGCGATTCCAGCTCGCACATCAGCATGCACCACTAGAACTTCACGCAAAAACTCCAAAAACCCGATAAGCACCTCGCCTGACCGCTCGTTGCAAGCTAGGAACTTGCTCGAAAAGCCGCGACGCAGCTTTGACACAACAGCCTGAGCCAACTTTTGGCAATATGAAGATGTCTTGCCGCCCTCGAGACGCGCCAACGAGCAAAGCATACGTGTGTACTGGTCACACGGGGCGGCTACGTTCTCGATGCGATCAATGGACTGGACGCACTCCTCGAACACTACTTCGGCAGCTGCATCAGACGCCTTGCAGACAGATTCCAACGACGATAGCCATTGGTCGCGCACTTGCTCCGACTCGAACTTCATGAAAATGCTGACAATGATAGCCCGTGGCTCCAGCGCCTTAATATACTTGGCCGCCGCATCATGTGCAATTGATACAATTGACTCGACGGTCTTCACAGCATCGATCAAAATCCGGTACGCTGTTTTCTTCGCAGGTGTTTTCTCTTCAACACGGGTATACTCGGATACCACAAGCTCAGCGATCTTAAGAACCAGCTGGTCATAACGGCTTTGCTCCACAATAATTTTGGCCCTTGGGGCGTCGGCGCCCTCACCTCCTGCGTGATCTGCAGTCAGGGAATCATCTCCAGAAACCACCGTGGCCGGTACCTCCCCATTAGCAGTAGCTGAGTACAATCCATTCTCGTGGCCCGAGTCGAAAAGGCAAAACTTCAGGATTCGAAGCGCCACTGCAGCACCCTCATTGAAGGAGCTTTCGTGGAAGTTCGCGCTAATAAAATACGATAGTACTTCGTGAAACCCACCTCCAGATATGAAGCGCTGGAGATACGTCTGCGCAAACGGGATTTTGGCGACGTCTGAAGGGAGAAGCAGCGCATCCATAATCTGTAGTGTGTAAATAGCCTGGTGAGAGGAGATTCCTTTCACCAAAGATGACCAATCCGGCTTAGTTCCACCATTAGCAGGCTCATCCGATGGGGAATTCATAGCCACATCTCCGTCGCTTGTCTCAGAAGCACCGATACTTGAAACGCGGTTCAAAAGCTCCTCGCTAGTAGGGATCTGCTTCAAAAAGGCCCACAGCAACTCGTGAACAGAATGACCCTCCACGATATCTAGCACTCGGAAAAGAATCCCGAAGTATGAGGCATCGCGAGCAATAACTAAGCCAGGGTGGTGCTGGGATGAGAGGGAAGAAGGCGAGGTAGGTGATTCCTTGCCCGCCGAGGTCATCACTTGGTCTTGGTCCATCAAGTTGGAGCTAGAACGTTGAACAACTGAGTTGAACATCAGAACGCGCAGTTCGCTGGACTCCGTTATCTGCAAGTCTGCGAGTGTCTTCTGATCTCCAGTAATTGCCGAACCTGAAGAAAGAATTTTCGTCTGCTGCATCGGATGACCCACCAACTTTTCGATTTGCTTGCGGAAAAGCCACAGAGTCTGGTTTGAATACGCTGATGCCTGCATGGTTCGAACCGCATTATCTTGACTCGAGTTTGCTGTCGCTGATGCGCCAGCTGCCCCACTCGCATTGGATGACGGGATCCGCTGGGCAATAACTTTAATCGTAAAGTACGCACCGCGGCCGCTCAAGCCATGTGGGACGAAGTTTTGCTTCTTGCGAGCACTGGAAACCAGCCCCGTCAGCAAACTTGAGCACTGCTGGACTAACTTCAGCGAGTCTGGCGAGCTGTCCTCCACTGTAGACAACTGCTTAAATACACGCGCCAAGAAATCTTTGATGCCAGCGTCTGATTCGCTTTCACCTGCGCGGGTAAGCTCGTCGGACGATCGTTCATAAACGCGAAGCAACTCGCGCGTAGCCATTTCAGCAACTTCAAGTGGGGCTTCGAATGCGATACGCCACAAAGCATCCATGCCGAGCAGGTTGAGTGTGTTTGTTTCCCCGGATTCTTCAGTGCGTTGCATCAGTTTCTGCTGTGCATTAAGCCCCACGAAGTATGCATTAAAGCACTTGTACCCCATACAGCCAAGGGTCCGGAAGTCGGTTTGCTTGCACAACAGCTCGTTGAAAACGTAGAAGCACACATCCAAATTGAAGGCCGAGCCGATTGATCCCCCAACAGTACTCAGGCTAGGTGCTGCTCCACCTTGCTGGTGGTTACGCATACTGGTCTGGTTGAAAAAAATCAAGCAGAACTCGCGTTCAGCAGGTGACGACGAAAGGACTTGCCAGAGACGCTCAATCTGCGGGATCGACAGCTCCAACTTCGGAGACTTGACGTGGACGTAGTGGATCAACTCTAAACGATGGCCGATGGCTGTGCGATAGCTCGGCGATTGTTTGTCCGTGCTCCGAGCCACAAAGGTTGCAAGCTCGTCAAACAGCAGACTCACTAAACCATGCTCTGAATTGAGCGACTCAACAACGAGCGCCTGATCCATACGATACGAGTCGATCAGAAACTTTAGTAGCTCCAAAGACTTGGACGCTGTTGAATCCTTGCTTGTTAGCTCCGCCGACGTAACGGATGAAGTGCTTATAACCGAGCTGGTGCTTCCGGGTGCCGGCGGAACGGTTGAAGAGGACGGAGATGCAACAGAATCGGGGGCCGAGCTTGATAGCAAGCAAGATTTCTTAATTCCGTCAATGCATTCGTTCAAGAACGCCTTCCGTAACGGCTCGCCGTACTCGCTCCGTAGTCCTTCTTGGAAAAAGTCACGCAGGCTTCTACTTAGCCTGATGTTTGCAATACTGCAATGCATTTGAATGGACCAAAGCAGCTGCAAGATCGCTGTCGTGACGTTCACGTTGCGCTCCATTAAGAAACTCGGTGAGTTGGTTGCTAACCGCTGCAAAAACGAAATCAACTCCGGGAAAGGCTCGTTCTTCTCCAAGTTTCTCAACAACGACGCGTGAATACTTTCCACCAGATGCAACAGTAGTTCGTTCGACAAAAATGGCACCGTCGTGATCAGCAGGTTGTGAATCTCATGAACCAGCGTCTGGTCTTTCTGGATACAGGACTGCCAAATTACGTCAATAGCGTGGGCATCCAGCTTGTTGGATTCCGCTAAAAACTTCACCAGCAACGCGCTTCGCGACACAATCTCGCGATGAATTCTGTCGCCAAAAATCTCCTCCAGAATCTTTTTCTCCACCACCCACGCACTAAGTATGTAATCCAGTCGTGTCCGATCCTCTTCGCCGTTATCTTGAACGCTTTCCGCAATTAGTTCAGGAGCAGGGGCTTCTCCTTTGCCTGTGGGGATCCAGTTGTGGGTCGGGGGCAGGTACTCCTCGTACTGTGATTGGTGCTGGTAGTAATCAATATCTTGGTCCGACCCAGGCTGCATCTTGTCAGCTTCCGAGATAAACCACCACTTTAATCCACTTTTCATGGTGCAACAGAAGAGCGTAAACATTTGACCTGTTTCGTGCTGTCGGAAAACGTAAGTTGCCGAAGTGGAGTTGGCCTTCAAGGTGTACACACCATTGACGCCAGCAGTACCGGCGTTTCGGACAAAGTATCGAGGCGGGAACGCACGCGACGCGCGAGCACAGTTGACGATCTGGTTGATTTGCTCCAGTCCAAACAGTCGCAGAGGCAACGAGGTCGATTCCACGTACCTCTCCGTAATATCAAGCCAAAGCGGGTTTATGGCCTCGGATGAGACAATCCCGGCGTCTACCAGCCTCCGAATGATAGCGATCACGGCGCCTACAGAGTCACTCGACTCCCTCTTCAGCACTGAGTCCGAGATCTTTGTGAAGTACGTCATGATCAGCACCGAGATCTTAGTGCAGATGTTTTCTGGGACGGATGTTCGGAACTCCAGCAGCGCCTGCAGCAAGATGCGGATGTCCTCGCTGTCCATCGTGGTCTCCAGCTCGTCCCCCTCCTTGTGGTTCTGCATGAGCAGCTCCAACGTGCTCAACAGCAGATGGAACCCCTTCAACTCGCAGAACGCCTCGATACACTGCGCGCGCACTTCCGGGGACCCCGGCACCTTGTTCCAGTAGCTGCCGATCATGGCCGACGTGCGGAGGTCCTTGTAGAACGTCTTCTTTTTGCTGAAGATCAAGGTCAGCACGGGCAGCGCCTGGAAGTACTTGCCCGCCTTGAGCTGCGCGATCACCAGCGGCACCGCCAGCGACAGACACTGCGTCACACACGACTTTTCAAAAGATCCGATCTTGCTGGCACTGGCAGCAGCAAAACAAACAGAGAAAGACAATGTTAGAGAGATCCGCGTCAAAAGCACAAGTGACATGGGCTTGTTGCACGCACTGCTGGTCCAGCATGATGCTGATGATCTTGAAGAAGGCGTCGTCCAGGAAGGCCTGGCTCTCGGGCCGGTCGACGTGCTGGTAGGCGGCATTGAGCACCTTGACGGCGTTCTGCCAGCCCACGGTGGACTTGAGGCGCAGGTCCTCCTGCACCACGTGGAAGAGCTCGAGGTCCTCGTCCTCCATGTCGCCCTGCATCAAGTGCGTGCTCTCCTGGCTCTTCTTGCGGCGCTTCTGGCCGTCCTTGTCCTGGGCGGGGGCGCGCTCCATGGACCGGCCGTGCAGCTTCTTGTCGCCTTTGCCCGCGCTGCTGCTGCTCGTCGAGGGGCTGCTGGGGCTCGGTAGCGCGGGTATCGTGCAGGCGGTCGCGGAGCTGCGTGCCACAGGCTCCGAGCTGCCGCCGCCGCTGCTGCTGCTGCTACTACTGGTACTGCTGCTGCTGCTATTACTGCTGCTGCTTAAGTTGCCGCAGCCGCCGCTTGAGTTGCTGCAGGCCTTCGACTTGGAGCTGCTGCAGATCCGCTTCCTCTTGCGCTGCCGCCGCTGGCCGTCGTCGCCTGCCGTCCTTCCTCTCGGGGGTGGGTGGACTGGCTGGCTGAGTGGCTGGCTGGCTGGCTGGCTGAGTGTGTGTGTGTAGCCTCCCGCTTGCCCTGCTGCCTCTGGACGGTCGCGCTGCTGCTGCTGCCGGGGGCGGACGCTGCTGGTGGCTTCGACACTCGCGAGGCTTTTGGCTTTCTTTTGGGTTTTCTCCCCCGAGCGAGCAGCGGCGCTAAGTGCGGATCGGGCATTAGGTTCGCTGTGGTGGGTTGAAATCTGATTTTTCGCGAAAGCGAAAATTCATGTTTGGAAGAGCAAATTGCTGCGGCGGACACTACAGTATAGTATGAACAACTGAGACGTCTTTGTTGGCCGCTCTCGTGCTGGAGACTCTGCTTAACCTGGCGCAGGCTTTCCGTGGGCTGAACTAGTGATCCTCGACCAAACCCAGTGGTCGCAGCATTGGCCAGCATAACGAATCGCGCGACTACCGCAATTCTACTAACAGCAGGTGCCAGTGGCAGTTCGTCCAGCGTGGCCGCAGTTTACCACAACTACAGGAAGCGCTCACTGATAGCGCCAACCTGAACTCATTGCGTGGACGACGGACTTGTACGGGTGCTGAGGGTGGCGATGGCAAAGCCCATCGTATCGATGACGCGTGGGAGTCTGAGTCTGACGAAGAGGAAGTTCTGAAGCGCCCGCGCGAGGAAGGCACGACTATGCCGACGCGCTCGAGCGCGTCGTGGCGTCAGCCCATACGGAGAAGAAGAGCGTGGCGAATGCGCCTCGAAGCGGCTTGGTGAAGTGCACCAACGCCGCGGTGCTGATGCAGCTAGCGGGATTGGTGTCGGTGGTCCCCGTTGCAGCGGCGTCGACACGGCACGTCCAAGCCGTGGCGCCAGAGGCTCTGCGCGTGCGAGTGCTGCGTCAGTTGCGCCAGGCCGTTCAGGAGACGGATCCTGCGGCTGACGAGGTTGATACCAGCTCGGCCGACGCCGTGGAGGCGCCAGCACCGGACGCGAGTTGCCCCGACAGCGTCATGGCGCAGGTGAAGGGCATCATGACCCGATTGACAGAAATCGGCGGCTACGACGTGGAGCACCCGGACGCGCTGACCCAAGCCAAGCTGCGCAAGGAGTATCGAGCGCTCGAGCAGCAGCTGGACGCGTGCCTTTCGTCGGAAGACTACGCCCACGAGCTGAAGCGCGAGGAGCTGGCCTGGGAGGAGAAGAACGCGGCCGCCAACGAGCAGGCTCTCCGGGATGTGCGTCGGTGCTTGCCAGTGCTGGTTCGGTCCACGTCCGAGGCCGTGCTCAAGTCCACCAAGTCGCCGACGGGCAGGCCGCTGCCTCCGGCCATGGCCCGCCGCTTCAAGCGCACGACGGTGCTGGGGCTGCTGCGAGCTAGCCCCGCCAGTACTGCGCAGATGCACCCCAGCGCCATCGTGCACCTCAACTACATCGGCCTCAACCTGACGGAGCGCAGAGCACTCCACGCGCACCTGCGCCAGACAGCGCAGCTTTGGGAGGCGAGTCCACGAAATGCACTGACCCAGCAGAAGATCGACTGGTACAGCGGTCTCGTGTACGAGTTGAAGCGAGCTATCACCAGCTACGACAAGCACATGGAGCGGAACGGCGTGCCGGGCAGTCAGACGGGCACCGGAGACCTCTACGAGGAAGACCTTGGATGGCCTGAAGGAGAGGTGTACGCGGATGCAGTTAGCGCTGTGAAGTGCGGATTACCCGTCGACGAGACCGCGCTCCACGCTAGCACCTAGTAGGTAGAGTATGAAGCAGAATCATATTTTGAAGCAAACGTCGATTACATGCAGCATTGGGCAATAAACAATACCAAGACTTTGATATCAATTCGGTTTACGTTGGTTGCTGTACTCGTGCACTGTCGAGAGTTGGAACTAGTGGTGCTCAGTTGAATTTCGGCTCGTATAAGTCGCGTTCATCCATCTTCGTCTTGATAGAAGAGAGGAATTCGACTCGAGCAAGGGTTTCGAGAAAGCTACGACAGCAGTTGGTATAGCAAGGATACAAAGGTACACAAGGCTGTGAGATAGGAAGTCTACTGACTCTAAAACTGGTCAGCTCCCACGATGCGATAGTTCTCGGGATCGCTTGGCATATCTGCCGCCCACACAATGAGGTCACGATGGCGCTATCAGTGAGCGCTTCCTGTAGTTGCGGTAAAATGTTGGACGATATGCTTCATGTCTGCAAGAGATTGTTGCTTGTCACTCTCTCCACTCTCCCTCTCAGCTCCATCGCCGGCGTCCTCCGTCTGCACGTGAACGGCTCAACTGCTCTTCTCGTCTTCTCCATGCTCAGTCCCTTCTGTCTCCCCTTCAGATCCATCATTATCCTCCTCCGTCTCGACTCCAGCTGCACTTGAGTCTTCGCTCTCGACTTCGCTCTTCGCTCCGGTCTCCTCCTCTTCAGGCGTCGCCACGCCGCTGATCCTCCTCAGGCTCCGGGAGACGCGGTCGATCTCCACCCCCAGTCGCTCCCACTGGCGCTTGAGCTCGTCCATCGATTGCGCGTTGGTCTTCGGCGGCAGAATGAAGAATGACGCCAGACGTCGAGCAACTTCAACTTTCCCCTTTCAACTGCGATTTTTCGCCCTAACGCAAATATCCGCCTATCTCGTGATATTCCTTCCCCACTTCACCTTACGCCATGGATCGCCTTGAAGTGCGCGCGCTGCTGGGCGCTTCCACTGCGACGGAGCGCGCCGCGGCGCCGCCCGTGGTGCGCGGCATCTGCGTGGACGACGCGCTGGACGAGGAGGCGTTCCTCAAGGCGCTGGAGGAGGCGCTGCAGCAGCACGCGGCGGCGCTGCAGCGGCAGTTCCTGGAGCTGAGCGCGGCGCAGGTGGACCGCCTGGCCTTCCGCCTGCACGACGCGCTGGTGCCCAAGCGCGACGCCGACACGCGCGTGGTGCAGGCGTGGACCATCCAGCCGCAGCTGCAGCTCAAGGTCAAGGCCAGCGCGCACATCCAGGTGCTCAAGCTCTCGACGATCCTGCGCGAGGTGCAGCGGCTGCGGCTGCACCAGTCGCAGGCCGCAGAGACCGTCTCCGACTCGGAGCCGAGCCAGCTGCCCATTGAGGTGGAGATCTTCCCGTCGCTGCGGGTCATCGAGGCCCTCAACACGGAGGTCAGGAGTCTGCGCAACGTGCACTTCTTCGCGGGCCAGCTACGGGAGCTGCACATCGAGCACACGCAGGTGCCGACGCTGAGGCAGCTGCTGGCGCCCGACGAGATCCAGCAGAAGCCCTGGAAGAAGCTGACCAAGCTGCAGATGAACTGCTGCGTGCTCGAGGAGGTGGACGAGTCGGTGAACCTGCTGCGAGCGGTGCGGACGCTGGACTTGGGCTGGAACCAGGTCGAAAAGTTCGGTACGAGCATGACGACGCGGTCGCTGGAGGTGCTGAACCTGTGCCACAACCAGCTGAAGGAGGTGCCGCCCATCCAGTCCCTGCGCGCGTTGAGAGAGCTGGATCTCGCGGTGAACCGCATCACGTCGTTGAAGGGGCTGGAGAAGCTCACCGCGCTTGAGCGGCTGGATGTTTCGCACAACTTGATCGACGACATTACGGAGGTGGAGCTGCTTATGAGGCTACCGAAACTTACGTACGTGAAGATGGAGTTTAATCCGATCGCTCGGCGGCCGGACTACCGCCGAGAAGTGCTCTTCTACTTGGGCGAGCCGATCGAGCTGGACGGCCAGCGTTGGAGCGATGCCGAGGTCAGCAGCATGAAGAAGAGGCGCATGCTGCTTATGCTGGACGGAGAGAAAGAGCGCAGTGTTGTCGACAGCGGCATCTGGGGGCAATATGCAGAGACCCCGACGTACCCTAAGGTGCGAGTGCAAAGTGGCATCGTTGTCAAGAACCCGAAGCTTGTCCTCGGATACCCATCGTTACCTCGATCTCAGAATGTCCCCGCACACTACGTGGAAATACAGAACCCGCCATCGACGTTGCCTACAAGAAACCAGTACTTGATGAAGACCACAGAGACTGGAGAGAAATCCGTCGGAAACGGCCAAGGTTCTCAAACCAGTCGGCCGCCAGTTCGATCTGTGGGCGAGTACTTCAGAACTCAGTGCGATGTCATCGTATCCAAGGAGAAGAAGGAGAGAAAGGAGAGCGAAGATCAGGTCATAACGGATGGTACGTTGCGTGTATCACTTCTCCAAACATGTATAAAATTGCCTCAAGACTAACGATACCCACCGATGTGCAGAGGAGGATGACAGCGATGACTCCACAACAGGCAAACGCCGAACTCGCAGTCGCAAATATACGGCAAGTGACTTCATGCGCGACTTTGAGGAGGAGGAACTGCTCATTAGAGAAGGCAACGATACTGACACTGTGGACGTCCTCGTTGCCCGGCCCACTTCGCAGAGCCAGCTGTCGTCGCCTCAGGTACAGTACTTGTCGAAGATTGTTTCTGTGTTGAATCATGGTTGACAAGGAACTGATATACATGCTTGTACTCATGTCATAGAAACCTGGTCGAAGCATCAGCGTCCGAGTACTCCTTAGTGCAAAAGAAGCGGCTGAGCTTGATCTGCACTTTGGTATTGATGGTGTTCCAGCAAACGTAGAAATCAAGGTAGGCGATATGTTATCTGATGTTCACTTCTGCAGCGCTAACACTTTATTCGTTACAGCCTCGCGAATTAATTGAGAGATTCACTGTCAGCGACGGTAAGGAACCGATAGCCATCACGCGGTGGCTCCCAGATGTCGTCGCTGTTGGCACATCAATTCATTCAAGCCGAGCTAAGATCATTACGATGAAGCTGCGACCACGTGTGTCATCAAGTGTGGCTGACGCTGCGTATCAATTTGACGTCATCGCGTCGATGGAGACGCTGCTTTCAGCCCTCGTGGCCCGCCTGTACCAGCAGAACAAGGGCCGAGTCGTAATCTGCAACTGTGCCAATTGTGGAGCTCTCTCGCTGCTCACACCCAAGTACCCCGAGCGAGCAGAGGCAGATGAAGTGTTGATGGTATACTCGTGCTTGCTGTGCTCGAGCTGCAACGTGAGAGAAGCTTCGTTTAAAAAGCTGGTGGCGATCTGTGCTAACGAGGGAATTACTATCCCGAGTAGTATTCCACTGGCTCCACCGCCGTGGGAGACAATTACCGAGGGCTTTTATATCGAGGAACCCGCAGCCACGGACACATCTTCTGGTTCTGCTATGCACGAATGCAGAATGATTTCCAACAACGGCATTCGCGAAGTCGCGGCTCCATCCTTTGAGCAAACGGGTGACAATCACGAAGTTCACAGCGATGAGTGGAACGATGCCATTGTGCACGCCATGACGACGACAATGCGGTGAAGTTTTCTAAGGTTGGTTAATGTTTTGTGAATGTGATTCCATCGCTTGTTAAGCGCAACAACGTCTACTCTAGTTTATCTAAGTTTGTCGAGCTCTTGTCTTGGTGACGTGAAAACGGCGCAAATAGTAAAAGCAACAGCGATTCAGTGACGAGCAGCACCACACCGTCGAAGATGAACTTAGGAGCGAAGATGGCCCACACCATCAGGTGTCTTCGCTGGAGCGCGACAAACAGCGTTGACACCAACGCATTGAGAGAGAAATAGGCCGAGAACGCAAGGGCCAATCTCTCTTGGCCCAATCGGCATTGCTGTCTGCTCAAGGCCAGCCAGGGTAGCGCCAGCACTGCCAGCGCGAAGCAACCGAACGTGTTCAACCCCAGTAGGGCTCCTGCGGCGTAGAAGTTGAAGACGTCGAAACCCACGAACCCTGCGGCATTTTGCAAGCTCGTGAAGGTGTTTGCATGGCCCGTGGTGAAGAACGCTTGGTACGAACACGAAGCCCAAAGCAGTATCCAAGGTGTGATGCTCCCAGATACTGCTACAGCACCAGATCGGCGGCAAGTGACGATAAACGCAAAGCTTAGACACTGCGTCACCAGACAAAGCACCGACAACGGTGACGTGGGTCCAAGCACCAGCATAAACGCTGGAACGAGTTGCCACGTTAAGATGAGGTGGTCGTTTGCCAGTTGCAATGGTTCTCCACCGGAGGCTTTCCGTCTCTGCTGCCGTAATGCGCGCACGAGGAGGTAAACTAGACTTCCCAAGAAGCTCAAATAAACGAAGCGGGGAAGCCACAGTCGCCAGAAAGTCACCTCGATTGGTGAAGCTGCCCAGAAGATAGCGCACACGCAGCAGCTTACAACCGACGACGCCAGCATGAACGTTCCCGTCAATGACAGCGGACGTCCAGTGAATTGAGCAGCCTTCAAGGAAGACCCAACAGCAAGTAGGGCTGTTGCAGCGAGTGGGGCAAACGTTGACCCTAGTGTCGTGGACGCCTTGATGATGTTGGGTGGTTCGATGGCGCTGCTTACCCGCGTGGCGCAAAGGAACATCAGTGCAGCAACCGTAGCGGAAGCTCTGTTGACGCTCGTACATTGCGCGCAACCAAGCAGGAAGAACCCGATGGTGGCTGATAGAAATTGCATAACATTGCCTTCAGCCACGATGTAGCTATTGGACAGCAGCGCCAGCGCATGAAGTACGACGACCACCGTGACAACCACCCCCACCGCAGATATGGAAGGTAGCCATGTTCTGATACCGCTCCAAGGGCCTCCAGTAGTTAGTATAACAGTAGATTTGCGTGGAACCGACACCAGCAAAGTCAACTGAGCCAAACCACTGCACGAAGCTACCACCAACGCTCGTGACAACGGGGCAGCCGGAAGCAAGGGCAAGTTGATACTTGCAGGACAGACGAAGAACAGGCCGCCCACAATAGCGACAGCACCCAGATATCTCCATGACTCACTCACTGGGCTTCCACTTGCAGATTTTCTAACGCCCACGATAAAGGACCACGTAAGCAGCGCCATTCCCCAGCCCATACTGCACAAATCGAACTGCGTCCAGATAGAACGACCCAGTGACAAGGTTTCGCGCAGATAATTCTGCTGCTGTTTTGCCAGGTCTTCATGAAGGCGCAGTAGCAACGGAATGTCTGCTTTCGAATACGTTGAGCTTGATTCGCTTCCGTACACTCCCTCCAATTGCTTCTCAACATTCTTGATGCCGACGAATAGCTTCTCCAGATGATCATACGCTCGCTCCGGCAGCTTGGATTCCGATGAATATCGAAAGAGGTAGCGTCGCACCTGATCCAGGTTCAGCCGCAATGCGCGATTCAGCGACTGAAAGGCGGTCACCGCTTTATTTTCCTCACCTCCAACTGATGTCTGCTTTGTAGTTGCTGGTGGTACAAAGAACAATGACGGAATCACGCTGCCAAGGTTGCCAAACGGGATAGGCAAGCCACTCAGCAGTGCTAGTGTCGGAACAAGATCAACTTGCGGTACCTCGCGCGAGCTGTCGAGTATTCTCTCCGCATACTTTTGCAGCTCGTCATCCGTCCCGCCTCCCGTAGCGACAAGTGATGCCTTGCTGTACAGGAACAACGCAGCTCCCGTCTCTTCGTCACTGGCACCTCCGTGGTTCCCATCAGCCGACATGCCGTGGTCTCCCAGCACAGCCAGAAGCACGTCTTCCCCGCCCGGCATCTCCTTGAGCTCCTGCAGCAACTTTGTTAGTACCCCGTTCATCTCATCCAGTTTCTCAGCCATGAAGACGGAGCTAGGGCCATGGGTATGTCCGACATGGTCCACTCCTAAGAAGTGCGCGATCAACAAGTCCCAGTCAGGCTTGTGCAGTTCCGGAAACAAGTGCGCTGTGACCCCCCGATCCACCGAGTGCAGGTCCTTGACATTGAACGAGTCAAAGGCGAACTTCCTCGTGAACTCCCGAGCATACAGCGCGTCCCACGTGTCGTCCCCCATGAACACGACTCCGCGCTGTTGCGCGCGCAGCTGGCGCAGCAAATTGTCCTCGACAATCTGGCTGCTGGTCGCCATGTTGTCCTTGATGTCCAAGAACGTCGGGAGCGAGCCGGTCGTCAGTCCCTTGAGCCTTTGCATGGTCATCGTGGGCGGGTCCGCCACGAACTTGAGCAGTAGCGCGTGCTCCGGCTCGGTAGCCAGGGTATCATTGAGAACCGGCAGTCGGTCGCTGTAGAACGCCGACCGTTGCGAGCTCGACCGGGCAGCCGCGAAGTCGAACCGGAGCGCGTCAATCACCACGAACACGACGCGCCGGAAGCGTCGAGGCATCCAGCAGCCTTCAGTTGCAGCGTCGTCGGAGCCTCCTGCGTCTTCATGGCCGCCACGGAGGTGCGAGGGGCTGGAGCTGGCTTCGGACGGAGACGCGTGGCAGCTGCTGAGGTCCGACACTTCGAAGCGCGTCAGGAAGAAGCCCGTGGTGAACAAATACAGCGCCGCAGCGTGCAGCGCCAGCAGCGCCGCGAGCACGCGATGCCCCATGGCGACGCGGATCCGATAATGAGCGAGTCGACTTTTCGTCCAATCGTAACTGCGCTGACGTACATTAACACTTCAGGGCCTGTGCAATGCTGGACACGCACGGATCAGAGCACCACAACCACAACCACGAGAGGCTCAAGGACTTCAAGGCAAAAGATATGAATATATGCAATCATGTAGCTCAGCGGACTAGACCTCGCGTTGTTTAGGCGTCTGCCCACCCTTCGGCGTTGTGCAGCCGCACGTCGGCGTCCATGTTGGGCGAGTTCTGGATGGCGTACAGCAGCTTGGTGCGCAGCACCTCCTTGCTCGTGTAGGCTGGGAGCCGCAGCGCGAAGAAACACGTTTGCGCGTGGGGCAGATACAGGTCCGGCTGGCCTGTGGCGCCCGGGTCGTGCGCGGCCTGCAGCTTGAAGTTCATGGGGAAGTCCTTGGCGCTGTTGGGCATGCGGCTGCGCGCCCACACGAAGCGCAGGAAGGACGTCCTCTCCTCGCTTGTCATCTCGCGCAGCACCTCCCAGAAGTGCTGCACGTGCGGCATCGCCTCGTCGGCCCCCTCGCTGTACTCCGTGCACTGGCGCAGCAGGTCCACGTCCACCTCGCGACGTCCACAGATCAGCACCTCGAGTTCGCGCGGAGTGAACAACGGCGCCAGCTCCATCGGAAGCACAGACGCTAATCCATCCTTGAGCGCGGCGAGCTGCTGGCTGCTCTCCGTAAGGCGCGTCTTCTCCACGAGCTGCACGTACAGCTCACGGTTTGCTAGAGTCACCGCCATCTTCTCACCCTGCGGCACCAACGGAACCTCAACGCCATCGCTCAGCGTCGTCGACAGGGTCAAGTAGCCCAGCACCTCTTCGGCTTCTTCAGCCGCCGACTCCGTCTCGGTGCTGAGTTCCCCAACGCGGTTGAGATTGTTAGCAGCCGCAACATCAACGCTCTCGAGGTGTGCCCGGCTGACTTCAAGGCCTGCTAGGGGCCGCCACACGAGCGCAGGGAGATCCAGTCCCATCTGCAGTCCATGACGCACTGCTGTGCCAATTAGCTTGCCTAGGAAGCGATGCAGGTCCAAGGCCATGGGGCCGTTCGCTAGCAAAGCCGTGCCGCATGACGGGTTCAGCAAGAACTTGTCCTGGTTGCTACCAGTGCCACTGCGGCGGTTCGGGCACGGGATCAACAGAGGCAACAAGCCTTGCTCGCCCTTTGCCAGTTCCACGTTGTCCATCTGAAGTTCGTCGACAATCTGCTCAAAGACCGCGCGATACGGTCCACCGTAGTCGTTGACACCTTCGCCAAGGAACTTGACCTTGAAAGCACGGCGTTGGCCTCCGTGGCCCTTTCCGCAGTAGGCACGGCGGAAGAAGCTGTCGCTCCACGCACGCATTTCTCGGTATAGTTGGCCGAACACTGAACGGCGCAGACGATCACCCGGTTGCGACAGCAAACTCAGCTTTGACGCTTGCGCTTGAATGCGGTTGATGCGGATAACGCGGATCTCGCGTGGGTCTTCGTACTCATCGGATGGCAGCGGCGTGCTTGTCGTCGTAGCACGCAGCACGTCGTCCCAAAAAGCACGTTTCGTACTCGTGAACACTAACCGTCGCAGGGAACGCAGCTTCAAACTCATCGACAAAAACTCGCTCGAGCGCCTGGTAGAAGCATTGCTGTTTCCACTACTGCTCGAAACTTCGATCGGCTGGGCGCTGCTTCCATCGTCAGGCTGGATAGCAATAATCGGAAGCACCCGCAGGATCTTGCTGTTCAACACCCGTAGCACCGCTGTGCGCGCCCGCAACTCAGCACCCGTGATGTTCTTTAAGGCTGGAGACGTGAAATAGTCTTCCACGACTAGCGAACGAGTACGTGATCGCCCAGATCCCGAACATGCGTAGCTATCGACCTCCTCGGGGGTAACCGCATCGGTGATGCTGAGGTTCGTTACGTCCAGTCCGATTGCTGCGCAATAGGCGTTTAGGCGCTCAACCAATTGCATGTCCGATGTCGTCGTATGCGCCCGCGTGGCCAGTTCAACAAAAGCGTCGAAGTCAGTCCTCGCCCGTTCCTCCAGTGTTGAACGAGGCTTAAACGGACCGTGTTCGGGTGCGCTCTCGTAGTCCGACACATCCATAGCGCTGTTCTCAATCAAAGTCATATCCTTACCGCCCCGGCGAATTAAAAGAAGCTCCGGCAGTTCACTTGGAGACCAATACCACGCCCATGCACGTCCTTCATCTGCACCCTCGTTTCCTTGGGTCTCTGTGCGATACCACAGGAACCCGCGGTACACACCGAGAATGACAGCTTCCTCAGGCTGGTTCAACTCTTGTCCATACTTTGAGCAAATACGGACACGGTCTCCCGCCAAGAAGGGGGCACCTAGACCAGCAGCGTTGCTGACGCGGATGCACGCAGCAGGGGAAGTGTCAAAGTCCACAGAAATCCCACGTGGACGTGCATGGCATCGCTGCCAATGATTATCACTCCAGCGCTTCCATTCCGACCAACTCTCGCGTAGCAGAGTCTCTGGTAGTTTTACCCTGGAGTCAATAGTTGCAGGAGATGCCATATCCTCTGGCGATGAAGGTCCGCTAGCTGATGACCCGGTCGTAGCCGACACCTTTCCCTGTTGAATTGACACGTACCATGAATGCAATGCCTTGCTCACATCCACAGCGTCCGATAGGATCTGGCGCGGCGGCACTCCGGGCATTGACACCCACTTCTGATTAAGCGTGACACGATCGCCACCCTTGCGCATGCCGATGCATGGGTACAATGTCCGCGAATTGCGCTCTCCCTTCATGTTCTCGAACGCAACACCCAAGTCGGACACGATGTGCTCGCCAAATTTGATGCCATCCATGAAAAATGATAACTTGCCCTGCTCCATGTCGAGTCGAACCCCAATGGTATCACTCGCGTTAAAGTGATCGCCGTAGATGCGTTCTGTACTGTTGTGATACGTAGCACGGAAGTTCACGAAGCCCCATCCGTGCCACCTATTCAGGCGGCTCGACAACGCGGCTTGAGAACCGGGCGGGCCTGCCTTTTCGCACACTCCAATAAACACGCTGCCAAATTCAGCTTGCTCTACGTGGACCTCCCAGTAGTGCACACCCGTGGTAAATCCCACCGTGCCTAACGCAAGGTTCCGGGACTCGCCGCTGTGACACGTCACCGATAGACCGTCCGACGAGATGCCCAGCGTTGAAAAGTGGTTGTAGTGGTCCATTGTGAACAAGTACTTCGTTGACACTTGTAATTCGCCACGAATTTCCACGAGCTCTCCATCCTTGACGCCAGCGTGCGTATACTCTCCACGAAGCGTATCAACCATTGATCCGTCAGTGGTGGTTGTCCCAGGGGAGTCGAGAGACTTGAGTGGTTGCAGCATATACTTGGTGCCAGGCTGCCACTTTTCCGTGCCAAAGCGAAGCATCCAGCCCATGTCGGGGTTGCCGCGAGTTAACTGCAATTCTTGAACGCAAAGAGATCCGTCAGGATATCTCATACCAACAACGCGAACAGCAGCACCATAGTCAGGCCACTCCATCAGGCCAGCCACCTTCGTAGCACCAGGTTCGACTGCCGTCATGTTTTCTTCGTCAACGAAAAGGTACAATAGTACACCAAGGTGCAGCTCGGACCCAAATGAACCTTCATCCTCTTGCTTCGCCTTCGGAGTAGGGTGCTGGTGCGTGATGTTACCTTCTTCGTCCACTTCAACATGAATTAGGTCGAAGTTGCCGTCAGCACCCCAGCGGTATGTGTAAAGTGAGTCGTTTGGCCAGCGGACAGACATGCCTTCACCATCCACGCCACTCCACGGCGAGACGCCTTCAACAACACCCACGCTGCCTTCCCCGCCATCTTGGTCACGCCACTTCCAGTTAGGTCCGCGAATAACCTTGCACCCAACCTTCAGCTCTGGCTGGCTGGATTCCTCTTGCTTTTGACGAAGTCTAAATTGCGTTAGAGTGCCACTCCAGAGCTGTGTGTGAGAATCAGCAAGCACTCCGACGTCGTTACCGTGTTTCCAGCCTCTCGGCTCCTCTCCCATGATGCCGCGCTTAGCGGCCTCCAATACGTCGATTTCATGCGTATTCAGCATAGACGTATCGAAGACGGGGTCTTCCTCCGGCAAACGGAACTCAAAAGTGGCATCAGTTTTCTCCTGGAGCAACTCGGGCATCGGCAATTTCGTTCTTCGGCCTGGCCCATTGATGGTTAGCCGATCACCTGAGCCTACAACAGCAGCAGCGGCTGCCACGACGTCGGTATCCTCAGTTACCATGTTGGCAATCGCTGACAGCGTGATATCAGGGGCTTCTTCCGAGTCACTGTTATCAACCTCCATGTTGGTGACCCCACTACTTCGTGCTGCACTGTTGTCTTCTTCAATACTTTGAGCAGCGGCACCATCATTGCTAGCCGTTGCGTTAGAGTCGCCCAAACTCGATGATGAATCTCTTTCAACACCAGCCTCAGCAGCCGCAGCACGCTCCGCAGCAAGCTTCTCTTGCTTCAAGGCCTCCTCTGCAGCTTGCTGTGCCTGCAATAGTTTTTTCGCAGCCATCACTTCCTCGTACTCTTTCTTGTCAATCGGATCCAAGTCAGCTTCGATTCGCTTGCAAGCTTGTAACTGCTGAGACGAGCTGCTTCCAAAGAGTTTATCTGGAGATTGCCCCACCGCGCTCATCACCAGGCCGGCCGCAGAAACAAGCTCTACAAGGCTTTGGACGTACTTTGAGCATACAGGGACGTTCGGATATTCGCGCAGGATTCGTTCTTGCGAGAGGTCGACAAGCCGCTGCAACGGTAGGGCATCTAAGGCCGTCTTCAGCCTCAATTTGGTTTGCTCGTCAATCACCTCGATGTCACTCTTATTAGCGATCCCGGATGTCTTTGGCAAGATATCTTGTAGAATCCCGGCAAGAATGGTTGCGCCACGCTCTTTGACACACATGCTCGAAGATTTCAGCGACGACATCCAAGCTTGCAGCAACTGTTGCCGAATGTGATCGTGAATCGGCACCGAAAGCCTTTTCTTGTGTTCCTCTAGGGATTCTAACAGCAACCCACTGATCCATTCTGCTAGGAAGAGATTGGGATGACTGAGCACCTCTTTATCAGACCAAGTTTGGCCAGCTTCGGCTGTAATTTGAAGAAGGGTGGCGGTAATAGCGGCTTCCGATGAGTTCCATGGAATGCGAGCATATTGGCGTTGGGAAGCTCTTTTAACCTCCGACGAAATGCACGAAAGAATCGTATCCACCAGAGAATTCGGGCTGCACGTCGTTGCCGTAATTGTTGAAAGCGTGTTGTTCAACGCCGACTGCACCACTCCAGACAGCAAACCCAACGCATACCGACCCGTGGCACCGGAGTCGAGGAGATGAAGGGCATCACCATCGGGTAGCGTTAGGGGCGTGCTGGGCAATGCATTTGACACATGAAGAGCACTAAGACTCGCCATCAGCTTGATGAAGTCGATAAATCTTGCGGCATCTTCACTCTCGGCTGCACGAAGAGCGTCTACGCCAGACAAAAAGGATGATACAGAGAATGGCCCAACAGCCTCTGTAGGCCACTTCGCAAGCAACGTCAACAGCGCTCGTCGCGCCTGCAAGATCGCAAGTGAGCGCGTGACCACCACCAGCTCAACATACACTCGATTATCCGGAAGGGCCTTGATTTCTGCCAGGGCATCTGCCTTCGTCACGCCGGAACCAGACGCAAAACCACTACTGCGGCTATGGCCTGAGCTTCGGAGCATCGATGGATGCATATCCCTAGCGAAATATCGCGTGTCACTGGAATAATTTTCTTCGCCGATACTTTCTTCCAGACAGTCTTCTCGGGATCCTATCACGTCAAAGCCCTTCGGCACCGAAGTCAGGTCATAATTGTCGCTGAGCACATTCAAAATTGGCTGGAATCCTGGCGGGGGAGGGTACTTGAATGGAGATCCACCAAGGTTAAACTGCAAACGCTCCCTTCGGTTAAAACTTGCACATGGGTACACCCCCCGAGCAAAGTCAATAGCTCGGAAAGCAACACCCATGTTGGCGGAACGCATCTTTCCATTTAAGCTGAAAATGATGGTGCCTGCATCCGCGTCAATGCCACAACCAACGACGTCGCCTTGTTTCCACTTTGAGCCCCACGGAGACGAACGACCATGCCATCGTTGTTGTCTCCAGCCGTCATAAGCCCACGAATGTGCGCCATCGCCCACTCCATCTCCGCGATCAGCAGCACCGCAGAAGGCTACGTCGGCCCAACCGATTTGAATGCAGCCGTTTGTGTGTAAAATCGCTTCGTAGTACCAGCGTCCACTGGAAACAAGGCAATCAGGTGCCCCAACACTGGCGAAACCGCCACCAACCAAGCCTTCCACCATCAAGTCATGCTCTCCGATGCAGGCTTGACCACTCACAGCACGTAGCGGGTTGGGCATTAGCACAGTGTCTTCCCCTTCGGGGATTGGGCTCGGTGCAGTCCCATCCCCTGCGTCCCCACCAGAGGATCGAAGTTTTGCTTCCTCATCTCGTCGATCTTCAGCTTCCAATGCTTCGCCGTTTGATAGAATCCACGTCAAGGCTGCATCTACGTTATTTCGATTCGCAGCGAGCGCCTTCTTGCACCAGTTGAAAGGGAATCCCATCTCGGACAGCTGTTCGAGTAGTGGACTAATCGCTTCAAAGTCATCCTTTCGAGAAGACCTCGAGCTACTGTCTGCGCCAGATCCTCGGGTCGATCGATATTCTGCAACAAGACGCTCCATATCACTACTGTGTTCAAAGCAGAAATTAATCGCAGCCTCAACATTCTGAGAGCAGCGAGCCAAAGCCACATCACACCACTCCTTCGGGAATCCCATCTCCATCATTTGCTGAACCATTGGACCCGGCGACAAGTTGTCAGCTTCCGCTGATTCGCTCTCCATACTTTTCCCTTCGTTAGAGTCTGCAGGGGGCGATGGAGCAGCGTGTGCACTCCTAATTGCATACCAACGGGACCACAGCATTAGCCAACTCTCTTCAAGTGACGAGATATCTCCGACTCCTGCTGTCGTAGGAGTTTCGGAAATGGCAACAGTTAGCAGGTCTTTTAGACCACGAGGGCCAACACCACGGATGAACGTTGCAGCACAATAGTCATTCTTCAGCAGCGTAGCAGAAGCGCGAAGACCATGCTGGCATAGTAGCATCCGATAAAGTCGTGACTCCTTCTCCATTTCTGCCATGGCATCAGTGGGTTCTGTCGGTGAAGAGTTGTCAGCATTATTCTTTTGGTGACGAGGTGATCCGGTAGCTTCAGAGTCCGACTCATCAACGCCGGCGCCGCTAGGCATTTCGCTATCCATCGCCGACGGAGATGAAGAACCATCATTGGACATATCATCGTCGTCTTCGCTTTCTCCATCATTTGCACCTTCCTCGTCGGCTTCGTTAAGTGCGTCCATGACGCTCACGTCCATGAGGCTTTTTTTCACTTCAGCCAAGAAGTACGGGAATCGTTCGACAAGTAAAGATTTCAGCACCGCGTCCGAAAAGGCATTATTTGGCAGCTCCACTTCTGGGACTGGGAATAAGTCCTCGATGGGGACACGGACTGGTCGCGTCTATACAAATACCATAAATGAGTGGTTAGTGTGTAAATTGGTGTTCCTTTGCAGTTTTCACCATGAGCACCTACCGGTATGGAGCGACTCGAAAGCAGAGACTGCTGTTGATTGCTGCTCTCATCGGTGCGACCTCCGCGCAACAGTACTTCGGCTGCAGATTTCTCTGGCTCATAAGCAACAATCACACCTCTTGCTCCTCGGAAGGCAATTTCTTGTAAAGATGACCCGGATCGTGGCATAATCTTCACTGTACCGCCGACGTGTAGGCCTTCAATGTGCCCGTCGAGAATGCACAGTGCAGACAGGGCCTTAACGTAACTAGACGTTTGTGCGTTCCAGCTCTCAAGCGAGGGGGTCTCCTTCGTCATATCTTCCATTTCGACATCAGAGTCTGCCGTTTCCGTGACAACTCCTCCCTGCTCAGTAACGCACACTTGCGGGATTGAGGAGAGAGCGTCGGCAATTGCACGATTCAAATGATCCGCCCACTTATCAGATTCATATAGCGAACGAAGCAGCAGCACTACTTCAGCAGCAAGGCCACCAGCGCTGAATCCAGAATCATCTGCCGGGCTGGTGTAAGCAGTCTTTCCAGGGTTGCTGGAGTTCGAAAGCCGATGCAGCAATACTTCCGCGACACTAGGAGGGTTATTTGACCCCACAATTCCCACGAAGAAGTTTATCAGCGTAGAGGCGTGGTCAGGCTCGTCCTGGCCGTCGACATCGTACTCATCGTCACTGTCCATGTCAAAACTCTCGACTTCGTCGTAACGAACCCTAATGGAAGACGGATCGAGCGAAGGCAGGAGCCGACGAAGCAACTTCAAAATTCGTCTCTGTATCTGAGGCGAGTTCACGTCAACGAGAGCAAGCAATAGACGCAGCCACCGAGAGGAAGACAAGTGTGATCTGCATACGGGGGAGCCGCTTACTGAGTACAGAAGGGAGCAGATCTGATAGCAATACTCCTGGGCATCGTCCAGACCATCTCCGGAACCCGTCTCCGATCCGGACGTACTTGGATCTCCGGACTGCGTAGGATCAGTCACAAACGCTGTAGATGGAGCATCCACAGGCATATTTCCTCGAGTTTGCCGCATTTCTTCCAAAGAGTTTTTCAACTCGGTGTACAGCATGTGGAATACGGACTTGCCGAGTGTTTCGGGGCCTGAAGGCTTGCGCAACAGTGGAATCGAACCTAAACTCAGGCCTGGAGTAGCCGGGAGGTCGGACGCACTTAGAAGTCCATCTGCCGTATCACTGGCATGAGCAACTTGCGCGGCTAGTAGGTGCACTACTTTCAATGCAGCCTGGACGATTTTCTTCTTATTCTCCGCAAGTAAAACTGCATCGTCGGGAGAAGTACGAGATGGGCCTGCCGAAGCTTCTGTCACGGTAATATCGCTTGATCCCCGTGCTTCGTCCAGCACAGTTTGAAGCACTCTGAAAATACCAACGCGCGACAAGAACGAATGGTCGTCTGGCTGGATAATAATTCCCCACGCTAGCAAAATGACTAGCTGCAGGTCGGCATCATGAGCCCACGTAGCTCTAGATAGCGACGCACTCAGGTATCCATACAACGACTCGAATGAATCCCTGAGATCATTTTTCAGGTGCTTCCCGCAGCCGCCAAGACCACTAAGGTAGTGAGAAGACTCGGTGATAATGCCTGAGCTACCAGTAGAAGCTGCCGGCACTACACTAACGCCAAAATCGCCGAAGTCCTTGCCGAGAGAGGCGCCACGACTGCCATTGGTTTTAAAATCCGCTAGTGTTGGTGACAGCCACTGCAACGCACTGGATAACGCAAACGAGGATTGGATAACTTCATGACGTTCCGAAGTCAGCACTCCGCGCTTACTACCAGAATCGCCAACGAAATTTCGGAAAGACAGCATTCCAATCGTCCTCAGGAACGCCGCTGTGCAGTTGCTTAGCATCCTTGACTCTAGCGTCGATACGCGAATAGGAGCTTCCACAAACCGTGCAACTTGGACCAACACATCGCTGTATATACGCTCGGCACACTCGTACACTGCTGACTTCGATGCTATCCGTTGAGCCCCACTCTCCACTGACGCCAGCGCATATACGGCCTCCGCAGCAGCCAACGCCTTCGCGCTGGGTTCAACCTCCAGCAAGAATTGAGCTTTCCGAATCACCAGACCAGCCACAACTGTGTACGAAGAGCCCATAGAATTTTTGGCTCGAATCGCCCACTCAATAACTCGTTGAGCAGCTCTCCAGATGTGCATTAAATTATCGTGCGGCCGAACGTCACTGTCCGCAAAGTTGGATGGTGAGCTCTCGACGTGTTTCTTAATAAAGCCCAAAGAACCGCTGTGCCAGATCATTGCAGCACAAACGGTTCGCCGAGTAGCTTTCATAGGCTCTCCTCCTAGCCGCACAAAAGGCGACTCCCCCACGTGTTTCGAAACCCATCGATCTAATGCTGCTGCTTCACCGCGATTTTCGATCAGGTCTTTCAAAAGTGGATTACTCACGCGCGCGCCAGCAATGGGCGTGCTGTCAGCGTTAGGAAGAGATGCTGACAGCGTCTTTGGTAGTACAAACTGCATCCATGCTTTGGTAGCGTCGGTAAGCACAGGCAAGCTGCCAGCAGCTGTAGCAGAGCCGAATCCAGAAATCTCCGAACTACGCTCAAGCACACTCTTTAAATGTGCTTGGACGGTATCGAGAGGTAATCCACCCTCAAGCAAATTGCTGCTTACCCACTCGTCGTATTCATCAATCGAGCACTCAGACGATGACAGTTTCGATACATCACCGTCGTCACTTTCACCACCATCACTCTTGACGACGTCATCCAAACTGAGGGCGGCCGTACTCACGTTGTCAACAAGTAGATCATCGCTTTCCAAGCTGGTCAATGCGTGGCCAAAGTAGCCTAAGAGATTGGCAATCACCATTTCCAAAATAACAAGCTGATTGCTCACCCACTGTCGTCCATTTGTCTCCTTCGAATCCTGCGAGATCTTGTTTCCCACAATGCAACCACTCGTGTGACTTTTAGTGTCCTCATAGCTTCCTGTGAACACCGTACCATCAGCACGGAGGCGCCCCTCGACCAAGCAGGTGCCTCCTTGGCGCCATGTTTCCACGAACGATACCTTGGTTCCCCGAGCGATACCATTCAACGTTACCGTTGTAAACGAGCCACTGCTTCGACCTTGCATTGATCCGTCTTTGCCTTGGGAAAGAGTGAGATGGTATTGCTGAGCTGGAATATTGCCAGCAGCCATGCTCTTCAACTCCCACTCCCCAGCAACACTGAGCACAAGGTTACCAGGTGAAACATTGTCGCCATCTTCACTCGATGAAGCCAGTGCTCGAAGAGCTTGGTTCACACGCTCAATGCATTGCATAGTGCGAATACACCAAGGCACAAAGGTCATTGCCAGCGTCGAAGACAGTCCATGATAGTTCCGGATAAGGCTTAACGAACTGATTAGAGGGGTCACCATCGGAAACAGCAGAGGGTATGAAGACACTAAGCGCTCGAAGTCACGAATGCGCTCACGCTTCTGAACAGCAGTGAGAGCTGACTGTTGTTCTGACGAAATATCCAAGTCATTCAGCGCAGGGTTGGATAGATAAGTACAGCACGACTCCAACAGGGCTCCTGCGTGGTGCAAAAACGGCTTGAGAACAGCAGGGATCGCAACGCCCTTAGGCTCCATCATCTCGCCACTCGAAGATGAAGCAAAGCTCGCGTCCGCAGTCGGCTGAACCGGCAAAATCGTCACCTGGTCATCCCGTTGGTACAGTCCAATCGCAGGATATAACGTGCCGTGCTGAGTTAGCCCATCAAACGCAATGCCCCAATCACTATCTCCAACTCCAAACGAAAGCGCTCCACTATCGGTATTCAGCCGAACGCGAACAACGCTGCCGGTGGTGAAACCATCTCCATAATCGCCGCGGACTTTGCTTCGGGCATGCCAAAGTGCCCGAGTTCCGATAAGCCCCCATCCCTGTCGGTCACCACCCACGTAGGTTGCAACGGAAGCATCTCTGGTACAAACTCCAAGAAAAATGTGTCCCTTCTCACATCGATCGAGACGAACACCCCACTCGTGAATACCAGTGTTAGGAGGGCAACCAGTCGTAGCCATCACCATTCCCCACTGCTTCGCCGTATACTGTTTAGCCGTTCGGTTTCCATCGGAAAGAGTCATCGTTTCGGCGCATCGTGAAGAATCAAACTCTAAAGCAGGCGGCTCATCACCGCGCGAACCACCTAGTCGTTGAATCATCAAGTCTTGTAATGATCGAAGCAAGACAATTCGAGCATTTAAAGTTGGAAGGCTCGACGAATCGTTCTCTTTCTCGAGAAGGGGCAGTAACGGAGCGTGCACCAACTCGTAGTTGTCTCTAAACGAGAAGTTGTGCCACCCCGTCGACAAAATACTTTCGCGAAGTAAGTCAATCAGACTAGGAAGCCGGTTGATGCATTCCAGCGCCTCCGCCTTTTGTTTGCGCCCCATATCCCACATTTCTTCGTATGCACTTGCCAAGGTATCAGCGTTTAGTGCCTCGTCGCTAGGACCACTGCCGGAAATATCCATTATCGCATCCAGGAGACCAGGAGGTCCATGACCAGATATGTAATCGTAGAGGCATCGCGCACTCAGAGACCCAGAATCGAGAGAAGCGCGAATAACGTCAGGGCTCCACTTCGCTTTGATCTTTCCAGTTTTTGACGCAGCGTTTTGGAGAGCACCATCATCGATTGGCTTCACACTTGGGTCACTAGCATTTTGCTTCTTCTGTCCTCGCTCAGTCTTGCTGTCGTGTTCAATAACGTCAACACAGGTGGGCACAAAAAGCTGCGCCATATCTGGCAACGCCAACCGAGCGCACAAAATGTCTAGTTGGTGAAACTTCCACTCAACGTTTTGTTCACCAGTTCGAGCAAGCTTAAGGCATTCAGCGAGCCTAGATGCCAGGAGCATATGCCTGTCCTTCTGCACGTCGTAGAAAATGCCAAAAGCTCGTACCCACGCTGTCGTTGCTTGCTCGCGAATACGAGCGTAATAATATGCAGCAGCGTTTTGTACATCGACCGGGGAACATGCCGCTGGAGTCGAAAATATGATTGAGCCGATGACATCCTGCCCAGGGTCAACTTGAGAGCTCTCAATAGAGATGTAATTCAGGACTAGACTCTTCAAACTCTCCAACAACGGGTTTCCGCCTTCACTCGCACCTTCATGAGGATTCAACTTGGGAATCTGACCAAGACCAACAGAAGCTGGTGCAATGCCCATTATTTCAACGTGGAAGAAGTGTACTTCTAGAACTCGGAAGAGCGAAAGCATCGAGCATGACGAAAACAAACGCCACTTAGCTGCCCAGTTTGGGTTTTCAGCCCACCGAGAATGGGGTGCCGCTGAAGCGTGCAGATCCCTCAACAAAGAATTCAGGAGCATGAACGTCAGTGGATGCGGCTGAACGGGTGATTTGTTAGGGAGAACACCCTCCTGGCACGACGTCAGGTATTCCATGCACACCTTAGTCATCTGGACTATCAGAGCCATCACCACAGTAGCTGCATCGACGTCAGCTACAGAGCCATCCGGGAGTGCAAACGGACCAAGCTCCTGCAGCTCTTCAGCAGAAAACTTTGGCGGGCGAGTTTTCACAACAGGCGACTCATTTTCGTCCGTAATATCTCCATCCGGCTTGTTCTCGCTCTTGGGAGTAGATGGAGCATCGGCTGATGCGTTTTGGTCCCTCAAGTTCACCTCGGGAGAAAGCGATAAAGCAATTGCGCGTGCCATCAGCGCATCTTCATCCACGCCTTCTCCTCCAAGGCTGTCTTCGCCTTCTCCACGCTCATCGTCATCATCATCGTCGTCGTCGCCATCATCCCCATCATCCCCATCGTCTCCAAACCGACTCAATCGTGCGCGGAGCTTGGCAATTGATCCAGTGTCCGAGTCCAAATCCATTTCAGCAGAAGCTGCGGCTTCTAGAACAACATTCTGCAAGTCGGACTCGAAGTTGCCTTCCGCGGTTTCCAGCGTAGTATCCGCCATAGTTTGATCCGCTTTCGTTGGCGTCGAGACTTCGTTCGTTGTCGACGCTGCCGCTGTAGACGCCCTCTTCGGCTTATATTCTGGCGCTTTCTCTCCTCGCAGCACCCGTAGATGTGAGGCCAGCGGGAACGTGGGCGGTTCGGTATCATTCGCCTTGTTCTGATGGCCCAGGAACGACAGCACAAGCTTCGCCGCCAGCATGAGGCCCTGCAGCGATCCTTCAGCGATACTCTTGGCCACAAAGCGACTGATGTTCGTCTTCATGTCTTCATCAGACAGCGGCTCCGCTGCCAAGTCCGGCGTCAGCATCCCTGCTCCGATGCCGGTCTGCGAGGGCTGCTTCTCCTTGCGCTCCCGGTCCTTCCGCTTCTTCTTCTTTTTCTTGTCCTTCTTCGGGTCCACGCCTGTGACCAGGGGGTGGCACAAAATGGCGCCGTACAGCGCGGGGTCCTGCTCTCGGATCTGGCCCAGCATCACGTTGTACACGCGGTTGTCCAGCTTGTCCTTCAGCAGCCGCGCGTGCAGCTTGGCCAGGCGCTTCTCCGGGTCCAGCGCTTCGTCCTTGTCGTCGTCCTCGTCGTCGGCCTCGTCGCGCTCGTCGTCGCGCTCGCTGTCCGCCTCCTTGTCCTTGTCCTTGGCCTCGTGGAAGTCGCGGCCGCCGCCCAGCGCGAACTCGATGTCCGACTTGGCCTCCATGAAGAAGCGCGTGAGCTCCTCCACGCGCTGGCGGCGCGCGGCGTCGGCGCTCAGCAGGTCGTCCTGCTTGGAGGAGGAGGAGGACGACGAGGTCTTTTGCTGCGAGTCGGCGGCGCGCTCGGGCGCGCGCTCGAGCTTGACGGGCTCGGCGCGGCCGCTGGCGGCGAAGAACTGCAGCGACTCGGCCGTGATGACGCTGCTGCGGTCGCTGCAGAGCGCCGCGAGCTCCGCCATGAGGCGCGCGTAGCGGCCGTCCAGCGAGTCCTTCTCCTGCGTCTCCTGCAGCTCGTGCAACACGCTGGCCTGCCGCAGCAGACGCGTCTGCTTGGCGCGCGCGCTGCTGCTGCTGCTCATGCTGCTCGGGGGCTCGCCGCGGGACGAAGAGTGATGGTCTCTCGGCTTTCTCTCTGCTTCGGTCTCCGTCGGCGGCGGCTTTTTCTCTTGCTAAAGTGTCGGTCGTCCCCCCTTACGATCTTGCGCGAGTTCGGCTAAGTACGGCGTCGCGATTGGACGAAAGGGAGCTTGAAGAGGCGCGAGTATCATCTATCTGCCAAGATGGAGGACGGCGCCGAGGCGGACGTCTGGAGCAGCTTCGAGAAGAGCGTCGCGTACATGAAGGAGGTGGCGGCGCTCTACGAGTCGGCGTTCGGCTGCAGGGCGGATGGCGCCAGGAAGACCGTCGTCACCAAGGCGCACCTGGACGAGGCGCACAACCAGGCGCAGCAGGCGCTCGAGCTGCTGTCCTCCAACCTGCTGAACGCCTCCATGACCGTCATGAACGCGATCGAGAGACAGGTGCGTGGCAGTAACTATGTCGGAGCCACGGCAACCGTCTGACTGGTGCTCTACTTGGGCTGTCTAACTTCGCCCCAGGAGAGCGAGGCCGACCGACTCAAGCGCAAGGTGTCGGCCATTCGCGAGAGCATTCAGGACCGACAAGCTGAGCTGGACCAACAAGCCGTTGACAAGTTTTATGCAGCTCACAAGGCGAGCCCATCAATGTCGTCGCGTCCGGTTATCTCAGCGGAGCGTACGGGGCGATTCGAAAAGGACCCGCCGCAGCGTACGCTTTCACGTGTGCTACCTAGTGTCTGGGGTGCTGTGCTAATTAGTTCTGTGTGTTTTTTTTGTGTGTGCTGCGGGTGCTGTCCGACACAGACAAACTGAGACTATCCCTCGCTCCGGGTCAATGCATGCAATAAATCATACTAACTTCCTATTATTCTCGTCTTCTAGCGTCGTTGGCTGCGCTCTGTCGAGCCTGGATTATCCGATTCCTCCCTTATTCGCCCTGGTAGTTTCTGAGAGCCATGCTTTGGACTCGCAACCTTTATCACTTTTGTCTCCATGGACTTGGATGGTCGTGGCATCGCTGGCTCGGATTGTCGCCGTTTTTCCTTTCTTGCAGGGGTGTTCGTTCTCTTCAACGCGGGCATCGACTGTATTCCATCATCCAGTTTTTCTTGGCCAGGGGTGTTGCCCTTGGCCGTTTCTGAGCTGTCAGCGAGAGTGCGACCCGGTCGATGCGAAAAGGGGCGAAAGCCTGAGCCTCGCCCGTACCAGCTCGACACGGAATCTAAAGGCTTACGTTGCAGCTGTCTCCCAATGTCCTCCTCCATTGAGGTCAGCAATTTGGAGCTGGTCTGCCGCGACAACATCGTCACCTCCTTCACGTGATTCCAGTTCAGCGCATTCACGTTGAGCGAGCCTCGCTTCTCAGTCGCGCGGGACCAAAACCGCTTTCCCAACACCTTCCGCTGGATCTCCATTTGCAACTCAAACGCGGGAAAAAGCAGCATCGGGTGCCGCACCGCAAACTCCTGGAACAGCGCTGCAGAGAGGCGGTTGTTGGGAGTATTCGCCATAATAGCGTCCAGTTTCTCCACGATCTTTTGCGCGCTTGAGCTGGTTTCCCAGGCGCTTCCCCATATCTCCCGCACGCACCTCACAACCTCGTCGTGCTCGATCTCGCCACTCCCATCGATGTCGTATAGATCGTACGCAAACCGAACCAAGCTCGCATGGTTGAAAGAGCAGTAGTTCCAAACGGCCAGCACAAACTCGATAAAGTCGACCTCGCCGCTACCATTCCGGTCCATGACTGAAAACGCCTTCTCCGAGAAGCGACTGCGCTTTAGATCTGCATCAGCAGCAACAAGTTAGTACAGAGCTCGCTCATGAATACTGGATATGATACTGTCTCGAACCGATGTACTCGAAAAACTCCATCAAATTAATCTCTCCCGACTTGTCTGCAAGCGCAACACCAACATCATTTACATACAATGCAAGTACGGCGTCACATTACCCCATTTCGCACCTTTGTCCATGGCGGAGAAGATCTGGTACAGCGCAAATAGGTGCTTGTGATCTAGCCCGAGACCGCGGAGTGTCTGTAGCAGCGTCTCGTTAAGGTGGAGAGACTTGTTGAAGGCCTTCTCTCTCGCGTGCGCAACAACGCCACAGGAGGCGAATAAATTTCCCATTCCATGAGGGAGTGGCCGCGACTACGTCTAATTGACGGCGAGCGGGAGGGGGCAATGAGTGAACTTGTGCGCACCTTGCATTTCGTAGCTTGGCTCGTAGATATTTTTACCCAGAGTTCTTACCTGGGCACAGAATAGCAGGACGTAGATCCTCAAATTGACGCGAACTGAGCCGAATCATTAGAAGCACGATCCATTTGCCAGTCGTTTCGCTCGTGGAGCTTGCATGGGGAAGCCCAAAGGTAGATGACTTGCTAAGGTCGCCGTTAGTTTGGCACCATGAGCTTACCCTTCACTGAAATGCGCAGTGGTTTGGACTAATACGTATCGTTTTCAGTCCATACATTGCGGTGAGTAAACGTTCGTCAAGCTCACCTCAACTTTATGTTGTGTCGTTTCACTATCGGGTTAAACAGGTGGTGGGTTTACGGGTTTCGACCCATATTATATTCGACAGGTTTTTAAGCCCGTTAAAAATGAGTGGCGCCCCAGGTCCAACAACGTCGACGGTTTGCTTGTTGCTCCTCACTTTCAGATTGGACAGCGAAGGCGACGGACGCCACAGGATATTTTAACGCGTAGCGGAGGACTTTTTGCCATTCGGAGCTTCTGAGGATGAAAAAATACACTAGCCGTCGAGCCGTCCATTGGACGTCAATGTGGCGCTAACTAAACTCTAATTTTTTCCTGAAGAACGCCAAGCCAACCGGTATCTGTATATGTATACGTGTTGCATGTTGTTGCCACCGGGGTTCCAATGAGGAAAAACGTACCACCACACTGATCTATACGATGAGAAATCTTCCATAGAAATCAAACTTTTACTGAGGAACCCCATCCAAGATAGATAGCTGGTAGTGTATTTTCTGCGTATGTTCATGTGTAGAGGAGATCAATGCGCCTAAGCGCTAAATACACTCAATGCATTGCGCATAACTGATGTTTACCTCTTCCGTTGATGTGAATATACTGCCTGCTGCTAGTGTACAGCCCCATTGGCATGGAGGCCTCTGTGGCAGTGTGGACTAGCGCACACGTGTATGCAGCTTAACTCATTGAGGACGCTTGCGGGCAACCACTGCGGAACCGTGGTCTACCGTCAGCAGTGGCCATCGTGACAAAAAATGTCGATGGGCATGACCTCAACAGCAGCGAAACTTGCATGTAGCTGTGCACTTCCTACGCTTGCTCTTGCAGCGACAATACTAGTATAAGCTAAGCCTTTCCAGATGCTGCTGCAGGAAGTGGGCGGAGAAGCTTCAGCCTACGCGTCCGTGCTTTGATTCGACTTCAACGAGGTAGACGGCAGATCCAATAGCGTGCCTTCAAGTCTGTAGCCGCACGACGGATACTTCATAAGCGACGCGCCACCAAGGTACCCGACTGCCAGTCCATCGTCGGTGCACACAATTGCGCCGTCAGGAAGACCGTGGGCAGACAAATTAAACTCGCCCCCCATCACTCCAGTGACTTGAGCCGGAATAATGGCGTACGGAGGTCCGAACTGGTAAGGAATGCTGCGGAAGAGATACGCGTGGACCTTCATCGTTGGGACCACTCCAAAAGAAGCCATCTTGCACGCAGCGAGCCGATCATCGCCCGGCATGGCCACCTTGAAGACGGCGAAGTCCAGATCCGCCGAGCTTTTCCAGCACACGTCGCTCTCAAGGCCGAACTCGTGGATTGCTTCCATCTCGTTGTCTTCCGGATTGAGCTTCTCGACCACAATACGGGGTTTATCCGCCCCAGACGCCCGCGAATGCTCACCTTTGGCACTCAGAGGATGGAGACGGAGAAAACGTACGATCTCCTTCTTGAAGTCACTGCTCAAGTCACCAACTAAGCGCTGGTCGACCCACAGACCCAAGTTGGTCATCAGGTACAAGTGCGTCGGCGAGCGATCCACAACCAAAGCGGTCGACGTGGTGACTTCCTTGGATGAAAGGCTAACCGAGATGCGGACGACCGACTTCCACACGTTCATCTGAACTCGAGGGTGCACAGTCGCCAGCTCTTCTGCGGACCAAGTCTTGCTCTTCTTCACTGCCGAAGCAGCAGCGGTGTCTGGAATCTTGACAAGGAGGTGGAGGTCTTCGCCTCCAGCATCACCGGCGTCTGGGAAGGCAAAGGCAGCGTCCCCGATACTGAAGTCCGAGGGCAGTTCCGTCTTCTCAGTCGTGATGCGATTGATTCTGTCGGGAACCTTGCCAAGCTCCAGCTGCTTCACATCGAAGCCGGTAAGCTTGAGCCACTCGCCGTTTTCGTCTTTGGCAAGATGCAACGTCATCCGGTGGGCCGGGAACTGGAAGCCCATCTTCTCTTTGATTGCTTTCTTCGCTTCTGCGATAGTCGTGTGACTCTCAGTGTCCAAAGTGAAGGAGCGACCTTCTTCCGCCACCATACCGTTAACTGTCTTCATGGCCGTGTGGGTCGAGTTAGAGCGTTGAGTTGGCGGAAGCGAATTCGGAAGTGAACAGGGGATTCGTGAGCCTTTTCCCACAAAATCGGGCGGTATCCAACTGTAACGTTGTCTAGCGTCATCTACAGGTACCTGCAGCCTTAGAATTTAGCGCCCTGGGGGTCGTTTTTCAAAGCGTTTATTTGCCTCCATCTTCCTGACTATACTGCTACACTTGAGTGGGGGTCATTGCCGAAGCGCTTACTGCAATGCACACGGCGGCGTTATAGATAACCAGCACGCGATACAGCTCGACTGGGTGTCCTCCGTGCATTCTATTTGGGCGCTGTGAACTTGGCCTTGCTGTCTTCGCCCGTGAGCTGCAACACCTTGTACGGGATGTTGGTCTCGTCCAGCTCCTTGGCGATACCGAGCTCTGCTCGCAGAGTGTACTGCGAAATGTAGTCCCATGTATCAAAGTGCTTCTGCATTTCTGGGTCGGGATCCGCGTACCAGTCATCTGTGCGTTCCCGCGCATTAGAGCGTTAGCAAAACAATGCATCATACCAAAGGGCCATAGCAATACTTACGTCGAATGAAGTCCTTGTCGCGCATGTCGAAGTGTGACATCATGTGCTCGTACGAATTGTAGATTTTCTTGTCGGTCAGCAGCGGCAGCGCAGGCTTGAATTTGGGGTCAATGTGCTTCATCATGAGCTTCTCCCAGTCCACGGTCTCGAAGAACGGGTGCTCCATAAACTCCGCGAAGCCCTTCTCGGGGTTGCAGCCTAGTCGGTGCTCCGGCGACACCTCCAGCAGACGCTTCAAAAAGTCCTGCGCGTTCCGAGTCAGGTGCAGCGGGAAGGTGACGCCCTGTGCCATTTTCTGAAGCTCGATCTTGTGTTGTGTTCGCGGAGACAATCGGAAAATCTCCTCGTTCGCCACCTCCTGGAAGAAATTGCCGCTCGAGTGCATGCTGAACGGCTGGAAGCCGCACATCAGCTCGAAAACGGTGACCCCAAGAGACCAAAAGTCCACTGCAAACGTGTACCCGGGCCGCTGGTCGCGCTTTACGAGCTTGCCCGATATGATTTCGGGTGCCATGTACCCTCGGGTTCCTACTGTAGTCTTCCGTCGCGTGAGCTTCGGCTGCACTGGTGTATACCGGTAGTCGCCCGAGTCGTCCTTCTTCAGCTTCACTGGGTCGAAACCAGCAGCGAGACCCATGTCGGCCAAGATAACATGCCCGTCTTCCCCAAGAAGTACGTTACCAGGCTTCAAGTCGCGATAAATAAGCCCCAGCTCGTGCATGTGGTTGAGTGCTAGGCCGATCTCAGCCGCGTACAGCCGCACTCGGTCTTCGTGTAGGTAGCCGTCCCGAGACGATTTGAGTGCATCCCCCAGGTCGCCGCCTCGAACGAGTTCTGTCACGATGATGGCATGCGCCGGCGTCTGGAAGCTGTAGTGCATGTCCAGCACGAACGGGTTGTGGCAGATCTGCAAAATGTCCTTCTCGGATGTGATCTGGCTTAGTTGATCGTGGTGCTCGTCCAGGAGACCGGTCTTGAGCTGAATCTTCATGGCTGTTAGAGCATGAGTAACGCTGTCAGACCGCTAAACCCATAGATAATGAATGATGCGTCTAGAGCTTACCGTAGTGCTTGCCCGTCGACTTTTTGCGAGCGTGGACGACCCGGCCAAAGCCGCCACTACCAAGCAGCTCCAGGTATTCGAAGTCCTCGATCGTGACCTTGTTGTACGTATCCTTCAGGTCTTTCTTGTACGCCTCATACTCCGGCGAGGACTTGAAGCGCATAAAGGTGTTTTGACACATATCGGCCACGATGTTTGTCATGAGAGGGTCAAAGAATTCGACCGTCGCGCTGGAGCCGTGGCTGGCCTCGAGCTCGGCGATTTTTTTCTGCGGTCCAAGACAGAGCAAACCACATTATCGTGACCATCCCAGCCCCAAACAACAATTATCAAGTGTGCACTCACATCGTAGAGCGCGATGAGGTCGGACGTGATGCTTCCGAGCGCCATGGTCGAGCCGTTCTTGATGTACTTGCGGTAGATGAGTTTGGCCATCGACTTGCGGTACCCGATGGATGGCGCCTCCCGGAACTCCTTGATCTCGACCCAGCAGAAGAAGGTCTCGGACGTCAGGATCTTCTTGGCGAAGGCGCCGATGTGCTTCTGCCCCACGGGGTCGTGCAGCATGTGCAGCAGCTCCTGCTCATTCGTGGACGGCTCGCCGTTGGCCCCCACAAAGGGCTGCGCGATTTTCCACTGCGTCTTGGCCGCCACGAGCGGCACGTGGTGCGGCTTGTTGGCGAGGTTCAGGAACGCGGCCACGATTCGCGACGGGGTCTGCAGACGCATCGCGCCATTCGGGTCCGTCGGCACGGAGGCTCCGGCGCCCATGGCGATTATTGCCCGGTCTATCGATCGATCTCTTCTCTCCTCGCTCGGATTCCAGCAAGGCCGACGTCCCTCAATAGACGGTGAAACCAACCGAACCGATGAACTTCACAGGCGCGAGCAAATATAGCGGATGGCGGGGCTTCCCAGGCACCGCGTGGCCCACTCTTGCTGCTGTATTTACACCAAGACCTCGAGGCAGGGGGCAAGCGCCCCGAGGTTCTGAGCGCGAGCCCCCCCCGGCTATTTTTCACTTGCCAGGCTGCTGGCAGTCGTCATGGCTCACGAAGTCACGAAATCGAGAGGGCAGACCCAGGAGGAAGCGCCCAGGCTGGACCAAAACAGCCACGGCCGACAAAAAGCGCGTTGAAAAGTACGGCAGTGGATCTGTGGTCGTGGCACGGCAAGTCACTCACTACTGGTAGACATTTGATCGACCTCGTTGGCGTCTGCAAATTGTAAGCTATCAGGCTGGAACATCCTGCAGTGCACCAGCAACACATTTCATTTCATTTCATTCATGGACTCGAGCCGTAAGTGCTGGAGGTGCCCCGCTCTCAGGACAGAAACACTCCACCACAACACTAGCGAAGGAAGCACAGTGAGCTTCAACTTGCGCCACGCTCATTCCACCCGAATAGTGGACCCTCTTTCACTCGAACAAAGTATACAGGCCAAGCTTGTCAAAAAAGATTCCTCCCCTCGCAAGAAGCAGCAGCAGCAACGCTAAGGTCTCCGCTATGAGTCGACGACTGCGGGCGTCGCTGCGTCTGCTATTAGCGCTGCTCTCATGCGTCTCCCTCTGCGCCGCCGCCTCCTCCTCGTCGTCCAACGCCACCAGCTACACGCTGACCATGAACTCGGTGGACGAGGACTTCTGCGACTCGACCAAGCAGCTGAGCGGCTACTTCAAGATCGCGGGCTCCAAGTCCAAGAACTACTTCTACTGGTTCTTCGAGTCGCGCGGCTCGCCGTCCACGGACCCCGTCATCATCTGGCTCACGGGCGGCCCCGGCTGCAGCTCCATCCTGGCGCTGCTGCAGGAGAACGGCCCGTGCTCGGTCAACGACGACCTGTCGCTCAAGCGCAACCCGTACTCGTGGACGGAGCGGGCCAACGTCATGTGGATCGACCAGCCCGTGGGCGTCGGCTTCAGCTACGGCGACGTGAGCGAGTACGACACGACGGAGAAGGAGGTGGGCGACGACATGTTCCACTTCCTGCAGGACTTCTTCCAGGCCAAGCCCGAGTACCAGAAGCAGCCCTTCTACGTCTTCGGAGAGAGCTACGCCGGCCACTACGTGCCGGCCATCTCGCACCGGATCTTCACCGGCAACCAGGAGCAGGAGGGCCCCGTGCACATCAACCTGCAGGGCTTCGGCATCGGCAACGGCCTGACCGACCCCGAAGTGCAGTACAAGTACTACCCGGACATGGCCTACAACAACACGTACGGCGTCAAGGCCGTGTCGCACCCGGTGTACCTGGCCATGAAGGCCGCCGTGCCGCCCTGCATCGGCATGATCTCGGCCTGCCAGACCACCAAGGCGGCGTGTCTTGCCGCGCAAACTTTCTGCAACGCCGCTCTGGTGGCGCCCTACTCGGTGTCGGGGCTGAACGTCTACGACGTCCGCTCCAAGTGCGAGCACCCGCCCATGTGCTACGATTTCTCCCACGTGGAGAAGTTCCTGAGACTGGAGAGCACGCTGAAGAAGCTGCACGTGAGCTCCAAGAGCGCCAAATGGCAGAGCTGCAACATGGAGGTGCACGCGGGCTTCTCCTTCGACTGGATGAAGAACTTCCAGCAGCTGGTGCCGCCGATGCTCGAGGCCGGCATCAGAGGCCTGGTGTATGCTGGAGACGCCGACTTCATCGTGAACTGGATGGGCTGCAAGGCCTGGACGCTTGAGCTGCCGTGGAGCAAGCACGACGAGTTCCTGGCGGCGGAGGACAAGGAGTGGACGGTGGACGGCAAGAAGGCTGGTCGGATCCGCCAAGTCGGACCCTTCGCCTTCCAGCAGGTGTACGAGGCCGGCCACATGGTGCCGCTGGACCAGCCCAAGAACGCGCTGGCGCTGCTCAAGGCCTTCACGTTGCCCGAGGAGCATCAGCAGGAGGTGGCGGACGAGGCGGAGCAGCAGTGGCTCGACACTGAGGCCATGATCAAGGACGAGAGCGTCATGAGCGTCATGTAAAACTGGCTGGGAAGACTGCACAAACCAAAATGTACGCGCGCGTGTGTGTATTAGCGAGCCTCCTTAACTGTTCGGAAGCCACTGCAGCTAGCCACAACTAACCTGAATGCAATATCAAAGCGGTTTACGCACGACCAGCGTGTAGCCTCCAACGTTCCCCGCGTGGAACAGACGTGCTACGCTCGCGTATAAATGGTCGAGTCCTCGAGCTGCAGCCTCGCCATCACGAGCGATATGAGTCTCCAGTGTAGCATGGTACTGCGTAGCGCGGTCCGACAGGTACGGCTGCCACTTGGTCGTCACGTCCTGAAAGCTCGGCTCCTCAAACCCGCACGCACTCAACACAGCAAAAAGTTCGTCTTGATGCAGCAAGTCGGCGCAGTAGATGTCCGTCTTGAGCGTCTCTTCCTCCTCGCCCGTCAACTTGTCACCACGCAGGAAGAAATCGTCGACGTACAAGACCCCGCCAGGCCTCAGACTGTCGAAGCACCGCTGGAATAGGTCTCGCCAGTGACCGATGTGCAAGAAGCAGAGCAGCCCCACCACTGCGTCGTACTCGTTGGCAAGCACCGGAAGCGCCAAGAAGTCGCCACTCAAGTGCGTCACTTGCTCGCTCAGTCCACAGCGTCGTGTGAGTTCTGTGGCCGCCTCACTCAGGTCGGGCTGGAGCTCCAGAGCGTCCACCTTGCAGCCACTGCGGTGTGCCAGCAGCCGAGCCGTGCCTCCGAAGCCCGTGCCAATGTCCAGCACCTTCTTCTCCTCTGGAGTCTCACTCAGTAGCTCCACGATGTGGCAGATCGGCTCGTCACCGAAAAAATGCAGCGAGTCCAGCGTGGCCAACTGCTCTGGGTCGACTGACACGTCCTTGCTGGTGTAGCCCAACTCAGCCAGGCGGCGCTCGATGCGGTCCAAGTGATGGTACAGCTTCATGGTCTTGATGTCCTGGTGCTTGGGCATGTTGTTGGTCTCGATAGTGCGACTTGGTACGGAGCTCGTCAATTGCGAAGTGAACCGGCACTTGAGGCTCGAGCTAACATGTTCGTTTGCCGTGTTCAACACATGTTGCATCTTCCACCAATTGCGCGGAAGTTGAAGCGGATTCGTGTCGGATTATGCTGTTTGCAGCAGCGAAGATTGGAACGGCGGTGGGCTGGCTTCATGGTTTGCCGGCTATCAGTAACGGAGACAAGTGATGGCACTGCTGCCCAGCGGTGCTAGTGATCAAGCACATGGTTGCTGCACGTTGGTGACGGCCACTTGAAGACCCTACGAAAGTATAATCGTGAATCTACTGTAGACTCTTGATCTTGAAGACTACGGGACGGCATCATCAATGCATGTTTCATGTTTCTCTAGATGCCTTACAAAACGCATCCAACAACAACTTATGAAGTTCGTGAGCTTGCACGGAGTTGATGTTGGTGGCGACAAAGTTGCTTCACGAAAACTGCCTACGAAAACATACCCCGAAGTGCTATCTCGAAGGGTCGGTGAAGTCGCTTCGACCCGATCGATGGAGGACGATCAGGACCCAACGCAGTCTAATGCTTGGGACGGCTACTACGCTCAAGAGCAGTCAGAGCAGCCACACACAGAAGACCAGTGGGTCGAGTGCATCAGCGACAATGGCGAGACATACTACACCAACCTGATAACGGGGGAAACTTCGTGGGTCAGGCCCGGCTCGGAGGTAGAGCAGAGCTACCAGTCTGCTGCTTGGACTGAGGACCAAACCGAAGGAGTTGGAGAAGGTGCTGCGACTCAATACGAGGCCACCGAGACTTCGGTCTATGCGGACAATGACTTGGGTATCACAGTGCCCAAGTCTGACGAAGTCACCCAATGGCTGGAACTCTTTGATCCGGTCCAGCACGCGCTGTACTACTTCGCGCCGCAGTCCGGTGAAGTTCGATGGGAGCCACCTCCCGACGGCTCAGCGCTCGTTCGACACTGCGATAGTGATGCAGTGTTGAGCACGATCGTTTCGCTGCAAAGGGCTGCGAGGTCGCAACAAGCTCGGGCTCGAGTGACGACGCTAAGGCAGGAGAGGCTTCGAGAGAATCAAGAGGAAGACACCGTGAATGGATTACAACCTCCTGGAGAAGTCGACACTGGCACAGCTCCTCCAATTGATAATGATCCGACGCAGTGGGTGGAAGTGTTTGACCCGGCAACGCAGCAGCAGTATTACTACAGCCCGCGCACCAACGAGACGCGGTGGGACGCTCCGGACACTTTCGTCGCTTCCTCCGAAGATCGCAAGGTGGCTGCAGCTATATCGATCCAGTCGCTGTCTCGAGGTCGTCGAGCACGGAAGCAAGTTCACCAGCTTCGAGCACACGCGCCACAACCGGAGAAGCACCACCAACATTTGCACAATCTACTTGAGGATGACTCCGAGCGAGAAGCAATGTGCCGACGAGAGATGAATCACCAGGAGCTGCTGCAGCTGCAGGGAGGCGACCAATTCTGGGGCCTAGATGCCCATGAGCACGAAGTGTTGCAACTGCGTCTTGAGCAAGAGATACTTGCTAGGACGAAGGCTGTGAATGGGCAGAGCGCTACGATTCAGTCGCCTCATTCAGACCCCACCGAGACAGCCATACCCCGGATTGAGTACCCGGAGTTTGAAGACTTCGACGATGTGATGGACTCAGAGCGGCAGCAGCAAGAGCTCCAAGATGAACATGATGCTCGCACAGCGATGTCCCAAGAAGAGGCCGAGCAATGCCAGAATGGGGACAGCTTTTGGGGTATCCAGACAGAGGAGGCTAGACAAGAAGGTGCCAACGTTGCTATGGCTCAAGAAGAGGCTGCCAGCCGTCAGTTTGCTGAAAGCGTGGTCGAGCAGGCTCTCAGCGCTACGTGGGAGGTCGAAGTGGTGCAAAGGAGTACGAAAGAACTAGCTGCGCGCGGTGGACTAGAGCAGCGCATACAGGCTCGTTATCTGCGCTGGTTCTACGGCCAGTGCATTTCCGTTGACGAGTTGCTGGACTATAGATGGCCTACCAAGCAGCAGCAAGAGAGACTCGAAGAAACATCCTCGCCCGTCAAGAAGCGAAGACTGCCCGTTGTCCAGCCGTACGAAGAAGTTGTTGGGTCAGCAACGCCGTATCCGCTCGACGACTTGGTGTTTCGTGAACGGTTAGAGCGCGGTGACTTGCGCTACGGGCTTCGATCGACGTTGACAGTTCATCACCAAGGTATACACGGCACGAAAGGCACGCGCTTCGAGATAACCATGGCCCCACCCGAGTGCGCTTTTGACGAGCCCACGGCTGCAGCAATTTTGCGAAGCGAAATACTGGCATTTTCGTCCGATCTGCAAGAAGAGGGACCGCTCGATGGTCGGTACGAGCGTCAGGACGATCATGCTGCGGGTGGAGAATTAATGCCGGGGTCTTCAGTCAACTATCGTCGTTCTGAGGTACGCTGCTATTGTGGAAGTGGTCCGCTAAGGTCCAAGATCAGCACTAACTATGAGTTGGTTTGCCTACAGATACCAGATCCGCACATCCCAGCGAGATTCAACGGTGTTCCATACAAACCGAACCAGGTGAGCAGCAACGCACTTTCACCAAGCAGGTCGCACATTGCCTTACGCCCCTCGTGCTTACAGATCAGTCCTACTCGGGATATTCTACGCGGGGACCATCGAAAAGTGAACCAGCTACCGTCCCTATCCAGATCAAACCCGGCAGCGGAAGGCACAAAGCTGCGGCACTTGCAGAAATCAAAGACCAAAGCGCGCGCGAAGTCCAAAGCACCGGGCGCATCTGCGCAGCAGAAGCCCAACAACGGAAACAACTCTGGCTCAACACGCGGACTCCAAGTCGATATCCCTGATGAGCGCACCGACACAACGGAGGAAGATCCTAGGGCTCAGTTCCAGCGACAAGAACATCAAGTCTTGTCGAAACTGTTCGCGCTCATGGATTTGGATGGAAGCGGCACTGTGAATCAAAGTGAGATGAGGTGGGCCCTGCAGCGCGATGCTGAGGTCCACTCCCTTGCCACGACTTCACCGCTGCTTCGCTTGCTGCTGAAGCAGCGCACCCGTCTCGAAGCCCTTTTCACAAGTCAAACTGTAGATGGGGATGCACAAGACAGCAACACCGGCGTAGCTACTCGAGACGAGAGCAGCGATGAACTCTCGTGGGACGAGTTTCTAGCCCGGTGCGAACGCTCGTATATCTGTTTGATGACTGAAGGTCTCATCCAACCTGACGCCATCACTACTGCAAGCCGAGCTGAGCATCGCAACAATGCCCCCAAGAGCTACGAGCACGTCGATCCGTCCGAGAGGGAAGCAGAGGCAAGAACGATCCGGCGAGTGTTTGCATTACTCGATATCGACCAAAACGGTGTGGTGGACGTTGCCGAGGTCCGGAGAGCTCTGTACAACTCGGCCGCGAACTCTCATAAAGGTGCTTCCAGACCATCTTCCACTGCAGTTTCCCGAGAACTTCGAGCTCTGGTTGAGGGCTCCAAAGCATTGCAGCCCATGCTGCACCAAGAGCTGTTCATGACAGCATTCACAAAGTTTGAGCCGCTGGACCCGCGCGGGATCAGCGAGGAAGAGTTCGTGGCTTTCTGCCTTGAGATCGCACAGGTAGCTGCTGCCAATAATATGGCGACCAGCGTAGGATAGCAGGATGTGGACAGCCGCAATGGACTACACGACGTGGGATCATCCTAGGAGTTTTGCTTTGGCTCTTAGCATTGGCTCCAGCACGTCGAATAGTGCAGCAACAGCGAGGCGAGCGCGAGGCCTGTGCTCAGGGTTGGCAGATATCGCTGTGATCGGATAAAATATACAGCATGGCCCACTCCGCCATGCGAGTATGTTAATACCTTGCTGAGATTTCTCCTTTGTCGACGTTTTGCTGGGAATATTTTTCCACACCAATTGATCAAGTTTCGCCGAGCGCTCTTGAGTCTCCACCCCACTGGCAAAGGTGTTCAAGACTGGTGCGAATAGCGATAATGCCGATAATTCCACGAACGGCAGTAGAACTTCAGCGAAATTGTAAGCAGCTCCAGTCCGATGCGGCTCCATCAGACCCACCTTTCGCTTATTCCAGCAAATCTCAAGCACTCGTTGAAATTCACGCGGCTCAGAGTGACTCATCACGGCGTTCTTTGCTCCCCATTTGCTCTTCTTTTTGGGTTTCTTCTTCTTGCCACTGCTAGGCTTGGTAGGGGCCGAAATGATGGCACGAGTAGACGCCATGATGTTTCGAAAGCTAATATTCTGCGTGCTCCTGCGGGATATCTCGGCGAGAGAAGGGTTGACAGAGCGCACAGCCTTTCGACACTCCTCCTCTCGGTCGTCCACGCTCGCCACTTTCGTGCCGCTATTTCGCTTGTCAGCCTCATCATCCCTCTGAATGTTTCCAGCTGCATCGTCCAGGCGACCCGAGTAGTAGAAAAAGAGGAACGTGTCTTCCGGTGCTCCTGCAACATTTTGAGCGCCTTTCAGTTGAGACAGGAAAATGTCTTCACTTAAGCTGATGAGCTGGTGCTCAATCACTTCGTCGATTGCCTGAGAGAATGCGTGACGAAAGCGACGAGACTGGATTGCACGCAAGGTAATGTCAGCGCACCAGATTCATTCACAAACAGTGTCAAAGTCGACTTACAACTTGGTTCAGCGTGGTCATCAGCTGCATTTCGACGCTTTCCCCATTTTCGTAGTTGTAGGCCGCGCGACGGACCAACCACCTGCGAGAAAGGTCCCAGAGGAGTGGATCAATACATTTCAACTCAACATAACGGCTCTAAGGACCTACTTGGCCACGCTTTCGTCGAAGTCGGGCTCCGTGAACAGTACCTGTTGGTGACGGAGAGGGATGGATTAAACGACGTCACATACTAATGAACAAAATAAACTAAACGAACCACAAGGAGTTTGTTGGATGGGGTGACTGCGAGCACCATATTTTCCAGCGGCGTGGCAAACATGACAATCTCTGCACCAATTGCCGAATCATCGCTTGGGGCGTTGTTGTCCACTGACCGGGTGCTACTTCCTAGCGAAAAATTCAAGCTAAGCATTAGTTTCCATTGAGCATACGACAAGAATAAACGCAGCTTTCTCATACCCGCGAAGTTTTGGAGCGCAAAGATGAGTGCACTTAGGTTGAGTCGCTCGGTCTTTGGGTGCCGCGCGTCGAACGCCTCGGAGAACGATTTGGTGTAGTGCAAGGCCCCTGAGGACATCTCAACCAGCACCACTCCTTCCATCAGCCCTCAACGGAACGTGGGCTCACTGTTTCTGTCGGAGTTGTGATCTCCAAAGGCTCCGTCAAAATAGCGTGAGACGAGGGAGATGCTGTTGCTGGCGGTGCTTCAAATGTTATCCTGATAAGTATCAGCAGTGTGCCTCGTTAGAGCAACTCCAAACTTGCTTGGACCAAGCGCCAACAGCCCTCCACCAACATCACCACTCGAACTACAACTCATAACGCTGGTATTTTTGGCGATGTCAATGCTGCATCGAGGGGTTTCACTTCGGGAACCGGCGCGCCGATCCATTAGCCAGAACACAAGTCCACAGTCACAGCAAGAAGGTATCCAGGAAGTATGCCGGAATCCCAGCAAGCCGAGGCCCAGACAGCGGAGGCCCAGACAGCGGAGGCCCAGACAGCGGAGGCCCCGCAGGTTGATGCCCCCGTGGCCGTCTCGGACGTAAACGTCATCGCCGTCAAACCGCACAAGTCAACCAAGAAGAACGAGTACCGGGTGCTCTGTTGCGGCAACTCGTGGCAAGACCTCCTCATCATCCCCGTGTGCCTCATGGGCGTCTACACGATGCTCGGTGCCATCTTCGCGCTCTGCACGCGTGCAGTGCTGCAGACGGACGACACCAACACGGCGCTCTGGACGTTCTTCGTCTTCTACGCCTTCTTCCTCTTCATGCTCGCGCTCGTGCTGGCGGCTGTAGCGTACAACCGCAAGATGCTGAAAGAGCACGAAGACGCCGATCCGGAAGAGCTGTAAGGCCGAGAGCCACAGAGCTACCGATCCGTGACTCTGCAGCGCATCTCTTGCTGGATGGCCATCTATCCAGCCTTCGCACGCTAGGGTCATCGAAGCTAAGTAATACTACCCCCATACATTCATTCAGCGAGCTGCAGTCGTGATTTATTACACCTTGAAGCATGCTAGCATCTGGGCTTGTTGGGTCTAGTAGCCCCATGACCACGCCTTTCGGGATTGCTGCTGCTGGTTACAGCGCTGACAGATACAACGTTATCACCACGGATGAAAAGTTGTTTGATATACTCGCGTTGAGTGCCCCCGGCACTGGCAAGAACGCGTCGATTCCAACGACGATCTGCTGCCGAGAAGACGGCGTCACCAGCGGCACGATTGCCCTCGCGCACTTCTCGAAGCAACCTCTCGTGGGTGTTGTGCGGGACGAACTCTTGCGTGACATCCAGCAGCACGAGGTTCATGTGCTTATCAAATGCCTTCAGGAAGCCGGAACACGTCCCACGCACGCTGTTGACACGACGCACCACTACGAACACGCGCATTCGCTCCAGAAAGCAGCGACGCAGCACTCGAAAAGGCCCCTCCAAGTACGTATCTGCCAGCATGCAACATCAAACACAGATAAATACGCAGCTTTAAAGCCCAGCCAGCCGGATCACTCGTTACCTGCTAGTTGTTCGAACAGTGACGGCGTAGCAGTCACAGCGCTCGTCTTCTTGGTCACTGCCGCCTTAGCCTCAGCTACCGACGGGCTCGCCTTCTTGGGTCTTGTAACCAGAGTCTGTCTGCTGGCGTCCGACTCTGGAAGCTACACCACATCAACACAAAGTATACTACTGCTGGTAAGTCTCAACTCTCCTGCACCCTGCATTCGGGAACTTCTTACCAAATGACGACACTTTTGGATATTATCCAGTGGATATGCCGTCGCCACGGGCAAGTTCAACAGCTTTTTAGGGGCTTGAAGCGCCTTGAGAGCGTCGAACTGTGCCGAGCGAAAGTCCAGTGGACTGCTGGTGGCTGGAATCAGTGCGTATGGCTTGAAATCTCTCTGGTACTTGACCGTAGGCTGCGGCTTCAGCGCCTTTGCCTGGCCCTCGACTCCTTGGTCGTCATTGTCACCCACAGACGTGAGGTCTGGTGCTTCTCCGTACTTCTTGAAGAGCTTCGCGCACAGTTGGCGCTCCCGACCGGCGAATTTGCGCACGATTTCGGCGCTACAAGGTCAAAAGAGCAGACACATTAGGATCAGCTTGGCTGGACTGCACGACGGCAATAGATCAAGCAGGCAGTGATAGAAAATATGTTACATCAAAACTCTAAATTAGAGGGGGAGGATCACGCACATGTTCTGGTCATTGCCTGGGTTGTGCTTCGCGTAGAAGGCGCGCAGCCGCGCCTCCATCTTTGCGGTCTCCATGCGGACCTTGGTCGAAAGGTTATCACACCTGCTTACTTTCTACCAATCATGTTAATTTCCCGCTAACTTGGACGCAATTGAATCGCTTTTCCGCCCAATCAAATGTGATAAAAATGGACTCATCAGAATAAATGTGTTTAAAAACACATTTATTCTGAAAAGTTTGCGGTTCCAGGTGAATTTACGTTACCTGAAGTGCCTCGAGAAACTGCATCTTGGACTTTTTTCCAGGTTTCAGGTTCCAAATTTGCTGTAATCGTTTTTTTTGCGGCTTTGCAATTATAATACTGTAAAAACGGTAACTATGCCCCGTGGGGTACTGCAGCAGTGCGCCCTTACAACCTGGGACATCATTGCAAGGGGGTACTAATAAAGGGGATGGGGCACAACAAATGTCCAACAACAAATCACATTACAAAAGTCTTACATACTGAAATACAGTAACGTTGCTGTACAAACAATAGGAGTATACTTATTGATTTGAGACGTATGGAAACAGAACTCAAAACCTCTGAAAAATCTCAATTTTGCAAAACAATCGGTTTATATGCGGGGTGGGTCACTTTAGCAAGTTCCAAGCCAAACCCACATTTTTCATGGGGTGGATCCGTATTGGAGACTTAAAAACTTCCTTGTTGTTGTACCGAGAAAACTCTCGCGTTAAACGTTTTGAATCGGATTCAAAATCTAAGAATTGCAAAATTATGGGCCTTCACACTAATACTAACAATACAAAATCTTTACTGAAAGCTTAGTGGAATAATTTTCCAAAATGTTTTGCATAAGTATTTTCTAAAATTTACAAACAAAAACATTTTCAAATATTTTTCTCAAACATTTTGATGCAGGACCGCGTCAAACAGACACAGGCAAACCATAATTGGAGATTTTTAAAATAATGCCATCTAAAGTTGCACCTAAATCAAATCTTGGAGTTTACCGGACATCCAACGTGTGAGAGTGAAAGTCACTCGTATAAATCGTAAAAACACGTTCGGTTACCCGGCTCATTATCCTTGCCATGAAAAAGCACGACGAAACTAAGACGCCGCAGCTGTTAGTCACAAGTGTTCACTATAACTATCGCCCATATCTTGGGGAAATACTGGCAGCTCTTCCTGCCGCTGCTGTCGGTGCTCGCCCGCTTGTGTGGGGTTTCCTGGCCGGAGGAGCAGTCTCACGATGACGCGTCAGTACCCTTCGACAACGACGTCGAGGACGGTGGCTACGGCGGTACCTACGTCGCGCTGGTTGACGACGAGAGCAGCCTGGCCCCGACACGACCGACCACGGCTGCTGAGGTGCTTCATGCGCGTCCTAGCAGCCCCAAGGAGCCTGCTCGGGGCTCTGATGTCGACGAGTGGACGAGTAAGAACGAGCTCGTCAACGCATTGGCAACGAGTCAGATCTGAAGCTGCATCCCACCGAACTTGGCCGAGCTGGACGAGGCAACGCTTGCCAGGACTATGGACCGGAGGCCCGCGCGAAGATTCACTTCTACGCCGGCGCTGGCCATCTTCCGCAGCAGCGACAGATGTTGCGACAAATGCCGGTGCCTTTTGTCGCAGGCGGTCCTTTATGGACTGACGCAGACCGAGAGACGCGCGATCCATTACGTCATAACGAAGAACACCGCATATTTGTTGGACGAGTCGCTGGAGGCGTATACGCTACGATCACGGGAGCTCGTTGCCGCTACTAACGCTAATACCTACGGTATGTGGCCCTCATCCGCGTTGTATTCCGGCGGTAAGTTCTCTACGTACCACGACCCGCCGTCCGGTGGACAAGCGTCTGGCGTTGTCGGGCGAACCAAAGATGTAAAGCGAGCGTGTCTGCGAGGCGGATGGGGGCCAGTGTTGTCGATGACCCAAGCAAATAGACTCAGCAGGAAGAAGGTTCGTGAGAGTAGCAACCGAAAACAAAAGTAATATGCAGTTTTAAGCCACACAACAATGTGCAGCTAGTGAATCGTGTTCTTGCTCCGAAACCGACGTCTTCTGGTGTGCTCCTAGTGAGTCAGCATGACCGTTGTCACCTCCACGTACCGCCGTCGCGAGGCAGCTTGACCGTTCTCAACCCCGTCATACGCCGTGACTTGTGGGCAAGTCGGTACTCTGCTGTTCCCGGCGCAGGAAGGCGGCAATTGGTCTGACCGCCACTGATGCTCTCTAATAGCCTCAGTGAGCACTGAGGATGGCGCCCTCATCTTCTTCCGTACCCGCAACTCTAACCATTCACCTCAGCAGCCTTCATTTGCCCCATCCTCTCCTGGCTTGCGGCTTTCAACTTCTTCACAGTACCAATGTCGGAACCGGGTGCCGTCGCTAGGTAGGCAACACTTTGCTTGATGCGATCGATCCGGGTCAGTTGCTTCGCCGCCGTAAGGTCAAGCCGCGGCTTCGCGACGATGCATCGTTAGCCTGTGTTGTTGCGTTGGTGGCCGCGAGGATCGAATTCTCAGAACTGAGCAGTTGACGTTATAAAATCTAACGTGTACAGTATTAACATACTTGCCCAAATAGAAGCACTTCCTAAGCAATACGGTACTTAACGTTTCCCCCCTATAATCGCCAGGACAGCGTGTTACAGCTGATTCAATGTCTAATATTGCAAACTTCTAGGCCTTCAATGTACACCATTTAAACTAAAATGCCAAAAACTTTTACTAAAAGTTTGATGGAATTATTTGCCTAAAAGTGCAGTAGACTTATTTTCCTAAATAATTTGCATTATTATTTTCCTAATGTTTTAGCATAAAACTTTTATTAACAAAAATATCAAAAATGTATGCGAGACCGCGTTAAGCAAATAGATGCTAAGCCACCATTTGAGACAATCGCGTTTGAAGTTGCGCTGAAATCAAATGTTGGAGTTAACTGGACATTAAACTTTTGAAATTGAAAATGACTTGTATAAATCGTAAAAACACTTTGATTTGAGACGTATGGAAACAGAACTCAAAACCTCTGAAAAATCTCAATTTTGCAAAACAATCAGTTTATATGCGGGGTGGGTCACTTTAGCAAGTTCCAAGCCAAACCCACATTTTTCATGGGGTGGATCCGTATTGGAGACTTAAAAACTTCCTTGTTGTTGTACCGAGAAAACTCTCGCGTTAAACGTTTTGAATCGGATTCAAAATCTAAGAATTGCAAAATTATGGGCCTTCACACTAATACTAACAATACAAAATCTTTACTGAAAGCTTAGTGGAATAATTTTCCAAAATGTTTTGCATAAGTATTTTCTAAAATTTACAAACAAAAACATTTTCAAATATTTTTCTCAAACATTTTGATGCAGGACCACGTCAAACAGACACAGGCAAACCATAATTGGAGATTTTTAAAATAATGGCATCTAAAGTTGCACCTAAATCAAATCTTGGAGTTTACCGGACATCCAACGTGTGAGAGTGAAAGTCACTCGTATAAATCGTAAAAACACGTTCGGTTACCCGGCTCATTATCCTTGCCATGAAAAAGCACGACGAAACTAAGACGCCGCAGCTGTTAGTCACAAGTGTTCACTATAACTATCGCCCATATCTTGGGGAAATACTGGCAGCTCTTCCTGCCGCTGCTGTCGGTGCTCGCCCGCTTGTGTGGGGTTTCCTGGCCGGAGGAGCAGTCTCACGATGACGCGTCAGTACCCTTCGACAACGACGTCGAGGACGGTGGCTACGGCGGTACCTACGTCGCGCTGGTTGACGACGAGAGCAGCCTGGCCCCGACACGACCGACCACGGCTGCTGAGGTGCTTCATGCGCGTCCTAGCAGCCCCAAGGAGCCTGCTCGGGGCTCTGATGTCGACGAGTGGACGAGTAAGAACGAGCTCGTCAACGCATTGGCAACGAGTCAGATCTGAAGCTGCATCCCACCGAACTTGGCCGAGCTGGACGAGGCAACGCTTGCCAGGACTATGGACCGGAGGCCCGCGCGAAGATTCACTTCTACGCCGGCGCTGGCCATCTTCCGCAGCAGCGACAGATGTTGCGACAAATGCCGGTGCCTTTTGTCGCAGGCGGTCCTTTATGGACTGACGCAGACCGAGAGACGCGCGATCCATTACGTCATAACGAAGAACACCGCATATTTGTTGGACGAGTCGCTGGAGGCGTATACGCTACGATCACGGGAGCTCGTTGCCGCTACTAACGCTAATACCTACGGTATGTGGCCCTCATCCGCGTTGTATTCCGGCGGTAAGTTCTCTACGTACCACGACCCGCCGTCCGGTGGACAAGCGTCTGGCGTTGTCGGGCGAACCAAAGATGTAAAGCGAGCGTGTCTGCGAGGCGGATGGGGGCCAGTGTTGTCGATGACCCAAGCAAATAGACTCAGCAGGAAGAAGGTTCGTGAGAGTAGCAACCGAAAACAAAAGTAATATGCAGTTTTAAGCCACACAACAATGTGCAGCTAGTGAATCGTGTTCTTGCTCCGAAACCGACGTCTTCTGGTGTGCTCCTAGTGAGTCAGCATGACCGTTGTCACCTCCACGTACCGCCGTCGCGAGGCAGCTTGACCGTTCTCAACCCCGTCATACGCCGTGACTTGTGGGCAAGTCGGTACTCCGCTGTTCCTGGCGCAGGAAGGCGGCAATTGGTCTGACCGCCACTGATGCTCTCTAATAGCCTCAGTGAGCACTGAGGATGGCGCCCTCATCTTCTTCCGTACCCGCAACTCTAACCATTCACCTCAGCAGCCTTCATTTGCCCCATCCTCTCCTGGCTTGCGGCTTTCAACTTCTTCACAGTACCAATGTCGGAACCGGGTGCCGTCGCTAGGTAGGCAACACTTTGCTTGATGCGATCGATCCGGGTCAGTTGCTTCGCCGCCGTAAGGTCAAGCCGCGGCTTCGCGACGATGCATCGTTAGCCTGTGTTGTTGCGTTGGTGGCCGTGAGGATCGAATTCTCAGAACTGAGCAGTTGACGTTATAAAATCTAACGTGTACAGTATTAACATACTTGCCCAAATAGAAGCACTTCCTAAGCAATACGGTACTTAACGTTTCCCCCCTATAATCGCCAGGACAGCGTGTTACAGCTGATTCAATGTCTAATATTGCAAACTTCTAGGCCTTCAATGTACACCATTTAAACTAAAATGCCAAAAACTTTTACTAAAAGTTTGATGGAATTATTTGCCTAAAAGTGCAGTAGACTTATTTTCCTAAATAATTTGCATTATTATTTTCCTAATGTTTTAGCATAAAACTTTTATTAACAAAAATATCAAAAATGTATGCGAGACCGCGTTAAGCAAATAGATGCTAAGCCACCATTTGAGACAATCGCGTTTGAAGTTGCGCTGAAATCAAATGTTGGAGTTAACTGGACATTAAACTTTTGAAATTGAAAATGACTTGTATAAATCGTAAAAACACTTTGATTTGAGACGTATGGAAACAGAACTCAAAACCTCTGAAAAATCTCAATTTTGCAAAACAATCAGTTTATATGCGGGGTGGGTCACTTTAGCAAGTTCCAAGCCAAACCCACATTTTTCATGGGGTGGATCCGTATTGGAGACTTAAAAACTTCCTTGTTGTTGTACCGAGAAAACTCTCGCGTTAAACGTTTTGAATCGGATTCAAAATCTAAGAATTGCAAAATTATGGGCCTTCACACTAATACTAACAATACAAAATCTTTACTGAAAGCTTAGTGGAATAATTTTCCAAAATGTTTTGCATAAGTATTTTCTAAAATTTACAAACAAAAACATTTTCAAATATTTTTCTCAAACATTTTGATGCAGGACCGCGTCAAACAGACACAGGCAAACCATAATTGGAGATTTTTAAAATAATGCCATCTAAAGTTGCACCTAAATCAAATCTTGGAGTTTACCGGACATCCAACGTGTGAGAGTGAAAGTCACTCGTATAAATCGTAAAAACACGTTCGGTTACCCGGCTCATTATCCTTGCCATGAAAAAGCACGACGAAACTAAGACGCCGCAGCTGTTAGTCACAAGTGTTCACTATAACTATCGCCCATATCTTGGGGAAATACTGGCAGCTCTTCCTGCCGCTGCTGTCGGTGCTCGCCCGCTTGTGTGGGGTTTCCTGGCCGGAGGAGCAGTCTCACGATGACGCGTCAGTACCCTTCGACAACGACGTCGAGGACGGTGGCTACGGCGGTACCTACGTCGCGCTGGTTGACGACGAGAGCAGCCTGGCCCCGACACGACCGACCACGGCTGCTGAGGTGCTTCATGCGCGTCCTAGCAGCCCCAAGGAGCCTGCTCGGGGCTCTGATGTCGACGAGTGGACGAGTAAGAACGAGCTCGTCAACGCATTGGCAACGAGTCAGATCTGAAGCTGCATCCCACCGAACTTGGCCGAGCTGGACGAGGCAACGCTTGCCAGGACTATGGACCGGAGGCCCGCGCGAAGATTCACTTCTACGCCGGCGCTGGCCATCTTCCGCAGCAGCGACAGATGTTGCGACAAATGCCGGTGCCTTTTGTCGCAGGCGGTCCTTTATGGACTGACGCAGACCGAGAGACGCGCGATCCATTACGTCATAACGAAGAACACCGCATATTTGTTGGACGAGTCGCTGGAGGCGTATACGCTACGATCACGGGAGCTCGTTGCCGCTACTAACGCTAATACCTACGGTATGTGGCCCTCATCCGCGTTGTATTCCGGCGGTAAGTTCTCTACGTACCACGACCCGCCGTCCGGTGGACAAGCGTCTGGCGTTGTCGGGCGAACCAAAGATGTAAAGCGAGCGTGTCTGCGAGGCGGATGGGGGCCAGTGTTGTCGATGACCCAAGCAAATAGACTCAGCAGGAAGAAGGTTCGTGAGAGTAGCAACCGAAAACAAAAGTAATATGCAGTTTTAAGCCACACAACAATGTGCAGCTAGTGAATCGTGTTCTTGCTCCGAAACCGACGTCTTCTGGTGTGCTCCTAGTGAGTCAGCATGACCGTTGTCACCTCCACGTACCGCCGTCGCGAGGCAGCTTGACCGTTCTCAACCCCGTCATACGCCGTGACTTGTGGGCAAGTCGGTACTCTGCTGTTCCCGGCGCAGGAAGGCGGCAATTGGTCTGACCGCCACTGATGCTCTCTAATAGCCTCAGTGAGCACTGAGGATGGCGCCCTCATCTTCTTCCGTACCCGCAACTCTAACCATTCACCTCAGCAGCCTTCATTTGCCCCATCCTCTCCTGGCTTGCGGCTTTCAACTTCTTCACAGTACCAATGTCGGAACCGGGTGCCGTCGCTAGGTAGGCAACACTTTGCTTGATGCGATCGATCCGGGTCAGTTGCTTCGCCGCCGTAAGGTCAAGCCGCGGCTTCGCGACGATGCATCGTTAGCCTGTGTTGTTGCGTTGGTGGCCGCGAGGATCGAATTCTCAGAACTGAGCAGTTGACGTTATAAAATCTAACGTGTACAGTATTAACATACTTGCCCAAATAGAAGCACTTCCTAAGCAATACGGTACTTAACGTTTCCCCCCTATAATCGCCAGGACAGCGTGTTACAGCTGATTCAATGTCTAATATTGCAAACTTCTAGGCCTTCAATGTACACCATTTAAACTAAAATGCCAAAAACTTTTACTAAAAGTTTGATGGAATTATTTGCCTAAAAGTGCAGTAGACTTATTTTCCTAAATAATTTGCATTATTATTTTCCTAATGTTTTAGCATAAAACTTTTATTAACAAAAATATCAAAAATGTATGCGAGACCGCGTTAAGCAAATAGATGCTAAGCCACCATTTGAGACAATCGCGTTTGAAGTTGCGCTGAAATCAAATGTTGGAGTTAACTGGACATTAAACTTTTGAAATTGAAAATGACTTGTATAAATCGTAAAAACACTTGGTTTACGATTGCGTTATACACGAACTTTTCGACGGTGTACAATATGTCCAAATTGAAGTAAGGTCATACGTCTGGATAAAGTCCAATTTTGTGGGTGTATGAAAATGATATATATATTTAGATGGCCATACAATTCAAAATTTTAGCCATCAATTTAAAAGAAACACAAACAGTGGTTAAACCCTAAGTGTCGCGGTCCTCCGTCGGGGTCGTGTACTTCGGCCGACAGGTGAACAGACGCTGAGCTTGCTGGTTAGGACGATAGATGGTAGGAAGACTTAGCACTCTCACGAAAATGCAAAATTGTTGTCGAGTGGTTAGCAAGCTTGAGAGGCACTTGAGCGGAAGACGGTGAAAGGAAAAGTGAATTCAATTGAGAGTTATGCAAAGCTGCCTAGCCGCCTACCTGCGCGCAGCCCTGGAGTTCGTCCTGTGTCTTACCTTCGTGCAGCTTGATCTCTGAGACGCCTGACCTCTTTGAAGTAGAGTAGATGACCCTAGACATGATGACGCGGTGTCCAGTGGTACTGTCGGCTGATACTTGTGCCGCACTTCACTTAAAGCGTAGCACGCTCCGACACTCCCACTCGGCACAAACCAAGCCTCGTGACGAACAAGTTGAACTTGTCTTGAGGCAGCGGCTTGGTGAACAAGTCTGCAACCATGACCGCCGTCGCGCAGTAGCTGATCTGCACAATGTCTTTCTGCACCTGCTCTCGAACCCAGTGGTACCGTAGATCAACGTGCCGCGAACGCTGCGAGACGCCTTTGCCTTCCGCCACATGCTGAGCTGCTTGATTGTCCTCGTGGACAATTGCCTTACCGACGTCAAAACCCAGCTCGAAAAGCAGCTGCTTGAGTCCAATACACTGCACGTTCAGCTGCAGGTGCTCCCAATTCAGCTGCACGGCAAGAGCAAGGATAGCTCGAATGGAGTCGTGACGGACGACGGGGCTGAATGTCTCCGTGTAGTCCACTCCAAACTGCTGCGTGAAACCCTTCGCCACTAGTCTCGCCTTGTACTTGTCCAGTGAGCCATCTGCCAGTGTCTTGCGGCGAAAAACCCATTTGGTTTGTACAGGTCGCACGTTGCCTGGGCGAGACACTTTTTCGTATGTGCCGTTCCGCCTCGGTGACCACTGGGCACCCAGAAGCGGTAGCCTCCACTCTTTTCGTACCCAATAAAGGCGCCTTTAGCAGTCTTGGCGTCCAGCTTCTGTCGCTGCGATTTCGGCAACAGCACTTCAGCGTCGGCGTGACTCGTCAGCACCTCAATTGGCGTTTTGCCCGCGAGCACTCCGGACGGGTAGCGGTTTCGGATGTACGCTGCAGTCTTGACAGCGTTGCTCCAGAAGCGCTTGCTCATACCAGCTGCTTGTAGCATGGAGCGTGCCATCTCGACGACAACTCGGTTGCTGCGCTCAACTTTGCCATTCTGCTGCGGGCTGTATGGCGTGCTGAACTCTTGTGCGATGATGTTCTCATTGCAGAATTCTGCAATCTCTCCGCCAATGTACTCCGCGGCGTTGTCACTCTTCAGTACAGCAACGAGCGCCTCAGGAACCGCCACTTTGAGATTAGCGATGCACTCTCGTAGAGCGCGGAGTTGAGTGGCCAAGCTTTGTCTTTCACAGGGAATACTGCAGCCAGATGGTACGGCTCGATCATCATGCTCACCATGCCCGTGAAGCCGTCTCGCGACGTTGTCTCCATTGGCCCCACATAGTCAATCGAGATCAGTACTTGGCCACGTTTTAGGTCGCGTGGCTTCTTCGCTGGAAATGGACGACTGGTCAGCTTCCCAGCCGCACACCCTTCACACGGTCGCAGCTGCGTGGTGGTCGTGGCTATACCGCCAGCCTTCAACAGCGCCTTGAGATCTCGCGCGTTTAGGTGTCCGAGCCTGGCGTGCCAGATTGCCAAATCGTCCGATCCACCACCAGACGCGTAGTCGGCTTCAGCACAGTTGCCCGCATTGGGCGTCGATACGACATACAGCCCACTGCTACGGCGTGTTGCAACTAGTTTTGCACCGCCGCTGGAGATCACACACCGCGCATGGTCGAACGTGGCCGTGAGCCCGGCCGCCCCAACCTTGCTTAAGCTAACGAGGTTGCGCTGCAGTCCAGGTACATACAGCACGCTATCCAACGTGCAGAACCCTCCAGTAATCAGCGGCAGGTGAGCCTTTCCGCTGTGAGTTGCGGTCAGAGTCGTGCCGCTAGCGGTCGTAACAACGACGCTACTGGTCATCTCGTGCAGGTTCGATAGGAGACCACTGGTGCCCGTCATGTGGCTCGATGCTCCAGAGTCGATGATCCAGTCAGCTTCGGCCGCTTGCGTGGACACCTGGAACACAAAGCCCGCCTCGGCTTCGTCGTCGCTGTCCTCGCTAGCAGCGGCATTGCCAAAGGCTCCTCCAAATTGCTTCTTCGACTTGCACTCAATCTTGAAGTGGCCGCGCTTCCCACAGTTGTAGCACTTGCCCTTCTTTACTCCTCGTTTCCCGTGCGATGAGGCAGCGAACGCATTTCCGCTGCTGACAGCTTGGCTGCCCCCATGCTTGCTCCGTTGGGCTTGCGTTGAGCGGCGTCTAGCCCCAGCAGCCGCCTTGATGAGAAGCTCCTCCATCGAGCCGCACGCTTCCAACGCACCAATGTAGCCGTTCCAATCGGGACCGAGACTCTGCAAGAAGTTGTTCTTCTTCTCTGCGTCGGACAGCGACACCTTGTAGCACTCCAACTCGACCAGCATTAGGCGAGTCGGCCGGATGTGCTCCAGCATGTCCCCGCCGGCGTCGATGGACAAGGACATGTACTGTCGCTTGAGAGCTCCAACGGTCGTATCACACACATGACGGTGCGTCTTCTGCAGCGCTTGCAGCATTTCCTGCGGGTGCGTGAGATCGGCGACCAACGCGGCTTGGTCGTCCGTCAGCGCGGACAGGATGATCGTCATGGCGAGCTTCCGCTGAAGCTCCAGTTGATGCAGCGGCCGTTCTCTCTGCTGTAACGGACGATCAGCTTGTCCGGACTCTTCGTTTGCCAGTTGCAGCGACGTCGGTGCAGGCTTCAGCACAGCGCCCCACACGTCCTTCACTTCCAGATACAGCTGGAGTTGGCGCGCCCAGACGCGATAGCCTGAGCCGTCGAACTTGCGAAGCTTGGTCGTGAAGGCGATCGTGGTATTGGAACTCATAACCTGTCGAGTGGTTAGCAAGCTTGAGAGGCACTTGAGCGGAAGACGGTGAAAGGAAAAGTGAATTCAATTGAGAGTTATGCAAAGCTGCCTAGCCGCCTACCTGCGCGCAGCCCTGGAGTTCGTCCTGTGTCTTACCTTCGTGCAGCTTGATCTCTGAGACGCCTGACCTCTTTGAAGGAGAGTAGATGACCCTAGACATGATGACGCGGTGTCCAGTGGTACTGTCGGCTGATACTTGTGCCGCACTTCGCTTAAAGCGTAGCACGCTCCGACAATTGTGGTTGCCTTTACGGAGAAAATCCACGACTGACCTCTCTCTTCTTACTTGAACGCGGTCAGCAGCTACTCCACCGACCCGCTTCTCACCTACTGCAACCTGCCCTTGGGGACGACACACCTTCGGCTTCCGAGCCAACGCCGTACTGGTGTCCCCCGTCCTCGACGTCCAGCCGCCGAACATTCCGTGCCCTCCGCTCTACACCGCGCCATCTTTCAGCAGCAAAGTGGGCCCTCCGCTTAGACACGAAATGCTTGCGCGGCCTGGCCTTGCTCCGCCGAGCGTCGCGCCTCCTCCTGCTTCAACGCACCGTCGAGCACCTTGAGGAAGGTTGTCAGTCGAGGTCCCAGACGTGACCCGGGACATTAGGTTCGGAAGCAGCTATGCGTTTGACGCGGTCCCAGCTCTGCTTTTAACAAAGTCCATAGGGCAAGTACCTTATTTGGTATTTTTCGTTAATAAATGTTGCCATTTGTGTGCTATAGTACACGCTCTACCTTGCAACTACTTACGTTCAGACAGTGCTGTTCCGGTGCCACACCATCTTTACACCATGTGACCGAAGCGGGCCAATAGAAACGCGCCGGCCGTTCTACGACTGTGGAACCCGACCGAACGGAACGGCGGGCAGTCGATATCTAGCGTCTGGCGCCGTGGCTGACGATGGCGGAGCGCGTCGCGGCAGCGGAGTCGCCGATGTCGAACGTGCAGAAGCTCAAGCTGCAGCTGTTCCACCGACTGCAGCGGCGCCACCGTGACGCCTGGAAGCGCTACTGGGGCTCCTTCCAGCTCTACCTGGCGGCCAAGCTCTCGCTCGAGGAGTTCCACGCGCTGGCCGAGGAACTCCTGGGGCCCGACAAACGTGCGTTTGTGCGTGTGTCCGTTGCTCTTTTAATTCGCAGCTAATTCTTACCTGTAACCTCTAATTACTTGTGCTTCTCCAGACCTTCACAATAAGTTTGTGGTGGTGCTGCTGAGCACGGCCTACCTGGACGCGGCGGAGCTGCAGAGGAGTCCCCAGCCACCCTCAGCTCCAGAGATACAGGACCACAACGGAGAAGGAGGAGGACAAGCTGCACTGGAGGCTGAAGCAAGCCCCACGGGGTCGAACGACCCGCTGCTGCGGATTATCAAGGAGGAGAGCGCGAGACATGGTAAGCGTTGAGTGTGGCGTTTGCTGTGCTGCCGATTGTTTGCAATTGTTTAACGCACTGGGTGGAGATTCGGAGCAGCGCTCGCGCGTGAAGCAAGAACCGCATGAAGCGCACGGGAAGAAGCGGCCACACAGCAGCGTCGCGGCTGCTGACAATAACGCGGAGGAGGCCGGTGAGTGCCGAACACAGTGGCCGTGTAATGTATTGCTTTGTTGGTGGCGGTGGGTAATTGAAGGATTGCATTGCGTTTTGAATGCGGTTGTAGTGGCAAATAAGCTCATGCACCTCGATCACGAGCACCCAGATCACCACTCGGCGCAACTTCTCATGGGGCTCGGCAAGTACGCGACTTCGATCAGCCCTTCGTCGATTGCGGTCACAGCGGAATCAGCGCCGTCTAGCAGCAGGAAGTTCCAGTCGAGCGTATCTTCAGACGGCAGGCGAGATTAGAGGGAGCAAGCCGCCATACACGACTGTGGCAGAGCCTGCTTGGCTACGCAATGCGACCAAGCTTGGCACGTCGCAGCTATTTTATCTCTCTTTATGTATTGCGGTCTCTGGCTCCTGCAGCAATAGCGCAGGATACTCAATAGCAGTTCGACCAGTTAATCGTCTGGTAATGTTCACTTTGCGTTGCGGGCAGTTCAAGCAGCTGCTTCGTCTACATCTGCCTTTCACTATAGTCTCTCTAAAGTACGACCCCAAAGAAGAGAATCGCTTGAAGGGACACCAAGCTTATCAGAGCTCCTGGAGCTGCTCAAGATCTCGTCTCGCGTGTCATTCTCGCAGCCGCACGATCGCCGCCAACCAGCCAGCCAGCTACAGAGTGAGCGAGTCAATGATGCACCAGAGCCAGCACCCGACCCAGCCGCTGCCCACCACCGTGCGCTGGATCCCGGACGCCGAGGTGAGCGTGTGCTACGGCTGCCAACTGCTCTTCGACTGGGTGCGCCGCAAGCACCACTGCCGGTGCGTTCTCCTGCCTCTGCTGTGCATAGTAGCCTACTAGGAACGGGTACTGATTGCTGCTGCTGATGCTGATGCTGCAGCTACTGCGGCCACGTCTTCTGCGAGCTGTGCACGCCGCAGCGCAGCCTCATCCGCGAGGACCAGATCCTGACCAACCCGGAGCGCAAGTACCTGGCCGTGAACGCGCACAACCCACAGCGCGTGTGCGACGACTGCCACGCGCGCCTTGAGCCACAGCAGGAGGAGCTGCGTACGTAGCGTTTGGAGAGTGATGCGTGGAAGGCTGCAGTGCTGACTCTCGCGTTGTTCTTGCCTGAATTCTGCTGTGTGACCAGGCCTGACGATGAGCAACGCCGTGCAGCACACGGAGGTGAAGGAGTCGGGCCCGCAGAGGTTCTTCAACAGCCCATACTCCTTCACGCTGAGGGAGGAGATCCGCAAGGCCACGTACAGCGTCAAGAACTTCACTTTCCAAGGGGTTGTCAAGGACCAGTCCATCCCGCTGCCGCTGCTAACCCACGCCAGGGGCATCGCGGTAACTGAACCATTGGGAACTTGTGCCATGGTGTCTGTCCTCTAGCTAACTGAACGTTCTACATGTGTTCTGCGATCTGTTGTGCCAGTTCCTGACCGTCATCAAGATGGGTTTCGTGTTCACGGGGCGCATGGGGACGGGGCTTGTAGTTGCGAGGCTGCCGGACGGGAGGTGGTCGGCGCCCTCGGCTATTGGAACTGCTGGCGTGGGCTGGGGACCGCAGATAGGAGGAGAGATCACGGATTTCGTGATCATCCTCAACACGCAGCGTGCTGTTGAGGCCTTCTGCGCGTCTGGGCAGGTGAATCTCGGTGCTGAGTTGGGGATCTCTGCTGGACCTGTCGGTCGTGTTGCCTCTGGAGCGCTGGAGGCGAGCGCCTCCATGGATGTTGCGCCTTGCTACTCGTACTCACACTCCAAGGGGCTGTACGCGGGCATCTCTCTTGAGGGTTCTGTGATCCTGTCGAGGTCAGATATCAACCGCTCCTTCTACGGCAAAGCTGTGACTGTGGCTGAGCTACTTGGAGGTGTGGAGCCCCCACCAGTGGCCGCTGCACCGCTGTACGATGCTATTCGGTCGGCGATGGAAAGGTTAGTTCCTGAGGTTTTTGTTTGGGGGGATCCATTGAATTCTAACACCTTGTGTTGTTCCAATAACAGTCCAGCGAATGGCGCAAACCGCGTTGTTCGCAGTTCGTCGAATCCAGCCCAGCAATACCAGCCCACCGTACCAGCAGCGGCTGCGAGTCCCGCTACACTTCCTGCTCCAGTGGCTCCGATTCCTATTGGCTCGTCCGCACCTGCGGGTAGCTCTTTGTTCACCAATGCTCCCGTGAAGCTGTAAGCGACGAGCAATATGTGAGGGTCACAAGGTAGACCAGATTTGATTTTCACGACGTCCATGGAACGGGTTCACTTGGATGGCGTCGTGTTCGATGCCAACACTTGAATTCAGCTTTTTAAATTACTCATGGAGTTTGCAGCGAGCCCGCTCCGATATGAAAACCTAGCGTGTCTTGTGTACTTCTGTAGTGCTTTCAACGGCATCTCCAACTTCTGCTGATCAGTTCATCGCGGCCTCTAGCGCCGAGAAGAACTGTTCCTGCATTTGCCGAGCCTCGCGGGCCTTCTGTAAATTATAACGCACAAAGCAGCACAATGTGTTAGTCCATCGCGCCCACGACGTACGAAAGTCTCTTTCTCGTCCGTATGTAGTACCTCAGCCTGTTCATGCTGCGCCGGTGTGAGCGTTGCAGCACTGGCCGCGCCGTTGGCGTTGGCCTGATCGCCTCCGTTCCCTGCAGCGCCCGATCCATCGACATTCTCCATCTTGACGTCCTCATCGGTCCCTGCAGGCGACGCTCCGTCGGCAGCCGCCGCATCGTCCGTCGACTCGTGCAGCTCTCCGTGCACGCGCTCGACAGCGAGTCTGGACTCGTCGATAGTGCGGCGGATGTCCCGCGCCGCGTCCCGACGCTCCTGCACCTGGGTCTTGAGCATCTGGATCACCGTCTCCCTCGCTTGGTGCGGCCGGAAGGCGTTGATCAGGTTGTGCATGTTCAGGAAGAGCAGCTCGATGTCGTCCAGCTTCTCACTGTTCGCAACAAATAAACAATGAAATAAAATATTAACATAAAAACACTAAGAAATATACTGCTAGTGGGGTCTGCACGCACTTGAACATGGTCGGCTTCTTGATGAGGACGTCCACGAGCTCCACGAAGTTGGCGAGCAGCGAGCGGTTGATCCTAATTCCACAAGAGTACGGTACTCGTGAGTCTTATTTCTCGCACCTCACTGTACCCTCTGCATTGCCGTCCACTGTACTTCTTCATCTGGGCCTTGTAGTCCACGACGGCGGCGTCGCCCTCGTCGCCCTCGGGCGCGTACAGCTTCTTGCCTGGCTGGGGCAGCAGGTCGGGCACCACGTCCTGCGTGCTGTAGGGCGACCCGAACATGTGGTACGTGGGCTCCATGGGCTCGGGCGGCGCCGGGCCGCTCTCCACGCCGTCCGCATACAGCGCGAAGAACTTGGGCGGCGCCGGGAACTCGGAGACGATCTCCGGCGCCTCGGGCTCTTCCTGCTGCGGCGCGCTCATGTTGGCTGTAAGGTTAGAAAAGTACAAGACTGCTTTTCGGCCAATAAACAGCTTTAACGTCTAAAATAGCCATATGGGATCGAGTTTAAACGCATTGTTGCATTGCTGTAAGTACATAGTATTCACATGTCAAGCTGTGTCCTTCAGAGGAGGACACCACTGCAATAACCGCATTGGCTCACCTCAGCAAACTCGAATTTAGGGGAACAGGCGTTGCCCTAGTCTTCTTCAACCGTTGATAGACGTAAAGGTTTACTGCAAAGGCGCCACCACCGCAACCGAGTGTGAAGTGCGCGCGAAAGGGTAGCCGAGGTGGTAGGTGAGCCGCTGCATGTCATCCGACGGCAAATTGTTGTCGCTGTGCAACAGCGTGTCAGCGATGGCTCCGTGGCCGCAGTTAGAAGTCAACGTGTTGGCCGCAACGAACGGGAGGTCAATTCATCTTAATTGCCTGTTTCTTCTCTGCTTGCAGAATGTCGTCCTTCACTCAAGAGGACCTGGCTAATTCGATTGCTGCCCATTCATTTTTTGAAAACGCGACGCAACTTCACTTTGTCTTTTTCACGCTCATTTTGGCTTTCAGCGCAAAGATCCAACTGCCATGACCCTCCTGGCTGTAATCCATGTTCTTCGCCAGAACGATCATGTCAGCGCTGTAGATGGTATCTCCTCCCTCGTGCCTTCTTTCCTGGGACCGCCACCGAGCAGTTCGCTAGCTGACGCGTCGAGTCGATGGCGCTGTTGGACTTGATCTGGGAAGCCAGTTGCACGACAAAAGCTGGCAGGAAGCAAAAGTGGACACTGACGAACTACTTGCGATCCGAGGCTCACTACAGCAGATGGGAATTCACAAACGCAGTAGTGACTGTGGTGCAAAAGGGAAACGTACAGAAGCTTGAGTGGCTTCTCGCTCACTTCCCAGGTTACGTGCAGGAAGACTCGGTGGTGGAGGAGGCAGCGAAATTCGGTCACCTAAACGTGTTGCAGTTCTTCCATCGTCATTGTAACGCGGTAAACGGACCTACACTCCTGGCAAATGACATAGTGGCGGAGAAGGTTACGTACGACGTTGTGGCCAGTTGGGGGGCGGACACGCTGGTGCTGGGATCAGAAAATGGTCATCCCGAAGTTGTGCAGTGGTTGGTAGAGCGCACGACGTCAATTGATGAACTAACCACGACCAAGTTGTTTGCAGACGCGGGCAAACGTGGAGATATTGCGTTGCTGGAGTGGTTGGTGGCAAGAGGTCTCACGTATGACGAGTGCTTTGTCGTGCGTTCAGCCTCCACTGAAGCTCTGGAGTGGATTGTCGCTAAATGTAATCACAGCAGCTTCTTCTCACGCAGCTCTGGCCAGGAAGTAAATAATTTTCTTAATGATGCAGCTCGTTCAGCTGCGCGCGTTGGTCGAGTGGATATTCTGGAAAGCCTTCACTACTGTGACGACAAGCTCCAGAAGTTGTATTGTTCGGCACGAAGCCTGTAGACACGAACAACTGGCTGTGGTCGAGTGGGAGATCTCTCATAAACAAAGCCACGAGGGGGATAGGCGCTTTGAAGTCACGCTGTCGTGGGGCGTTCTGGACGATGCAGCCTCGAATGGGCACCTGCAGATAGCAAAACACCTTTACGATCGTTATGACTGCAATCTGCCAGTCACCATGTTGCTCGCGGCTGCTAATGTGCACCTACAAGTTGTCGAATGGCTGTACAACAAGTTTGGCGACCAGAGGATGCTTCACTCGCGAAAAGTTGGGGACCTGGCGGTGAACTCGGATATTCTTAACAACCCATGAAAAACTTGGCCAGTGTAGCATCGGTTCGACCTGCAACAGCGATGGACGCCGCAGCGATGTTCGGCCACCTGGAGATCCTACAGTTTCTGCAAAGTATCCGGCGGCTGGAGGAATTACGCATGCTGGCGGCGATTTAAATTCCGATCTGCCGATAATAACCCACAACGCGATGAATGGAGCTGCAGCATTTGGGTATTTGGAGGTCGTAAAGTGGTTATACGGCAATGAACGTGCCCGATGCACATGCCTAGCGCTGATATCTGCCGCGAGAAATCAACGCTTTGATATCGTGGAGTGGCTTATTGAAAATCGACCGGGCAACTTCTTGTCTGATGTCATACAAAAATCCCAGAGTATTTTGTCGCTGTAGTGCACACGTCGCGCCTTACATATTCACCTACCTAACTTTTGCAGATGAAATAACATCGAGTTGAGCAACCCCCATCCTCCATGTAGTTCTTAATCGCAATGGTACCGGCATGCTTCCTCTATTCTCCAACCAGCTAGAGCTGCTATAGTTTGACAGGTTGACATTTCGTTGCGTACTATGCACGCATAGTACGCAGATTCGGAAGCAGCTGGATGCCACTCGAAGTGCTCTGGGCAGCAGGACGGCCGACGTATTGCGCTGCATATCGGCCCACTGATGCAACTAAAGTCCGCGCTTCAGTGGCGGTACATGGCTCACGAATTTCTTCCGACCTCAAACGCCCAGCACCACTGTTGCGTTCGTCGCTGTGGTTTGAACCTCTGATCCGATCCGGGCTCCAATTGTTGCGCTTTGCACCTTTACGTCGGTGTCAGTCTTCTTCCTCCAAGCTTTCGCTATCCATACGCCGCCTTTTGACCTCGAGACTCGCGGCCATTCCAACTTCCAGATCCATAGTCATCTAACACCATTACACTAAAAATGCAATACCCTTTCATGGTACCGTAGTAAATGCTCATCAGCATTACTTTAAACTCATAGCGCCGACGCCCTGCTGCTGCACTTCTATAAAAAATTACATTTTATCGAGCACATGTTGGTGCACTTGAGGGCTTGGATCTTTGGTCATGATGCCTGCCATGGCTGATGAGAAATCCCCCAAGATCTCGGGGTCTTCACCACTGTGCTAGCTATCATCGTTGCACTCATTGCACTCCCATGGGTTCGTAGGATTGATCAACTTCAAGCTTATTTTCGATTTCTTAATAACTTTTCGAGTTTTGGGAAACGCTATACTCAACCTTTGTATGGAACAATGTACAGTATATCTCCAAACAGAAAACGGTCCTGTATTCGGCGCATCTCTATCTTGCACCCTCGACATTCGACGTTCCTGGCCGAGTGTGTCAATGCTGTCTGTGCTGCGCTCGCGCTCGCGGGCTGCGGCCTCTCGCTCCGCGTGGGTGCAGCAGCGTGCTTCCTACTCGTCCGCAGCCGCCAAGTCGTCGTCGTCGGGCTTATTCCGCCGCGCGTGGGACTCGTACGCGTCGCTGCTGGAGACGCACCCGCTGCCCACGAAGATCGTGACGGGCGGGGCCATCGCGGGGCTCGGCGACGTTGGCTGCCAGCTCGTGCTAGAGGCGGGCGACCACCAAGACGAGGAGAAGCCCTTGCTGGACGTCAAGCGCACCGCCATCTTCACCTTCCTGGGCGGCGTCCTCATCACGCCCGTGCTGCACGTGTGGTACGGCTTCCTGGGGTCGCGCCTGCCCGGCGTCTCCACTGCGGCGGTCGCCAAGCGCCTGGCGCTAGACCAATTGGGCTTCGCGCCGACGTTCCTGCCCGTGTTCCTGTCCTCCGTCTTGACGCTGGAGGGCAACGCCGAGCAGATTCCGGACAAGCTGCGCGCGGACTGGTGGCCCGTCACGAAAGCCAATTGGGGCGTCTGGGTGCCCGCCCAGATCCTCAACTTCCGCTTCGTGCCGGGGTCGATGCAGGTGCTCTTCTCCAATGTGGTGGGGCTGCTCTGGAACGCCTACCTGTCCTACGTCAGCCACGCGGAGGTGCCCAAGGCTCTCCCTGAGGAGGCGCACAAGGCCGAGCACTAAACAGTTTTGACCCAGTGCTTTGGGGGCTCGAAGGCTTATCACCAGCAAGTTATGAGCTTGGTGGAGGAATATTAAGTAGACTTCCGACGGTCTAACGTACTCCTACCTGTCTGCTGTGTCAGTTTTAGGCTCTATCTGTGTCTACAGTGCAGTTTGGTCAGTGCTGCGGGCTTCCGAAGGTATTGTGCAAGGGTGAGGCGAGGTGCTTCCTGGCTGATTGCACCGTCTTGGCCACAAATGATGCCAAGCCGGGCGGTGCGATTCGGTCACGGAAGCTGCGACCTTGTGCGTGGTCTTGGTCGTTCTGGGAGACGTTGGACGCTGAAGAGAAGTAGGACGTTGCTGGGGACAGCCAGATCGTCGCGTTCGCGCACTCGGGCGGCTCACTCACGGCATTCGGCAGCTCCATCAAGTTGTTGAAGAGATCGGACCCGCGTCGACTGGTTTCCTCCCTCGTCGACCGGACAGGACGGATCGTCGTGCGCTTCTTCTGTCCCTTTCGCTTGGCCATCGTGTCGCTGGTGCTGTTATTGCCAAGCGGCACGACGTCGTAGTCGGCACTGCGCTCGGACGTGGCCAGTCGCAGCTCGAACTTCTCGACCTGCTCCTCCAGCGTTGTCTTGTCGACTGAAAGCGTCTTGAGCTCGAACTCCATCTGCACGAGATCGGCACGAAGACTGGCGATCACTTCGTCCTGCGCTTGTAGTTGCCGTGCCTCGTAACTTGCAGCACCCGTGACTGTGGCGTCCAGTGCGGCCTGCAGTGTGTCACGCTCATTTTGAAGATGCAGCACCTGCGCGTGCGCCGCTGATAGCTCTTCTTCCAGCCTACGGCAGTGCATTTGAGCCTTATCCAGTGCCTTCCTGGCCTCAGCTCGATCCCGACCTGCACAGCTGACAGCAGCTTGAAGCAATTCGGTCTGCTTTTGCTGCTGTGCCAGAGCGCGCAGCAATTCGTCGTGTGCTTCGCGCATGTCGTTGGTCTGTTGTTCGTCTTCAGCACGCTGCGCCGCTAGGTGCGCACTCTGTCTGTAGAGCGCATCTCTCTCAACGCGCAGTCCACTCAGCTCGCGTTCCAGAGCGGCATTCTTCTGTATCAGGGCAAGTTGCTCACTCTCCGCCTCCTTACGCTCTTGCTCGCGAGTTCGCTCCTGGGTCTCTAGGTGCGCTGCCAGCACCTCGACGTCTTCCTGCAGTTGGTTGCAACGCTGGACGAGAGCCTCGTGGCTCTCATCCTGGACAACTTGCGTTTCGTGCTCACTCTCGTCGCGCTCACGGTCACTGTCGTCCACGCTGAGGGCGGAGGGCTCGAGCTCAGGAGAAGTGGACGCTGCTGCAGCGTCGCGGACTTTTCTGCCCAGCTTTTTGCTTGCGATGGAGGCGTTGAGGTCATCGGCGTGTCCGTTCTGCTGGTTTGACGTGTGAAGCTCCAGTGGTCGGTGGTGCGCCCAGATTCGGGTGGATGTAGAGGGCTCCATCCTTGTATGCTGCTGCTGCTACAAAGGTTTGGTGGAAGTGAATGGAGCGCAGGGAGCACTTCAACTGCAGCGACTGTCGATCACTAAGATGGCTACACGAAAATAGAACGCAAAAAATAGAACGCATTTCGGTGGTTGGCCCATTTTGATGAGCATCGGGCTGCAACAGCTCGGCAACTCACATTGCCATGCAGTCGCACCACTTCACGAGCCATGACTTGGACGTACGCTACAGCTTTGCAATGTATTGCCAATCGTCATTCTCCACACAAACGCCCACTTTCCTTTCTTGTACATGTGCTGCGTAGCTGCTCGAGTCGTACGTCCATGACTGCATCCAGCAACTGCCGAAGCTCCCGGCCGCGACGGATGCCGCAGTGGCGGGGGCCAGCATCCAGATCCCCACGTGCTGCTCGTCATACCACACCGTGTGTACCAATATGCTCAAGGAGATCGTGACGCTGCTCTCGCTCTTCTCCCCGCGGCTGTGTCGGCTTATCGGCCAGGTCTGGGATCTCGCGTCTCTCAACGTGTTCGTGCTGCTACAAGTGGCGAACACAGCTCTGCAGGACGCCCAACAGTTGCGCGAGCAGCTAGTCTTCATCGAGCGCTTCCACGCGGAAGGTCTGGAGCGACAAGCCTCGCTCACCCAGCGATACGAAGACGAGATTGCTCGCCAGCGCGTGAGTGAGCAGGGGCTGCGCGCTGAACTGCAAAAGGTGCGGCAGCGCGCGAACCACCTCGCAGTGGAAAACGGTCAGCTCCACCTCATCGTGGGTCGAGTCCTCGACGCCCAACAAACCATGGAGGCTGCTCGCTTTGACAGCTCCAATCCTGCGGAGCAACTGGCGTCGCTGGAGTCTGACGGTCAGCGCTTCTGCGAAGACGTCGCGGCAGTTGGAGATGCCGAAGAGCGTGAGCTCTTCGGAGTTGGTGATGGAGCTGAAGACGCACTGTCGCGGATTCAGACTGTGCACCCCATCGAGAGCTGCGCGACCGACTTTGAACAGCTCTTTCAGGCGCTCTTCGAGGGCGAGGAGCGCAACGTGCGCGTGCTCAACGAGATGGACCGCTTCATCAACTCCACTGCTGTCGCGCTGCTCTGGCGGTACGGATCCACGGAGGAGGAACACCAAATGATGCACAGAATGCTGAGTGCGAGCACCGTCGGCACACAGACCGACGGGACTGTGACCGAGAAGCCTTCGCATCTCAGCGCTCGAAGCGGCGATCACTGGGAATCCGACAGCGACGACTTCGGGTCGGACGACGACAATACAAGCGCGCGCGTAGTCGCTAAGAAGAGTCAACAAGAGCTCGAGGATGAAGACAACCAGCAATACAAGAAGCCGGCGAAGCACGAGGTGATTGCAGTCACCAAGCACCAGGTCATCCCACCAACCCTGCGCGCGCAGTTGGACTCGCGCCCTCGCGTCAATCGCGTCCTCGACCAATGCCAACTCAACCGAATCCTGCTGCGACTATACCTCGAAAAACTCGAGTGCGACGCGCGCACGTTAAGGCGTCGGCGATTAGTCAGCGCTCGTGCTAGGACCGACAGCAGGACCCCGGACACAAGCGCAAAACCCATCGCAGTAGTCCGCACGCCACTCCACCGCTTCATGAAGGAGTTCTTCGTCACTCGCTACGAAGTGCCGGCGCTGGCTGATTTCCACATGATGGAGGTCGTCAAGAGCTGCCTCTACTATCACGAGCGGCTCAAGATCGCGCTTCGCAAAGGCGCAGTCTTCGCGTCTGCTGCGTTGGTCGGGTGTCTCCCAGGAATGCCCGAGAACCTCATCCAGCACATGCAGCACCACAATCAACACCACCAGCATGGCGAAGCAGCGATACATGATCATCCACTCCAGGAACTTTTCCAGCAACAGCAGCAGTTTGTCGCCGCCGACGTCCGCGTAGCACTCTTTAGTCAACTATGTGAGCTTGTGCCGTTCGACACACGCGGCACAGTGGTGGATGCAGCAGCAATAGGCGGGAATCTCGCCGCCTGCTTGTTGAATGCCGTGGTGGACGTACTCGGCGACGCGCTGGAGCTGGATCCAGCCGTACGGTCGATCGCTGAAGTTGAGGAAGTCCCGAATGAGGCGAGCTGGGGGTTCCCACGCCCGCTTGCACTTGAGCTCTTGACGCGACACCTTCAATTTGTTGACCAGCCGATTATCGAGGACACTAAAGCTCGGATCATGCGGTTGGCGCCTCTGTTGCGGTCGACTTCAGTTGAAGACGCCATCGCAGCCGACTACATCTCGGTTGATGTCTTCCTGGCGCTCTTTGCAACCACGTGGATGAAATACGACCAATGTCTGGAAAACAAGTTGCGCGAGAGCTTCCGCCATCAATTGCTGCTGTCCTCCCCCTTCGCCAGGAAACAATTGGATGCTCGGTTGGCACGGACCAGCGTGGCTGTGGAAGGTGAAGGAGACACCTCACAGCGAGACAGTGAAGGCCCAACAGGCCGACCGGCTAGTCGGGTGAGCACCTGGCGCGCGACCACGGTGTTGCCAACCGTGTCCGTAGGAGCGACAGCGATCGCAGTGCACTCGACACCTCTGGAGCTGCTCACTCAGGCTTGGATGACGCTTGAGAACGAGACGCTGTCTTCACTTGACGTCGAGGAGCTTGAGAGCACGTTCCGCGGGCTGCTGGAAGCCAAGCGACTTGACGGAAAACATCACCGCCGGCAGTCGTTGAAGAGGCTGCCTAAGGACACCCAAGACGCTCCTGTAGGAGCTGGAGTCTCCCTCGGTGGCGTGACTGAGAAAGAGTTCGTGTTCCACGCGCTCCAAGTTCTTCGACGGCGACGCAACAACTTCGGACTGCGCACGAACAGCAGACGCCCACCTCGCTTTGCCGTTTACGGTAGCCCTGTTCACGAAGACATCGGATCAGTAAAAACGGACGAGATATCAATTCCTCTCGAGTCCTTGAAGCCTGGACTCACCACCGAGAGCCTTGCCTACGTTGGCAAGTAGCTGCTGCAAGACACGACTCGTAAAAAGCAATGGAAACAATGAAACAAAACTGAGATCATTCACTTCGGCTGCATCTCCATCCATCGCATCCACTGGCAGACACGGGTTAACAGTAATTCTGCAGCACTTGCTGCATCCTCCTCCTCGGAATTGGCGGACGCTCCCTGCTTTTTTGCATCTCTTTTTCTTCTGCTCTCGGCTCGCCTTCTCCGTCGTCTCCTACGGCACTTATGTGTAGAACATGCGGTTCATGACGTTGCTGTGAACCTCAGCGAACTCGAAGTTGGACGCGTTCGAGTTGTACGAACTTACCGTGGACGCGCCATCCGAGCCATCGTTCAGGAAGAAGCGCGCACGCGCGGCCGCCAAGTGCGCGTAGTACACGGGCGTCACGAAAGACACCGAGCGCGTGCAACGCGAGAACGTATAGCCCAGGTGGTATGTTAGACGCTGGATGTCCTCGGCGGACATCTTGTTCTCATCGTGCAGCACCGTGTAGTGCGCAGGCACAGTGGTGCCCTGAATGCCGCTGTGGCCGTACAGGAAGAAGTCGAAGCGATGCGGATTCACCACACCCGTGTCGATAACGGTGCCAGGCATCACGTTGCCCTTGCGGTCGGCGTCACGGGAGTTCACCGCGAAGGCTCGCAAGTGGTGGCGCTTATTCACCACCACGAACGTCACGGGCGGGTTGTAGTCCTCCGAGATCATCTTGAATGCCTTGCGGAGCGCTCGCATCTCCATCTGCAGGATGTCGTGCATTTGCCCCTCGCTCACACCATCGCGGTAGTAGATCACGTGCTCCGGTTTGCGCTGGGTGTTTTCATAGTAGGCGAGGAACAGCTCGCGCAGCATGTTCGGTAGTTGCTGGATGTCGCTGGAGGCCTTCTGCGCCGCCACGCGCGTGGCGTACTGAGCCGAATAGCGGTCCATGGAGGCTACAACCGCGGCAATGGACGGCCGACCGCCCATACCCGAGCGCGGGTGCTCCACGTCGGCACCGATGATGATCGTAGGCGCGGTGCTGATCAGCGGGAGCTCATCACGCAGCACAGCGTTCTTGCCCTTTAGCTTCATGTTGATCTTCAGGCACACGTTAGCACAGAACTGCGGGTTGGCACGCGGTAGGTTCACGGAGGCAATGCACTGGCTGGGTAGGCCAAGGACCGTGTCCGACATGCGCTTCACGTCGCCATACACGGGCGAGTTCTTGGCCGGCAAGATCACAAGCAGAAACTGCGGCGGGCCAGCGTTCCGGCGCTCGAGCTCCTGGTGACACATCTTCATGAGTTCTTCGACCTGGGCGCCACGGTGTTGGTCTTGGTGGATCAGCACGGGGTTCTTGTCTTCGAACGGGAGCCCGCGCTGGTCTCCCAGATCCGTCAGTTTCCCAATGAAGTTGTGGACCTCACGCTCATTCGCGTTAGCAGCGACGATCACGCCCCAATTGCGTACAGGAACACCTTCCACAAATCTCTTGCTGTTGAGGCTCCACTGGCCGCCGGCCGGACGCTCCGATACATTCTGGTATTGGACATCAGGAGCATCAATTACGTGCGCCTCGGTCGACTCGAGGCGCTGGTCCACCTTGATACCGAAGGCAGCGAGGAACGGGTCATTCTCGAACCCAGCCTGGCGAACTTGCTCCATGATGTTCTCTTGGCGGTTGCGTGGGGGTTGACTGGTTTGGCGAATGATCTCCGCCGTGTCCAAGTCGTTGATGTTAGCGCAGCGCTGTCCAGGAGCGACCTCGCACACCTCAATCGGCAGCCAGTTTTCCTTACCGGGTCGCTTGCTGCCAACGTTAACCAGCGGCAGGTTGGGGTAGCGCAGCTGCATGTTGTACTTGCCACTGAAGTACGCGGCCACGGACATGGTCTCTCCCTTGATGTTCACCATCGTGAGGTTGGCAGGCTGGGCGCTGACGCCGAAAATCGCGCGCTTGCGATCCTTGCGGTGCGTCGGGACTACCTCAATCTTGCGCAGTGCGCGCGCCAGCGACTTCATGTCGCGCTCCGACAAGTCACGAACCTCGTCAGGGCCGCGCGCACGCAGTGCTGCCATGGCGAGCTGCATCAAGGGACCCGGCGAGTAGAATACCGTCGCTGCCTGGTCGACGTTCATGAGGAGCTTGTGGTCGGCAAGGCGGATGGCTTGGTGGTAGCCCCAGCACAGTTCCTTGCCGCCCTTCAGCGTGTGCGTCTTCTTCATCGTGAAGAAGTTGCGTCCGACAGCAATCAAACGCTGCGCACCCAAGTGACGAGCCACCACGTCAAGCGCCTGAAGAACGGGCATGACGTTCGTATCCGGGTTCGCGTAGTAGTCCGTCAAGCTTGACGTCGAGATCGTCTCCACCAGCTTCATCTTCGCCACGAACGTGCGTGGGCCTCTGAACGGCCGGCGAGCGGCGCCATCGCCACCAGCAGGTGGTTGCTGGGGAGGAGCGGGCGCACCGTTACCGTCGGGATCGATGTCAGGGAAATCCTTCGCGTTCCAAGGCAGCATGGTCGGCGCGTAAAGCGCAGCCATACCATCGTGAACCACCCGAATGCCGGCAAACTCTGCTTCATACTGACGAAGCGCAGCGTTGATCACGTTTCGCACCAGCGAGCGCGGAAGAGGGCGTTCCGGACGTGCCTCTCGTTTTGGCGGTGCATCTGCGGACTGCTCGGCCATCTCCACGTCCTTGACGTCCTTGCCCTCCTGCTTGATCTCTTCACCCATGCTCTCATCCTTCTGGTCCGCGCCTGACGGACCGTACTTGGAGTCGGCCTGGAGATCGGGCGAGCGCTCCACGTGCACGTGGTACTTGAATATCTCCGGGGGCGCCGAGTCGAGCGAAATACCGAAGTAGTTGACGTTTAGTTGCGTCGTCTTGCCACGCTGCGTGACGCCCGGGCGGCGACAGAACTGCACTTCCTGCTGCAGATCGGCGTCGTCCGCGCGGACTTCACGAACGCCGGCGCGACCGGTCCACTCGTCCTGGATGCGCGGGTCGGCGATCGGCTGTCCGATCTGCTCGTAGCCAGACCCGGAGATAGCGCCGGCGCCGGGACCCTCTTGGCCACGCGAGCCACCGCCACCGCCGCCGCCTCGTCCTCCCCCGCGCCCTCTTCCTCCAAATCCACCTCGGTCTCGGTCGCGGTCACCGCCGCCTCCATATCCACGATCGTCTCGGCGATCTCCACCTCCGTAGCCACGATCGCGGTCTCCCCCACGACGGTCTCCTCCACGGTCGTCTCGGCCTCCATTGCCGCCGCCTCCATACCCACGATCATCTCGGCCTCCTCGATCACCGCCGCCACCATATCCTCGATCGTCGCGCCCGCCGCTAGCTGCGCCGTATCCACGGTCGTCTCTGTGGCTCCCATAGCCACGGTCTCCATAACTCCCTCCTGCACCACCACCAGCAGCGCCATAACCACGGTCGCCGCCGCCTCCAGCTCCATAGCCCCGATCGTCTTTCTGACCGCCTCCACCTCCATAGCTGCATCGGTCGTCTCGCGCGCCGTATCCTCCGCGCGAGCGATCTTCATAACCGCCGCCATATCCACGAGACCGGTCATCGTAGCTGCCCCCGCTTGCGCCATAACTTCCACTGCTGCCCCCGCCGTATCCACTGCGACTTTGATCGTACCCCCCGGAAGATCCACCATACCCTCCTCTGCTGTCGTATCCCGAAAATGCTCCTTCGCCGTACCCTCCAGACGAGTGGCCGTACCCTCCTCCACTGTCGTAAGATCCTCCTCTACTGCGGTCGTCGTAGTTGCCGCTGCCTCCTCCTCCGTAGGCCCCGGACGAATGGCCGTAGTCATCGCCGTACCCGTGGCCACCGCCGTAGCTCCCTCCACTGCTGCCGCCTCCTCCGCGGCTGTAGTCGTCGTAGCCCGACGAGCGCGAGCTGTAGTCGCCCCCGCCGCGCTGGTCGTAGCCCCCGCGCGAGTCGTAACCTCCGCGTTGATCGTACCCCTGCTGGCCACGCTGGTCGTAACTCTGGTGCTGCTGGCCGCGCTGGTCGTAACCTTGCTGCTGCTGGCCGCGGCCTTGGTCGTATCCTTGCTGCTGCTGGCCATAACCGCCGCGTTGATCGCCGTAGCTGCCTCCGCCGCCGCTGCCCGGACGGTCGTCGTAGCCGCGGCGGTGGTCGTAGCCACGCTGGTCGCCGTAGCCACCGCCTCCGCCGCTGTAGCTCATGCTCGTGCTGGTGTCTGCCTCGCTTCAGTCCTTCACTTGAGCCGCGTCTGGGATGCCACGCTTGTAACGGCTGGAAGACAGATTTACACTGCGTTTCAGTAAGGTAGATACTGACTAGGCACTAAAGCGGAGGATTAAGCGGCTCACTTCAACTTGATCCCTTCCATGAGGCCAGTCCCTCCCTTTCCCTTCCCTGACGTTGAGGCAATATATTGATGCAGATTGAGGGACGAGGCTGAGCGACAGATGGGAGATGGCGGAGGTGCTTGGCTCAACGGCACTCTGTGGCCAACGGAATCGAGGCTCCGACTTTAATGCACCAAGATGCATTGGCAATGAGCACCACAGCAGCATCGCCTCCCTTGCAATCCTGCCAGAAGATCGAGATCGAGACGTAGTGGAGTCACTCCATCTAAACTGCAGCTTATTCTTCACGCAATGACTCGCTACACTAAATGCAAAAGCTTTTCCTTGGCGACGACCTCACCCCCTCACTCAGTGGCCGCCACCGACCGACGCAATCAATCTACACGTAGAACATGCAGTCGAGCATGTTCTTGTGCAGACCGGCGAAGTCGAAGCTGGACGAGCTGGACATGTTGGTGCTCATGGACGCCGTGTCCGACGATCCCTCGTACAGGAAAAAGCGCGCGCGGCCCGCGGCCAGGTGCGCGTAGTACGCCGGGGTCGCGAACGACACGGAGCGCGTGCAGCGCGAGAACGTATAGCCCAAGTAATACGTGAGTCGCTGCAGGTCGTCGGCCGACAGTCGGTTCTCGTCGTGCAGCACCGTGTAGTGGCACGGGACGCTCGTGCCTTGAATTCCGCTGTGGCCGTACAAGAAGAAGTCGAAGCGGTGCGGGCTCACCACGCCCGTGTCCAGCACCGTGCCCGGCACCACGTTGCCCTTCTTGTCGGCATCACTCTGGTTCACGGGGAAGACGCGCATGTGGTGGCGCTTGTTCACCACCACGAAAGTCACGGGCGGGTTGTAGTCATCCGACAGCATCTTAAACGTCTTGCGCAGCGCGCGCATCTCCGACTGTAGAATGTCGTAGAACCGTCCTTCGCTCACGCCGTCTCGGTAGTAGATCACCCGCTCGGGACGGCGATCGGTGCTGCGGTAGAACGACAAAAAGAGGTCGCGCAGCATGTGCGGCAGCTGCTGGATGTCGTTCGCTGCCTTCTGCGCCGCCACGCGCCCAATGTACTTGGCCGAGTACGCGTCCATGGAGGCCACAACGGAGGCGATCGACGGGCGAGAGCCCATACCCGAGCGCGGGTGCTCCACGTCGGCGCCGATCACGATCGTTGGACAGGAACTCACGAGCGGCAGCGGCTCTCGCAGCACCGAGTTCTTGCCGCTCAGTTTCATGTTCATCTTGAGGCAGACGTTGGCGCAAAGCTGCGGGTTGGCTCGACGTAGATTCGTCGCAACGATGCACTGACTCGGGATCCCCAGCACCGTGTCGGAGGTGCGCTTGATCCGGCCGTAGGAGACGGAGCCTTTGTCCTGTTTGATGACCATTATCAATTGAGGCGGCCCGTTGCCCTGGCATTCCAGTTGTCGGTAGCAGGCCTTCATGAGGTCCTCCACTTCTCCACGCTGGCCGCCACAGCGATCGATCACGAGCGGGTTCCGGCACTCCATCATTAGTCCGCACTTGCACGCAGTGTCGACCATCGTCCCAATGAAGTTCTTCACCTCCCGCTCGTTTGTATTGGCGTCGACCACAACGCCCCAGTTCCGCAGTACGGCTCCCGTCACGAACTTCTTGTCCTTCAAATTCCACTGGCCACCCGACGGTCTCTCGGACACGTTGGCGTACTGCACGTCAGGAGGGTCAAGCACGCGCACGTCCGTCCTCTCCAGTTGTTGGCCCACCTTCATCCCGAACGCAGCCAGGTACGGATCGTTCTCGAAGCCTGCCTGGTGGACTTGGCTCAGGATGTTCTCGCGACGAGCGTGCGGAGGTTGACTGGTCTGGCGGATGATCTCGGCCGTGTCCAGATCGTTGATGTTCGGACAGTGCTGGCCCGGCGCGACATCGCACAGCTCAATCGGCAGCCAGTTCTCTCGGCCAGCCTTCTTGCTGCCTACGTTCACGAGCGGCAGGCTCGGGTGCTGCAGCCGCAGGTTGTACTTGCGCGAGAAGTACTCGGCCACACTCATCGTCTCGCCCTTGATATCCACCATAGTGCGGTCAGCGCGGTCCGGACTAACGCCGAAGATGGCGCGCTTGCGGTCTTTGCGGTGCTTCGGCATGACTTCCACCTTACGCAGAGCGCGCGCGAGGTTCTTCATATCTCGCTCCGTTAGATCGCGGACCGCCATTGGCGAGCGCACATTAAGAGCCGACATCGCCAGCTTCATGAGCTCGCAGGGCTCGTAGAAGACCGTGGCCGCCTGGTCGACATTCATGAGCAGCTTCTTCTCGGACACGCGGATGGCTTGGTGGTAGCCCCAGCAAAGTTCCTTGCCGCCCTTGAGCTCGTGCGTCTTCTTCATACCGAAGAAGTTGCGGCCGACAGCAATCAAACGCTGCGCACCCAAGTGACGAGCCACAACATCAAGCGCCTGAAGAACGGGCATGACGTTCGTGTCCGGGTTCGCGTAGTGCACCTCCAAACTTCCCACGGCGATAGTTTCTGCCAACTTCATCTTGACGACGAACGTGCGCGGTCCTCTACGACGTCGGCCGTCTCGGGTCTGTTGATCCTCGCCGGTGGGGGCGTCAGGGTTCACATTGGGAAAGACGCGTGAGTTCCACTCGAGCTTCGTCGGCGAGTAGAGCGCCGACATGCCGTCGTGCACCACGCGGACCCCACCGAATTCCGCCTCGTACTGGCGTAGCGCTGCGTTGATCACATTGCGGATGAGTCCGCGAGGCAGTGGCCGCTGGATGCGAGGCGGTTCCGTCTCCAGTTTCTTCTCTTCGTGGCGCTCCATGCTTTCGTCTTCAGGTGTGTGCGCCACGTCGACATGGTACTTGAAAATCTCCGGCGGGGCGGCGTCCAGGGAGATGCCGAAGTAGTTCACGTTCATATTCATCGTCTTGCCTTCCGTGCCGAATCCCGGACGGCGGCAGATCCGCGTCTCCATCTGCAGCCCCGGGTCTTCCGGGTTGACGTCAATCGGAGGAGCTCGGCCAGTCCATTGATCTTGCAGCCGCGGGTCCATGATCGAGTCCCCGATCTTCTCGTAGCCGCAGCCTTGAATTTCACCGATACCTGGTCCACGCTCAACCCGTCCTCGAACTCCTCCACCTCCAAAGCCACCGCCTCCTCCTCCACCGTATCGACTGCCTCCACGATTATCTCGACCATTGCCACGGTTGTCTTGGTTGGCATTCCCACCATAGCCACGACTGTCACGCGTCTTGGATTCATCATTGTATCCTCCTCGACTGTCACGGTTCCCACCGTAGTTTCTGCTATCGCGAGAGCTCGAGTCCCAGTTCCTTCCGTAGCTTCGATTGTCGCCGGAATTTGAGTCGCCGCTCCTGTTGTCCCGACCCTCGAAGCCTCCGCGAGAGTCTCCACCGTAGCCTCGAGTGCTGTCTTGTCCTCGAGAGCTGTCGTAGTTCCAATCATTGTTTTCGCGTTTGTAGGCACCTCCTGCATCGTGCCCGTACCCACGCTCACCGTGGCTGCTTTGACTTCCACGCGAGTAGTCATCACCGTGGCGCTCGCCGCCGTGCTGCTGCTGCGAGCGGGTATCAAACTGATTGCTGCTTCGGCTGCCACCGCTGCCATATCTCCCAGCAGAGCTGCCATACGAGGAAGAGTAGTCGTAGCTTCCGGAGCGAAAGCCCCCACCGTAGTCTCTGCTCCCGGAGGCTTGATTGTTGTAGCCCCCGCTATAACCATGAGATGATCTTTCACCGCGGCCTTCGCCATAGCTGCGGGAGCTCTCGACGCGTCCACCGCCGCCATATCCACCGCTGCGGCTTTGACTGTAGTTGCTGGACGAAGAGGAAGCACTGCGATCATCGTAATTGTAGCGTCCGCCGTAGGCGTCACCCTGACTACGATAATTGTAGCCTCCTCCTCCACTTCCGTAGCTGCCAGCCCCGGATCCATAGCTGCCGCCGCGACTGGAGTCACAGTCACGTGAGCTTGAGCTTGACGTGGAGTCGCCCCCGAAGCTTCCTCTGCGGTTGTAGTCGTCATACCCCGACGAGCGGGAGCTGTTGTAGCCCCCATCACCGCCATTTCCTCGCGACTCGTACCCGTAGCCCATCGCAGTGCTCGGCGTTTTCAGAAATGATCAATGCCGGAGCTGAGCGAACCCGCATTTCGTCGCCTGGGAGAGGACAGGGACCTAACTGCCTGAAAGCAATGCTGCAGGAGTGCTGCAGGCTCGGTGATCTCCGAGTGAATTGCTTCGGCAAAACAAACTTCAACTGGGACGTGCCGATACCAGCACGGATTGACTGTCATCGAAGCCTTCGTTACTGGTGAGTCCCAGAGGTAAGCGTTGCTCCATCGAAAGGCAAACGCTAACGGCAAGACCTCGCAGCTTTTGGTTCATCCGGCAGCAAGGCCAGCAAAAATACCACCGCTTTGCTTTCACTGCGAAGTCCTCACTCACTGCATGGATAGATGCATGTCTTAAGCAAGTAAATGCTGCAGAATCCGTAATGCGCAATAAGGACACCAATGCCAACTTCATTAAGAGACCAAGCTCAACCCCGAAATAATGAATCCCCTTTTCACTTGTGCATTCCTGCATCCACTACCCACCCGCTATACGAAAAACATGCCATTTCTGACACCGTCATGAGGATCAGTGAACTCGTCCTTCGTATAGTACAAGCCGTCAGGTACCTCTCTCCTGCAGCAGCGCGCTCGGCGGGCCGCTAAGCGCGCGAAGTATACTGGCGCAACAAATGACGTGGACCGAGTGCTACGACCGAGCATGAATCCAAGGTGAAACGTGAGGCGGTGCACGTCTTCAACTGACAAAGCGTTCTCGTCATGCAGGAGTGTAGTGACAGGGGATGCTAGTAGTTCCGTGGCCGCTGTTGTGGCCATACAAGTAGAAGTCAAATCCATGTGCATCCACAATTCCCGTGTCAATGATTGTTTCAGGCTCCACGTCATTCTCGCAATTGCCGTCGCTCGAGTTAGTCGGGAAAGCGTGCACATGGTGACGCTTATTGACTGCTATGAACGTAATGAGAGGCGGGCAGTCCGCCAACAGCATTCTGAATGCCTTGCGCAAAGCATTCATTTCTGTCTGCAAGACGCCAAAATGCTGATCTTGGCTCGCTCCTCCCCGGTAGTAGACAACATTCTCCGGTATCTGACCCGTGATCTGGTGCCACGTCACAAGCAGCTCGTACTGCACGCGGGTCAACAGCTTCATGTCACCAAGTGTCTTCTGCTCGGCCACACGCGCTACATACTTCGCTGAGCTACAGTCCAGCGAAGCAACAAACGAAGCGGTTGACGGTCTCCCCCAGTTGCCGTTATGCTCCACACTTGCGCCGATCACCAGTGTTGCAGCTGAATTGGGGAATGGCAACAGGCCTCGAACTACAGCATTCTTCCCATCCAGTTTCATTTTAATTTTGAGGCAAAGACTCGCATAGTAATGCGGTTTTGCCGTGACGATTTTCTGCGAGAGAATACATTGACTCGGGACTCCCAAGACCGTATCGGACATTTGCTTGATTCTGGCGTAGGAGTTAGCGCATTTATCCGGCTTGATGACCATGATGAGCTGTGGCGGGCCCTTGTTACACATTTCCAGCTCCTCGAAGCACATTTTCATGAGTTTTTCGACGTCCACTCCACGATACCCGTCCGACCGAACCATGCAGGGGTCACTATCCTCGAAGGACAACCCGCACTCCTCCCCCATCTTCACCAAGTTGGAAACAAAACTTCTCACTTCGCCCTCACCAATGCTGCTGAACACTACAACACCCCAGTTGCGAAGTACTGCGCCCTCCACAAATTTCTTGCCTCGTACATTTCACTGACCGTCCAATGGACTGGTTGACACATTCGCATACTGCACTTCTGGGGGAGGAATGACGTGGGCGTTCACTATCACAAGACGTTGCTCAATCTTTAGTCCAAAGGCGTCCTGGTACGGATTATCGTCAAAGCTGATACGACGAACCCGGCCAATTACCGTCTCCAAAGGAATGTTGGAAAACTCGCGCGCCTGCTTCGTGACTTTAGGATCGTCGAGTTCGCTTTTGCGCTGTCCAGGGGCCACTTTACACAACTCAATCGGAAGCCAATTCTCCCTTCCAGGTCGTTTGCTTCCCACGTTTACCAGCGGAAGGTTGGGGTGTTGCAGCTGAATGTTGTGCCTCCAACTGAAGTACTCGGCCACTGACATTGTTTTGCCCCCAAAATGTACTAATCCATCACAAGTCGACGTCGAGCTGAGGCGTAAATGCGGTGGCTAATGCCTGTGCGATGTGTGAAGGTCACTTCGATCCTGCGTAGAGCTCGGGCTAGTTTTCTTTGCTCCCCATAGGTCAAGACTGAGATCTCGGAAGGTGAACGCGCGCCCAAAGTGGCAGTCACCAGCTCCGTCAGGTTTCCCGGTGTGTAAAAGCTCAGCGTTGTCTTGTCCAGCTTCAGCAGGAGTTTGTGGTCGGCCACCCGGACGGCTTGGTGGTATCCCCTGCGCAGTTCCGCTCCGCCATGTAGGGGCACCAGCTCTTCGCCATCAATCGAGAAAAACTTGCGCTCCACAGAGACCAAGCGCTGGCGAGCGAAGCAGCGCAGAATCACACCGAGAGCTTGCAACGCGAGCCTGGAATTCACGTCCGGGGTTTGGAGTAGTAATCTCTCAGCGACTTGACTGCGATCACGTCGGCTAGCTTCATCTTCACCACGAATGTACCTGTGGTGGATAGGGGGCTTTGCACAGAGTCTGGAGCATTTTCCACTGAATCTGGATCCACATTTTCAAACGTCTTGGTCTGTGCAGCCCACGGCAGTAGCACAGGTGAATACATCAGGGATCCACCGTCGTGCACCACCCGAGTGCCTCCAAACTCTGTTGCGTACTGCCGGATTGCAGCGTCGATCAGCGGCGCATCAGACCGCGCGCGTATTGCCACCGCCCGTCTGAGCGCGAGATGTCCACATGATAGAGAAAAATCTCTGATGGGTTGAGTCCACCGACAACTCCATGCAATTCACCTGCAGCTTCACAGTTTTGCCGCCAGTGGCAACTCCCGGTCGACGGCAGATGAGAAATTCCTCCAAGATAGTGTCGAGATCTTCAGCATTCTGCTCCGACTCCACCTCAGCAGTATCCAGCCCTCCAGTCATCGCTGCAGCTGGCTCCACGCGTTCGTCGGTCCTTCCGTAGCTAGGAGAGCCATCCTGAGCTGGCATTAGTATCTGAGTGGGGCTACAGCTCCACATACACTCCACCACCTGTCCGTAGTCCGCACAGCTCATTTGATCGATTGACTATCTTCACCGTTATTTTTCGGAATCGAAACGAGCAAAAAATTTCAATTTGGGGGTAATCAAAACATTTTTGATTGGTAGAACTGTCCTCCTCAAGAGGACACAAGTGCATCAGCCACTCCACCTAGATGTAAAACATGGCGTTTTTCACGTTGCCGTGCACCTCAGCAAGCTCGAATTGGGGTGAATTTGCGCTGTCCGAGGCGTCTCCTTCAACCGCCGAGCCTTCCTTCAAGAACAAGCGCGCCAAACGCGCGTACTGCAAAGGCGCCACGACCGCAACCGAGTGTGAACTGCGCGAAACAGTGTAGCCGAGGTGGTAGGCGAGTCGCGTGATGTCATCCGCCGACAGATTGTTCTCGTCGTGCAGCACTGTGTAGTGACACGGGACTTTCGTGCCGAGAGGGATGACTCCGTGGCCGTAGAGGTAGAAGTCAAAGCGGTGCGGGTCAACCACGCCCGCGTCAATCACAGTGCCAGGCACTGCGTTCCCCATGTGGTCGGCGTCCCGAGACTCCACTGGAAACGCGCGAAGGTGGTGCCGTTTGTTGGCCACGACGAACGTCACGGGAGGGCGGTAGTGCTCCGAGATCATCTTGAACGCCTTGACAAGTGCTCGCATCTCCGCCTGCAGGACGTCGAACTGCTGCCCTTCGCTCACACCATTGCGGTAGTAGAGCACGCGCTCCGGCTTGCACTTCGTGCGCGCGTAGTACGCAAGCACGCATATTCGGAAGCTGGTGGATGTCACTCGAAGTGCTCTGGGCAGCAACACGAGCGGCGAAGTGCGCTGGGTATTGGTCCACTGATGCAACTACAGCAGCAATAGATGGTCGAGACCCAACGCCCGAGCGCGCGTACTCAACATCCGCACCGATGATGATAGTTGGAGCTGACTGGATCAACGGTACAGGCTGTTGCAGTGTCCAGTTGGTCCCTCCGAGCTTCATGTACAGGACGACGACGTAGCCCTGCGCGCGTTCGATGCCAAGATGCACTGACTGGGGACGCCAAGCACGGTGTCAGACACCCGCTTGATAGTATCGTAGAGACCGTCAGTTCTCGCTTCCTTGACCACCACAATAAGCTGCGGCTCGCCTTTATCGCGCTCTTCCAGCGTGCTGAAGCACATTCGCATGAGATCTTCAGCTTGAGTTCCAGCGTAATGATCTGCGCGAACGATACAAGGCTGGTCGTCTTCAACAGTCAGCCCCATCTTACGTGCAGCGTCTATCAATTTGCTAACAAACTCGTGAACTTTTTCCTCACTCATGTTGGCAGTGACAACAATCCCCCATTTGTGAAGAACTGCCCAATCCACTATCCGCTTACCCCGTAAAGACCATGAACCGCCCGTAGATTTTCCAACAGAAGTTTCAAACTGCAATTCAGGTGGCTCAATGACTCGGGCGTTCACCATCTCGGTCTCAAGACTCACTTTCATCCCAAAGGCGGTCAGATACGGATCATCCTCGAACCCCAACGCGTGAGCATACTCGTCAATGGCTTTATGTCGGGCATTTGGAGGCTGGCTGGCTCGGAGGATGATCCCGGCTTCGTCCATTCTGCTTATGTCACGGCAGCGCTGTCCAGATGCGAGTTCGCACAACTCAATGGGCAGCCAAATCTCCTTCCCCGTTCGCTCACTGCCCACGTTGACGCACGGTAGCTATGGGAACCTCAGCTTCGTTCTGTAGCGCTTGTTGAGATATTCAGCAACCGACATGGTATCACCCTTGATTGAAACCATGAGCTGGCCAGCACCAAGTTCGCTCACACCAACAATGGCGCGCTTTCGGTCGTTCCGGTGGGTGGGGATCACCTCCACCTTGTGAACTGCAGTTGCCAGGATTTCTTTCTCCTGGGCCGACATATCGTGAATATTAGCAGCCGATGTCACGTTTAACACGGCCAGAACGGGAACCATCAGTGCGTTCGGCTCGTAGAATACTTTAGATACGCAGTCGATGGTCATGAGCAGCTTTTGGTCTGCAGTGGTGGAATCCTGAGCACAATTGCTTCCCGCCATACAGCGGGAACGCCGTCTTTAGGGAGAAGAAGGACCGCCCGACTGCAGTCCACCGCTCGGCAGCCACATACCGCATCACCACGTCCAAGGCTTGAACCACTGGCTGCACATTCACGCTCGCGTTCGAGGCGTAGTTCATCTCGATAATGTCCGCCAGCTTGATATTCACCACAAAAGTGTTCCTTTGACAAGTTTGATCGCTTGAATCAGTGGCGGCCGACGAAATTGTGTTATCTATGCTGATCTCGTCAAACTTTTTACTGTTGCCTTCCCACGGCAACATGACTGGGGAATAGACCGCAGTCTTGCCGTCATGAACGACACGGACACCAGCAAATTCTGCTTCATGTTGACGAAATGCGGCCTTGATCACGCTGCGCAAAAGCGAACGAGGCAGCGGACGCTCCCCCTGCGGCTGGTCAGAACTCGTTGCCGTTCCTTCTCCTTCGATAGCTGCGCGCTCGACGCTCAGATGATACTTGAAAATCTCCGACGGTGCTGCAGTGAGCGACACTGCAAAGCGGTTGACCTTCAGCCGCACGCCCTTGGCAGCAGTAGCGACACCGCTCGGACGACGACAGATAGGAAACGCCATGACAAGATCTGGATCGTCAGCGCTCACTTCGCGCACTCCTGCGCGGCCACTCCACTCTTCCACGAGGCGTGGATCTACCACCGTCTTCTTCCTCCAAACGTTCGCTATCCCGACACCGCTTGTGACCTCGAGACTCGCGGTTGTTCTCACTGCGGCATTCACGATTGCGGCGACTTGAGCGATGGTCTTCCCAGCTTCCATCTCTTTCGTACGTGTAGTGGTCACGAAAGCTGTCTGCATCGCGTGAACGCTCGTACTCCGAGCCATATCGTCCGAATCTACTTAACAAAACACCAAGACGTTAGCACGAACGACATAATCTACCATCTTACATCGGTTGGGCATCGAACTCGGTGTTGTAGCCGCTTCGATGGCTTGCATAGAGGTCAGCGCTGCCGTAGCTGTTGTATCCGGAGCCATACCGACTCATCTCTCGCCGGCCAGGAGTCGTCCGGTAATTGCTGCCCCGATGTGCTCTGGAGCTGCTGCGATCGCGCCCATGCGGAGAGTACGAGCGACCCATGCTTTGGCAAAGCGAAATGAGGTGAGGAGACAACTAACTACCTAACTGCCTTGCATACAGCAACTCGTACAGCAACTCGTACTGACTGGGACGCGCCGCAGCGACAAGGTCCTCATTATACTGCAAGGCCAGCAACAGCTCTCCGTCAGCACAAACCGAGTGCACCACTACGCGTTAAACAAATGCAGCAAAAGAAAACTCAAACTCAATGCCATGTTCATCACTGTTCAAACTCATCGAGACGACGCTCATCATACTGCACTCTGCGATTCTTCTTCGTCCTAGATTGCACACTCAACGCTCAGCATCACCGTGCGCTCAAATGAAAAACATTTTGTTCAGCACATTCTTGTGCACCTTTGCGAACAGGAACTTGGCCCCACTCGAGCTGCCCGCAATCTCGGACGCCTCCTCCTGCGGGGCTTCCTTCAAAAAGTGACGCGCGCGCGCCGCCGCCTCATTCGCGTAGTAAACGGGAGCAGCGACCGACACCGCGTGGGTGGAGCGCGAGAACGTGTACCCGAGATGGTACGTCAGCAGTTGAATATCGTCGGCCGACAGGTTGTTCTCGTCGTACAGCACTGTGTAGTGGCACGGCTTGCTCGTCCCCTGGAGGCTGCTGTGGCCGTAGAGGAAGAAGTCGAATCGGTGCGGGTCCAGCACACCAGAGTCGACCACCGTTCCCGGCTTCACGTTGCCCTTGTGGTCGGCATCACGGCGATCCACGGGGAAGGCGCGCGTGTGGTGGCGCTTGTTGGCCACGATGAACGTGATCGGCGGGCTGTAGTTGTCCGAGATCATCTTGAACGCCTTGCGCAGAGCGCGGATCTCGGCCTTCAGGATGTCAGAGTACTGGCCGTCGCCCACACCATCTCGGTAGTACACCACGTGCTCCGGTTTGCGCTTGGTGCGCTCGTAGTACGCGTGAAATAACTCGCGCAGCATGTTGGGCAGCTTCTGGATGTCCTCCGACGCTTTTTGAGCCCCCATCCGCGCAGCATACTGGGCCGAGTAGGCGTCCATCGACGCAACCACTGCCGCGATCGACGGCTGCGAGCCCATGCCAGGCCTCGGGTGCTCCAGATCCGCTCCAATAATGATCGTCGGTGACGTACTCAGCAGTGGAAGCGGGTCGCGCAGCACGGCGTTCTTGCCATCCAGTCGCATATTGAGCTTCAAACAGACATTAGCGCAGAAGGCAGCGTTCGCCTTGCGCAGGTTCTTGGAGGCGACGCACTGACAGGAGACGCCCAGAACCGTGTCCGCCATTACCTTAACCGGTCCATACAGCCACGAACGAGTGTCAGGCAGCACCACAAGCAGCATTTCGGGCGGGCCACGCTCTGCGACGCGCTGGTAGCAGATGCGCACCAACTCCTCCACGTCTGTAGTGCGTTGATCATTCTGGTGGATGAACACCGGATCGTTGTTCTTGATGAAGAGTCCACGCTGACGCCCAACGTCGCACAGCATGCGCACAAACTTACGAACAACAGACGCATCCACTTCATCAAGAATCAGCACGCCCCAATGCTTAAACGGAACGCCCTTCACCATGATTTTGTCCTTGAGGCGCCACTCAGCGTTCCTGGGACGCTCCGAAGTGTTTCGATACTGCACACACGGCGGCTCCAACTCGCGCGCATTTGTCGTCTCCATTTTCAGCATCACTTTCATTCCGAACGCTGCGAGATACGGGTCGTTCGAGAAAGTGGCGTCCTTCACATGGTCCAGAATGTTCCTCTCACGCTTTGCAGGAGGAATAGCAGTCAACTTCGTGATCGACGGCGAATCCAACTCGTCCGCGTTGGCGCAGTGCTGCCCCGGTACCACCTCGCACACTTCGATAGGCAGCCAGGTCTCTTTGCCTGGACGTTTGCTGCCTACGTTGGCGCACGGCAGTCTTGGATACTTGAGACGCTTGGCATACTTCGAGTCGAAGTACTCCGCGACAGTCTGCTCTTTGCCCTTGATATTCACCAGTAGTTGATCTGCAGGCTCAGCACTGACGCCGTAGATGGCACGAGCGCGGCCCTCACGGTGCGTGGGCTTCACTTCGACGTTGTGCAGTGCGTGCGCGAGATTCTTCAGCTCGAGCTTTGACAACGTGCGAATTCTGCTCGGGTCCTTCGCACGCAGTGCACTCAACGTCAACTGCATGAGGGACCCCGGGGTGTAAAAGACCGCAGAGGTCTCGTTCAGATTCAGAACCAGCTTGTCCTCCGCCTTCCGAATGGCTTGGTGGTATCCCCAGCACAACTCCTTGCCCCCGTGCACTGAATGCGGGTCCTTCAACGTGTACAGGTCGCGCCCGACGACAGTGAGACGTTGGCACGCCACGTGACGCGCGACCACGTCCAGAGCTTGCAGGACTGGCATCACATTCACCTCTGGGTCGGAGTAGTGTTGTAGTAAATCCGTCATGCAGATCGTCTCCACCAGTCATAGTGACGACGAATGTCCTTGGGCCTCTGCGAGCTCCTTCACCCCCGTTTGACGTCGTCGTAGGTGGAGGTGGCAGTGTGGACAGGCTTATGTCCGTAAATGTCTTTGACGCCCATGGGAGTTTGGTAGGCGAGTAGAGCGCCGACATTCCGTCGTGCACGACGCGAATGCCTGCAAACTCTTCTTCGTTTTGACGCAGCACTGCATTGACTACGCTGGTCACTAACGAGCGCTGCAGTGGCCGATCCGGACGCCGCTCAGGTTGTGGAGCAGCGTCGTCGCCAGCGACTTGTTCTCCAGTTTGAGGACCGTACTTTTCTCCTCCATCACGATCACTAGTATGCGCGACGGTGACGTGATACTTGAACACTTGGTTGGGGCCGGAAACGATCTCAACGCCAAAGTAGTTAATCTTCAAAGGCACTGTCTTGCCATTTTGGCCAGGGGCTGGCGGTGGCGAGCAGAACTCGACGCTCTTTAGCACATCCGGATCATCAGACTTGACGTCACGGATCCCCGCTGAGCCGCTCCACTCAGCTATCACGTTGGGGTCGGTAATGGCGTCGCCAATCTCCTCGTACCCAGATCCCGAGATGAACCCCGCGCCAGGCTCGCCCCCACCTTCTCGACGACGATCACTGCGGTGACTGTCACGTCGTCCTCCTTGGTCACGGCGGACGCGACGATCTCCACCGTCTCCGTAGCCACCTCCATCTCTGCGACGATCACCGGCATCAACGCGCTCCACGCGTCTGTCGTAGCCTCGGTCCTCGTAACCGCGTGAGCGATTATCTCCACGTGAGTGGGTATCGTATCGGCTTGCTGCATCATATTCGCGTGTTCGAGTGCTGCATTCGCGATCGCTGTAGTCGGCTCTACGGTAGTCTACATATCCGCCACGAGAGGAGGAAGAATGTCCATACTCATTGTCCTGTCCTCGGGGGTTATAACGATCCGAGCGATCATAACGACCCCCATAGCCATCGTCATAGGAAGAACGGCCTTGACCGTGAGTCGTAGTCGTCATAGCCATAGCCCGAATTGTAGTTGGTGCTGGAATGAGAGCTTCTGTGTCCGTGGTAGCCCCGATCGTGCGCGTAGTCGTCGTAGTCGAACGGGAAGGAGCTGCCGTAGCCCCCTCCGTGGAAGTCAAGCGGGTCGTACGTGGTCATTTGCTTCTCCTGCTTCCTCTCCTCAAGCGGCAGTTCGCGAACTGACCGCATTGGCCAAGAACTGGGACCCGCCGCCAGCATCGCAGTCTCCCAGCACACGTCATTCGGCACTCTTGCATTCGGAAGTTGCAGCTACAGTGCAGCACAGTTAGAACGCGCAGTTAGTAGAATAGTCAGTCACCCAACCGTTTAGTTAGACAAAGATTCGGCGACAAAGATCCCAACTGTCCGAACAGCCGCGTCCCCCACTCTGCAATCTTCATCGGGAGGACCCCAGCAAGCAGTGGTGATCAGCGGTGATCAAGCAGCAGTGACCATCTCCCAATGCGCCTTGCCCACCTTCTCGGCGTCACGCTGGCCGTGGCCTCCGCCGCCGTCTACGCCGATGACGCGCCTCGCTGCTTCCCGGCGGACTTCATGTTCGGCTCGGCCACGGCGTCGTATCAAGTGGAAGGCGCGTGGAACGAAGGCGGCCGCACCATGAGCATCTGGGACGACTACTGCCGAACCCACGCCAAGAAGAAGGTGGCGTGCGCCAACGTGGCCGACGACTTCTACCACCGCTACCGAGACGACATCAAGCTCATGGTCGAGACGGGGCTGCAGTCCTCGCGCTTCTCCGTGTCGTGGTCGCGGGCCATGAACTGGAACCCGGAGACCAAGCGCATGCAGCCGAACCCGCAGGGCCTCGCGTTCTACCACGCGCTGGTGGACGAGCTCAACGCCAACAACATCGTGCCGATCCTGACGCTTTACCACTGGGACCTGCCGCTGGAGCTGCACACGGAGCTGTCACCTCAAGGCTGGCTGAACCCGGACATCATCAACCACTTCATGGACTACGCCATGCTCATGTTCCACGAGCTGGGTGACAAGGTAGACTTCTGGACGACGTTCAACGAGCCGCTCACGTTCACAACCGCCGGTTACGCGAGTGGAGCTGGAGCCCCCGGGCTCAAGAAGTCCGAGACCTTCGCGTACATCGTGGCGCACAACGTCATCCGGTCGCACGCGGCTGTCGTCAAGGCCTTCCGGGACCTGAAGACGAGCTCTCCGTCCGTCATCCACCAGAAGGCCCGCATCAGCATCACGCTCAACAGCGACGCGGCGTACCCGCTTGACCCAAAGAACCCCTTGGACGTAGCAGCAGCCGAGAGGAAAATGCACTTCGAGCTCGGCTGGTTCCTCTCGCCCATGATCACGGGCGACTACCCTGCCGTCATGCGCGAGCGCGTGGGCGATCGCCTGCCGCGGTTCACGCTCGAGGAAACGGAGTTGGTCAAGGGATCGTACGATCTGCTAATGCTAAATCACTATAGCTCAAAGCTGGTCACAGACTGTGGGGTGGGGCCTCACTCCAAGTCACCATGCAAGAAGCTAGGCAAGGGCTGGGAGCGCGACTTGGGCGTGGACATCTCGCACTCGAACGAGCTTCCGGGCTCGCGTCGCTCGAGCAAGGACCGTCACGGCAGACTCAACTGCGGCTGGTTCACGGCCTACCCTCCCGGATACCTCGAGACGATCAAGTGGCTGCACGCCGCGGACCCCACGGCCGACATCTTGCTGACGGAAAACGGCTGGTGCGGCAACGAAGAAGTGGAGAACCTGGACCAGCTCTGGTACTACCAGGAGTACGTGGCGCAAGTGCACAAGGCGCTCGTGGAGCTCAAGATCCCCATCATCGGCTACACGGCCTGGTCGTTCCTGGACAACTACGAGTGGGGCTCGTTCGAGCCGCGCTTCGGCCTCTACTACGTCAACTTCTCCACCAACACGGGCGCCCAGGACGAGGTCTACGAGCCGCAGCCGGCGGGGCTGGAGCGGATCCCGCGCCCTGCCGCCAAGTGGTTCGGCCACGTCGCCAAGACCAGGTGCCTCGATGGCTGGACGTACGAGGGCTCGACCAAGGAGGAGCAGCTCGCTGGGCTCGAGAGCGTCAGCGAGCAGAGCTTCTCGCGCTGGATGATGGGCGTCATCGGCGTGCTGGCCATCGTCGCCCTCACCGCCATGGCCGCCGTGGGGCGCAACATCATGGTGCAGCTCTCGTCCCCCAACGCGCGTCGTCTTCCTCGCGAGACCGACCCGCTGCTGCAGGCCAACACCATGATCTAACCGGGACAGCTATCGTAGAAGCGAGAGAGAGAGAGAGAGAGAGAAATGCAGCATGTGTAAAATCGTCCTTCAATCGACGTTACAGCGACAAACGTCCACCGGTGTCCACGTTTAAGTTTTCAATATCAGGTGACGGCCGAGCCGGCCAGGACCAATACTTATGCGGTGATTGGTCCACCTTCCACATAAATGCTCACCCCGCGTCCCATCACCAAAAGGCAGCTGAGTCTGATTAGCAGACGTTGGGTCATTCTGGAATCCGCCGGCTCGAGCTCACGTCGCGTCCGTCCTGGGGCCTCCATGCCGTCGCGCGCGTCCGTCCTACTCGCGCTATGCCTAGGGGTCGTCGCCCAAGTCGCCTCTACCTCTGCCGCTGCAGTCGCAGCCACTGAGGCGCGCTGCTTCCCGCCTGACTTCCTCTTCGGCACGGCCACCACCGCCTTCCAGGTGGAGGGCGCCTGGAACGTCTCCGGCCGCGAGCCGAGCATCTGGGACGACTTCTTCCACCACTACCACGAAGATGTGGGGCGCATGGCCGCCATGGGGCTCTCGTCCTTCCGGTTCTCCATCTCCTGGTCCAGAGTCATGCGCTGGGACGCGCAGGAGAGGAGGATGCTGCCCAACCCACAGGGAGTAGCGTTCTACCACGCTCTACTGGACGATCTGCAGGCGCGCGGACTGCAGCCTATTGCCACGCTCTACCACTTCGACCTGCCGCTGACGCTCCAGATGCAGCTGGAGCCCAAGGGATGGCTGAATCCAGGCATTTTGACGCACTTTGAAGACTTTGCAGCGCTCGCGTTCAGAGAATACGGAGGCAAGGTCAAATACTGGGCCACGTTCAACGAGCCGTTGACGTTCATCAGCGGCGGCTACGGCTCGTGCGACGCTGCGCCCGGTGGGATGCAGCCGTCGAGCACCAACACGTACACGGTGGCGCACAACGTGTTGCTGTCGCACGCCAAGGCGGTCAAGCTGTTCCGTGAACTGAAGCAGGGAGAGGAGGGCTTGGTCACTGCTGACGCGCGCATTGGCATCGTGCTGAATGCGGAATTTGGGTATCCCGTGGACGAATCCAACGCTTTGGACGTGGCTGCGGCCGAGCGCAAGATGCAGTTTGATCTGGGCTGGTTCTTGACGCCACTGGTGACTGGAGATTATCCGGAGATCATGAGGGACCGTGTGGGCGAGCGTCTGCCGCGGTTCAGTGCCGATGAGGCAGCGCTAGTCAAGGGCTCGTACGACGTGCTAATGCTAAACCACTACTATAGCCGCCTTGTCACTTCATGTGAGTCGAAGCGCTCGGAGATCAGCTGCGACGAGCTGCCGCTGGGCCACGCGCGTGATCGGGGACTCGACGACACGCGTGCTCCTAACGGTGCGCGTGCACCGCCTGCAAGCAGCCCTGAGTGCTCGTGGCTTGCAGGCTACCCGGACGGCTACTTGGACACCATCATGTGGATGCATGCGAAGGACCCTTCAACGGACATTTTGCTGACCGAGAACGGCTGGTGTGGGGACCAGGAGGTAGAAAATTTGGATCAGCTCTGGTACTTCCAGGCGTACGTGGCGCAGGTGTACAAGGCGGTGGTCGAAGAGAAGATTCCAATCATCGGCTACACGGCGTGGTCGTTCCTGGACAACAACGAGTCGGGGTCATACAAGCCTCGGTTCGGACTGCACTATGTAAACTTCACGAAGCAAGACGCTGCGACGGAGTTGGCACGAATCCCACGTCCTGCGGCGAAGTGGTTTGCGCACCTTTCGACGACCAAGTGCCTGGACGGCTGGGATATCGATATCGATACTGTCCAAATGGACGCCGAAGAGGCAGCAGCTCCACGAGATACAATGCGCAACCCAGAGGCTGGGGGCAACGATGTGGGCGTCCCATGGTCTCTCACGGAAGTCATCATACTGATTGCAGTTGGCGTTGCTGTACTTGGCGCCATCACGTGCGAAGCGATGCGCGAACTGCGTCTCAGTAGCCAGGGGTCCCCAGAAGAGCTGCAGGTGCTCATTACCATCGAGGAGTGAGGGAATCGCACGTCAAGAGAGATGAACCAACGTACGGTAAGATAAGATAGTAATGCGACTTTCACTCACTCTTGACGCTACACTTGTTTTTTGTTGTTATTCTCGTGCGGTGCTCGATGCGTGGAGTCGCCAGCGACACGGCGTTGGGAGCGGCGACCGCTGACAAATTGCTAAAATCTTTTCGCCCGCCGACACGAGAGCTCGAGTCTCACCGCACGAGGTGCACGCTGACAACTAGCTTCATGAACGCTACAGACTGGTGGTTGGCTCGTATCGTCCCAAGTGGTTGCTTGGACATCGGGGTGGCAACAAACGACGTGATGCTACTGCACAGCTTCGCCAAGGACGCAATCTGGACTCTTGGCATCATGCTTGCAGTCGTTCTTGCTGGAGTTGGTGCAACGTTCGCTGTGGCTCACCCATTGCGACTCGGGATACGACACCGTGAGCATCTGAACGAACGAACCCCATTGCTAGTTTAATACCGATCCAGTGGTATTGATTGGGATCTATTCAACATATCGTCTACAGTTGTGTCGACTTACCAATCTGAGCTTGAGCTTTCGTACAGATCTTGTGAACCAAAAAGCTCCTGCGAATCGACCGTTATGTCCGAGAACGTCAGCGGCTTCAGGTCGTCCATACAGCTTGTGTCTACGTTCTTGAGTACACCGTTCTCCTTTACATAGGATACCAAAATGAGGACGCCACAGGTCGAACCGCCACTGTTCATAGGCGTCGTGAACGTCGTGCAGTGGCCCGCGTCGTCGAAGTTTACCAGCATGCGCTCGCCTCTCATCATTTCATACTCCAGCTCGCCGTACATGCGGCGCGTTTGCAGATCCATCCCGCCCGTCATTAGCAGCGCGGTGACACCGTCCGGCAGCTCGCCGGTCTTGTTCCAGTATTGATCACGCTCGTATACCAGCGGCCGGGCCACCGGAAGGTGGATCAGCTCCTGGCACGCGCGCTCACGGCTTCCCGTGAACAGACAGTAATACGGGAGCGATAGGTAGTTGTCGGACGCCATGGTGGAGTTCTCGTACCACGTGAGGAGCGTCGCCTTGTCCGGAGTCGGGCTTTCCCACATCTCCGAGAACACGATCAGGTAATACAGCATGTCGGAGTCATACAGCAGCGTCTCCGGCTCGGAGTCACCAAAGCCACCGTCGCCATCGCCAGAGTCGAGTCCTTCAGCGAAGTACGCAAGAGCATCGGCATCTTGGTCCGTGCACCGCGACGCGCGGTAGATGACCGCTGGGATGGCGATCCGCGTGCGGTCGGACATGAGGTACTCGCCGAAAGTCGAGCGCAGCAGGTAGGAGGGTTTCTTGCCGTTCTTCGCCAAGACGTCGGCACAAGCGTTAACTCCCTTCTTGCCATTGGCCACAGCAGCGTCCAGCTTGTCAAACAGCTCATGCACGAACGCCGCGAGGTCCGTCACGCCGGGGAACTTGCTCTTGCAGAACTCATCGGCCAAACAGGCGGCGAGGAACCTGTTCCCCACGACTCCGACATCGTGATCCCAGTTCGAAAACGTCGACCGTTTCTCCACCGTGTCGCCACTCTCCGAAACAATTCCATCCACTGAGAATCCTCGCACACTCGGAGGGGCAAAGTGCACCAGCCTCTCGACCAGATACGTGCCGTAGCTGAGGCCGTACACGTAGACGTCCTGGTCGCTCAGCTCATAGTCAATGATCGCAGCCAGATCTTTTGCCGCGCTCGTCACCGAGAACGCCGCCGTCTGGTTGTCGATCTGGAAGCGGATGTCGTCCATGCACGCGGGCAGTTCGTCCAGTCGGATGGCGGAGCCTCCAGGGCTGCCCAGCGCTCCGGCCTCTGCGGCCTGGCACTCCAGTCGGGCACTGCGGCCCGTTCCTCTGTGGTCCATCGTGTACACGCTGACCTCCCTGTCCAGCTGCAGGTACATGGTGTTCATGAGTCCTTCCACGCCAGTGGACGAGGCTCCGGGGCCTCCTTGCAGCACCCACAGCGCCTTGTTCTTGCCGCCGCTGGGCGTGGCCGTGGCCTTCACGCGCTTGACGAACACGTCGATGGTGTTGTCGCTCGTGCACACGCCGTCGTAGCACATGGGCACGCGGAACTCGCCGCACTCGTACTGCGGACTGCTCTGCGATCCGTGGCCCTTGTGCCTGCCGCCGTGTTGCTTGCGCTGGTGGATTCCGGGTGCGTTCTGCTCAGGCGCCGCCTGCTCTTGCTCCTGCTGCTTCCAGTCGCCGTGCCGGGCGAATAACCGGTCGAACGACTGCTGCAGGAACGGCAGCGACGAAGCCGGAGCCTGCGCAACGCTGGCGGTGGCCCTCCGCCTTGTGGGGCTGGAGTAGCTGGCTGTCTCGAGGTAGTACTGGTCCGGGTGGCCCATGTTGGTGGTGTCGCTCTGCAGCGAGCTCTGCGTGCACGGGTACCAGCCGTTGAGCTGCACGGGCGGCTCGGCGGCCGCAGAGCTGAGCGCCGCGGCCAGCAGCAACGTCGGCAGCAGCTTCATCGGATCCAGGAGGTAGAGTAGGTGGCGGATTGGCAAGTGAGATCGATCAATGACGAGCGAGAGGTTGCGTACTCCGATCTATATATAAGGATTGGTAGGTCGGTTAAGTATGCGATCGTGTCGAGTCAGGTGAGACGGCACCTATCCGAGTATAACAGATCGCAGGGAAAACACGCACCCATATCAGATTTTACACCGATCGGTACCGGTTTAGTGGTACCCGTAACTTCGTGTACCACTGGAAGAGGTACATTTTGGTCCCACCACACGAAAGTATCCAGTAGACCACCGCCATGGACGTGCCCTCTTGGCATCCGGCCAACCAGAACGCTGATGCGCTGCGGCGACTGGCGATGAGCGGCGGCGCGCCCGCAGCCAAGCGCACCCAGTTCACGGTGATGGCCGGCTCGAACGTGGACACGTCGACGGAGGCGGAGCGGCAGCTGGTGGCCAAGGAGGAGAGCGTCGTGCGGCTCGGTGGCGGCCGCGGATTGCTGGACCCGTCGGACCGCCTGTACCTGGTCGAGCAGCTCGAGCTGGAGCAGGCGGCCAAGGGCAGGGAGCAGCAGGAGCGAGAGGCCGGTAGGTTCTTCTACTGATTGATTCGTAGTGCGATGTGGACGGGGAGGACTCACGGACGCGCAGCGCTGCAGACGTTCCGCTCGAACGCCCTCATAGCGCACAAGACGGCGGTGGCGCCGGAGATTCCGCTGGTCGCAGCGGCCAGTGGCAAGAGCAAGTTGCTGTCTCCTGAGAAGAATCCCGTGGTGGTGATCAAGGCCAAGAAGCGGTCATCGACGGCGACAGACAAGGACGCCAAGGCGAAGAAGGCCAAACTCGCGGCGAAGAAGAGCGTGGGAAGTAGCGCTAGTGCGGGCAAGAATGACCGAGCGCCGACAAAGGAAGACAGGAGCGAAGCGAAAGGAGCCAAGAAGAGCGATGATATCCCTAACACGACGAAGCCTGCGACAAAGCCTCCAGCATCAGCGTTGTTGCTACAGGACTATTCGAGCAGCAGCGACGAGGAGTGAGTGACCTTGATGTGGTGAGGAGCTTCGACGTTAGAACTGTGCAAACCATGTATTTTTAAGGGCTCCTGCGTGCGATCAGCACAGCAGCGCAACTAATCAAAGCAATCTACAGCGAAATAGATCTCCCCTTCCCCCCTCTCTCCACGTCTGTCTACTTGGTACCTATTCTATCAACGTCGACAGTGCGTCACAATGTTCTGCCGGTGCAACCTGAGCTTACTCGCCATCACTGTCGAAGGTGATCTTGGTGGCCTTCTTGTTGACGTCGATGTTCTTGGCGAACGCGCCGTACAGCTTGTGTTCTTTCTTCTTGACGTGCGTACCGAACTTGGTCAGGTCATTGGGTACCTCCTGGTTGCTATCACGCAGCAGGTTCACGAGCTCGCCAGCTCGCGGCTTGTCGTTGGCGGTGAAGAATGTGTGGGCCGTGCCCTTCTTACCGCCACGGCCAGTACGACCGATACGGTGCACGTAGTCCTCAATCGTCAGCGGGAAGGAGTAGTTCAGAACGTACTCGACGCCGGGGATATCCAGACCACGCGCGGCGACATCCGTAGCGATCAGCAGCGGGACCTCGCCCGACTTGAACTGCTCCACAGCCTCCGAGCGCTGCTGCTGGCTACGGTCGCCGTGGATGGCAATGCAGTTCCAGCCGCGCTGGTGCAGCATACGCTCCACGCGGTCAGCCTCCTTCTTGTACAGCACGAACAGCAGAACGCGGTTCTTGCGGCTGGAGTGGTACTTCTGCAGCAGCGCGTGCGCACGGGCGTCACGGGCACGGTCGTCAATAACCTCGACGATCTGAGTAACGTTGCCGCTGGCGGCCAGCTCGTCCGATCCAATAGTCACCTTGACAGGGTCGTTCAGGAACTCGTGGGCCAGCTTCTGAATTGACTGCGGCCAGGTAGCACTGAACATGGCAATCTGGCGCTCCGGGTGGGTGCTGCCAATAATGGCGCGGATGTCCTTCTCGAAACCATCGTCCAGCATACGGTCAGCTTCGTCCAGCACAACAAACGTCACCTTGGACAGGTTGCACGAGCGCTCCTCCACCAGGTCTTTAAGGCGACCAGGGGTAGCCACCACGACGTGGACACCGTCACGCAGCGCCTTCTTCTGCGCCTGCTTGGGGACACCGCCGTAGATGCAGATGCTCTTCAGTCCGCACTTCTTGCCAGCCTCGGAAATCACCGCCGAACTCTGCATGGCCAGCTCGCGCGTCGGCGCAACCACAAGCATACGCGGACCCGGGTGCTTGGGGGACACAGCGGGCTGAGCCGCAATGTGGATCAAGCCGGGGATGGAGAACGCCAGCGTCTTGCCGGAGCCCGTCTCGGCAATACCAATGATGTCACGTCCGGACGCCAGGATGGGCCAGCACTGGCTCTGAATGGGCGTGGGCTTGTCGAAACCCTTGGTGGTCTTCATGAACTTGGCCTCGAAGGTCACGTCGTCGAAGCTGAGCACGGGGCGGTAAAGGCAGTTGTTTCCGCTGAGGATCATCTGGTTGGCCTCGTGGAAGGCGGAGACCTCCTCGTTCTTCATCTTGGCCGTGTCCTTGCCCTCCGTGTAGAAGGCCTTCTTGAAGCTGCCGTCCTTGGGCGCCGGCTGCTGGTACGGGCCGCTGGAGAAGTCCGTGTTGGGCGCCTCGTTCTCCTCGTCGTCGCATTGGCTCTTCTTGTGCTTCTTGCTCTTCTTGTCCTTCTTCTCCTTCTTGTGCTGCTTCTTGGGCTTCTCGGGGCTCTCGGCCTCCTGCTCCTCGCGGGCGCGCTTGTGCTTCTTGTGCTTCTTGTGCTTCTTAGGCTGCTCCTCCGCCGGGTTCTGCGCCTGCTCGGCGGCGGCGGCCTCCGCGGCCTTCTTGGCCTTCTTCTCGGCCTTGCGCTGAGCCTTGGCGTCGTTCACGTCCGTCATGGTGCCTGCGTCTCGATGTCCGTTCGACTCTGACGCCATCACACGCAACAAGCGCATCAAAGCACAGCCAGTGCTTTATGCAGATGGCTACATCGCACGAAAAGCCATGTGAGCTACATCAATGTATCCATCTAGGTTTTATCTTCTCTCCGAGGTTTTTCAGTTCAAAAGGGCGTTAGGGTTTGAGTGAGTGAGTGCGCACTCAAGACCCTCCGTCGACGCGGGAAACCTAGAGTGCGCACGGACCCCATGGCCGACGCCGACGACGCCGACGACTCGGGCTACGAGCTGAGCCTGAGCGCCCCCGTCGCGCGCCGCCGCGAGACCATCACGCGCCAGCTGCAGCGCGAGATCCTGCGCGAAATGGGGGCGGACAAGCCGCCGCAGGAGCAGGAGCAGGAGGAGGAGGAGCGCAAGACGGAGGACGACGACCCCGCAGGCATCAGGAGGCGCACGCTGTCGCCGTCCAAAGCCGCGCAGATGCTGCGGGACATGGACGCGCTAGATGCCTCCATCTCCAGGCGCGACACGGTGAGTCCGCAGGCGCTCAAGGCCGTTCTAAGCGTCGCTGAGCACCAGCAGCACCGGGAGGAGGAGAGGAAGGAACAGGTAGAACACTCTCTTGAGAGCGGGAGGACGGAGAACGAGGAGAATGTGCTGGACTCTCCTCCCGCTTCGGCGAGCGAGCAGCCCAGGAAGAGCCCTCTGCCACCGGCTGCTGCAGAACACGAGCGCAGGAAGTCTGTCAACACCAGCGACAGCTTCACAGACTCCATGTTTGCGCCCAATCTATTGGAAAAGGACGCGGCTAGTAGAGCGACGCTGGACCCGACGGAGGCGGCGTCGGTGGTCGCGGCGCTGCAGAAGGAGGTGCGGAACATGAGCAGCTCAACGCTTGAGATGGAGGAGACCGACTCGGACAGCGACAACCAGAAGAGCGCTGCTGCTGCTGCTGCGCAGCCCAAGCAGTCTAAGATCAAGGCGCCCACTCCGCTGAGTGAGTTGGCTAGAAAGCGGACGCCGCTGTCTGCACAACAAAGCAAGCAGTCGCCTGCTCCGGCGAAGGAGACGAAGAAGAGCAAACCGCCGTCATCAGCTAAACAGCCCAATGCCAGTAGGACGCCGTCTACAGCGAAGCAGACCAAGAGAAAATCGTCATCCCCGACTGAAGAGGCGAAGGGTAGAAAGTCGCCGTCACCGGCGAAGGAGGCGTACAACAGGAAATCCCCGGCCCAAGCGAAGGAGCCGAAAAGGAAGAAATCACCGACCCCGACGAAAAGCAATTCCAACCGCCGGGCTACTGTTGACCCTAGCGACGTACTGATGATGCTTGAGGGCAGCTCGCAGCCAGAGGATGGACGCCGGCAGACAATTGACGAAAACGGATTACTCGAGTTGACAAGCGCACTGGACTCTCCGTTAACAGGCGGCAAGGGCTCTGCGCGCAAGCAAAACGAAGAGATCTCGCGCAAGCGTGCTCATGATTCCGACGTGCGAGAAGGGAGCCCGGAAAAGCGTGCACGGTCGGATGGGGATAACAACGGTGACCAAATGATGGAGTCGATGGAGATAGACTCGCCTGTGCATAGCAAGGAAAGTTCACCTTCACTTCGAAAGGCAGCAACCAACGACAACCAAACACGAGAGGAAGGTCCGTCCTCAGGAACCGCAAAGCCGGCGTTGTTTTCACCTCCGCCCACAGGGACGCGAGTCAGGACTCCGCTGAAAGGAATTTTGAGCGCTCGAAAAGGAAAGAGAAACGCGATGCAGACAACGCCGACGAAAACGGTGAATTTTGGCCCATCCCAGGGCGCCGAGTTCAATCATGGATCGCCATCGACGTCAATGACCCCCATGCTAGCCAAGGATGCCTCCAAGCGTTACCCGTCAGAGCTGCCGCCTTCTTCAGAGGAAGAACCCGACGACGCTGAGACATCACTGAACTCGTCCATTCTTGATGAAGCCGATTCGTTCGACGAGGAGGAGGAGGAGGAGGAGCAACCGAAAGAAGTTGTTTCGCCGAAGGTGACACAGGTGAAAAAGTCCGGTTTTGATCTGTTGGCATCGCGGAGAAGTAGCCTTATGGCTCCCAAGTCAGTTGATAGAAGCCGCCGTCGACAAAGTCTTCGAGGGTACAGTCCGCTGGATAGCCAAACTGAAGCCCGACGACGCAGGCGCCAGACCATCAACATCGCTCGCCAAACCTCGTCAAAGGCGACACCTGCGTTTACTACTGCGACCAGGCCGATTTCCAGCTCGCAATCTCCTCCTTCCTCGAGAAATAATTCGTTTTTAAGAGCGGCCGACGTGGCGGAGACGACTCGTATGCCTTATGCAGATTCGTCAGCGTCCTCTGACGCTGGGGAGGACATGGAAATCACGGGCGAGTACTCGATCGTAATGGGACGTGATAGCATAGCACCGAGCACATTAGCGTCGGCATCTGCTGGTATGCCTCGAGATGAAGACACGGCGGAGTTCAGCTTGGGACATCTTCTCGCTGAATCATCCGTATATGAATTAACCAAGTCTGCACCTGAGCCTGACCTGAATGATCTTCCTGGAACGCTGGGTGATCTGGCTAGTGAAGTTGCGGATGTGCCTTCAAGTCAAGGTAGCCAGGCTGCCAATGCCTCTCAAAAGTTGAATGACCAAGACAACACACTCGACCCAATTCAAGAAGGAGACGAAACCATGGCATCCTCACGTGGCCAGAGCATGATGAGCCTTGTTTCTAGTGACGACAGCGATGAGGAATATGCCGCACGCCGAAAGTCTATTAACGTAAACCTGACACCTCAGTTCGAGCGGGCTAGCATTGGCGGTGAACCCAGTCAAGCTGTTCAAGCCCCACCGACACCCGAGTCACTTTCGGTTCACTTGATCACGATGGAAGAACTTCTCTCGTCTGTTACGCTTGACGAAATAAAGTCAGTGGCGGAGAATGATGATGATTTTTTCGGAGAGGAAGCCGAGTCTTCTGACGATCTGATCTCGACGAGTGTCAAGCTTGCGTGCGCATATGATACGTGCTCGGAGGCAATCGAGTGCCGTGGTACAGATATCTCGTCGTGGTCTGCGGATCTAGCGGAGGAATTGTCATCCCTGTTGCAGATCAAGGCTCCGGGTGTTTTTAGTCCAGAGAACCTCGATGATGCAGGCCGCGAGGCCATTCGAGAGCTGTACGCTACTGAGGCAATGATGGCTCAAAGTGGTTGGTGCCAGCTGCAAACTCAGATGGAAAATCAACTGAGTAGCAGTTTGTCGTTGGGTGCGGATGCATTAACGAACGATGTGAAAATGCTGAAGAATTGCGTCTCCAGCGACACGTTGAAACGTCAAAATGAACTCGCTGCTATCAGGGAGATGATCGATCGTGAGGAACAAATGGCCCTTCTGCTTGATGCGATCGAGGAACAACAGGGTGCTCATGATGAGTACGTGACTGCTGTGAAGGATCTCGAGAATGAATGTTCCTCGCTCTCGCTGGAGGAATCTGTACTACAGAGCCGCCTGAAGGTGCTAGAGGGACGGGCAGCGGAACTGGAGCCGGTGACTTCGGCAGCAGCAACGTTGTTCGAGCAGGAAGTGCTGGCGACGGAGGAAATGCTTGCGATCCAGGAGAGCATGACCGTGTGGAAGATTCGAGAAGCAACAGCCTCTCTTCTGCGCGTTAGTGCTCATTTCGAGGATGTGCTGTTTGATGTCGAAGTCAACGTCGATGTCCATTTGGGGTCCCCTTCAACGGGTGGCGCATCCACGTTGATCAGAGTGAATGAGTCTCTCAAGCAGAGAGAACAGAACACGTACCTTCCTATCGAAGGCGACGTGGTGTTGGTGTTGCAGCGGCTACTGCTAGATCCTCACTACATTTCACGCATCGCTGACGAGTCTGAACTGGGAGACGGAAATGACGGTCGCGTATGTTCCAAGCTGCAGATTCTGGAGCATTTCATCAACAGGTCTTTCCGTTTGTTGAAGGAGTTACGCGAGCTCTCTACCCACTTTGCGATGCGCTTCGATGAAGATGATAGTACGCTCTGGATTGATTTCCTGAAGTTCCCGTCTACCTTAGCTCGCATGAGTGTCGAAGGCGCGCACTTCAGCGTTGGGTTCTCTCTCCTTCCAGTGTTTCCATATACCGACTACCAGACGGCTGTACAGGTCCCACACGGAGAGGTATGTTATCTCGAGTTATCCATGCGCTTTCATCGTGGTCGACTTACTGACGTTCTTTTTGTTTAGATTTCTACCGAGGACGTCAGGAAGGAGATCGAACTGGTACCTAAAGAAGCGCCGAAATATTTCACGCGAGTTTGTCGGCGACTCCACGAGAGTTTTGTGCGGTAGCACGACCGGCGTCGGTCGTATAGGGTTAGTGTCGGCGTGAGCTGGAACGCGCGAGCTGCTTAGAACTGTGAAGGATGCTCGCAGCTCGGTGATTCTAGCAGCGTTAAGTTATCTATTGTGGGGCGGGGAGTGATACAACACGAGCAAAGGGGCGAGCAAGCAAGTTTGGACGTCTGGGGTGTAAAGTATAATCAAAATTGCTGTGGATCCTCTGGTTGTGGTACCTGCACTGGCCCACTCACTTTTATCGTGCATCATGTTGTTTAGTCGTCCCAGTCGTCGTCGCTGTCGTCCGCTGCTGTCTGAGCCGCTGAAGGGTTGACTCCAGTATGGTGGTTGGAGTGCAGCGTCGGCTGCGCGGCAAGCGCCTGCAGAATTGAAGCAGCAACAAAACACCACGTCAGTACTCGCCCCATCAACGTGTATCGCTCTTCCGATGACCACTTACACTGAGCCGCGCAAATTGAGCTGCTTTCTGGCGCTCCCTCTCCTCCTCTTCGCGCCTGCGGGCCTGGAAGTCCAAGGTTTTCGGGCGCACGGGTGCGGTGTCCTTCGGCTTCTCGGAGAGCGGCACCATACCTTCGTGTGTATAACAGAAGCGAAGAGTCCGGGTAAGTATCGGTATGAGCAAGCACACAAGGGGTAAGTAGCAACGACATACCATCCGGTCGGAGTGATTCATATACTGGAGCAACAGTCTCGCCCGCACACCACTGCTCGGCGGTCACAGTTGGCTCCTGCTTGGGCACCAAGCCATAGACGTCGTCTTGGAAGAACTCCTTGAGCTTCTGCGCGCGCGGGAGCGAAAATGACACGCGCTCCACAACATTGGGCGTTGCCACCAGCAACTGCGCCAACTCGACATCACGAACGTTGCAGATTGTCTTCGGAAGCAGAGCCACTCCGCCGATGGTGTCGGTACCGGCCATCATGAACGGTAGGTTCGCTTGGACTGTAGCTGCTGTCGGATCAACCTCGTAGCTCCAGATGTGACGACTACCTGTGCCCACAAGGAAGAGCAAGTGCGAGCTGGCGTCGTAGAGCGGTAGCGGTGTAGTCGTGCTAGCCACACTCGCAGCGGGCTCGACCAGCACCGGCACCCCAACAGGTTCCAGCAAGTTACGCGAGTCCCAGAAGCTGACTTGCGTCTCATTGCGTGCGTTGACTCCAACCGTCAGCAGACGCGTTGAGTCGGCCCACGTGACAAACTGCGGCTTGCTGCTCTCATGGCCGCAGCCCATAGCAACCAGCGCGTGCTCAGACTGGCGAGGGTCAAACACACGCACGATTTTGGCTCGACTTGCAGTGGCCAACAGAGAGCCATCATTGCTGAAGGCCATGTTCCACGTAATATCGTCCAGCTTTCCCTCCAAGCACATTTTTTCTTGGCCAGCTTCAAGGTCCCAGAAGCGCAACGAGAGATCGTGACTGGTTGAGCAAAGCACGTCGGCGGCTGTCGGGTTGAACTGTAGAGCTCGAAGACCCTTTTTGTGTCCTGACAGCGTCAATGCCGGTGTGCTTGGAGCTTCGAATGTCTCGACTGTGCTCTGAGAGTCTAGAGACCAGAGCTGGATACTTGAGTCGGTCGATCCGGTAGCGAGAATGTGGTCGTTGAACGGGTTGAAAGCGAGGGCGGAAACCTCGGCCTTTTGCCCGTTAATTACCGGAGCAGCTCCATGCTGTGCCTTTCCAGTCGCGTCAAGCTTCTCCACCAGAACAGGTCCACCCGCACCAGCGATGGGGGCTGCCCAGTACGACGCGTTTGCAGCTATCACGGGTGAGGCTTGCGTCGAGAATGAGACTCGTTTGTCGCCAAAGTGGAAGACGTCGTTGCGTGGGGCCTCTTTGCCCTGCAGATATTTTAACTTGTGTCCGTATTTCGCGCCGAGTCGCTGCGCTTTGTCCGATAACTCAACAACATCCGCGATAGTCATTGACCCTGCGTCAGTTGATGGCACGTCAGGCGTCGGCGTAACTTCGGCTGGGGCGGGGGTCACTTCAGGGTTTTCTGCTGATGCTGGAGCTGTGTTCGACGGGGCTGGAGGAGGTGTCGGCGTAGTAGCAGCATTAGTTGTAGCAGCAGCCGTCGCGGGTGAGAACGAAGAGTTCCATTGCGCAGGGGGTGAAGGTGTACTCAGAGCTTTCGGCTCCGGCTCATTCCACTTCCTGGTGCTTGATCCCCAGCCTGTCTTGACATCAGACGCAGTTTTTGACGGTACACTTGACGACGCTGTTGTCGTCAGTGCTTGGCCCCAGCCAGAAGTCTGCCATCCATTAGCCGCAGGGGTGCCGTTAGCTGCTGCACCCCACCCCGACGCTGCAGGTGTGCTCGCGGCGGGTCTACCAAACACACTTCCAGTCATATCCTCTGCACTTTTGACTGTTGGTTTGACAACCTGCACCTTGGGCTCCGCGTTGCGTCCCTGGGCCCACTCCTCAGCAGCAATCGCGGCTTCAGTCGCCAACGTGTCCGGATACAAGTCGCTCTGGAACGTATGCGTCGCCTCCTTGCGAGGCACCAGGTAGCTCACCACTTCACAGCTGCCCCCGACACTGCTTCCACTCGCGCTGAGGTTCAGCACGCGAGCCACTTCACACACGTTGGTATCGCAAACAGCCTTCGGCAACAACGTCGCCGCCAGCGTCATACTCCCCAGTGCACTGTGATCAAGCGCATGCACATACGGCGCACGCGTCAAGTCCACCTCAAACAGCCTAGCGCTGCGGTCTCCCTTGCCCAGCACGTACAACAGATCCAAGTCGGCGTCATACAACGGGAACAATTGGCCCACACCTCCGGCATCGAGCCGCTCACGATGCAGACACTTGCCCAATTGCCTCGGGTCCCATATTTTGAGTTCGCGCTCCTGCATCCGGTCGCTGCCACACGTGAAAAAGTGCTGGGTCCGGCCGCACCAAACCACACTTAAGTGCCGTTTCCCCGTGTGCGCCGCTTCAATCGCGGGGGCCGAAGCTTGGTCCACTCTCGGGTCGAGGATCCTCACGGCCTGGTCCTGGGTGGCCAACACCATGGCGCTGCCGTCCCAATTCCACGCCGCACTACTCAGCGTCGCATTATCTCCCACTCCAACTTCCCAACTCAACTTTTCAGCTTGCAGGTCATAAACTCTGAGAGACCCGGGGCGTGAGTACGTGGCAACAATGGAGTTCGCGGACGGGTGTGGCAAAATTCCAGCCACGATTCCACTAGTTGCATCTTGTTGCAAAGTTGCCACGGGGGTCACCAAATCCTCCGTTATGGGATCAAAAACGGGCAACTTCCACACCTTAACCGTGGCATTGGTGTCCCCCGCCGACAGCAGCAGCTCCTCGTGGAACGGCGAGAAGCTCAGCGCCGTGACGCGCCCCGTCGGGTGCGCGCGCACCAGCGGCGGCGTGGTAGCTGCCTCCTTGCCCGTCTGCGTCAAGGGTTTGACCTGCACCGCACCGCCGCCATCCATCTGGTGCGCGAAGGCGAAGCTCGAGGAGTTGGCGGCCAGGACGTTGCCGTCCACGGGCGAGGAGGACACCTGCAGCTGGTCGAAGCTCTGCTCGCGCGGCAGGAGCTTGCACTCCACATTGCGGAACTTGCTGCAGCAAAAAATCCGTAAACACGTATATTGTTAGAGATAAATATGGATAGAAAGTCGCCATGGACGTAGGATAGAGCGCACCTCGTGCGGAACGCGAACCGCGGCGCCATAGTCGAAGAGAGCAGGGAGGGGGGAGGCAAATGACATGAAAAACGGGATCAGCTTCAAGTGGCGTAATGTTGGCCACACTAAACATGTGTTTATGGACAGCACACCGTATTTAAATCGCCGCCTCCGCAGCCGTACGTCAGTCTCAACCCGGTGGTACAGCTCGACCATGCTGCGTCGCGTGTGGCAGCGCGCGTCGGCCTTGCAGCCTCGCGCGCGCCTGTCGAGCTCCTTCTCCGTGGCCGCCGATGTGCGGCCGCCCCCGCGCGAGTTCATTCCACGCTCCAGCAGCCAGCGCAGCAATTCTACGCCTCGCGACGCGAATCGAACGCCAAAATTACGCTATAAGGATAAATACGTGAATACGTTGCTGTCCCGTAAGACGACGCCCGACAGCTTCGTGTTCGCGTGTCGCGCGCTGCGCTGCAAGGACGAGATCGCGCTGCTGGCGGCTACGGACCCGCGCGCGTGGAACGAGGCGCTGCAGCGGCGGCTCGAAGCGCGGGACGAGCGCGGCGCCGCGGAGCTGCTGGGGCTCGTGGCCAGCTTCGCCCCAGAGAACGCTAGCGAGCCCGTATGGATCGACCTCTTATTTACGGTGTTGCAACAGCGGTCGTCCCGTGCGTTCCGTACGGCAGAGATCCACGAGGTTCTGGGCCAACTCAAGAAAAGATACGGCCCGCAGTTCGTGGCCCGGGTGCTGGTTGAAGTTGTCAACGGCTGCGCCAACAACAAGATGCTAGCCGCGGCCCAAGAGCTGCTACTGTACCAGCAGAAACTATGGTCCGAGATTCGGAAGTCTTCGGATTGCGGGGTGAGTCCCCACGAGCCATTGATGCCTCCTCCAGTGGTGGGGCATTTAATGGGCCAAATGATGGAGAACAAGCAGTTTAAGGAGGTGTTGCACCTGGGAAATACGTATATCACCAATCCGGAGTTTGACGCGGTTAGAGATTTCCAGCAACAAGGGTTCCTGGAGCTGTTCGAGGCGAGTGGCAAGACGGAGCAAAGCGCGAGGAAATTTTTACGCAGCTATTTGGACTTCGTGGATCGGAGCGTGACTCCATGCGGTGGGGATTTAGAGAAAATCAACGCGTTGGTGCTGGAACGAGGCTTCGGAGCTGCCATCCAGTGTTGCGTAACCACGCAGGAGTTTTCCCTGGCATTGCACTGCTATTCGACGATGGAGAACACGCGCGAGAGGATTGTGGGCAAGCAAGAGTTAAGCGACGATGAGTTGGCGAGTGAAGAGAGGCTGCGTGTCGTGGATGAGGTGCTCCCGGCCGATGAGAACATGTACGTGAACGTGATGAAGGCGTGCATGGCTCTCAAGGACTTCTCGACGCTGAAGGAGGCGTTCCGAGCGATGGTTGCGCGTGGTGTGGCCCGCAGTGCTGGCTTCGGATCCGCAATCCGCTATTGCCATGAAAACTTGGACCCGAACTTCTTGGAAGAAGTGCTGGAGGAGGTGTTTACGACGGAGGAAGAACTCGCAGGCGCCTGGATGCTGGAAGTGGAGAACTACAACGATGCGCTGGGCTGCTATGCGGCCACGAAGAAGTTTGAGCAGGCCAAGGAGCTCTTCTCGCAGATGTTGAACAATCCATTCATCCGGCCTGATCACATCACGATGCTGGAGATGGTGGAGAACCACCGGGACGCCTCAATTGAGGAGATTTATAACCTGATGGACGCATTTCTCCAGTGGCAACTGGCGCCGAACCTCCAGGTGTTCACGTCATTACTGTCTATCTGCATGCGCCGGCGTGAGCTAGGAGACGCTGCAGCACTCATCAATGCAATGGAACAACATGGCGTCGTGCTCGACGTCAAGGCGTATACGTCGATCGCGTTCATCCATGCGTCGCACGGCGACCTGAAGGCTGTGGTGGGCATCCTGCGCGACATGGCTAACCAGGGCATTGCTACCGACACGGTATTCTTCGACTATGTCATGAATGCGCTGTACGGATCGTGCGGAATCGACATGTGCTTCTCGCTGTTCCGTGAGCTGAGCCAAGAGAACTTGCCCATTCCGGAGGGGCTGTACGTGGCGCTGGTGGAGTTAGGCACCCAGATCGGACTGATTGAGCGCACGCTGCACATTGCGTACAACATGGAGTGCGAAGGATTCCAGCTCATGTCGGACCAGCTTCACGAGCTGATGATGCGGTGTCACTCCGACGCCGAGATCTCGGAGTTCCTACGGACCTTCTCTCTGCTGCATCAGGGCACACAACCCGACACGCCGCGCTTTGAGGTGGAACTGTACGAAGACCTGATCTCAATGCTGACGCAGAACAGCCGCAAGAACGATGTCGCCAAAGTGATGGAGCTGGCCAAGGCTGCCGGGCATAGCGACCTGATTGTCTAGAGATATTTACCTATAGAAATGTGGCTTGACTCTTATATTCGAGTATTTGGTACCTCCCTCTAACGGTGGTAGTTTGTGTTGTAGCTCCTGTCTGCTGCTGCTGGTGTTGTTAGTATCCGACGCCCACGTACGCTTCGAGTTGCTCGAGCACGGACTGGTAGACCTTCTGGTTGGCGTTGACGGCCCAGGTGAAGTCCATGTGGCTGAAGTCGCTGATGGTCTCGTCGTAGATGACTGTGGATAGCGGCATGGCGTTCCGGAGCTGGTCGACGTCGGCGGAGTCGGCCAGGATGTCGTTTTCGCCCCGGAAGAACCCCGTGCGCGGGTACTTGATGTTAGCGACCGGGAAGGCCGGTGGGTCGAAGGAGCCGTACTTGGCCTTGTTCTTGCAGATGCGCTTGGAGCAAAGATTGATGCCAAGCAAACGGAGACAGCTGCAGCCGTAATTGTACATGGAGAAAGTATCCTTGCGGATGCTCTGCGCGTAGTGCGCCATGTTCTTGACGGAGGTTCCGGCCGGCATCTCCGAGAGCTAAACGGCCACTCGCGACGAGTTCCAGTTCTCCGAGTCGCCCGACACCAGCGCCAGCGCAGTCTCACACAGCTGAGGGTCTAGCGTGCAGGCAGACGCGCCGATGATCTCCTGCAGCACCTCGTTCTGCGAGAGGAACTCGACCTGGCCCAAGACCTCGAAGATCTTGTCCAAGTAGATTTTGGCTATGAACTGCAGCGCCTTGGCCTTGGTGTTGCCCAACCAGGCCACGGGGGCCAAGGCTGCGAAGTACGACACGGACTGGGCCAGCGTCTGGTCCTCGGAGAAGGCGACGAAAGCTTGGGTCGTGCCTTCCGAGTGGCCTACAAGTGCGACGGTGTCTTGGCCCGAGACGGCCCGTACGTGGTTGAGCATGGCCGGGAGGTCGAACCTGCCCATGTCCTCCCAGCTGAAGTCCCAGAACTCCTCGTCCCCGGTCGTGTACTTGACGTGGTGGTCCGAGTACGTGTTGCCGCGGTTGTTGCCGAGCCACACGTCGTAGCCGGCGTCCGCAAGCACGAAGACCAGACTTTGGTTGCGGAAGTTGCAGACCCATGAGAAGCTGCTGTCCAGCAGGCCGTGCTGCACCAGGATGGCTGTCTTGTTGTCGGCCGCGGCCTCGCCCGATTGAGTCTCCGCGTACGACTTGGGCAGGCGGTGCAGCGTGAGGATATACCCGTCGGCCGTGGTCACGTTGTGCGTCTCCACCGCGTAGCCGCGCGCCTGAATGAGCTCGACGATGGACTTGCCGACGTCCGGGTCCAGTTTGACTTACTCGACTTCGGTGGACTGGTCGAGTGGGTGGACGACGGGTATCGTTGCTGCGAGCAGTGCTACTAGCAGGAGGAGTGCAGTGTTCGCTACCATGACGCAGAGCTTCTCACTGCGTACCCGAGTGCTTGCTGGGCGGGGAATGTACAGATAACGATGGAAAAATACGCTCCACCAAAAAATACGCCATGCGACAAGTCCCGACTTCTGATCCGATACAAAACAATGTTTGTATTTTAGCCAATCAGACGAACACGAGCTCGTATGTCTTACCAACCATTACTACAAAAAATTACTGGCACGGAGAGCACCGCGAAGCATGGCATGGAAAGTGTTCGCTGTGGTGGACCCGTTGCCAGCGAACACCACGTCCACTTGCCAGCCCCTCGACGTAAACGTGATGGGCCCGCTGAAGTCGGCCCTGCGCAGTACATGGGCTTACCGCAAAAGCCCCAAAACGGCAAAAGAAAAGCGCCTTGATATTATCGAGCGCACTATCATAGCCTGGAACAGCCTTGATGAGGACATTGTAGTTGAGAGTTTTGAAAAGGCGCTTCCTCAGCACTTTGAAGCTCTGGAATTCTTGTAGCCACAATACACTCCACCTTTTCTTTGTCACGACCGTAACTTCTTTGTCGTCTTTTTCTACATTATTGACCTTTCACCATCAACCCGGCACGCGTTGATCCTGGGATTGGAAGTGCACAGTGCCCCTGATTTGGTATACTTAAACCAAGTCAAAGTGTTCATCACCATGTCCTCTGCGGCTTCGGCCAAGGACTCGGACGACCGACGTCCCTCTGGGCAGGTCCCGGCGGCGGACGACGATCCCGGCACCTCACCCGTGGACACGGAGGTGAGACCACCGGACGAGATCGTCCCCGAGACTCAGCCGGAGGAGGAAGACGACTTTCCGGCGGAAAGGAACGAGTTCAGCAAGTTGATGACGAACGACAGAACTCGCCAGCATGAAGGGTTGGACCCGGCCTTAAACGAAGGGAGGGCGAGTGAGGTGGCATCTGACGGGCCTCCACCGCTTCAAACCGAGGGGGCGCCCCCCGAGACGACCGAGACCTCCGGCCGCCGCGAGCAAGTCGCCGAGATGAGCAGTCACCAGCAGGCTGAAACGAGCAAGAAGGCCGAGATGGAGGAAGAGAGCAAGCAGCCGGCGACAGCGGAGCAGATGGCTGCAGCGCTTCAGCACTCGCTGCAAACCGCCACCTATCGCAAACCCCGACCCCAGGCATGGATGGACTTAGTGCAGCAGCTCTTTGAAACTGTTTTTCCTAAGAGCCCAAGCAAGAAGAAGTACCTGTCTGCAGCAGCTCAACGGCTCCCGCGCCTCACCAAACCGGAGATGGAGCGGCTGGTCGACGTTTTCGAAGACATCGTGGTATCCCAGCATCAAGACTGGACTTCATGGTCTCGACTTGTGGTGGCGTCATGTCACACGGTCTACATCTCCAGGCAGTCGTTGGAATATGTTCTTAGCAAGGAGTTGGGAAAGGTCTCGATGCAAACTGCAGAGCTCCAAGCTCCAGTGCTCACCCAATGGGCTCAAAAGGTGGCGGGGCAACAGGAAGGAGGAGGTTAAGTTGGAGTTACAACGAAATACTTCCTGTTCAACCAAAGTGTGTATTCCGCCGAGGTAACCACTCAGCTCCGGCAGGTATGCGAGAAAACGTACGGTAAGCACTCCAAGGGGGCATTCAGGGAAGGAACGGAAGACGAGTGGAGAATTGTTCAAGGATTAGTTGAGGGCACGGTTATCTGCCGTCGATTGCCGCAGTTCTTCAACCGCATCATGCGAACAGAAGACAAGTTGAGAATTATCGGTACAGTGTGAGCGCAGGTGGAGGGGCTTCTGATTATAGGCCTTGATGGTGAACTGCCAGTCAAGGAAGCATTTCAGAGCACCAAAGTCTACAGAAGAGTATTTCGATCGCGGCGATGAACCATAGCACTAACAACCAACAACTCTGGGGACTCCTGGCAGCCGTCAAGACGATCAGCTACAACGCAGCGAAGCACGAGATTCATTTCTACTTCTTTACCAGAGAGGCAGCCTGTAGGTTTGACGGGCTGAAGGTACCTTTTCATCGAACGACGCACGGACTAGTCAATGCGCATCCTGTGGGAAGACGAATACCTGGGGCAAATGTTTGGGACCTGCAATACGAAGAAGATGGTGCCCTGATCTCGACGGCGTCAGAGTACGTCGTCATTCTACGTTACGTGACGCGGAACATGGATCTCCTTGAGTTTCTGACACCATCAGCCGAGTTCAGCGGTCCATCAGCGCATTCTTGCCCACTGAGCTCGGCGGACGGTCATCCCGCCGAGTAGAACTTGGCTCCTGGTACGTTGTTCCACTGCGGCCTTGGAGTGTGACACAAAACTTGATGTTCCCTACACCACAACTGCCCCGGCCATGCTACGAGCCGGAGTGGTGAGTGGCCTGGCCAACCGGATGTGTCGCACGCTTGATTTCGTCCAATCAGATCTGTCGCAAACACTCTGACTTCACATTTCCCGAATTCGAGTGGCGAGAAACGCCCGCAACGCCAGCTCGACGCCCTCGTTCCGTGAAGGTGAGACTCGCTTGAGCCTTGATCTTTGGTATAGGCCTTGTCTGATGCGTGGACTCCGCGCCTCATGGGTGTGTACACATGTAGATGCCCCTATCGCTCGCACCAAACCCCGTCGTCGGATCACTTCAGCAGCGAATCGGCCTGGATGGTCGTCTCGGCGTGGCAGCTGGTAGCAGGAACTGAACCATACGAAGTCAGATGGTGCCCCTGTAGTACTAGCGTTGATGTTGGGCCTGCCGCAGCAAAGCGAGTAGGTGATGCAGGTGTCGGGGAAGTGCTCGATTGGCTGCAATACCGACGAAGCCGAGCATCGCTGTCTCCGTCAAAATGAGCGGCCATGGATGCTGCCAGCGACTCGGCTGACCAGGTAAGCACGTTCCTCTCGTTTCGGTGCGTCGAGTGAAGCCTGATAGTTGTCTTGGCATGATACAAGGCACCGGGAACTCGGCAGGTCAAGAAATGCTTCCCCGATCGGGCCGCGCTGAGCTCGAAATCCAACCCAACTGAGCTTATTGGCGAGAAGTGCAGCAGCAAGTTGAACTCAGCTTTGTCCGAACTCGGTTGTCCTGACGACTAGCTGCTATCCGCTGACCTTGAACTCGGCTGGACTTGAACACAGCCTCCGCTTCATCGACTCAACTAGCCTGGTAAGTGTTTGCCCCACTCACTTTGGTGCGTTGAGTTAGCCCTCACCGTTGCTGTGTCATTGTATAAACGAACAAGGCGATCCCGATGCGTTTGATGCTCCAGTCGAGTTGTCCTGAACGGGCCGAGCTGGGCTCATTGGTCAACGGACCTTGACTTCGGCATGTCTCCAGCTCTGTTAGACCAGCTTACCCCGACTGGGCTCAGCTTGGTTGGGAAGGTGGTGGGCAAGCTCGACTGGAACAGCACTTCATTCGGTCACATCCAACTCGGCTCGCCGCGAGCTCGGCTGCGTTCAAACTCAGTTTGAATTCGGTATCTTCGGTTCAGCTGTGAAGCGTGTTCAGACTCAGCTCGGCTACACCTCGAACTCGGCATGAGCGCTCTCCAATCGAAACATGGTGCGTTTACCAGCACTCAACTCGGCGAACTTCCGAACGTGATCTAACTGAAACTCGGCGTACCGCAACTCAGCCCAGTGTTTCCTTCCGTTGAAGTGAGTACACTTCAGATTGGCGACATCCAACACACGGCACTACTGGAACTCGGTATCCCATTCCAGCTTGATCGTACTCCAATGTTCTCGGCTTCGCAGCAACCCAGTGCGAACGGGACCTCATTCGGACGCAGCGTGATCTCGGTCTCGCTTCAACTCGGCTCTGCTTAAACGCATCTCGGCTTCAGCTTGACTGTGGTTCAACTCAATTGGTGCTGACCTCGGCTGCATTTGTACCTGATCCCGATCAGCTCGGATTCAAGACAAACCTCTGCTGCAATTCGCCTAGGCGCCACTTGATCCCTATGTTTTGTGGCTCTGCCACGAATCAACCCGGGTCTAGCTTGACTCATGTCCACCTGGCATTGATTCCGCTTCAGCTTAGCCCAGTTGAGCAAGGTGATAGGCAAGCTCGGCTGAGCGAACGACACAGCTGGCTGCCTGACCAGCTCAGTCCCTTAGCGGAAGTATCAGCGCTTTGAAGGGGTGTTTCGACTCGGCTATGCTCGACCCCTGACCAAGCTCTGCTCATGTTGGCTCAATGTGAATACGACCGCGGCCGCGTGGAATCCATTCCTCTTCAGTCCAGCTTTGGATGCTTGGTACACTTTTGCGACGCCGTGACTCGGCGATTTCACCGACTCGGCTTCAGGCTGACCGCAGTTAAACTCGGTGGTAGCCCTACGTCGGATCGATTGAAGTCGGAGTCCATCTTCAAAGCAGGTGGCTGCTTCTGCTCAGCTACGGATGAACTCGGCCCCCCCCCCGTTCGAGATCGCTGGTACGTCGACATTCTCGGCGACGCGCCTGCCCAGCGTGCCTCCGCTGAGCTTTGCTCAAGTCCAGCTTTGCTGCAACTTCGGTTTGTTCACCGCCGCCGCGCATCGACCGCTCGGCTAGTCGCCTCTCGGTAAACATGGAGTGATTACGGCCTCACTGGAACATCGTGCGAACTCGACTTCGCTTCGGCTTTCCTGTTTGAGCGTGGCTCCATATCAGCACGGCTTCGCGTCAGCACACCTGCGCTCCAACTCAGCTTTAGTGCACAACGCGAAGATCGTTCACCGACTTGGTCGGAGGTCCCGGCGGTCGTACCCAAGGGTGTACCGCCGCATATCACACACAGCGCCCCAGTGGGTAGCGTGTTCACGGACCCAGTGACGAGTCAGCACAGCTTTGGTATCGACGGCTGACTCGCTCAATCTGTGCAGACGCACATCACCTCCCTCAGCTTCTTCACAGGGTCGTCGTCAGACCAGCTGGGCTTAATCGCTCAGCTCGGCAACTCGGCTGAGACTTCGATCCGAGATGCGGATTCCACCAGCCTGGTGGCGGTGGCGGCCGCACCGATCCCAACGCTAACCCGGCGAATGGGCTTCTTGCTTTCCAGCTCCATCTTCGCTCACTCCATTTCGATATCATGTAATTCATATAATCCATACAGTTGACGCAGTATCATTCTTCGACTCGACCCAGCCTGCTGTCTTCACTGAGTCGGCGGATCATCTCTTTGGTGCAATAGCCTTAGACCGCATCTGCAACTGCACCATTTGCAGACGGGTTTCACATTTCTTCGATTGCCCCTAGTCGAGTGGAAAGGTTTCCCACGAGACGTTCGGCACCGAATCCCAACTCGGGCATTTCGCGCTTGATGCCCTCGTCGCTCGTTGTATCAGAGGCGGACGGTCCCCTGAAGCGACGTCTTGACTGTCGTCGTCCGCATCATCACCGAGCTCGGCTGCGAGGTATTGTTGGGCTCGTCGAGGTTTCTCCATGCGCCCAACATGCAGCGAGAACTCAGCTGCCCCGCTGAGCAACTCGGCTTTCTTCCATTCTTCATCATAATCTCCAATATTTCCATCTCTTCCTCGGTCTTAGGTGCGGTCGTCGCCAAACCGAACGGTTGGGACCGCTTCCATCGTCATGTCGGCGATCCTTCCGCAAGCTGAGTTCGGCTTCGTGTGAAGCGAACCCCCAGCCGTCGCTGGACTGGCCCAGCTCGGCAACGATCTCCCCTTGACCATCTTGCTCAGTACTCGAAACTTGGTTAACTTGGTACCAACGAAAACAAACCACCCTGCTCCCGGGTCGCGGCACCAGTTGTGGTGTAGTAGCACGCACAACATCGTCAGATGTGGCACCCTGGCTACAAACACAACAACAGCCGAGCTAGTCGGCCCTTGTTGGCCTGCGCTGAGATGTCCCCCAGCGGTTCGGCCCTTCCGGGACAGTGATGTCTCGTCCTCGCCGAGACCAAGTACCCCAAGCCAGTCAATCACGGAAGCCAGCTGAGTTACCTGACTCCGGAATTAGAAATCCCGTGCCCTCCGCCAAAGGACGGACGACGGCCCACGCGGGCTTTTACGGGTCGCCAAGAGCAAAGGCTTCTCGACTCAGCAATCAGTGCCCGGGACGTACGGGAACACCGGCTCGCAGCGGTGGCGAGCCTTTTCCTTCGTGCTTGGCGAGACACGCGCCCAACCCGGGCCGACCTTAATCTCTTGGCGCTACCAGTCAACACCCTACAAGCTATGCCTCTCGGGTGCTGACAGCAGACATAATCCCGTGCAGGGACTTACTGGAAGCGCGTGCACGTGTTGTGGACCTAGAAATTTCTGCTCTGTTGTTTGTTATCTCTGTCGGGCGCCCTGAAGGGGCGCCTCCACTATTCCTAAGCTCCTATACAAATACGAAATGAAAGTGGGCGGTTTTGGATCTCGGCCGACTTTTCACCGAGCTCGGCGACGCTTAAGCTCGGCTAAGCCGGATAACCTGTCCGGATAACCCCTTGAACTCGGCTGAGCCGGATACGGCGTGTCCGTATAACCTGGCGAACTCGGCTGAGCCGGATAAGGTGTCGGAAACCCAGTGAAGTCGGCGGAGCGACCCGCGAACTCGGCGGGGCGACTCGTAAACTCGGCAGAGCGACCAGTGAACTCGACTGCGCAACTCCCGGACTCAATTGAGCCTGGTTACCGTATCGGACGGTACATGGTACCGTTTAGCCTGAGCTCGGCGGCTTGAACCCCCCATGATCTCTGCTGAGCGTGTCCAGTGCCTTCCTGAACTCGGCTGGGTCTTCATTACTGGGTCTGCCACGTGTCACCAGGTCGGGGCCGGTGTTCCTTGAGTTTCTGACACCATCAGCCGAGTTCAGCGGTCCATCAGCGCATTCTTGCCCACTGAGCTCGGCGGACGGTCATCCCGCCGAGTAGAACTTGGCTACTGGTACGTTGTTCCACTGCGGCCTTGGAGTGTGACACAAAACTTGATGTTCCCTACACCACACAAACTTCCCAGTCCAGCAAGGACCTGTGCCGGCTAAGAGTGCTGACAAGACCCCGAATCCTGACAAGAAGAAAGGGCCCGTGAGTGGCGCGCACCAAAACGCTAAAGCTGGGTCGCGATTCAATCCGCTGACTGTGGAGTCGACTGACGAGAAGGCGTCCCAACAAGACGAGAAGAAGCCAGAACAACCGAACAAGCCGAAACCCACGGCCAAAGTAATCCGTAAAGCCCACGCCGAACTACTGGTAGTGGAAGATGCTGCCTTAGCAGAGCTAGCCGCTGCTCTTGCTCCGGTTCCTATGACGCAAGAGCGAGACCACGTCCCGCCAGCAACAAGTGCGAAAACCCACGGCGAGGAAGCACTAGAGAAGTCTCTGTCGCGAGCTCTTGTTTCTATGGGCCTCCGACCAGTATCCACTCCGAGATCCGGAAACTGCCAGGTCTACTTGGTGGCCCAAGCGTTAGCGAGCTGCAGCTTCTCCGACACCCCGGATCGCCTTGTTCAAGCGGTCACGGCTTTGAAAATAGGATGCGCGGCGAGGGCCTTCATCGATTTCCCGCTGAAATACCCACACGCCCAGCGGAAGCAGACGCTAATACAGCTCGGACGTGGCTACGAGAAGATGACACAACCAGTCTCCGAGGAAGAGTACCGACGCTACCTCATAGAGTATGGATCCAGCTCGTCGGACCCCGCTGTCTTCCTGCCCGAGAAGCTTTGGGGCAGCAATGACACTCTCGCTACCTATGGAACCATGCTGCAACGAGACATCTTCGTCATCAGCTTTGTGCCTGGCAAAACGATCTGGAGTGCACTTCATTATGAACCGGAAACACGCCATGCCAACAAAAAGGATTTCTCGACTTGCGGAGAGTTTCCACTCTCTGCTGAAGGCTGTGTGAAGAAAGTCATTGAGCTCAAACGGAAAGCGAGGTCAAACGACGACAATATGCCGCTTGTTCTTCACTACCATAATCAACACTATAGTGTTTATGTTCACAGTACTCCGGCTCAAGATATCGCAGCTGAAGAGGGAGCCAGCGAGGAGGACGTGGAGATGGCAGGAAGTGACGATGGGGACCTGGAAACTAGGCGGCCAAGTGCGACGGAGACGACGGACCCAGCCACGGAAGCACAAGCGGCTGAAAAGGGTGATCTCCCTCAGGAGACTGAAGCAGGGAGAGGGTGGTATGAGGAGATGAAGACGGAAGAGGACGCAGAGCCGAACGCTGAGTCACAGTACGGGTCCCAGTCACCGTGGGACCCAGAAGCTTGGAGCGGCAACCTAGAGGAGGTAGAAGAAAGGCTGAGCGGCCCGACAATTTATCATACGCTCAAGCAAGAGATTGACCAGATTCTCCGAGTTGGCGGCGAGCGCACCCAAGAGTTACTACATTTTCTCGTTGCCATGGTGTCGCAGCTGTCGCTTCACCAGCAAAAACGGCTTCTAGCAGCGGACTTAAGCGATCCCGAGCAGTGCAAGAAATACATGGTCGAATTTCAAATCCCAGAGCCAGTGGTTCGGCAGTGGCGCCAACGTCTCGAGGAGGAGAAGAGCGGAGACACTCAGCCAGTGACGGAGCTCCGACGATTTATCTACTTCCCGAGTGGCTGCACCCCGGCGAATACTCAGGCGTAATTCCTCCCCAGCAGCCCCTGGTAAGCGGGCGCACGTAACTACTCCGGTTGAGCGTCGTGTGGAAGATGGAATAGTGGTGAATGTTAACAACCGGGCTGTGCTGCTGAAAAAGCGAAATAGTGACGATCCAACCAAGAATCTGCTCACCATGTTCGAAGAAGTGGACAGTCCCAGCCGATTGCCACAGCCGAGTACTCCGGAAGGTATGCCAAGTTGGCCAAATTTTTGGAGTGCTTACGCGGGCGAATGGGCACCGCATTCTGACGTACCATTTCCAGCGGTGGACGCCTCGGTTGAGACCTGGTTGGCGGCAGCCAAGCAAGAACGAGACTATATTCTTCACCTGCTCCGCACCTTCGGTCACAGCCACGAAATAGTGCAGCTTCTAGCCCCGCAAGTGCTGGACGAGCTAACTTCACCTTGGCGAGACGAATGCTGGCAGACGGCGATTGAAGCAGGGCAGCAGGATGAGAAAACAGATCCGACCCGAGTTCGCCGTCTCGCGCAGTGGGGGCTTCGAACAGAGCGCGCGGTTGATAACAAGCGGAGGAAGGCAATTATGACCAGTACCGACGAATGGGACGTAGAAATAGCAGAGAACTATGGGCGGGACGTAGTCATGTGGCTATGTGCTCCATCGCGGACATCTCGCTTAAGCAACTACATATTGTTTGCGCACATTTACGCAGAGAAGGTGGCCGCAATGATTGGCGAGGACAGCCACCCTGATGACTCAGCCCAGACCAAGCTTCAACGACACTTGACCGCTCTTCGCAAGCTCCCGACCTTCAAAGCTGCATTCCTGACAAAGCGACCGATATTAAGATCATCACTCAGAACGTCCAAGGATTTAGTTCTACCAACCGATGGGAGTGGCTGTCAGCGTGGCGAACCATTCCTCGAGCTCAACGGCCCGCGCTGATTCTTCTTCAGGAGACGCATGTCAGCTCTAAGAAAGAGCAAGCTGAGCTCGAGGAGAGATGGAATCGGATGTGGAGTCTTCCGCCTGGACAGCCTTCGCTGTCATATTGGAGTGTAGCACCGCAGAAAACGGCAGGGGTGGGCATCTTAGTTTTTCCAGAGTTCCAATCCGTGATTCAACCTTGGAGCCAGCAGCTTTGGAACGAGCGGGCAATTGGAGTAACTTTCCAAGATATGCACATTCTGAATGTGTATGCGCCGGCGTCGAACCAAGGGACTAGAGAATCTTTCTTCACGGGCCTACAACGATGGAGGCCCCGTCATACCGCCAACCTCATCTTGGCGGGTGATTTTAACTGCGTGGAGTCTCCGGTACTCGATCGACGAGGCGGGACAAGAATCGACAAAACGGAAAGCGCAACTCTTTCCCGGATCGTCCAACAATCGAGACTAGTTGATGCTCGCGTCCAACTTGGGTCGGCCCTGGAAGAGTTGGAGCTAGCACCTCACGAGCATTGTACGTTTTGGCGTGGCGAAGTGGCTAGTCGAATTGACAGATTCTACATCCCGTAGAGCAAAACCCCGTGGTTACAGTGGCTACACGGTCAACTTCCACCAGTGCCCTCAGACCATAACGAGGTCACGCTTCATCTGCGCAATTCAGCATCGCATCACGACAAACCCGTCGAGCGACGGGTCAATTACCCCATTCATGGGGCAGACTCGGAACGTCAAATTGAAGAACTGCTACGGGAGCTCAATGGGAAGGCGCCGCAGCGGGGTCCTGGTTATCTCAGCTGGGACGCCTGGATCAAGCAATGTCGAAATGCCATAAAGCACATCGCTCGGCGAGAGAAAAAGCGCAGAAGGCGCAAGTCGAATAAGCTGCAGAGGCAGTTGCGTGAGAACGCCACCAGCCGCACGCAACTCCTGACCGCATTGGTCCAAGACGTGCGGGACCGCAGTGCTGCTCGCTTTGGAAGACATCTCGAACGAACTCAGGCGGACATTCGCTGGCTGTTTAAGCGAACGGCAGTCTGGGAACGCGATCAAACTGTTTCGGCTATCCAAGCTCCGTCAGGGGAAACCTTTGACGAATCTCACGCTATACCAGAACGATGTTCACGTGTGTGGGCAACAATAATGGGCCAACGTCATAGCTGTCTAACCCCGCAACAAATGGAAGTAGCTCTGAAGGCGTTTGCTACCGTTCCCCTCGAGAGACGAGTGCAAGTAGAGGACAATAAGCGGCTTCTGGCTCCTATCACCGAAGACGACCTGCCCGCCGCAGTGGCGGATCTCCAACGGAGCAAAGCTGGAGGTGAAGATGGGCTCAACAACGATTTCTACCTAGATCTGGCGGCATCGATGATCCCTCGGCTTGTGACTGTCTGTAACGATCTCCTACAAGGAAGCCCCCCACCAGACTCCTTCCTGAAAGCCGTGGTAGTGCCTCTCCGGAAGAAGGGAGACTCGCCGAACGCCTTAGATTATCGTCCAATCTCACTCCTTCAAACAAGCTACAAACTGTTCGCAAAAGTATTGGCAACGCGGCTTCAAAGATTTCTCGGCCGTCTACTCAACAAGTTTTCGTTCACGGCCGGCAAATGGACCGGTCCGTGGTGATGATGCTAGCTCAACTGGAGAATGCAATTTATGACGCCTTTATCAATGCGTCGGACAGTGCAGGGATCCTACTTCTTGATTTCGCCAAAGCCTGTGATACTGTGGACCGCGTCTTTCTCCTGGAAGTGTTACGTCAATTTGGTTTTGCGCCGGAATTCGTTGATCTCATGGCTCGACTGCATGAAGGAACCACAGCACAATTTTTCGTGAACGGCCAGTATTCTTCGCCGCTAGAGGTTAAATCGGGCATCAGGCAAGGATGTCCGCTAGCTCCTCTACTTTTCATCTTAGCGGCGGAATTTTTAGCGCTGGCGCTTCAACAGGATGAGCAACTGCGCGGTCTGAAGGTCTCGAAGAGCCCGCGTCATGGGGAGCACAAATTCTCAGCATTTGTAGATGACTCCACGGTGTTACCAAGGGTTATGAAAATCGTCGAACACTTTGGTCAAATCTCGGAGCTCAAGGTGCAACCAGCCAAGAGTAAGTTTATTTTCTTGAATAAAGCGATATTAGCGGAGAATTGGTGCGGAATTCCAGTACTACCTGTGGGAGACACAGTTCGCTATTTCGGGTACGACGTGGGTTTCAGCGATCTCAGCAAAGTCAATTGGGCCAAACGGATTCGCAGCATTCACCGAAGAATGGCAACCGCGGAGCAAGCAGCAACGACAGCGCGCGACAGGGTAGATCAACGCAATCGTGCTGCCTGCGGTGCTGTTTACTGCAAAAATGTTTCCTCCTACCAAGGAGGTTTTGACGAGCTTAGTCAACATGCAGAAGCAGTTCTTGTGGCGGCGGCAACTCAAAGATGATCCCAGTCGACACAAGTTAACACCGAGTCTGATCTTCACACCCAAGCAAGCCGGTGGGCTGGGTCTAATATCAGTGCCCGTGGCGATCCAAGCACAACGGGTGAAAATGTCAATGCTGTGGCTACTGAGTTGGCACGATGTCTACCGAGAGGCCTGGCTTGCATGGATGGGTTTTCACGGAGACGAACCAGCAGTGACACCGCGAAAGGACAGTAAAAGCCGTTGTCAATCGACGGGGGGCAGTCGCCGCCACCTCTTTCAGACAGAAGTCTGCGCCGCTCTAGCTCCTACAGAAGCTGAACAGCATGAACGCCAGGAATTATCGGCAGTGTATGTTCCACGACTGGCAGCTGCAGCCGGACAGCTTGCGAGGAGCGCGACCTACCAGCCTCGATCGCTTGAAATAATCACCGTCGAAGTGGATTTGGGAGGTCTACCGTCAAACCGACTGGAAATACTGGAGCTCACGGCGTTCTGGGGCACATTCGCATGGGCGGATAACCCGTGGATCCCAGATAGTAATAAGCCAGTGTTATCGCGAGCCAAATACGACAGAATCGCGGTAGCCTCGATCGCGAGCCTTGAAATCGTCAGGACTCACAGAACGACCTACACGGTACGAGTACCAACAGCACCGGGATGTCAGGCGGGACACCATCGCCAAACTGGAGCGATGGTTGATCGCTATTCTGCTCCACTCGTCCCGAATTGAAGTGGGAGAACAACTCGGTCGAGCCCCACAGCTTCAATTACGGAAACCACCGCGCCTCACGCAAAGTTACGTCTGGTCAGTGGAGGCTGATTCTATTGTGGTGGGAGTCTCCAATGCAGGAAAATCTACAATCACGCTGCAGCAACGGGCTCAATTGGAAAGTCGTATCGCAGTGCAATGCCAAAAAGGACGCGACGAAACTATCCAAGCACTTGGAGGGAGTAGTCTTTCATGCACACCCCAGGATTCACGGATTCCCTTGGCAAGTACCAGCAAGGACCCGAAATCGAAACATTATAAGGGATTTGAAGATGCAGCCTAAGAAACAGCTTCGGGTACACGCCAGTCCCGACCTCGATAAGCTGCTCAAGAGGTGGGAAGTCCGAGGTGAACGAGATGACTGGATACGAGGTCTCCAGAGTCAACTACCGCAACAGCTTTGGACGCATCGAACACGTTGACAAACTACCAGGTCTGGGTGGCCGATCGAATGGCCGCTCAGCAATTAAATTTGCATTACGAAGGCGAGCGTCCGACGGATGGCTGTCTTCTCGCCCAGGACGTCACGGCAGGCAAGGTCACGTTCACGCACATTACATGGGGCTGCGAGCGAGCCCAACAGTTTTGGAGTCGTTGTGGAGCATTGGCTCGGCCATGAAATATCCAGCAGTCGTCTCGAGGCGTATAAGAGTTACATCTCGTCACGGGTGGCTCCTCCTGTCAGTGACAGAATGAGGCGAGTGCTTTTGGAATGCTATGGTAAATGGAACAAAGACTATGAAGACGCTCTCGGACGGATCTGGTGGAGTCTGTGTAGTATGGGATACGCACTGCTGTGGCAAATTCGAAACCAAGTCGTCCACGAAGGAAAGAAATGGAGAATTGGAATACATGTGGGCCAGCTGTCTGAGGCAAAGATCAGCAGTGGCACGCAGTGAACGGAACAAGCCAGCAACCAGGACAAATGGGCTTCGGCTACAGCTCACTCTGGATTGCTATATAGCCATCACGATTGAGGCTGAACCTCCAGATTCACCTCCAGCCCTAGCGCCGTGGCTCAAGAGGAAGGAGTCAGCGCTGATCAAAAGACTTAGAAAGTTTCAGGAGGCTATTAACTAAGGTTCAATAGACTACCTTCTCTCTCTCTCTACATTATTGACCTTTCTCTGGGATTAAGACCTCACTTTTGACCAATCAGCTCAACTGGCGTGTTTTTTGGTAGCTACCTGTTTACTATGGAGGATAGTGGTCAGTGCTGGCGTATTTTTTCCGTGGTCATCTGTACTGGTGCGCGGAGCTGTGGAAATCGCAGACTGGAGCGGGTGCGCAGTCTCAACACTGTCAACAGTGTTGAGTCAACAGCATCGTTGTTGACACGGGTGCCCGCAGATGTTTGATCGGCGAGGCGGCCATGATCTGCAGCGCCACCACCGACTGACATTCAGTCGGCTGTTGCCGCTGTCCGCTGATACATTGTTGCTGAGAGAGGGGGCAGGTGGTTCCACTGGCGGTCACCAACGTGTGGAGTCAACGCGGAGGCCACCAGGGACTTGCACCGAAAGCCGCGACTACCCCGACTCGAAGTGGGACCCGCCCCACGCCAGCGTGAGTCGTTGCTGCGCTTGTAATGGTCCACGGCAGATCCGGCTACCGCATCATGGCATCGGTTGTCGGGGCGTCGCCATCTACTGTAGTCACGTGAGGCTCGGCAAGCACCGGATCGGCGAGCTTTTGCTGGGTTTTCGATCACCTGTCAGCAGGATGAAGCACTGCGAGGTGCGTGCAAGCCTCTAAATGTCTATCGAGGTGGAGGCGCTTGTCCCCCCATCGGACTCGAGGCATTTGCCTGATGGACGTCGAAGCTTGTCATCTTTCGTCGTGGTGACGCTGCGGTACACGCCGAGAGCCAAGACGCAGCTATTGACGACGAAGCAGACGCTGCCGAGGACGTAGGACGTGATGGCCGTGTTCATGTAGTGCGTGCCGTCGTCCGCGCGGTTGATGTACTCGGGCAGGTAGTACCAGCTACCGACGATGAAGAACACGGAGCCGGCGAGAGTACTGAGCGCCGCCACCGTCCCCCAACACAAGGCGTTCGTGATCCTGAAGCCTGAAACGCGCGGGTCCTCGTGGGTCGTGCAGATGAAGAGGATCTCGACAATCGCGCCGATGCAGAACAGGACACACCCGTTGATGAAGGCCCAGCACCCGAGCTCCGGGGATCTCGGATACCAGGAAGGGAGGAAGTAGAGCGCGCCCAGGACGAAGATGGATGCGGCCATGTAGTTGCACAACGCGGTGAACGCGCGGAGCACTTGGCGCAGTTGCGTGCCGTGGTTGTAGCGGATGCTCTGGATGAAGTCGAGGTTGGCGCCTGCGAAGAAGTAGAGACAGCCGACCACGAAGCCCCAACTGGCAAACAGGACGGCGTTGCCATTCCACTTGGCCGCGTACTCCGGGTAGAAGAAGATGGAGCCGAGCAGAAACAGCAGCGAGCCGATGCAATAGGCCGAGGCGCGCGACACCTCGAGCCACTTTTCCCATGTTTCGAGCTGGTGATTCCCTGGCAGCAGCACCTGAGGCTCGTGGTGGGGGGGAATCTTGACCGTGAAGTCCATCTTGCGGGGGTTACCGCTTCGCATGAGCTCTAGGGATGCTTGGTCACTCAACGAAGAATCCGCGAATGCCTGAACGCTTGCACAGAGGACATGACGTGCGAGTTCCGGACAAGATTAGCGCGAGTGAGCGGGTAAGACAGACACCGAGATCCAAGAAAAACTCCCAAGCTGCTCTGGAATTGCTGGCCAAGTGGGTGCCTTCTGCCAACACTCGCGGTGAATTTGCTCAGTTCGGGGCTACTGAAGAACTTTCACGAGTGCGAGCAGAGCATTTGTGATGTGAACAATTTCACACTTATCGGACCCCTTGGCTGAGATCTCAGGATACCGCGCATTGACGAAACTTGACATTGGCTCCGTGCAATGTTCGTCCATCGATTATTATTAGTGGATTCCGATGTTGTGGCATGGTGGAGGAAGATGGCGACAAATGTAGCCTCCACCTGAGTAGTGAGGATCAAAACGGACTCAAGAACTTCATGTTGCTGTTGGCGGTAATTCTCTGGGCTTTGGTATGGCGGCAGTCAAAAGACGGCAAAGGAAGGGGAAGTTCGAAGCAGCAGACACGTTATTGACGTGCTATGATAATCCTGTACGATATTCGTTGGTTATCTTGATGACTCGCCTAAGTTGCATGACATCTTAGAAAAATTGTTTCGTACTGCCTGCCTTGTAGGGTAATGAGTCAGCGTTGGCTTAACGAGATACACTTGCAGTATCATCGAAGTTGAAGCGACCGAAACAAAGATATCGACTGTAGAATCTGACGTGTGCAACCTAACATTTATGAACTTCCCGAGTCGAAGATTTTTGCACCGACGTGGGCATGATCACCTCGTTCAATGTTCGTCAGAAAGGTACATGTATCATGAAGAATACCTTTGCCAGCAGCAAACATCCGAGCTGTTGCACCAGCGGACACTGAATTGTTGTCCACCTCCAGCTGTCAGTCGTTGTCCGGCTTGCCACCAAATTCAAGATTTGCCTGCATGTTGAGACGAACCCCTCACTCCAACACCCAACCTCCAAACCTCGCGTATCCTACCGATAAACGCGATCTCCACTCAGGATACCCAAACGAGTGCACAAGCACAACTCCCGCGTGGCGGATCAGCGCCATCTTCCGACCTTTGGTCCGCACGGAGGTCGTGTTGCTTGGTCCCCGGACTGCACCTGACGGCGTGTTTTGCTTGACCTCGCGTGTCCGCGGAGCTCTGCCGGGCAAACACGGCTTTATCCCCATAGTCTCCCTCCTGCAATCCCGTCTGGTCCTCTCGCGTGTCATGCGCCCTACTGTCCCAGCCTACAAAAGCATTCATTGCCGAATTTCCAGCCTGACGATCGCTCCACCATACACCACCACTCCTTCCCAAAGCTGTCAACATGCCAGGAATCACGCCGCGGAATTCGAACTACTCGCTGCAGATAACGCCTCGGCTTCCAGGGCCGGACGTGCTGCTACCTGAGAACCACCTGCTCGAATCGTGGGAGAAATGGCTCGAAGTCTCGCGCGTGTTGGCCTACTTGTTGGGCTCGCTGCTCTTCCTGCTGGGCTCCATCTACTTCTTCCCCAAGTACTCGGCCGTGTGGGACGGCAAAGGCGGACTCTTCGGCAGCTGGGACTTTGTGGTCGGCTGCGCGCTCTTCTGGATCGGGGCCAACCTCGACTTCATCCAGACGATCCGGTACAACCACCGCACGCCGCTGCGTCAGGTGCTGCGCGCGTTCACCGCGCTGTTCAACTACATGGCCACGTCCATCTTCATCCTGGGGGGCCTCTACTTCCTCCCGTCATGGTACGTCAAGGCGCCGGAGCTCGGGTGCTGGGCCTTCATCATCGGATGTGTCCTCTTCTGCCTCGCCGCCCTTGCCGACGTCTTGTTCATCTGCATGACCCACGAGGACCCGCACGACTCGGGCTTCCGAGTCTCGAACCTGTTCAGCTGGGGGACGCTCTCGGTGCTCGGGACGTTCGTCGGCGCGCTGTGCTTCATCATTGGCAGCTGGTTCTACATGCCCGGGTTCATCAACCGCGTCGACGAAGGCACGCACTACATGAACACGGCCATCACGTACTACGTGCTCGGTAGTGTGAGCTTCATCGTCAGTAGCGCAGCGATGGCCCCCGACGTCTATCGGGCCATCAACGCAACCAGCAGCAGCAAGGTCGACAAGTAAGTTAATATCAAGTGTGCAGTACTGTATCAATGTCAATGGAAATCGAAATCTTGGATCGGTCTATCGATGCACATGGAAGCCACGATGGTTATCAGCAGTCTGCTCGTGGCGTGGCAGACCTCCATTGGCTCTCGATCTTCGTTCGCACTGCAGCGACCGGCTCAGAGTGGCAATGGCTACACGGAGACGCACGGGGCCGATGTGGTGCTGTCTTTGACAGACTCTGTCCGAGCCTTGATAGAGCTCATTACCCGATAGATAGCCTGGGAGGTATTGATCGTTCGAGCAGCATGAAGGTGTGTAAGTTCCAGTCCCAGGGGCTCATCGTGTTGGTGTGCCTCATCAACATGCTCAACTACTTGGACAGAGGCATCATCCCGGGCGCTCCTCAGAGCTTCCGACACTTCATCACGTCGTCGCTCGGCGTGGCCGTCACGGACCAGTCCGTGTACTTCGGGCTGCTGTCGTCGGCCTTCATCATCGGCCACTCGGTGCTGTCCATCACCTTCGGGTACTTCGCGCTGACCCACCGGCCGTTCCGCATCATCGCGTTGGGGACGAGCATCTGGATCGTGGCCATCGTCATCTGCGCCGTGTCGGAGCACGTCAACAGCTACGCGCTGCTGATCGTCGGGCGAGTGCTAAGTGGTGCAGGCGAGGCGTCGTTCCAGTGTGTAGCCCCGCCGTTCATCGATCGCCACGCTCCGCCCGAACGTGCATCGCTTTACGTTGGCATCTACCTGGCCTCCGTGTTCGTCGGGGAAGCCATCGGCTTCGTCTACGGCTCGGCGTTCGCAGACTCGTCGCTCACGTGGGCCGGCGGCTACTATCTTGAAGCAGTTCTGATGGTCTTCCTGGTCTGCTGCTGTTTGTTCTGCGTGCCCGATGAGCTCAACGTGGTGCCTCCACAGGACGACGTCGCGCTAAGGAAATCGCTGGTGTCTGTATCGACGCAGGGGCTGCCAAACGGAGTGGAGCCGCTCATAGTGTCGCCAGGGTCGTCGTCTCCGGGGCTAGCGGTGAGGAGGGAGCCGTTCTTCCGCGCATGGTGGGGTGTGCTCTCCAACCTCCCGTTCTTGCTGTTCGTGCTGGGCAACGGTGCGTACACGTTCACGTTGGGGGTCTTCAACACGTACGGCCCGGACCTCTTCGTCGGCCTGGGCCTGTTCAGCGACGAAACCTCGGCCTCGCTGGTCTTTGGCATCATCGTGGCTGTGGGCGGACTGCTAGGCACACCTCTGGGCGGCTACCTCATCGACCGACAGACCAAGGACACCGATGTGCCTGGGAAGCGCTGCTTCGTGGCCATGACGTCGAGCTTCGTCTACGTGACGCTGGCCGAGGTGTTCATCCTCATCATGTGCTTCCTCGGAGGGGCCAAGGTCGCGTTCCTCGTGTGCTTCACCATCGGCCTCTTCTGCATGTGCGCGCTCTGGGGGCCCCAAATGGTGGCCATCCTCGAGCTGTTCCCGGAGTCGCGCCGCTCGCTGGCCATCTCGGCCAACGCGGTCATCATCCACATCTTCGGCGACGTGCCGGCGCCGACCATCATGGGCGTCGTGTGGGACGCCTGGGCGCCCAACTGCGGGGCCGTCGAGGGCTCGGACGGCGACGCCGACCTCAATCCGCTGTGCAGCGAGGACCAGGGCGGGCTCAAGGACTTCATGCTGCTCTCGACGCTGTGGATGCTCTGGGCCGTGCTGCTCTGGGCGCTGGCCGCGGTGGCCATCAAGAGGAGGCAACAGCGCGGCGGCTTCGTGCTCACCACGCCGGCAGAGTATTAGAGAGAGGAGAGGAGGGTAGTCATCGCCACCAAAACACACGTACGATACTTGTTAAACGTTGAGCCGGGTCCTTACGGTCTCCGCTGGCCAAGTCGAAGTGCAGGTTCAACGCGGATATCAGGGCTCTAGCCGGACTAATCGACGGCTTCAACTGAGCCGTACCACGGCTGTCCTGCCCCTCCTCCTGCTACCGCCGGAAGCGATGCACGCCGGGTCTTCTCTCACACACCCCACTGCACTCTTCGATCTGCGCGCTGGGAGCCACACCCGACCAGCATGAAGGCCTGCCAGATCCAGTCGCAGGGGCTCATCGTGCTGCTGTGCCTCGTGAACCTGCTCAACTACATCGACCGGGGCATCATCCCAGGCGCGCCGCAGAGCTTCCGACACTTCATCACCTCATCGCTCGGCGTGGCCGTCACGGACCAGTCCGTGTACTTCGGGCTGCTGTCGTCGGCCTTCATCATCGGCCACTCGGTGCTGTCCATCGCCTTCGGGTACTTCGCGCTGACCCACCGGCCGTTCCGCATCATCTCGCTGGGGACGAGCATCTGGATCGTGGCCATCGTCATCTGCGCCGTGTCGGAGCATGTCAACAGCTACGCGCTGCTGATCGTCGGCCGCGTGCTGAGCGGCGTGGGGGAGGCGTCTTTCCAGTGTGTGGCCCCGCCGTTCATCGATCGCCACGCCCCACCCGCGCGTCGGTCGTTCTACGTCGGGATCTACCTGGCGTCGGTCATCGTGGGCACCGCCATCGGGTTCGTGTACGGCTCGCTGTTCGCCGAGTCGGCCTTGACGTGGGCGGGGGCGTTCTACTTTGAGGCCATCTTGATGGCGTGTCTGGTCTTCTGCTGCTTGTTCTGCGTGCCCGACGAGCTGAACGTCGTGCCGCCTACAGATGACGCCGTGGCGTTGAGGAAGCCCCTCGTGTCCACGAACGAGTTTGCCAGCGAGGTGATGTCGCTGTCCCGGGAATCGCACGACACCGTCGAGAAGAACGCGGCCGACCTGTCGCCCGAGAAGTTCGGCGCCGAGATGATGTTGTCGCCCGAAGAGTTCAACGAGTCCAAGTCCTTCCTTCGGACGTGGTGGGAGATCCTCTCGGACGTTCCGTTCTTGCTGGTGGTGCTGGCTCATGGCGCGTACACGTTCACGCTCGGAGTCTTCAATGCCTTCGGGCCGGACGTGTTCATCGGTTTGGGGCTGTTCTCGGATGAGACGTCGGCGTCGCTGATCTTCGGCGGCATTGTGGCTGTCACGAGTCTCATCGGCACTCCGCTAGGAGGATACGTGCTGGATCGGCACACCAAGAACACGACTGTGCCAGGCAAGAGGTGCTTCGTGGCGGTCTCGTCGCTCTTCGTCTACGTGACCATCGCCGAGGTGTTCGCGCTCATCATGTGCTTCATCTCGGACAGTAAGGGCGCCTTCCTCACGTGCTTCACCATTGCGCTCTTCTGCATGTGCGCGCTGTGGGGGCCCGAGATGGTGGCCGTGCTCGAGCTGTTCCCGTCCTCGCGTCGGTCTATGGCCATCTCGGCCAACGCAGTGATCATCCACGTGTTCGGGGACGTGCCGGCGCCGATCGTCATGGGCGTGGTGCGAGACAAGTGGGCTCCAAACTGTGGCACGGTGGAGGACGATGGAGACGCAGTGCTGAATCCGCGGTGCAGTGAGGACCAGGATGGACTCAAGAACTTCATGCTGCTCTCGGTGCTGTGGATGGTCTGGGCCGTGATCCTCTGGGCGCTGGCCATGGCGGCGGTCAAAAGACGGCAAAGGAAGGGAGGCTTCGTGCTCACTGCACCAGCAGAGATCTAAGGATCGAAGCAGTATTGATGCGTAATGAATGCTATGCTAACTCGCTAGCTTGTTCAATGACTCGCAGCATGCACTCGGGCATCAGCTCACAGCCAAAGCGTATGCCTTGAGCCAGCTCACATCTTGCACGTAGGGTTTGTCGGCTTGTAGTGGCGCTCAACGAGTCCATAGATGTCTTCGAACGCCTGGAACAGCGCGCGTTGAAACTCCGGTGCAGTGACTCGGGGAAGTCGAGAACCTGGTGGGCCTGGCAGCAGCTTGTCACGGTCGCTAGAGTCGAACGAGGTGATCATGATGGCGAGGAAATCATTTTCGCAGCCGTAGCAGAGCCCGATGCCGTGGGGCAGCATCGGCACGAATCCACCCCAGAGCCACGGGTACCCGGACACGTTGCTCGTGGAGAGCACGAAGTTGCCGCCCCCTCCACTCTTCGCGTAGCTCGGATCAGTAAACAGCGCTGGCGGGCTCCCCGTCTTCTGCATGGCTGCGATCTGCAGTCCGAGTAAATGGCGATCGATGCCATCACCCGACAATGCCTCTAGCGAAATCTCTTTGTGGCGAGCCATGGCGCGCTTGAGCTTGTCAATCACTTCAGCTTCATCCACACCAGGCTGATCATGCATCTGAAGCCACGCGAGCAGCTCGGTGGTCACCGTGCGAATGGTTTCCGTGCGTCCTTCGACGAACATGCGCGTGTGGCCGCTCTCATACGTTGGTACCACACGACCAAATAGTCGGAAGCCTGCTAGCTGAATGCCCATTTGGACGAAGGTGTCGGGGAACAGCTTCACCGCGCGCAGTTTGGTCTTGCCAATAGCCTTGTTCCTCACTACGACCATACGCAACTTGCCTCCGTTGCGTTGAAACTCAGCCAAGGCCGTCGGAATCGTATTCGCCACAATATCCTCGGGTAAACGCCAGCGCAGCAGCTCTGGTGGAGGCAGGAACTCCAGTGAATGGTGGCGACTCTCGATGAACGTCTCGTAGCCGCCATCGCGGTTCAAATAGCGCTCTCCTAGCCAGCGGAACATCGACTGCAGCACCGTAGCGTCTGCGTTCGCGTGCTCCATGTTGGCCCCCACCATTCCGTTGGCAAACACGATGTACTGGAAGCTCTTGTCGAACCAGCGGTTGCCAGCGTTTGACGCCGCACACTGTCGTGCCAGCTCCGACGGTGTATCGGGCGACGCAGACTCGAGGCAGAGCGCAAAGAGACTCGTTTCGATCTTGTCAAGGCTGCGCTCGTTCAGCGGATCGAACTCCACAAGGGCTTGACGCGCCTCCGCCCACTTGTCACGCCTCATGGCTGTCAACGCCCCCACGAACTGCGGCAAGTCATCGTCGTCACGCTTTGAAGTAGGAAGAGAATTCAGGTACGCCGAGTGCCGCAAAATGTGCAGGAGCTGCACCTCTAGGTCTCCAATGGTCAATAGCTCGTCTTGGGCGTCGTACACGTGCAACATGAACACTCTGCCTTCGCAGAACACGGTGATGTGGCGAATGGTAGCTGGATCCACGCGCTTGAATCGGTCGGTCGGCTTCTCCGGGATGCGACAGGTGGAGAATAGCCGTCGGAACATGTTCATGCACAGCACGTGGCCGCCCATCGTCTCCGGTGGCACCAGCTCGCGTTTGAGTCGCTCCAGATACTCGCAAGTGTAGCGCACAGTCTCGGCAGCTCGTCTGGCCTGGGACACAGGCCGGTCAAAGTCTTGGAAAGAGCCGAAGCCCGTCACCATGTTCACGAACAAGGCGTTGGGCGTCGGATCGCTCAGATACGCCACTTGCTCCCACCATTCTGCCAGCTACAAGGCAAACCAACACCTTCAGCCTACAATGCAGCTATAGTGCTTTGGCTTGCATTGAGTCCTTACCCAGTTATCGCGCTCTTTGGCACGTTGCAATAGCTCTGCCTGCAGCTCTTCGCCCTGACCTCCAGGCTTGCCGAACTCTTCTACGAGCTGCTTGGTCTTCTCCAGCTCCTCCTTGGTGACGAGCGGCTCTATCGAGCGCAGATACTTGTCCAGCGTGGCGCGCAGTGGGGGCACGGGAAGGTGAGGCAACGACGTCTGCAGCGCGTACCTAGACAACGTACGGCGAAGATTAATAAGAGATCAAGTGGGACTCTTGTTGCAGAGGCCTACTTACGTTGAGGAGCGAGATGCCATTGGTCTGAAGCGTCACCTGGCCGGCCAAAGCAGGAATGGCAGGTGTTTTGTTTAACTTCAACGCGGGTGGTAGACGATCTCAAATCGTCCTTTGAGAATCTCTTCTTTCTTCCAGGACGTCGCAAGTTTTGACTTCAATTCGACTGCAAGTTCATTTTTTTCAGCTAAGAAACAAGCTAGTGCACATGAATAATTTGCTGCGCTGGGAAAGAAGACGCTCCTACACTTTGGCTGTCCTTGATTCCGCCTTTGTGGGCGCCTGACGTGAAACTTGACTTGACTCGGCAGCCATTCTGAGCCTGGCTTCGGCCTGAATGCTGCGGGTTCACCATCAGACCACCTACGCCATAGGCGACGCGCTACGAGACTGACTGCTCGAGCTGTCGGCGCTTCGGGTGCTCGCGATGGAGCTGCGGCGCTGCTTCTTCATGGCGCGAAGCACTTCGTTCAGCGGCTCTCGCACGCGCTCCATAAGGCGCAGTTCGGCCGCCTCGCGGTTCGCGCGCTCTTCTTCGCTCAGTACATCAAAGGCAGCATGATAGGCCACCGTGAAGGTCATGTCCGGCACGGCCCCCAAGATGCTGTCGACGATGAGCTTGGCGCGCGGAATCTGGAAGCTGGACGTGACAACGTGCACGCGCTCGATGCGCAGGTGCCGCAGCGACGGAATGAGCTGGATCACGTTGTCAATCATAGTCGTCTACTCAAAGTGAACACGCCACCACGGATCAAGTGTCAGTACAGGAACACCACCTGTCACCAATGTAAAACACTCACAGCGGAGCAGTCCATCATGATGTGGTGCGGAGAGATGCCCGCCTCCACTAGTTCGTTGCGAATAGCTTCCGTCTGCACGATCCCCTCCCTCTCGTTCTCCCCTCCTGTTGGGACCTGCATCATCAACATAGATATCCTCGTCAGCTCTCTAAACCTGTAAGTAAAAAGTATCTTGTGGCCGAATCGTACGAGGTAGCAGAAGGCGTTGGCTTGGTGCTGCGCGTAGACTTTCATCGTGTCCCAGTACAGCTCGGCGGCCCTGGAGATGCGCGTGGCTCCCAGTGGCGTTACCTCTCCGCGCCGGTCGAGCGCGTCGCCCAGGATGAGGATCACCTGGCTGTCGGTCGTGGCGTGGAACGCGACGGCGTCATCGTCCTCCGGGATGCTCTTGAGGTTGGGCGAGACGGCGGGATGCCGCGGCGTATGGCGCTGCGGGTACACGCCGTCGAGCATGAGCCCCTCGCGGAAGAGGTCGAGCCCCGCGACGGCCAGCAGCGCCAGGTTGTGGGCGCGCTTGGCCTGGCGGCGGCCGAGCTTGAGGGGCTTCTTCCTGCGGCCGCTCATCGAGTCCAGCGGCAGGACGGTGCCTTCCATGCGGGGGGCTGTGACGTCCACGGTCACATTGGACGGCCCCGCAGTACGCGCGAAGCCCGGCGAGCAGCGGAAAGTGGCCGGCATTCGGGGCAGAGAGCGGCAGATCAGGTCCGGGTCGAGGCGAGCTTGAGCTTGAAGAGCCGCAGAGAAAAGTGGACGTTGTAAGGTGAAGTGTACCTTATCATTGGCACAGCGTACCGGTAAACACGGTACAATTGTGATCTTGAAGCGACGCACGCGCGGAGGTATCATAGCTGCTGGACGGAGACCATGACGGACTTCGATGCGCTGGACCAGGTGGACCCGTTCTACATGGCGCTGCTGCGCTCGCGCCAGCGGCGGTTCGCGGACTGCATCGACATCTGCACGGACATCCTGGCGCAGAACCCGTACGACCAGGCCGCGTGGGTCACCAAGACCAAGGCCATGACCATGCAGAACTTCATCGACGACTCGGAGCTCGAGGAGGACGGTGCTGCGGACCTGCTCATGGACGACAACGTCATGGCATCCATGCCGCGACCCGGGACTTCGCTCAACCGGCCCAACTCGCGGGCCGGCACGGGCGACCCGAGTCTGCGGCCCATGACGTCCACCGGCCGGCCGCTCAGTGGTTTCGCGCGGCCCGGAACGAGCTCGAGGCCGGGGACAAGCAGCATGTCGGTGGATCGCGCGCTGCAGGGCAACCGGCCAGGCACATCGCGACCAGCCACGACACTGGGACGGCAGGTGCGGCTGGGCACGGCGTCGATGCAGGCGTCCGACTCGGGCGTGTTCATCGACGTGAACCGACTCGACTTCAAGCGATACGCCAAGCGGCCAGCGATCGCGAAGGCACTCGTTGACTACTTGCTCTACTGCGAGCACAACCCAAGGAAGGCGCTGGAACTGGCTGCAGAGGCGACGGTTGCTGCGGACTACAAGGACTGGTGGTGGAAGGCGCGCCTCGGCAAGTGCTACTACCAACTGGGGCTCTTCCGCGACGCGGAGAAACAGTTCGAGTCGTCGCTGCGCAACCAGGACATGGTCATCACCTTTTTGGAGCTAGGAAAGGTTTATTTGCGTCTGGACCAGCCGAACACGGCGCTGGACAGGTATGAGAAGAGCAAGACCAAGTTCCCAGGGGACGTCCAGCTCTTGGTTAGCATTGCGCGGGTCCACGATATGCTCAACGACGTGGAGAAGAGCGTCAGCGTGTACAAAGAGGTGCTGCAGCTGGACGCGTCTAACGTCGAGGCCATCGCGTGCCTGGCGTCAAACTACTTTTACACAGACCACCCGGAGGTGGCGCTGCGCTACTACCGACGCCTGCTGCAGATGGACGTGAACACCGCCGAGCTCTGGTGCAACATCGGACTCTGCTGCTTCTACGCGTCGCAGTATGACATGACGCTCTCGTGCTTCGATCGCGCACTATCACTCGCGTCGGACGACTGCATGGCCGACGTCTGGTATAATATCGGCCAGGTAGCCATTGGCATCGGTGACCTAGGGCTTGCCTACCAGGCCTTCAAGATCGCCGTGTCCGTGGATAGCAACCACGCCGAATCGTACAACAACCTCGGCGTGCTGGAACTGCGCAAGGGCAATCTCGACCAGGCACGCGCCAACTTCCAGCTCTCCGAGACGCTCGCTGATTTCATGTTCGAGCCAAGCTATAACCGCGGTGAGTCATGCGTGCTCTCAACCATTATGCGTGCTTGTCTGTCATGCCAGGATCCTCACGGTTCTGCTGTGATTTGTGTTGCGCGCTTCAACGTCGATCAGCGCTGCTGGCGTACAAGGTCGGCGACTTCCACGACTCTTTCACCAAGGTCAACCGCGCGCTCACCACGAACCCGACGCACAGCGACTCGCTGGAGCTCAAGAAGCAGCTGCAGCAGTTCCTCACGATGCTCTAACCAGCAGACTATGGCAGGACAAGGAGACAAAAGAGAGATCCGCAACCAGCCAACACAACAACCAACTAAATCGTGCATATATGAAGAATACCGGCATGCCCCGAGTGAGAGAGAAAGCGAGGAAACACCTTGGTCAAGTGACACATGACATCAACCAGCCAAAGCTTCCTCACCAACCCGTCCTCAGCCTCCACTTGTCTTCGGGTCGACCACCACCTATCTACCTACCTGCTCTGCTCTGCTGTTCCAGGCTTCTCTTGGTTGTGATTCTCTGCATCTCTGTCTTCCTCCCTTCCGTCGGCGGGCGAGGCTTTCCTTCTCCCTTTCGCCACCGCCATCACGTCCCACTAACGCATCGCTCGCTCATTCATTCTTTCATTCACACTGCTCGTCTTACAGGAAGTAGTCGGGCGTGCGCTTCTTCTCATTGAAGCTGCTGTCGCGCGGGGCCGGGTCGAACTGGATGAACTTGCACGTCTCGTATACCTTGTCGCCGTTGCGGTCGGCCATGACCTCGTCGATCTCCATGAGCGCGGCCTGGTTGCCGCAGCGGTAGCAGTAGTTTGGCGCGCTGAAGATGGTGACGACACCGCGGTTGTGCGTCCACTGGTAGCCCTCCATCACGAGTTGGTGCGCGCGCGCGATGAAAGTGAGGCCGTTGCTGCGCTTGAACTGCTCCGTGATGTCCTGGCCGAACGTGTAGCCGGCGCCGCGCGGCGAGATGCCCCATCCGCAGCGGTCGTCCGGGTCGGACCACACGAGGTCGCACATGGGGCCCTCGTGGGGCACCTCCTGCACGCGGTCGAGCGCGCGCGCGTGGTCCAGCGTGTCGATGGACGGGGACAGGCCGCCGTGCATGCAGAAGACGCGGTTCTCGATGAGCGCCGTCATGGGCAGGTGGTCGAACAGGTCCGTGAAGTACTTCCAGACGTTGGCGTTGCCGTACTTGCGCAGGCACTCGTCGTAGAAGCCGTAGACCTGCGTGATCTGGCGGCTCTCGTGGTTGCCGCGCAGGATCGTGATGCGCTCGCGGTGGCGCACCTTGAGCGCCACGAGCAGAGCCACGCTCTCGAGCGAGTAGTAGCCGCGGTCCACGTAGTCGCCCATGAACAGGTAGTTGGTGTCCGGGCAGGCGCCGCCTATCCGGAAGAGCTCCAGCAGGTCGTAGAACTGCCCGTGGATGTCGCCGCAGACCGTCACGGGGCAGCGTACGGGCTGCACGTTGGACTCGCCCGACAGGATCTCCTTGGCCTTCTGGCACAGCTCGTAGATCTCCGTCTCCGTCAGGTTCTCGGCGCGGCGCAGGCGCTCGATCTGCGCGTCCAGCGCCTTCATCTCCCCGCGCGAGTCCATGGCTTGACCTAGGTCTTCCTTCGTTTAGGTCTTCGTGTTCTTGGTGGGGAACCCCTCGACTGCCCGCTTTCGGCCCCCCTCCGCCGCCGCGGCTGGCTATGTGGGATCTACATCCTGTCAGAACGAATACTCCCCACCAATGAGCGTCTTCGAACAAGTGTAGGATAGAACCTACATCATAGATAAAATGTGGCAGGTGAGACCGTTTCTGCCCAATCAGACGAGAGTTGAAGTGAGCTCAGCTGGCTAAGGATAGCAAAAGGACGGGAGCTAAATGCGGACGTTGACACTAGACAGCGTCGAGTAAGTAAGTAGCCTGCGCCGCGGTCATTCCGGCAAGAAACCACCGAGGGGGAGGAGGAGACGTAAGATAAGAGTGAGAGAAAGAGAAGAGCCCTGCAGCCATGTCCAGGAAGCACCACTACGTGCCCAAGCGCGAGGCCACCGACAGCTTCGAGGAGCTCTCGGCCAAGCTCACGGCCGACCTGCGCAACCACGTGCGCTTCATGGCCGACTACCCGGTGCTGTCGGACGACTGGATCCAGATGGCCGAGCAGATCGGCCGCATCGGCCACATCACCGAGATGGAGCGGCAGCTGCCCAAGAAGCACGACGCCACGCTCTGGGAGTGCGAGGAGATCGCCCTGCGGTCAGTGAGGGCATAGTGCTGCACTCTATCCAGGCCTTGGCACTGACTGTGAACGTTGCTGTTGCGCGTGTTTAGCTATCTGCTTGAGGACGGGAAGTTGAATCTGTAGGTGCCGTGGCGTTTTAGGTCTTTAGATCTTGCTGTACAAGGCACAGAGGTAATGGTGGCATGATGCTGCAGGTGCCTGCGCAATCTCGTAGACTACAACAACTACCTGAAGCGCATGATCGAGCGCGGGCCTGTCAAGGTGAGGCAGCTTTTAGGGGTTGGTATTGCAGATAACACCATAGGGCTGACTGAGCAATGCAGACTGAGACAATGGCGACGCTGGAGAAGTTTGAGCACGGCATGGGGCTAACTCTGAAGAACGCATGGCTTCACGCCGAGGCAGTACAGGTGCGGTCTGTGTCAGAAATCGATGTGTGATGTGACTTGAGCTAACACAGCATAAATCTCTTCAGACTACGGATCTGCCGCTGTTGATCGAGTATATCCACGATATTTTAATCTATTGCCTCGAGCGCCCAGATGTGAGCAGAAAAACAGGCTTGTTGCGCTAATGATGGATCGAACACTAACTTGTATGTTCGGCTTCTGTGTGTAGTACCTGCCGAACAAGAAGATGGACAACTGCCAGGAGGTCACCGTCATCCACTTTTTGCTAGGACTGTGCAGGCAGCTAGACTCGATCGATGAATCAAGGTAAGGAAGGATTTGCTAGCAGCAGGAATAAAAATCGCGACGTCCCTGACCTCGTTTCGCTGTGATCCGATTCCTTGCACTTACCAGAGTCATGCCGTTGTTTGCCGAGAAGCGCATTTTCGCGCTGCTGGCGATGCATCTGAGCACACACATCAACCTCCTGAACGTACGTAGGGATGCTGCTGCATGCGCTTCAACAGTACTGCAACTTACCTAAATTTGTTTATATACGTAGGCCGCGGATGTCGCCGTGGGTGCAGAGGTGCTTGCACTTATCTGCAGTACAGAAGACTTTGAATCTCACGACGACTACTACGTGGACTCCCCCGAGGCAGAGTCCGCTCTCCTATCCCTCTACGGTGCGTCCACGTTGCCGCGCATAGTTCTCTGCTCGTCAACTAAGCTCACGCTTCTACTTTATGCTGCAGACGACTACCTCGAGGAAGCAACCGAAGACCTCGACACACGCAAACGATTGCGTCCGCTGCTCGATGCGGTTCGACAGCTAAACTACAACCGCAAGTAGCTAGCCCGCTCTCAACCAACCTCTCGTCGCGTTGTCGGTCAAACACAGCTCAGCATACAGTCACATAGCGTTGCTCAATCCCCACTCAGCCGAGCTGCATCGAGACCTCAGCAACGACGACTATACTGCATACGTACTGAATACTGAACATCATCAACCCCCCCCCCCCCCCCAAAAAAACTTTGAAGTTTCCCTTGTGGCTCGTCACATGTGGTACAATGTACCACTTCGATCCACCGCCCACTAATCAGGTTAGATTTGCTCTTCTGAATCGAACGCACCAAGCAGCAGGCAGGCGACGCCTGACTTGCGGCCGCGCGCGCGGCCTTCTCGCTCTCTTCCTGCGCCCAGAGACGCCGCCAGCTCCTGCTCCGGTGACATACACAGCTATTACACCCGCGCCATGAAAGCCGGCGCCGCCGCGGGCAGCAGCAGCACGTACGAGCCGACGGTGTACACGCTGCTGCTCACGGGCATGTGCCTGCTGCTGGCGCTGTTCCTGCTGACGCGGCTGCTGGTGGCGGTGCGTAACAAGAACAAGCTGCTGGCCTGGTCCACGGGCTTCCACGTGCTGTGTCTGCTCTGGACGGGCGTGCGCGCCGCCTACTGGATCATCATGTCGATGCAGTCGAGCATGCGCTACCTGACGCTCTACCTGCTCTACTGGTCGCCCACGCCCATCCAGTTCGCCAACTTCTCGCTGCTCATCCTGTTCTACATCCAGGTGCTCACGGGCCCGGAGTGGCGCTCCAAGTGGCGCAACGTCTGCCTGCCGCTCTACCTGCTGCTGACCATGACCATGACCACGTTCACGGTCGTCTGGGCCTTCAACTCGTCCAACGACATCTCCAAGGCCACGCGGCGCGGGGACGAGTACGACCAGGAGTTCTCCAGGGTCTCCGACGTCAGCGTGCAGCTCAAGTACTCGGCCTTCTGCTTTTTCCTGCTCAGCGTGCTCTTCGGATTCTTCGGCTGGAAAATGGCCAATGTGCGTGGAATTTGCTGTTAAAGTGGCGTTGGAACCATGAGCAAGCTGACGTAGAGTGTGTATTTTGTTGTTGGTTGGTTGTTATGCCAGGTGGAAAGCTGGAAGCGAAGGCGGCTCTTGATCTCGAGACCACGGGTAGGAGTCCTCCGTGCCGTAGGTTGCTGTGGGGCTGGCAGTTTGTTCTGACATTTTTGTTCGTGGTCTGAGCAGAGTCTGGCGGTGATCAACTCGCTGCTGTGTGTCATCTTCTTCACACGAGGGATCCGGGATCTGGCTACGTCTCAGAGTTGGTTCCTGAGCATCTGGAACAACCTGGACATGAACGGCCGCGTGACGACGGTCGCGTACTTCGTCTTCTTCTGCTTCTGGGAGTTCCTGCCCACAATACTGCTGCTCTGCTTGATTTCCTCAAAGGCCGGCGGCGTAGGAGGTAAGCGACAACGTTGGCATTTATCGAAGACGTTGGGACTTGACGAGAAGGAGCTAAATGGGGTTTCTGGTCGTGTAGCTCCGAAGCATGGGCCTGCATCGCAGAAGCTCCCGGATTTTGGCATTTTCCATATTATCAACACGGGCGAGGGCAAGGTGCTGGCTGCAAGCCCACTGGGCGCTAGCGCCTACAGCTCTTACGGAACCCGTACAGAAGGCTCGGCTGGTGCCTTCGAGCGAGAACCCGAGCGCGAACGCCCGCGGTGGACACACGGAGGTGACCTCTTCCAAGACCCCCTACGCTACGACTCGGATGATGGACCGGTGCCATCACCTCGCCACTTCTCGGATAGTTACAATAGTGCTGCGAGCAATGGCAACTACTACAACGAACGAGTACCAGGCTATTCGTCCGGAATATAAGTATCATTTACCTGTGCACTCAGTCGGCTGCAAGAACGGTGGTGTATGTAGACTTATCTACCTTTACTTGTGTTCGTTCTGGCTGGCGCTCGTGGGGCGAGGGGCATTCCACTCAATGACATACTCAGCGAGTCTTCGCCCAGTGAGTAACCACCAGCCGTCCCTCGTTCGCTCCGTTCGGAGTGTGGCTCCGTGGCGAAGTAAACGGCTGGTGAGCGGTGCTTTTCCCTTTGATTCGGGCTCCTCGCGTGTTTCGGCGGTGTCTCGATGGTTTCTGGCGGACTATCCTGCATGTCCACATAGCTCTGCGACCGGTTGATTTTGGCAAACACGAGACGGAGGACCCGTTCACGGTCCTCCCAGCTGAGCTGCCGTAAGTCCACCTTCTCAGTAAAATGCTGCGGTGGGCCAGGAGGTGCCGAGTCTCGTCGTGGTGCAGGGCTGTTGGGCGAAGTCAGCTTTGGGAACCGTAGACTGGGCTTGATACCTTGCGCACAATTCATCTCGCGATGGTAGTGCTCGACCTCGCGGTCGTGTTTCTCCTTGCGCTCGCGTTCGACCTCGCGCTTTACGTGCTCGAGTGAGTCCAGGAAGAACTGCTCGACGTCCGTGCGCTGGTTCAGAATCGTTTGCGCTAGTCGCCTCAGGTTTCGCAGCTCGCGGTTCTTGAGTCGCAGCAACTTCCGTAAGCCTTCCACGTCCAGCGTCAACTCCTCGCGCTCGCGCTCATGGCGAGTGGCATGTGCGTGAGCATCCCAAGACGCAGCAGCGAGACCCGCACCAAGCTTCTGCTCGGCTTCACGCAGACTGGCACGCAGTTGAGTGAGCTCTCGAGCTTGTCGCTGGGCCTGTTTGGCGAACTCGGCCTCCTTCTGAATCTGGAGCTGCAGCTCGATGTTGAGCGTCTTGGCCCGGGCCTCGAACTGCTGCTTCTCGCGCTGCAGCTCCTCCGTCATCTGCAGCTGGAAGCGCAGCTCCTCGCCCATGCGCTTGTTGTCCGTCACGATCTTGCGAGTGTCTGCGTCGAGCCCGTTGCGCGCGTCCTCCTTGGCCTGCTGCTTGACGACCTCGATCTTCTTCTCGTGCTCCTTTTGCAGACGCGCCTTCTCCTCCAGGAACTTTCGTTCAAGCGCGCCGGACGTCTCACGTGCCTGCTCTCGCTCCAGCGTTAGCTGCGTCTCGAGGTCCTTCAACTTAGTGGCGATGCTGTCCTTCATCTCGCGGAACAGTTCGAGCTGATGCAGCTCCTCGCGCAAGTAAAATATCTGCTCGGACGCAGCTTCCTCCTTGGCAACCGCTTGCTGCGTGAGGTGCTGGCGCTCGGAATCTCGCGCCTGCTGCATCTGCTCAAGTGCGAGAGCATGACTCAATCGCGCCGCTGCGAGCTCTTCGCCAAGCTTGGTGAGCTGTTTGTCTCGGGTCTGGATCTCCTTCTGGAAGTAGGCCACGAACTCGTGCGTCTCCTGCTCGCGCTTGTCGTGCCTCGCACGCAGCTCCGCGTCTTCGTCTTGCAGCTGCGCGACGCGGGCTGCCATCGCCGCCAGCTTCTGTTGATCCACCTGCTTGTTGAACAGCTCGGCCGCTTCGTTGGCTTCAGCGGAAGCCGAACCGATCACGGCATTGGGCTTCTCGGCCTCCATGCTGCACCCGCTCCACAGGTAATGCTGGCACTAGCGTTGAAGTGAGTGACAATGAACAAACTATCCCTGGCTCACCTTGCCTCTAGACTTGGAACTATTTTGGAGAAGTACCAGTGCCCTGACGCACCATGCAATGTCTTTAGCAAGAGAAGCCCATCCGGAGACCATGGTCTCAGATCAAACAGGACTTGAAGTGTATTGTATCGGTCGTTTACGGCGGGAGTCTTCCGAGTTGCATATTCTTTACAACGTCTCAAGGTTGAGCAGCGTCGTTAGATGCCCTTGTTGTAAGTCACCACGCGCACCGGTTGCCCGTCCTGCTTGCGCGCAGCGGGCTGCAGCTCCGGTTCCAAATACTTGGTGTCGAGTTGAGCCGTCTGGCGGAACAGACCAAACGTAAGTGGCACGGAGAACTGGATCGCGCAGCCCACCAGCCCCAGCAGCGTCGGAACACGCAGCCACCGCGTCTTGGGCCTCGTGAACAAGTTGCTGTGCCTTTCGATCCTCGAGATCACGAGCGGCGGCAGCAACAAGATCGGCGCCGCCGCGAAGATTCGACCGGTGGCGCACGACGCGACTGCGAGCGCCCCGCACCTCCTCGACTTGCCCACGTAGTCTCCGTTCTCGTCGTACACGTGGACGCCCTTCAAGTACTCGCTCTGCCGCATGACCGCCATGTTGAGCAGGTCCGCGGCTGCCACGGCGGCAAACGGACCCATGCGCGCCACAGCGGGGGCCCACTTGGCGTCCGTCATGCGGCTGGCCAGACGGCGCACGCCCAGGGACGCGCCCACCGAGCTGGCCGTGGCCCCCACGTAGGCCGCGAGACGCTGCTGCGCCGTGTCCTCGTTGGAGGCGTTGCGGTTGGCGTAGTAGTGCAGCGCGTTGTACGTCTGGTTGAGCCACTGCGCGAAGACGGTGGTCTTGGTGCTGTTGGCCAGCAGCATGGCGCCGTCCATGATGACGTTCATGGGCACGATCATGGACGCGCGCAGCGGCGTGAAGACCGGCTCGCCCGTGTCCGGGTGCAGGATGGCGTGCGTCACGTACTGCGCGTGCTCGAGCTTGGCGGCGTCCACGGGCTCCCCGCGTCGGTGCGCCGCCACCAGTCGCTGCGCCTCCGCCAGCGCGTGCTCCGTCGTGAAGGCCGTGCGGAAGTCCAGCATGTAGAAGGTCTTGCGCACGCGGCCGAAGTACGTGTCCTCGTTCGGGTCCGCCAGCTTGATGTGCGTCTCCGGCGCGCTCACGGCCGCCGCCAGCAGGTCCTTCTCGCTCTCCATCGCGGCAGTCGGCGGGCAAGGAAGTAGGTGGTCGAGTGGCGGGCGATGGGGGAGCTACCGGCGGGGCTGATGAGGTGGTCGTTCATTTTGGGGGGATGGGCCAAGCGCTGACGTCGGCGGTCGACGTCGTCGACCTGGCACAACTTCAACGTGGTGTACGACGGGTGTGGCACAAGAAGCGCATAAGTACGGTGCAAAGATCGGAGTGACTCGATGGGTGCATGTTGCAGTGACGCTGCTGCTGGTTTCAACCAGCCTCGTGGGGATATCAAGCTTATTACCGAGCATATCATCATGCGTCTGCGCGCGGCAGCTAACTACTACTACTTCAAGTACAATCCTGGGGGCTTCTGCTGGTCTTACTGCGTCTTCTTGGCGACCGCAGCGGCGGCGGGCTTCTTGGCGCTGCGCAGCAGGTAGCGCTCGATGAAGAACTTGAGGAAGAGCGCAAAGTAGCTCGAGTACATGATGATGCCCCACTTGAGGTTGTCCGGGTCCACGCTGCACGTGGCGCCCTGCTTCATGTAGTACACGTTGAGGCCGCACACGGCGACGCCCACGCCCATCTGGCTCAGCTGGAAGATCGTCACGAGGCGAGCCCAGCGCGGTCGGTAGCCGCACGCCGTCAGGAAGTAGTAGAAGTACATGATGGCGTGCACCGAGTAGTTCATGGCCACGAAGTACAGGCCGCTGGACACATCGGGCGGACAAAGAAAGAGTCAGCACAAGATCCACGATCCACAGAGCAGCACCACCAGAACGAGGACACTCACCTAGCCGAGAGCGTGGCGAACGCGTGCCAGCAGAAGAGCAGCACGGTGATGTGGTGGTACCAGTGCAGGAAGATGAGCGGCTTCTTGCGCAGCACGATGAAGGCCGTGTCCACGAGCTCCGGCACCTTGGAGAAGATGAAGAGCATGACCCAGAGCGCCACGGGGCCGTGGCCGTAGTGCGGCGTGGGCGGCGCGCACACCGAGTGGTACACGCCGCGGCGGTAGACGGTGTTGATGAGGAAGGGCACCGTCCTGGAGGCGCCGATGGCGCTGAACGTGGCCAGCGCCAGGTTCCAGAGCGCGAGCGGGCTGCAGAGTATCCCACCATCTCGGTGTCAGTTTCGCGACCGCATACAAACTCCAAGAGAGCGAGAGTCAGACGCAACGTACACTTTGAGGTTGAAGGGCTTGAGGTCGCGCATGACGCGGCGGCCGGCGAAGCACAGCACGCAGTAGGCGGCGCACAGCGCCACGGCCATGGGCAGCGACTCCATGCAGAAGCCCGGCTCCCACGAGATGGCCTGGCGGAAGATACGAGAGAAGTTAGTGGGCCGTCGGTTCCAGGCATAGTGTAGCTAGTGTAGTGTACGCACCCAGTCGCGCTCGTACTGGGACGGGTACATCCAGCGCAGCGCCGGCACCTCGTCGTGCAGCTTGGGCGTGCGCGCGAAGGTCGTCTCCATCTTTCTTTCTGCGGTCTTGCTGCTGCTGCTGCTGCTGGCTGCTGGAGCTCCCTCCGCTCTGCTCTGCGGCCTCCGAGGGTTTTTGAGTTGTGTGCGACGCTCTTCGCTCGGCTCGCGCCCGTTTGTGCTGCAACCGCCTTTGCCGGCGGGTTTGGAGCATTTTTCGCAGAGCTCACCCACTTTGTGGCGGAAAATCCTGAATTTTCGAAAACCATACTGAACGCAGGTCACTCGCTGCAGGTCGACTGGCGGCCCGATTGCGCGCGGGCATTCGTTACAAACACGACATGAACAACTGCAACCCGCGGGCGGACAGGCCAGCGCCGACGTCGCCCGCGTTCGGCCCGCGCTGCTTGGAGCGCGCAGGCAGCTGGAGATGGCTGCGCTGCACGCGCTCAGCACTCAGCGGCGGCGCCGACATGGGAGCCGATCTCGCCAGTGCGGATGAGCGGCTGGGACGCACCGCGCGGATCGGCGGCGAGGTGGTCAGTGAAGGGCAACTTTGGACATCTTGGGTGACTGCGCTGGCGGATAGTATAATACATGTATTAATAATACATGCTACAACATGTTACAGGAGCTGCTGTTGGCACGTTCAGCTGCGCCTGCATTGACGAATTTTACCGTAGACACAACTTGCTTTGGCGGCGGCGGCTGCGGCTGCGGCAGCGCTGGTGTTGACGGATTTCTAGTCGAGCCACGGCAACCAAGCCCAAGCAGCCAGCAGGACTTGGCGAACGCAAAGCAGGCGCGCGACTTGGCGCTCGGCAATGCCACTTTCCCTCCGGTCACGAGTGCTCTCACTCTCTGCATTTCGCACGCATTTTGCCTGGCGGAGCTGTGTTGACGGTCCGCGCCAAGCAAGCTGGAGCGGTGACTGTAAACGGATGTGCTGCGAGCAGGACCAGCTCGCCTCGCATAAAACCATAGCGAGGCTGTCAAACAGAGACCTGCGAACAGAACAACGAGTGATTCTTATCGGTGTGTGTGGGGGGGGGGGCAACATTCGTGACATGATACGTAGGTCTCGGCAATGCAGTCGTGTCCACTGGTACTCAGGATACAAATTGTACTTGTCTAGCGTTGCAGTCGGAGGTTACAGTTGTCCAGCAATTTGTTGAACCCATAAAAGTATCGGATATGACTGAGTTTTCCTACATCTCCAAAATGTCATGACGAACTGAGCCAACCGAATAAGACGCGTCTTCTTATTTGGATGCAGGTGGGTCGGCAAAGCAGGCCCTGGACCCGCACGGGCAGCGCTGGCACGTGCAACCTGCACTCGCTTGAAACGCCTCATATAGCTGACATGTACGCCTCAAAAACAATTCTGCATGTGACCTATAAATCGGGAACGTAAACATCCTACATCTGCCAGTTGTCTGCGAAGCGTCGCGATATTTCTGAAGAGTTGGCGAGCAGCTCCGCCAAAATGGCGGGGGCGCGGTCTTCGGCGCTGGCGGTGCTGCTGCTTCTCACGACGGGGACGACGCTGCTGCTGCGCCACCAGACCCAGGCCCAGGCAAGTGTACATGTGCTCTCGTAGCGATCGAAGAGAGACGGAGGGGGAGGGGCGTAAACACTCTCTCGTGTTCGTCTTCTCGCGCGAGTGATCAATCGGCTCGGGCATCTGCTATGCACATCGTTCGAATCCGCTGACTGACGTGGCCGGCGTGGACTGGTTCTGTGTCCGCCGTGAAGGTTGCGCTGCCCAAGGTGCGGCAGGTCTGGATAGGTGAGCGCCTCGCCGCTGCAACGCGCGACACGCCCATTGCCGAACGCGCCGCCTTCCGGCTGCTGCCATTGACGCTGCCTTTGTCTGTGGAGCAGGATGTCTTCCTGACCAAGTGGAGGCGTGCCGCATGGACTGCCCCGTTCAGTACCAGGACCCGCGGCGATACCTGTGCCCGTGCTACAGGTGAGTGCGTTACTCTTGCTTCAAGCGCGTGCTGGCGGTGGCGAGGATGGCCGGTTGAACCGTGCGGCCACCGCCGCAACTTGCACGCCTTCTGCGCGCGTTATCGACATTCTTGACGATGTGCTTGTGCCCGATATGGGCTGGCGACAGCAAGCTGGGCCAGTGTCTGGTGCGCATCGGCTGCAGCATGAAGCAGCGCGTGGACGTGGCCGCCTTTTGCTCGCGGCGCGGCTACTGCAAGGACGGGTACTGCGAGTTCCGCGCCGGGGACCTCACGCCGCGAGGCGACACACGCCCGGAAGTGTTCGAGCTCACGTCTGTGGAGACGCCGGGCACGCCATGCGTTGACAACTGCTGCCCCTCGTGGACCAACTGCACGCAGGACGCGACGATGCTGGCGATTCGGACGCCCGGGCGAGTCTACCGGGAAGAAGAGGTGCTGCTACCACCTCGAGAGTGAGTTCTGTAGACAGGAAGCGCGTGCTATGACCCGAGCTTCTACTGACGTGCCTCGTGTGCTTGTCTTGCAGGGGCGACCCAAGACTGGGTGTTAACCAGAACTATGACCGAATGCCGTACAGCATACCACTCGCGAATCTACCGTAGCCGACAGGTTTTTGCGAAAGGAGCGCCGGCAACTGCATGCCAAGGAACAGACCTTGCAGTTGGTGAGTGAGGTGTGGAGTGCGATGGTTTATAGTGTTTGAAGAACGACTTGTTCGATCTTACTGAAGTACTTCAAGTAGTAACGAGTAAAGACTTCAAGAAGTTTTTACTAGCTCAAAAATGGTTGAAACATCTTCTTTTCAAACTCTACAGTATGTTTGCATGAATTTCCGGTGGTCCAGCGCACAGAGCAAATGCATGGGTACGTGTTGCATAAGGAGAGGATCTATTCTCTGCTGTCTGCAGACCATTGCGCCATGAATGCAGCAACCTCTACTGTTGCTTGACACGACTGCGCAAAGTCCTTGAACGAGAGGGTCTCGTTCTCGCCGTAGAGAGCCTTGGTCATATCTTCGAAGAACGCTAGACGTGGGAGCTCGTCAGTTGGGGCTGCAACAACACGCAGCAACTTCGCAGTCCCGACGACGACTGTGCGGAACAGCAACATTGCTTCGTCCGCCACCAGCAACCCCCTGCGATGCGTGGACACGTTGAACAACTCAAACATCGCTGTAGGCATAGGCAATAATGACGAAGTCAATCGGTCTGCAAACCAACGCTACGGAAAAGTGCAGCACCTTTTAGCTTGGCATCCAGAGAAAGCTGCGGCGCCACCAGGATGAGAGCTGCAAAGAGCTCGCACGAGTCCACAGCGCTGCAGTTCTTGACGTCAAAGACAGCAAACACCTGCTCGATTGTATTCCTCGCAATTGTGGGGAACAACGTGTTGAGCTCGTTCACCCCTACACAAAACTTGCGCTGGGACAGCAAGGTAAACCGTTGCAGCGTTTGCTCGTTAACTGCAAGGAAATCGTACGAACATCATCAACCAGCGGGACAGCATGACTACATTATACTGTAATGCATCGCACTTGTTCGTGCCACCTCCAGCACTACTTGGGCATTCGGCGAGGATGAACTGACCAAGAGCGTGCTGGCGCTGGGGCTGCTAACCGCTGCACCCATGCTAAGATGCGCTTGAATAGTCGCGGCTGTTTATCTGCTCAGGTAGTCTAGCGCCGGAAAAGTCTACAGGACGCGAGTCTGTATCCGACTCGGAACCAACTGAAATGCTGGGCTGACGAAGCACTTGCAGTTGCATCTGAAGCATGGACATGTAAGAGGTTAGATATCAAGAAGAGAGACCGGGTTCGGAGGCCAACCACAGCGGGGAAACGTACTTGACACCGATCCAGTTCCACGAGCCAAGTTTGGCCTTACAGGACGGACAGAGCAGCTTGCCGTCATTATTTCTGACGAAAGACGGTTCCGGAGTCATCCACTGCATCGGCTCTACAAAAATACCAGCGCAAGCTCCTTCAGCGGTGTCTGAGCATGAGTGAGATAACTACAAAACGGGGTTTGTCAGGCTCAAACTCAATCGCTAAAACGAGAGACATCAAGTGTTAATCCTCTGCGTACCTGATTCCGTGTCGTTGCCAACACGTAATTGCACTTCCTGCAGCACAACGAGCTGCCCGGACGTGTGAGCTGCGGCGTACCAACCACATCGGGAGTTCCCGTCTTCATCCGCTGTCGTCGCGCCACCATCGTGCGCAGCTCAGCGTGTGCAGGGGTGGCGCCCATGATATTCGGGTCGTTCTCCATCCTCTGAAAGAGCTCCAGCTGCCGCAAGAAGCCCGGGTTGATCGAGATGCACGGCCGAGCTGTCTGCACCACGTCGTACGCCTCCAGCAGCGTCAGACCCTGCATCGCCATCAGGTACGCCACGCAGATAGAAGCGCTGCGCGACTGGCCGTACACGCAGTGCACCAGCACAGCCGTCGGCGTCTCCCGCATCAAGTGCTTCTTGAGGAACTCGATGCACTCGTCGAAGTGCGGCAGTAGCAACTCCTCCTCCATGTCCAGGATGTCAATGAGCAGCGCGTCGCACGGCTGTACAGATATCGACACTGCATTAGAGCCGCCACAAAGACAATAACTATTATTGGACGTTGCTGCTACCTTTTCAATGAGGTTACCGGTGCCCAATGCGATGACCGCCTGGACGCCATTGGCCTCGAGGAACGCCGCGTCCTGGGCAGCTCCAGCTTCGCCGAGGAACAAGGGGAGATCGCTGATGCGCGCCGCCTTCGGAAACCCTTCCAGCAGCGGGTGGTGGCGCTGGCGCTCCAGCAGCAGCCTCACGACTGGCAGCTCCGCTTGCGGCATGGCTTGCTTCGCGTTGTCTCACTGAGTCACTTAGCGTCCTGCGTAATTTCATGCCATGCATCTTCCGAGGCGCGCTGCGTTTCTCTGCAAAAAAAACGATCCTTGAAGCTGGGCCAGTATCCAAGCGTTGATACCTTGGGCCCATACTGAGGCTAAGTGAGCCACTGGTCCCGACCCGCTTGTCGCCTCATTTTCAACTGCCAAGTGCTACGTCATTCCTGAATTTGCCTCGCAAGCACAAGGTCTTCTTCCCCCACACATCCACATCCCCAGTCCGCCATGAAGATCGCCTTCTTCTCCACGCACAGCTACGACATCGAGTCGATGGAGCGCGTCGCCAAGGAGGACGGCGTCACCCCCAAGCACGAGCTCAAGTTCCTCACCCCGCGTCTGGACGCCACGTCCGCCAAGCTGGCCGAGGGCTGCGAGGGCGTCTGCATCTTCGTCAACGACGTGGCCGACGAGGCCGCTCTGCGCGTGCTGGCCGCCGGCGGCACCAAGGTCATGTTCCTGCGCTGCGCCGGCTTCGACATGATCGACCTCAAGGTGGCCAAGGAGCTGGGCATGCCCGTCATCCGCGTGCCGGCCTACTCGCCGTACGCCGTGGCCGAGCACGCCGCCACGCTCATGATGACGCTGAACCGCAAGATCCACCGCTCGTACAACCGCACGCGCGAGCAGAACTTCCGCCTCGCGGGTCTGCTCGGCTTCGACCTGCACGGCAAGACCATCGGCGTTGTGGGCACGGGCAAGATTGGCGCGCTCTTTGCGCGTATCGCTGCCGGTTTCGGCTGCAAGGTGCTGGGCTACGACGTAGTGCAGAACCCGGAGGCGCTGAGCTACGGCGTCGAGTACGTCAGCCAGGACGAGATCTGGGCCCGTTCGGACATTATTTCGCTGCACTGCCCGCTGTTCCCGTCGACCAAGCACACGATCAACGCCGAGAGCATCGCCAAGATGAAGGACGGTGTGATGCTGATCAACACGAGCCGGGGCGGCCTGATCGACACCAATGCTCTGGTGGCCGGCCTCAAGAGCGGCAAGATCTCTGCTGTGGGTCTCGACGTGTTCGAGGGCGAGGGCGACTACTTCTACTCGGACCGCTCGGGCGCTATCATTGCCGACGAGACTCTGGCTCGCCTGTTCACGTTCCCGAACGTGATCATTACCGGCCACCAGGCCTTCTTCACCAAGGAGGCTCTGGACAACATTGGCCACACGACGATGGCCAACATCAAGGCGTACGATGCCAAGGAGGAGCTGGTGAACGAGGTCAAGTGAAGTACGCCGCCATCAGTTCGAAGTCGGCTGTGACTCTAAAGCACTACTGTACGAAGCAGATTTCGTTTTCTTGCTCCGATTTCAATTTTTCTAGTCGTCGAATTAGTCTGAAAAGTTACTAAAACGGAAATGCAATGTTCCTCTTTGTAATGCAACGTGAATTTTGCATCTTTCGAGTGAGACGAGACCGCTTGGTGCTGTCGTTGAAGTCGTTGAAGTTTTGGCTCGGTACCTCGAGGCCATGATGGATGAGAACCAACGAAGCAGCGGCGAGGTGGGTAACACGTTGCAGTATGAGAAGGTGGGGCAGCGATGCTACCAAGAAATGCGGCTCTGAAGTAGTATGGGACCGTCGTCTCCCCCTCGGATCCACCTAACTATCGGGCGGCCAGAGCGATCTCTCATTCCTTGTTTCGCCAAGAACCCCACAAGCTATTCGCCAACGACCAAGCAAACTCCAAGTAACTCGACGCCATGCAGAACGCCCAAAAGTCCATCGAGATCGCCTTCTTTTCGTCGCACAGCTACGACATCGAGTCGATGAAGCAAATCGCCAAGGAGGACGGCGTCACTCCGAAGCATGAAATCAAATTCTTCGCTCCACGGCTGGATGCCGACTCTGCGAAGCTGGCCGAGGGCTGCGAGGGCGTCTGCATCTTCGTCAACGATGTCGCCAATGAGGCCGCCCTGCGTGTCCTCCATGCTGGTGGCACTCGCGTGGTATTCCTGCGATGTGCTGGCTTCGATATGATCGACCTCAAGGTCGCCAAGGAGTTGGGCATACCCGTCATCCGCGTGCCGGCCTACTCACCGTACGCTGTAGCGGAGCACGCCGCGTCGCTGATGATGGCGCTAAACCGCAAGATCCACCGCTCGTTCAACCGCACGCGTGAGCTGAACTTCCGCCTGGCAGGTCTGCTGGGCTTTGATGTCCATGGCAAGACCATCGGTGTCGTCGGAACTGGCAAGATCGGCGCCCTGTTCGCTCACATTGCCGCCGGCTTTGGCGCCAAGGTGCTGGGCTACGACGTGGTGCAGAACCCGGAGGCTTTGAGCTACGGTGTCGAGTACGTGTCGTTGGATGAAATCTGGGCTCGCTCGGACATCATCTCGCTGCACGTCCCTCTGTTCCCAAGCACCAAACACGTGATCAACGCCGAGAGCATCGCCAAGATGAAGCCCGGCGTGATGCTCATCAACACGAGTCGTGGCGGCTTGATCGACACGAGGGCTTTGGTGAACGGGCTGGAGTCGAAGAAAATCGGCGCGGTTGGCCTCGACGTCTTCGAAGGGGAAGGTGAGTACTTCTACTCGGACCACTCGGGGACCATCATTGCCGACGACGATCTCGCCCGGTTGTTCACGTTCCCGAACGTGATCATCACGGGCCACCAGGCTTTCTTCACGAAAGAGGCGCTGGACAACATCGCGCGCACGACGATGAGCAACATCAAGGCGTACGTGAGGAAGGAGCCACTGGTGAACGAGGTCAAGTGAAGCGTGGCTTTATGATAAGCGGTGCAAAGTTGGACACGAACCAAGCAGCGGGTGATGAACAGTGCAAGGCGGCGGATTGAACTGTTGAGACAGTAAATACATGTAGTTAGCTCTGCACCCGAAGAAACTACTGTACCTTTAGTTCTGGTTATGATCATTGGTCATGGCGAAGATGAAGGCACCGCTTCCGATCATGATGTCTTGTTCGCTCTGCTTTCAGAGGCGATTTCGCCAAGACTGGATGAGGCACACTTTTGCCGCAAAACTTTTACTTGGACAACTTCACGCGGCCGAGCGGCGCGAATAATAATATTTACCCATAAAATATGTTCATCACGCAGTCTCCGGCAGCGGCGGTAACGCTGCCACTGCTGCTGCTCGTTCGGTCGTGGGGGTTGTGGTGGAGGATGTGGGCGACGACTTGATGAGCTCGGCCGCCTTATAGTCCCGCATGCTCTGCGACTCCGTGTACTGGATGGACTTTTCGTGGTTGTACGTGCGCGTGACCTGGTGGATGTCCGGCGGCGTGTATGCCTCGGCCTCGCCCTCGCACGCCACGAACTCCACTCGGGCCGCGTCGCCGCGCATGCTCACGTCCAGCAGCAGGCCGTCGTCTCGTGCGCCCACGTACCTTCGGTGCTGGTTCATGCTCCTGAGGTAGCCCAAGGTTGAGTACTCCCAGGTGAGCCCGGACTTGCCGCGCACGCACATGGGCTCCTTCATGCGCAGGTCGCGGAAGCAGCTGAACGTCGAGCGGCTGAACATATAGCAGCCCGACTCTTCGTGGAAGAAGCGCACGCGGATGCTGTTGTAGCCCCTGGCGTAGCACTCGAGGCGGAAGGCCGTGCGGCCGCACGTCGTGGGGTCGTCTCCCTGCGGCACGACCCCCACGGTGCTGTCGGCCCGCACCTGGACGTAGTGGTTGCCCTTGACCCGGAGAAAGACCCGCGAGCCCGAGAGCTTGAGCACGTTGCTCACGACGGAGCGCGAGATGGCCTTGATCTCCTCAACCTGCTTGACGAGCGCGTCCACGTCCTCCTTGGCCAGGCGCTTCTCGAACGGCACGCGGCCCCGCACCTTGGTGAGCGTCTGCTTGCACCACTGCTCGCCGGTCATGCACCAGTGCGCCGCGTGCTCGCAGTTCTGCGTGAAGATGTTGAAGTCTCCGCGGCCCAGGCCCAGCAGGAAGCGGCAGCGCGAGAGCACGACCTCGGGCAGGTCGGCCTTGCTCAGGTGCACCTCGCCCCAGCGGGACAGCACCTCGCGCAGGCCGGACGTGTGGTACTCGACCAGGCGCAGGTGCTTCTGCTTGCGGTTGTCCAGGAACTCCTCGAGCGTCGAGATGCGGAAGCACGAGTCGGCCTGCGCCTCCTGGAAGCCCTCGAGCGGGCTCCACACGTGGCACACGCGGATGTCGGCGGCCGAGGCGCCCGAGGCCCAGACGATGCCGTGGTGCTGGTACGAGAGCGGCCAGCGACTGTAGTCCCAGATGCACACGTGGTCGCCGGGCCGCAGCGACGCCACGTTCAGCACCCGCGTGTACACGCCGCCCATGCCTGGCTGTCTGCCTACTGTAGTGCGGTACTGTGTGCACCCGTAGGGTAGATTAATGGCCGCGGCGATTAGAGAGACACTGAGCGCACTCCGGAGCCCGGCGAGCGTCGTGCAGGGAATGAGGAAGTGACCGATTCTGCGGCACTGCTCGACGGATGGGGCGGTCTGACTCGGGTGCTGTGTGGCGCCACTGGCGCGCCTGCAAACAGCCCAATTCCGCAGAAAAAAGCCGTTTGAGTCCGCTATTTCGCGATACCAACCCCTTTTACGAGGCTTGTTTGGGTACTGTACCGACTAGATGGTACAATGATCCCTACCCTTGAGTCCAAAACGAACCCTCGTTCCCGCCGTGCTGAGACACGAGCCGCATACAATCGCCACACAATGGCGCACACTCATACAGACTTCAAGCTCCAAGGCGTTGAGGCGGGGGCCGGCACCAGCGCCAGTACTTGCCGAGTCTTGCTGGTTGGTGGTCGCGGACCAGCTGCCGTGTGCAATCCTCGCGCTGTCAACCGCAGCCTGCACCGCAGGAGACGCGGGCTCCGCTGACTTCAGTTACCATTTGGCTGGGCGAGGCCCATTTTAGCCGCGAAAGGCCAAATCGCATGAAGCCGCCAGCGTTTTGTTGCTCGCGCCGTTGCTCACGAATATCCAGGCTGCCGTGCAGCATCCACCGTTGATTATCGCGCTTGGTTAATTCGTCGACAGAGCCTGGTGCTCCGGCGCACCCGATAACTCATTACTGCAGGATAAGTCTAGAAGACGTGTTGTACTTGAATTTCAAGTCTTGAAAGAACTGGGGGTGTGCTGTAAAACTTCTAATTGCGCCCCTGGGGTACATTGATACTGTAGTACACCCACACTATTAAGGTACTAATAAGCACTGCTCACTCAGCAGCAGAGGTTGCAAACTCCTGGCCGCACCCGGCCGAACATGTTCCTCGTATGAATTCGGATAGCCGTGGTGACTGAGGTAACTGGACGTGGTTGCCCGTAATTTTTTTCCGGGTATCCGTAAATTTGAATCGGATCAACTAATGAAGCTGCTCCAACCTCATTTTCTTCTTAGGGAACGAGCCAAACCGATGCTTTCTTGCGATCATTCGATCTATCTTGTCCTATAAACTGAAAATAATAGTTCGGTGACGGTGATTAAGGAGTTCTCGATTATGGCTGTCTCCGGATACCCGACCGAAGCTATACCACAATCCCGTTTGGTTGTCCATGCATGGTTAACCACGGGTACGGGTAAACGGCTGAAAAATGGACACCCTATTGCGACGTTTGCTCAGCAGTGCCTCATATCCCAATTGGATGTGGCGTTGTCGAAATGTTGCTTGTGGTCCGAGCAACTTTTTTTGGACGAACAAGGGTGCGTTGAAGTAGGCGGGGAGAGTTACTTGAAACAATATATATATATATAATATAAAGTACGTTCTGTTGTATTACAGATAGTGGTTACCTCGGTTTTACCATGCTATAATTTTCTTCACGGGAAGACTTTGGCAGCTCGTTGGCGGGCGGATGTGAAGCAAGCGCCGGATAAACTAATAAATATAATGCCCTCTTTGGCTACTTTACTAATGTTTTGACTAATTGAGTGAAAGGAGTGTGTTGGTGGCCCACTCCAACCAACAATCAGTATACCAAGTATGTGAGCTTACTCTCAGTACAACATAGGTGGTATTATAAGTATTACCTACTTGTTTTCATGCTGCAAATGACGAGTTCTCCATGCAGTTTTATGATAATAGTGTTCCTAATTGAAGATGTGATGTCGGAACGGAAGCTGCACTGATCTGCACGTGATGGCTTAGACCCAATTAATCAGCAGCTTCATTATATCCATTGAGAGAGCGGGGACGTCGGCCCCTAAGCAACGCGACTGAGATGCCCCACTAGTAGTAGTAATACAACTACTACTATCCAAATTCTGGCAATAGTAGAATGCATCTAGTTGACCATCATTCCGAATATCGACCGCAATGGCGCTTACTGGCCTAGTATGAGCTGCAACTGTAAGCGCGCGTTGCCCGTTCTCATCCTAAGAGGATTCCTCACGAAAGAACCGGTTTAGAACACGCTTGCCGACGAGCATTGTTCAAGCACGTGTAAGTTTTCGCGAACCTTCGCGAACCAACAGCACATCTAAATGTTTCCTGAAAGCTTCTCAACACTCCAAACATGAATGTTATGTTTTTTTATCTCGCACGATCTCCTTGAATAACATTTTATTGCACTCTTCATTATTGCGGTCGGCGCATTGCATGATCACTTTATTTTTTTTGCGGTTACCGCCAATAGCGCTCGGGGCGAGCACTGCATCGAACCCCGCTGACCGGGCCGCTCCATTGTGAGGTACTTAAGTTAGAGTAAAGTGATGACTTCTGAGTAACTTCACGAAAGGCATCTGGTTGGCTTTGGAAAAATGCCGTGCCCAGTATGGAAGCCTAGAAGGAACAGGAGGAGAGCACAGCGCAAGTATGCATGAGGAGAAGACCATCGGCATAAATATCCCAACGTGAAGAGGTTAATAGGAAATTTAAGCGCCATCAAGTCGAAGACAATACTCTAAACTGCTTGAAACACGCCTTTCACTTCGTTTGTGCCAGCTAAACAGCCAGCACCATACGTGATGGATGTCGCTTCAATTTTTTACAGCCAACTAACTCCAAAATAAATAATGTACTCAAAAGTAGAGCTTACTCTGACTGAAATAACACCTCAATAGTAGCCCCTCGTAGTCACTATCAAGAAGTTTGTATGGAAATAGCCCGAACCCTATAATGATTTTCGGCCGCCTTGAGACGTTGTTTCGGTCCGAGGAAGTCGAATCTCTGTATTAGGACTTTGTATGGGCTCGTCATCGGAAGCAACTTCTTTTTGGTGAAACAACATTTGGCAGTTATTCTGTGTTAATTGGCCAATGATCGACCACCTTGGGTAAAAAAAGGTAGTCGACAAAATTTTGTGGAGAATTTTAGATTTGATTTTTTTCTGAGGACTATGGTGAATTTTGAAGTGGGATCATACCAAAAAGTACGAGTTCATACAAGAATCTACGAGTTAATACCGAACAGTACGAGTTCATACGAAAATGTACGAGTTCATACTAAAAAATACGACTTCATACCAAAAGGTACGATGTGTGTGTACAATAAAGTACGACCTGGTCGGCTCCTCGCCACGTGTTCACTTTCAAATCGAGCACACTTTGCGGTGCTTGGCCATGTTCGACTTCGCCACGAGCTTAGGGCTCCCATTCAGGATTCCTCGATGCTTAGTGGTCAATACTATTTTTGACTGATCTCGCATATGATTGGCTGAAATAAAATGTTATTTGGCGTTATTTCAGGGAAAGAAGTTGAAGTACTTTACTCTTACTCAGAAGTGAGGATAATGTACTCAGGAGTAAGGACGATCCTTAAATGTACAGCTGGGTGTGGGCTCCTGGGAGTCGGTGTCTTCGCGTTAATGTCCTTGGTAACGCATGTGCGGCTGCGAAAGCTGCATGTCGAATTGCCCAGTGCAATCGAAGCTACCAAGACAACCACGAACAGCAGCGATACCTTTGAGATAATGTTCGTGCATTAGTGCATTTTTCACACTGCACGTTGCTGCGTACCTGTCGGTACACAACACGGATACGTCTCCGATATTGCGCTTTGGTGGCAATCGCTCTTCGCTCACTCACGTTTACGTGAGATTGGATTATTTGAAGTTCGAGGCGAATTACTGAGCAGATGGAGCCAAATGCAAAAGGGTTTACACCAGCACCTCCAATCCAAGCCTACGCATCCATAAACGTGTTAGATTTAACAAGGGCCTATTTGAAAATGAATACAAGTACCCTGTCGAGTTCGACGAAATTATCTACCAATGCTCTCATTGCGAGCTTCGTACTTGTCTGTCGGAGCATGACCACCGCCGACAAGCAAGTTCAACATCGAAGCCACAACAGGTCCTGCTGTATTGAACAGGAGTCACGATGAACCACTTGTTGGAAGAAAGTTGCTGTAGACACATTTACACGTGCAGCTTCAATCAGGGACTGACTTGAATCAAGGCGGGCGTCGAGAGCTTAACCAACGACCTCTTTCAAAGTCTACCAGTCATAGTGAAAGCATAAAAGCCCGCTAGCAAGTATCCTGAGCCGTCCATAATAATAATAATAAGCCGCCAAGAACGCATTGGAGTCGTGCTGTATTGCAGGCAAAGGCAACGCCTGATGCCAGCCTCTCGCTGAAGTTGAAGCGCACGGGTAGCAGAGACGGGCTGCTTGGCATCAGCCGGATAGACACGCACAGCGAGGTACGACGTTGACGTATCTTCAGTCGCGTAGCTTTGCCCATGCGGTAGCTTCTTCATCTCGCTCATTAGCGAAAAGTCCAAGCACCAAGGAAAGCTCCGTTCCAAAACCAAAGACAGCATGCTGTCGCGCTGTGCAGCCTCTTTCGGCCGTCGCCAGGGCCTCTCGATGGCGCGCCGATGGCTACCCGCCCTCGCTCAGCGCGAGTTCGCCAGCGCAACCCCGCGCAAAGGCATGCGCATCGGCTTCTTCTCAGCGCACAACTACGAGATCGACGCCATCAAGGCGCTGGCCAGCAACGCCGGCATCATCAAGGACAACGAGCTTGTGTACGTCAATAACCAAAGGGGAGAGAGGCATACGGTCGCTCAAAGACTGATGTATTGCTTTGCCCCATTGCAGTTTCTTCTCGAATCGACTTACGCAGCAGACCACGCAGCTGGCCGAGAACTGCGAGGGCGTCTGCATCTTCGTTAACGATGTCGCAGACGCCACTGCACTGCGTCGGGTAGGTCTTTCCTTACCGAGGTCGCTGTCATTGATTTCACGCCCTGCGCTAACCGCTGCGCCTGCTCATTCTACTATCCTCTGTAGTTACACGACCGTGGCACTCGCGTGTTATTCCTGCGTTGCGCCGGCTTCGATATGGTGGACTTGGAAGCGGCCAAGGAGCTCAACATGCCCGTAGTGCATGTGCCCGCGTACTCCCCGTATGCTGTTGCTGAACACGCCGCGGCACTTATGATGACGCTGAATCGCAAGACGCATCGCGCCTTCAACCGCACACGTGAGCAGAATTTCCGACTAACGGGCCTGCTGGGCTTCGACATGAACGGCAAGACGGTCGGTATCATCGGCACGGGCAAGATCGGCGCCATCTTTGCGCGCATTTGCAAAGGCTTTGGCTGCCGAGTGCTGGCAAACGACGTGGCCGAGAACCCGGAGGCGCTGAGCTATGGCGTCGAGTACGTGCCACTGGAGGAGATCTGGAGGGAGGCGGACATCATCTCGCTGCACTGCCCACTGTTTCCGAGCACCAAGTACGTGATCAACGAGAACAGCATCAAGCAGATGAAGGACGGTGTGATGATCATCAACACGAGCCGAGGAGCGCTGATCAACACGGACGCTCTCGTGGAGGGCATCAAGTCGAACAAAATCTCGGCTGCCGGTCTGGACGTGTTTGAGGGCGAGCAGGGCTACTTTTACTCGGACCGCTCGGGTGAAATCATCGCCAACGACATGCTGGCACGCCTGTTCACTTTCCCGAACGTGATCATCACGGGCCACCAAGCATTCTTCACGGAAGAGGCCCTGGACAACATTGCACGCATGACGATAGCGAACATTGCAGCGTACATTGCCAACGAGCCGCTGGTGAACGAGGTCAAGTGACTTAGGAGGGGCTGTATACAGCATTGAGTAGCCATTTGCGTGTCATATTACGTGCATATCTAACACGGTAACCTCAGAATAAACGACGTCAAATTGCTGGGTGTGCACGCGTTGTATGACATCGATATCACACTTGGAGGAGGCTGGCACTTACAGTGTAACCTTATCTTGCTAACTTGCGTCGAAATCTGAAGCAACTTCGACATGCCCTTCTTTGTATTGGCCACAATAAACGTCTTGATTACACTACGGTCCTATCCCATACTTGCCATGAAAGAAAATCACTGCCATTCCCGTTCAAATGTGTGTGTGTGGAGAGAGAGAGAGAGCGTTCGGATGAACGACACAGTACACGTCGCAAGAGCTGAAGCCATTATGAGTTCAGCCGACTCCTCGTTCGTCTGCAGACTGGAGTTCGTGCTGGAGGCTTCGCCAGTCACGCTTGGGCACTATGCGCTGACGCTCTGGTCCCTTGGCCGCCTCTGTCTTTGTCTCGCAGGTCACAACCGGTGTACCGCGCCCTGCATCCAATCCAAGTGTTAACGCGCTCGAAGCCGTGTTTCACACGCGGCGCCGCCTCTGTGCGTACTGCTGCGCAGAGAGCGCGGCTGCATACTCGCCGCTGGGACAGTCTATCGAAGTCCAGTGTATACGTGCCTGCCCACGTCCAATTTTAATCTAGCGCGCAAGACGAGCTGCATTTTTATTTGCAGGTACAGCATTCAGCGGCAAGCCGCCCGCCAAGGCCTTCTTCGGTCGCCAAGTTGGCGCGCGTTTTAACATGCTCGGCGCAGGGCGAGCGTCGCGCTGCAAGGGACACGCAGCAGTGCTGCTTGGCGCGACATGCCTCATAAGTGATTGTCCAGACGTATTTGGCCAAGTATGAGCTTTACTTTCTGCGGTGCACAGTACTTGGTCGTTTCAAAAAGGTCCACCACCACACCAAGCAGAAACGCAAAGAAGCGCGCAGCTGCCATCTGTCCTCACGGTGTCTGCAGGATCGGGCTTTCTCAAGGTTTGGCTACCTCGCACGCACCTTGCTCTCTCAGGGCGGCGCGGTGAGATGTTGACGTTCCTATTACGCTCAAGGACCGAGAAGATTCGGCCTCACCGCTCCAGTGCAGCGCGTCGGAGCTCATTCTTCTTTTCACCAAGAACACCACACCACCACCATCACCACAACCACCACCATGCAGATCGCCTTCTTCTCGTCGCACAGCTACGACATCGAGTCGATGGAGCGCATCGCCAAGGAGCAGGGCATCACCCCCGCCCACGAGCTCAAGTTCTTCGCCCCGCGCCTGGACGCCACGTCCGCCAAGCTGGCCGAGGGCTGCGAGGGCGTCTGCATCTTCGTCAACGACGTGGCTGACGAGGCCGCTCTACGCGTGCTGGCCGCCGGCGGCACCAAAGCCATGTTCCTGCGCTGCGCCGGCTTCGACATGATCGACCTGAAGGTCGCCAAGGAGCTCGGCCTGGCCGTCACCCGCGTGCCGGCCTACTCGCCGTACGCCGTGGCCGAGCACGCCGCGTCGCTCATGATGACGCTGAACCGCAAGATCCACCGTTCGTACAACCGCACGCGCGAGCAGAACTTCCGTCTGTCCGGCCTCCTGGGCTTCGATGTGCACGGCAAGACCATCGGCGTCGTGGGCACGGGCAAGATCGGCGCCCTGTTCGCTCGCATCGCCGCCGGCTTCGGCGCCAAGGTGCTGGGCTACGACGTGGTGCAGAACCCGGAGGCGCTGAGCTACGGCGTCGAGTACGTGTCGCTGGACGAGATGTGGGCCCGCGCCGACATCATCTCGCTGCACTGCCCGCTGTTCCCGTCGACCAAGCACACGATCAACGCCGAGAGCATCGCCAAGATGAAGGACGGCGTTGTCATCATCAACACGAGCCGCGGCGGCCTGATCGACACCAAGGCGCTGGTGGCCGGCCTCAAGAGCGGCAAGATCGGCTCGGTCGGTCTCGACGTGTTCGAGGGCGAGGGCGAGTACTTCTACTCGGACCGCTCGGGCGCCGTCATTGGCGACGAGACCCTGGCCCGCCTGTTCACGTTCCCGAACGTGCTGATCACCGGCCACCAGGCCTTCTTCACCAAGGAGGCCCTGGACAACATCGCTCTGACGACCTTCGCCAACGTGAAGGCGTACGTCGCCAAGGAGACTCTGGTGAACGAGGTCAAGTAAACCAATGACTTCGATTCGATAGCCGGATACCCCTCGTCGTATCTATCATAAATGCACATTTCAGTTTTGCCTAGACGTTGACTGCTCTTTGGTTCACAGTAAGATACTTACAGCAAAAACTGCCTGCTGGGTAAGGGAACGAAGCGAGATGAGCGGAGGAGCATGGCACTGATCTTACTATCAGCTTCTGCTTCTGTTGGGAGGTACTAGATATAATACTAGTACATCTTTGGACCATAACGAGTATTTTATTGCAGAGGCCGATCGCGTCAAGTTGTTGTGCTTCCAGTAAATTCGATCCGTATGATTCGAGTTGAATCCATCGTACATGTAGCGAATCGACTCAAGATCGAGCCGCTATACTATTACTATTTTCATAGCCTATGCGTCACGTGTATCCTATCCGTATCGGGACATCGGTGACGGAGACATAGCTTTGCCTTGACAAGCATTTATCGATGTTTTCCTCTTGACCACGACAGCTGCAGGCTAGTCTCTACATCCTTCTTATGCCGTTGCTTCAGCTTCCATCCATGCTGGAGCAACTGGTATCCATAGGATACAACACCATGTGCAAAGGTTACGGCCACGGTACTGTATGCAGAACAACGACAACGACAACAACAACAAAATTCGCTGTTCGCGTCTGTTGGTAGCATAGGTCAGGGGTAGCGACGGACGCTCGCCCTTTAGTACTAATGTTTGTATGCGGTATGTTGAAGTTGCAATGTTGCACTGTGCGCCTCGCACACAATGACTTTATTCGGCCGGGACCCAAAGGGCATGCATGTAAGTAGCGAACGCTGGTATGTCTGCGGTGTGAACTAGTTAGCTCACTATTCCCGCAATTGGGTGTCCTCTGGGGAACTGCAGGGTGTTCTACCATGACGATGATACATACAGTAGCTCTTTGTGCGTTTGCCGCAAACTCTACGCTGACAGGATGGTCAACAATGTCAAGACTGTCAAGACTGTCGACGCCACATGTGACTGGGATACAGATCCTGTCCTGTATGAAGGGAGGGCCATACCCTCGCGTCTATCCGCTGGGGCGGGCCCACAGCCAGCGCAGAGGGCCAGACCCTTTCCACAGCAACCGGACTGGCCCCGACCTACTGTATCCAATGGGTGTTGACGTCCGTTTAGCTAGGCTGCTTCCTGAGTCGGCCATGGTGCTGCTGCGGCCACTCTTCATTCTACAACTCGCTCCGTCGAGCACAAAGCACTGGGGCCAGGCCGTGACGAGCGACCTCTCTATTCGGATCAAGCTTTCGCCCACAACAACAAGAACAACTACCAGACAACCATGTTCAGCAGCAGCAAGATCTTCGCGATGTGCATCGCCGCCGTCGCCGTGTGCAGCGGGGTGCAGGCCGAGCAAGAGGCGGCCGAGGTGGCCGAGACGTTCGGTCTGCTGGGCCTCGGTCTGCTGGGCCACGGCGTCGGCGTCGGCGTCGGAGTCGGAGTTCCGGGTGTGGCCAGCGTGGGCGTCGGCGGCTATGGTCCGGGTGTCGTGAGCCCGGGTGTGAGCGTGGGCGTGCCGGGCGTGGCGAGCGTCGGGGTCGGCCTCCCGGGTGTCGGTGTCGCGCCCTCCGTCGGCGTTGGCGCTCCTGCAGGGGTTACCGTCGGCGCGCCGGCGACCGCCGTGACCGACGGAGGCGCCTATGCACCAGCCACTGCGACTGCCAACGCGGGCGCGCCTGCCGCTGCCAATGCGAACGTTAACGCGGGCTCTCCTCCTGCCAGCAACGGAAACGCGGTTGCCAATGCCAACGCGGGCTCTCCTCCTGCCTCCAACGGAAACGCGGTTGCCAATGCGAATGCCGGCTCGCCCCCCAGCTCGGTTAGCACTGCGAACGCCAACGCCGGTGCGCCTCCCAGCTCAGTTAGCACTGCGAACGCGAACGCCAATGCTGGATCACCGCCCAGCGCCGTTAGCACTGCGAATGCCAACGCGAACGCTGGCCCCGGCGGTAGCGGTGGCCCGGGCAGGACGACCACGACCACGGTGACCAGCAACGATGGCACCACGTCTGCGTCCACTTCGAAGACTGTCAGCAAGTACGACTGCGACCGCGAATGCAAAGGGTGGTGCGAGCGTTGGCCCGGGCCCAAGCAGCGGCAGCCCGAGCGGTGGTAGCCCGAGCGATGGACCGAGTGGCAGTCCGAGCGGCGGCAAGACGGGAACCGGCGCTGCCAACGCGGCGGCGCAGAAGGCTTACCGCAAGCTCCGCTCGGTCGAATAAGCGGTCTCACGGTAGCGAGGGCACGCGCAAGTTGAGGCGCGTATAACTGTTTATGAGTGTTAGTCGTCGTTCGCATGGAAATAAAAGTGCTGTGATCCTGTATGCCGTCGAGTGTTGTGATCAGTCTTCTTAGGTCAATAGGCTTATCATTGTCCACCTTTTGATCAAGTAGTGGGTTTTGGTGGCCTTGGTGGTTAGAGCAACGTTGTGTGGTGCATGTCCTGCAGATTGACCTGGAAACCGAAGTTGAATAATATAGCAGGACGTTTACGATGGATTGAAAAGCGCTAATTATCGTTTGTTGTCGCTCTAGTAGCACCCAACCACGAGATCCCAGTTGCCAGCGGTGTTGCCGCACCGCAGCACCGACTGTGAACACAGCACCACTGACGGCACCTGCGCCTATAAGAATATACGCGAATATATATATATATAGCAGGACATGCACCACACAACGTTGCTCTAACCACCAAGGCCACCAAAACCCACTACTTGATCAAAAGGTGGACAATGATAAGCCTATTGACCTAAGAAGACTGATCACAACACTCGACGGCATACAGGATCACAGCACTTTTATTTCCATGCGAACGACGACTAACACTCATAAACAGTTATACGCGCCTCAACTTGCGCGTGCCCTCGCTACCGTGAGACCGCTTATTCGACCGAGCGGAGCTTGCGGTAAGCCTTCTGCGCCGCCGCGTTGGCAGCGCCGGTTCCCGTCTTGCCGCCGCTCGGACTGCCACTCGGTCCATCGCTCGGGCTACCACCGCTCGGGCTGCCGCTGCTTGGGCCCGGGCCAACGCTCGCACCACCCTTTGCATTCGCGGTCGCAGTCGTACTTGTCGAAGTACTGCTGACAGTCTTCGAAGTGGACGCAGACGTGGTGCCATCGTTGCTGGTCACCGTGGTCGTGGTCGTCCTGCCCGGGCCACCGCTACCGCCGGGGCCAGCGTTCGCGTTGGCATTCGCAGTGCTAACGGCGCTGGGCGGTGATCCAGCATTGGCGTTCGCGTTCGCAGTGCTAACTGAGCTGGGAGGCGCACCGGCGTTGGCGTTCGCAGTGCTAACCGAGCTGGGAGGCGAGCCGGCATTCGCATTGGCAACCGCGTTTCCGTTGGAGGCAGGAGGAGAGCCCGCGTTGGCATTGGCAACCGCGTTTCCGTTGCTGGCAGGAGGAGAGCCCGCGTTAACGTTCGCATTGGCAGCGGCAGGCGCGCCCGCGTTGGCAGTCGCAGTGGCTGGTGCATAGGCGCCTCCGTCGGTCACGGCGGTCGCCGGCGCGCCGACGGTAACCCCTGCAGGAGCGCCAACGCCGACGGAGGGCGCGACACCGACACCCGGGAGGCCGACCCCGACGCTCGCCACGCCCGGCACGCCCACGCTCACACCCGGGCTCACGACACCCGGACCATAGCCGCCGACGCCCACGCTGGCCACACCCGGAACTCCGACTCCGACGCCGACGCCGACGCCGTGGCCCAGCAGACCGAGGCCCAGCAGACCGAACGTCTCGGCCACCTCGGCCGCCTCTTGCTCGGCCTGCACCCCGCTGCACACGGCGACGGCGGCGATGCACATCGCGAAGATCTTGCTGCTGCTGAACATGGTTGTCTGGTAGTTGTTCTTGTTGTTGTGGGCGAAAGCTTGATCCGAATAGAGAGGTCGCTCGTCACGGCCTGGCCCCAGTGCTTTGTGCTCGACGGAGCGAGTTGTAGAATGAAGAGTGGCCGCAGCAGCACCATGGCCGACTCAGGAAGCAGCCTAGCTAAACGGACGTCAACACCCATTGGATACAGTAGGTCGGGGCCAGTCCGGTTGCTGTGGAAAGGGTCTGGCCCTCTGCGCTGGCTGTGGGCCCGCCCCAGCGGATAGACGCGAGGGTATGGCCCTCCCTTCATACAGGACAGGATCTGTATCCCAGTCACATGTGGCGTCGACAGTCTTGACAGTCTTGACATTGTTGACCATCCTGTCAGCGTAGAGTTTGCGGCAAACGCACAAAGAGCTACTGTATGTATCATCGTCATGGTAGAACACCCTGCAGTTCCCCAGAGGACACCCAATTGCGGGAATAGTGAGCTAACTAGTTCACACCGCAGACATACCAGCGTTCGCTACTTACATGCATGCCCTTTGGGTCCCGGCTGAATAAAGTCATTGTGTGCGAGGCGCACAGTGCAACATTGCAACTTCAACATACCGCATACAAACATTAGTACTAAAGGGCGAGCGTCCGTCGCTACCCCTGACCTATGCTACCAACAGACGCGAACAGCGAATTTTGTTGTTGTTGTCGTTGTCGTTGTTCTGCATACAGTACCGTGGCCGTAACCTTTGCACATGGTGTTGTATCCTATGGATACCAGTTGCTCCAGCATGGATGGAAGCTGAAGCAACGGCATAAGAAGGATGTAGAGACTAGCCTGCAGCTGTCGTGGTCAAGAGGAAAACATCGATAAATGCTTGTCAAGGCAAAGCTATGTCTCCGTCACCGATGTCCCGATACGGATAGGATACACGTGACGCATAGGCTATGAAAATAGTAATAGTATAGCGGCTCGATCTTGAGTCGATTCGCTACATGTACGATGGATTCAACTCGAATCATACGGATCGAATTTACTGGAAGCACAACAACTTGACGCGATCGGCCTCTGCAATAAAATACTCGTTATGGTCCAAAGATGTACTAGTATTATATCTAGTACCTCCCAACAGAAGCAGAAGCTGATAGTAAGATCAGTGCCATGCTCCTCCGCTCATCTCGCTTCGTTCCCTTACCCAGCAGGCAGTTTTTGCTGTAAGTATCTTACTGTGAACCAAAGAGCAGTCAACGTCTAGGCAAAACTGAAATGTGCATTTATGATAGATACGACGAGGGGTATCCGGCTATCGAATCGAAGTCATTGGTTTACTTGACCTCGTTCACCAGAGTCTCCTTGGCGACGTACGCCTTCACGTTGGCGAAGGTCGTCAGAGCGATGTTGTCCAGGGCCTCCTTGGTGAAGAAGGCCTGGTGGCCGGTGATCAGCACGTTCGGGAACGTGAACAGGCGGGCCAGGGTCTCGTCGCCAATGACGGCGCCCGAGCGGTCCGAGTAGAAGTACTCGCCCTCGCCCTCGAACACGTCGAGACCGACCGAGCCGATCTTGCCGCTCTTGAGGCCGGCCACCAGCGCCTTGGTGTCGATCAGGCCGCCGCGGCTCGTGTTGATGATGACAACGCCGTCCTTCATCTTGGCGATGCTCTCGGCGTTGATCGTGTGCTTGGTCGACGGGAACAGCGGGCAGTGCAGCGAGATGATGTCGGCGCGGGCCCACATCTCGTCCAGCGACACGTACTCGACGCCGTAGCTCAGCGCCTCCGGGTTCTGCACCACGTCGTAGCCCAGCACCTTGGCGCCGAAGCCGGCGGCGATGCGAGCGAACAGGGCGCCGATCTTGCCCGTGCCCACGACGCCGATGGTCTTGCCGTGCACATCGAAGCCCAGGAGGCCGGACAGACGGAAGTTCTGCTCGCGCGTGCGGTTGTACGAACGGTGGATCTTGCGGTTCAGCGTCATCATGAGCGACGCGGCGTGCTCGGCCACGGCGTACGGCGAGTAGGCCGGCACGCGGGTGACGGCCAGGCCGAGCTCCTTGGCGACCTTCAGGTCGATCATGTCGAAGCCGGCGCAGCGCAGGAACATGGCTTTGGTGCCGCCGGCGGCCAGCACGCGTAGAGCGGCCTCGTCAGCCACGTCGTTGACGAAGATGCAGACGCCCTCGCAGCCCTCGGCCAGCTTGGCGGACGTGGCGTCCAGGCGCGGGGCGAAGAACTTGAGCTCGTGGGCGGGGGTGATGCCCTGCTCCTTGGCGATGCGCTCCATCGACTCGATGTCGTAGCTGTGCGACGAGAAGAAGGCGATCTGCATGGTGGTGGTTGTGGTGGTGGTGGTGGTGTGGTGTTCTTGGTGAAAAGAAGAATGAGCTCCGACGCGCTGCACTGGAGCGGCGAGGCCATTGTCTAGGCGGTCGTCGATCTCGCTTACTCGGTGCTGCGACAGACAGTCATGCCTGCTTCATTTTTAATCACTTTCCTCTTGGCTTGCTTGTCTTGGCGCTGCGTGTCTTTAGATTGGCCCGGCCTGCCATTTAACATGCTCTTCGCATTGCGAGCTTCGAGCAAGCAAGACCGTCTTGCCAAGACGTCGAGTTCTGCTTGGCACAAGTGAATGTCCATTCGTCCTCTCCTATTGGACCCAATATGGTCCAAATGCTAGGCGGTACTTCTGCAGACTACGGTACGCTTTCGTACCAAGAAAGGTCCACCGCGACACCAAGCAGCGTCAGAATTGCAGAGAAACGCGCCATCTCAAGGTTTGGCTACCTCGTACGCACCTCGCTCTCCGAGCAAGCAGGACGCGGGACCAAGCACCAAGACTCGGCCTCGCCGCTCCAGTGCAGCGCGTCGGAGCTCATTCTTCTTTTCACCAAGAACACCACACCACCACCACCACCACAACCACCACCATGCAGATCGCCTTCTTCTCGTCGCACAGCTACGACATCGAGTCGATGGAGCGCATCGCCAAGGAGCAGGGCATCACCCCCGCCCACGAGCTCAAGTTCTTCGCCCCGCGCCTGGACGCCACGTCCGCCAAGCTGGCCGAGGGCTGCGAGGGCGTCTGCATCTTCGTCAACGACGTGGCTGACGAGGCCGCTCTACGCGTGCTGGCCGCCGGCGGCACCAAAGCCATGTTCCTGCGCTGCGCCGGCTTCGACATGATCGACCTGAAGGTCGCCAAGGAGCTCGGCCTGGCCGTCACCCGCGTGCCGGCCTACTCGCCGTACGCCGTGGCCGAGCACGCCGCGTCGCTCATGATGACGCTGAACCGCAAGATCCACCGTTCGTACAACCGCACGCGCGAGCAGAACTTCCGTCTGTCCGGCCTCCTGGGCTTCGATGTGCACGGCAAGACCATCGGCGTCGTGGGCACGGGCAAGATCGGCACCCTGTTCGCTCGCATCGCCGCCGGCTTCGGCGCCAAGGTGCTGGGCTACGACGTGGTGCAGAACCCGGAGGCGCTGAGCTACGGCGTCGAGTACGTGTCGCTGGACGAGATGTGGGCCCGCGCCGACATCATCTCGCTGCACTGCCCGCTGTTCCCGTCGACCAAGCACACGATCAACGCCGAGAGCATCGCCAAGATGAAGGACGGCGTTGTCATCATCAACACGAGCCGCGGCGGCCTGATCGACACCAAGGCGCTGGTGGCCGGCCTCAAGAGCGGCAAGATCGGCTCGGTCGGTCTCGACGTGTTCGAGGGCGAGGGCGAGTACTTCTACTCGGACCGCTCGGGCGCCGTCATTGGCGACGAGACCCTGGCCCGCCTGTTCACGTTCCCGAACGTGCTGATCACCGGCCACCAGGCCTTCTTCACCAAGGAGGCCCTGGACAACATCGCTCTGACGACCTTCGCCAACGTGAAGGCGTACGTCGCCAAGGAGACTCTGGTGAACGAGGTCAAGTAAACCAATGACTTCGATTCGATAGCCGGATACCCCTCGTCGTATCTATCATAAATGCACATTCCAGTTTGACTTGCATATCGATTTCTTGCTTGTGTTCTGTGCACATGCTACTTTGGGTTGTACTACAACTTGTAGGCGTGGAAATCATTTGTTGGTAGCAGTCGCGTTCACCGTTACCGTTGACGAACGAGCCAAGGTTTCAGCCACAACAACTTGCAGCTTCAGGTAATTAATCGACGAGTTGTTGTTGAGGCTGCCAAGGACTACATCCGGGTGTTGTCTGCAAATAAACGAAACACGCGTAGCTGGCAATCGTCGCCGTTCCCGAATCCGGCTCACCCTTCGTTGTTAAGCTTATAACAAAAGACAAATGACAGGGATACTGTCACTTGCACTGCCAGTGATACAAATTCCCCAGTGCGCGATAGATCAGTTATCATGCAGTTGATATTCAAGCCTGGTCGCCTTGTACTTCGACGGGGGAACTCGCATCTTAGCGAGAGGACGAGGCACCGAAAAATACGCGATGAAGTTGACTACCAGGCGTGCAAGTATCTAGCACACCCGGCCATCGTCACCAGACTGGTCTTGATGGCACTCGGCAGCAATGTAAGAAATCAAGCACCAGTGAATACATACCCACTTGCAGTCTCGGTCTACTGAACATGCACGGAGCCTGTGGTGGAATCCTCACCTGCGAAGTGGCCGCCGCATGTTTATCGGCGTATCCGAGCTGCAACGGTGACACCTTCGCGAAAGTCTTTGTCCAAAATCCTTATTGTCTTGTCTCTATTATAGTTTACATGTTGAAGTGAACGACTTTTGCGGCTGACGGTCATCGCCAGTGGGCCGTTTCAAGTCAGCCGTTGCTTGGGCGGATCGCAAAAACACGCACTTGCGATCCTCGCCCAACAGCCGCATAGCCGTACTGTGAGAGGCCTCGTGGCTTTGATGCGCACGCGCACTCGCCCCGGCGGCAATGGCGAGGAGCGTCTCATTCTCGCTTTTGCCAAGACCCGAGCAAGCCCCGCCAAGCCCTCCCAAGCCTCGCACCATGAAGATCGCCTTCTTCTCCACGCACAGCTACGACATCGAGTCGATGGAGCGCATCGCCAAGGAGGACGGCGTCTCTCCCCAGCACGAGATCACCTTCCTGGTGCCTCGACTCGACCACACCTCCGCCAAGCTCGCTGAGGGCTGCGAAGGTGTCTGCATCTTCGTCAACGACGTCGCCGACGAGCAGTCGCTGCGCGCGCTGCACGCTGGCGGCACCCGCGCCGTGTTCCTGCGCTGCGCCGGCTTCGACATGATCGACCTCAAGGTGGCCAAGGAGCTTGGCATGTCAGTGACGCGCGTGCCGGCCTACTCGCCGTACGCTGTGGCCGAGCATGCTGCCGCCCTGATGATGACGCTGAACCGCAAGATCCACCGCTCGTACAACCGCACGCGCGAGCAGAACTTCCGCCTTGCCGGGCTTCTGGGCTTCGATGTGAACGGCAAGACCATCGGCGTTGTGGGCACGGGCAAGATTGGGGCCCTGTTCGCTCGCATCGCTGGCGGCTTCGGTGCCAAGGTCCTTGCGTACGACGTGATGCAGAGCCCGGAGGCTCTTAGCTACGGCGTCGAGTACGTCAGCCAGGACGAGATCTGGGCTCGCTCCGACATCATCTCGCTGCACGCGCCTCTCTTCCCCACCACCAAGCACATGATCAACGCCGACAGCATTGCCAGGATGAAGGACGGTGTCACCATCATCAACACGAGCCGTGGCGGTCTAATCGACACCAAGGCGCTGGTTGACGGGCTCAAGAGCGGCAAAATCAGGGCCGTCGGTCTCGATGTGTTTGAAGGTGAGGGCGAGTACTTCTACTCAGACTGCTCTGGTGGAATCATCGCGGATGAGACCCTGGCTCGCCTGTTTACTTTCCCGAACGTGATCATTACCGGCCACCAGGCATTCTTCACCAAGGAAGCCCTGGACAACATCGGCCACACCACGATGGCCAACATCAAGGCGTACGTGGCCAAGGAGCCGCTAGTCAACGAGGTCAAGTAAAATTCGCCTTGAGGTTGAAACTGACTATTGGCCCCGCGCTCATGGCTGGCTCAGTGTGTAGCCTTCTTGCATCGAGTTCCGTTCATCCCGCTTCCTCAAGGACTTAATACATGAAATTTCTGCGTTTATCATTGAGCGTTGAGCATTGCGGAAGCTAGGGAGTCGCCTATGGCCACCATCTTTGCCACTGGAACAGGTCCAATGCACAGCGAAACGAACTGGACGGGACCTCGAACATGCTGCAGAAATGTCAAGCTCTACGAGTCTAGTTAGGGACCATACCATCAACGTCAGGCTATACTGCTGCTGCTTGGCGTACCTCGTCCTCTTGCTTTAAGTCCAAGGGCCGAGTCGCAGCATTTTCGGTTGTAAACTGACGATGCGCGGCAAACCGACAGAGTTCTCGCCACCAGAAGTTCCTCGACAAGCCCTTCGCGGCAAAAGGGAGCTTCAGCCTAGCTACTTCGCCCTTTATCACCGTCTCCCAAGCAGGATTGAGGTAAGCCACCGTTCTGCAGGACGGCGAAGGTGTGTCTCCGAGGCGAGAAGCATACGCACTAGGCGTGGCAGATTAATGGCATGCATGGATTAGACTTGCATCGTGAGAGCAGGAAGCAGCTTCCACTAAGAACGTACCAAACCAGATTATCAGGAATACCTTCTAGAGAGCGATTTCCCTCTCTTACGCGAGCTTTAGATCGGTAAGGCAGCAACTTATCTGCCTGCAGTAGTGAAAACAACGTAAGCCCCCCCCCCACTCATTCGCACAAATAGGACCACCCCCATACGAACCGCATCGCGGAGCGCCTTGTCTTCTCCAGCGTTGCCTCTAAAAATGCCGATGAAGGTGATCAACGGGCCTCTAGAGCTGTTACGAATCACCACCTTGACGTCCGCTTGGGTCCGTTTGAGGTAGACTCGACCAATGTGGTGCGTGTAGTTGCTCTCCCTTCGCCCAACACACTCCCCCAGCACAGTCAAAAGCACCAGCTCTCTTGAATCAAGTATCTTCGATCCTTCTGGCCGGAAGTATTCACCCACGAGTTCGCCGTTCTCGAGCCACGCGCCTTGTATCAAACCATCGCTTTTGTCGATATCAATGCCATCTAGCTGTCGATACGCCACTACATCTCGCACAGGGCGTCCAGAAACGAAGCGAGGGTCTACATCAAACTGCTTGACTATAGCGTCCAGTATTTCCACTTGCTTTGAGATGGCTGCGCGAAGCTTGGACGCGTCCCACTCGCGCAAGTTGCGCCGCCCGATAAGCAGCAAAAGAGCGTCGAAAACCGTACGCAACATACGTCGAACCATTACCCTGCTAGACGGACAGTCATTGCAAGGCTTATCTGACGCAATAACCAGCAACATATCGATCGGTGTCATCTCATAGACGACGGAGCGGTGCTTAGTCTCGAGTGCTAGCAGCTGCAAGTCGACGGCCGAGCCGTTCTCGCGTCTTGCTGCGTGATACAGCGCGCTCATTACGCCCACCGCCGCGCTAGGAGGTGCTTGAACGTCGCCATACCGTCGAACCAGCAGCGGGATGCCGTCGCCACTCACGAGCAGCAACAGCGCGTTCGGCGGCGGCGTCTCCTCCGGATCCACCTGCATCGCTTCAAGATATGGCTACAGTTGTGTGTGAAAGTCAGGTCGACTGTGTGGTCCACCTGGATAGGTACACTGTACCAGCCAGCACAGTGCTTTGAATGGCCATTGCACCAAGTTGACCACCAGCAAGAGCAAGTGGAGACCGACGAGTGTAGCCAAGTAGCGACCATGAGCACGCAGCGCGGCAACGTCAAGAAGCGCGCGCCCAAGCACCAGAACGCCTTCGCGTTCAAGCACAACCCCAAGTCCAAGAAGACGGAGCGCATCATGTCCATGCCCATCCACGGCCTCTGCGAGAAGTGCCGCAAGCAGATCGAGTGGCGCAAGAAGTACCGCAAGTACAAGCCGCTCACGCAGCCCGGCTCCTGGTACGCCGCACCGCACTGCACTGGGTTGCACTGCTCTTCGTATTGCACATACTAATTCATTGCTGTCCTCTGTGTTTTGGCTGCAGCATCTACTGCCACCAGAAGACCGTGACTTCCGCCTATCACGCGTCCTGTGACCCTTGTGCCAAGGTAGGAAGACAATTGCAACTAGCACTGTCGGTACTGCGATGCACTGACCATTGCGGGGTGATTTTTACTGCAGGAGCGAGACATTTGTGCCAAGTGCTGTTTGTCCAAGGAGATCGTCGCAAGGTGCGTTTGGCTGTTGTGCATCCTGTCTCCCAGTGGCAGTTGATGTGCTTGTTGCAATGCAGCACTGTACTGACATGGACTCGCGTGGCTATTGTTGCCGTTGCTGTTGCCATTGCAGTGAGCAAGAGTTGTTGGCGGAGCACGAGAAGAAGGAGCGCGAGTTCGAGAACCAGCTGGAGGGCATGCGCGAGCGCGACCGTCGCGCGTATTTGCGCAAGCTGGAGAAGGAGAAGGAGGCAATCACCAACGGAGAAGGCGCCGGTGGTGCTGAAGGCAACGGCTACGAGTCCTACGACGAAGAAGACGACGAGGGCATGCAGTGATAGGCATCAGGTCCAAGTTGCATCCTCCAGGAGGACAGTTTTTGACCAATAAAACATTTTTTTTACATGCTCATTTTTCATTTTCGCTCCGACATCATGGTGTCGCAGTCGACGCAGGAGGCGTGGGACCACTGGTGGCACGAGACCAAGAGCGGCCGCATCAGCACCTACGTGTCCATCGTGCTCTTCTTCCTCTCCACGGTGCTGGCCAACCCCATCGCGCGCTGCCTCTTCTGGAGCGTGCGCAAGGCCTGCCCCAAGAAGTGGATGTACGTCCGTGTACATGTATAGCAGAATTCTGCTGCTGTCCGCACAAGTGTATTAACTCTGCAATTCTGCTCTCACTATACGATGTTACGCAGTTGGCCCGATGACGCCCGGCGGATGATGATGTGGCAGACGTCGCTCGTGTGCCGCGTGGGGCTGCTGTGGATCGCCATCCTCGTGTCGCGGCTGTCGCTGCTGCTGTACGAGTGGCCGGCCTGGATCTTCGGCGTCTGCTTCATCATCTGGATGGACGCGGGGGGCAACGTGCTGCGCGAGGTCATCGTGCGCAAGGGCGTGGTGGGCTACAAGAAAGACGAGAAGGCCGGCCGCATGACGCTGCTGTACGAGGGCACGACGCTGGCCAAGATGCTGCTGCTCGTGCTCATCGTCTACACGTACTACGTGGCCCCTCGCATCGAGGAATCGAGCGAGCTCAGGCTGCTCTTCTCCGTGGGCTTCTTCGTGTCCATTGCGCTGGCTGCTCTGCCATTGGTACGGGCCGTGACGCTGGCCGATATATATCTTTGCTGTTTTACTGATCGTATTGCTGTGTGGGTTTCAGCTACGCAACGTCATGGGCGCCCACTACATGTTCCTGACCAATATGCTGCATCTGGACTCGCGGATCTACTTGCACGGGTCGAGGAAGGGGAATATCTGCGATGCCCCGCTGGGCTTTATTGTGCTGGCCACGCCGGACAATACCAAGACTTTCATCCCCGCGGGCGGCACCGTCAGCAACACTACAGAGGTGTTTCACAAGTTCCTGTGGCCGCTGCGCTTGGACGTCCAGCTTCCTGCTGATATCCCGGCCAAACGAGTGCGCAAGTTCGTGCAGGATATGGACCAGTTGCTGTTCTGGGACCCGGTTGTTGTCCTTGCGGCCGACGGAACTGCGACGCTGGATGCTGACGGAACTTCGTCCTTCATGGACGCGTCGACTCCGCGAGAAAGCCTCAGCGTTCGGGGATTCGCGAACGCGGGGCAGATGGAAATGGCGGCCAAGTTATTGTTTGATGAGAACCAACAGGAGGAAGAGAGGATTATACAGCGAGCACGAGGCAACGAGGGCTACGTGGCGCTGGAGCCCAACAAGCGCTGGGTGATCCAGTTCAGAACGTTTGTACAGGCGAAACAGAAGACGCACTTCCGGCAAACGCGTGCCGCGGTGAGTCCATGCATCCTGAGTTTACCCAAAGCACCAGCAGCTTTTCACTAACCAACTGACATTCGTGTGTGTTACCTATCTGCGTTGACTACTTTGTTGCACACAGTACATTGAGGCCATCACAAAACTAATGGAGAAACAAGGGACCGCGTTTGGGTCCCGAGCTGCAGTGACTGAGCCCCAGCTGGCAGATGGAGATTGAAGCCAACGCGGAAGCTTAGCCGGCAACTGCACTGATAAGTCAAGTATCCTTTTGCTTTTCCCGCACCTGGTCCAAGCGCATGCTGACCTCAATGGTCGACATGTACAGAGCAAGATCTCCGTCATCAGGAAGAACCTGGAGGAGGTCCTCGGGGCTGAGCGTCAAGCACACGTGGTTGAGAATGCTCTCCAGGATCGCGCTTTCGTCGTGGAATGTAGCGCCATCCGCCTGAAAAGCGAGACGTAAGGTAAGAACACGTTGAGGAGCACTAAGTGTCAAAAGATGGTGATGACACGTACCTCTGTTGCGTTGTCTGAAATGGATGATAGAGTGCTGATCAAGAAGCGCCATTCATCCAAGGTAACGCAAAAGCTCTTGCCGTACGGCAGGAATAAATTAACGAAGTCAGCGCGTTTTGCAATGAGATTCAAGCCGTCCACCGTTCTGTAGCACAAACAGATTAGTACTTATACTCATCGTGAAAGGAGCAAGATCATCGGCAAGGCTGCGTACCTGGACACGCGAGGCAAAGTCAAGAGAACAACAAGTGCAGCCAGATCGTTCTCAAGGTTCCACCCCGCCACGTCGGGTGACTCCGAATCCGCCACCTCATACACTGATAGTACGTCCTGAGGATGGATGAGGTCCTTCTCGTGAAGCAGTCCCAACGCTTGGTAGAAAAGAAACCCAAGCGTTCTGCGCAGTCTAGGGGCCACCGACAGACAACGCGTTTTCAGATACTCTTGCACCCAGCCAGGAAGGAATCCATGGGTAGTTGACTCCGAAACCATCGGCTCAAACAAGTCGCACACCGTAGACTCCACACGCCTGCCTTCGTCGTTACTCTCTGAGCCATTGAAACATGAGCTTAGAGTGACGCAAAGGCGCGTAAGCTCCGCTGCCACAGCTGCCTTGGCGCTATGCAAGTCCTCTTCGTCATCTTGCACCTCTTCCTTCTCCGAAAGTTTTTCAAGTGTCGGGAACATCTGAAGTACGAACACCAGGAAGCGCAGCACTAGCGCTTGATCAGGAACGAACGACGAGTTGCCCTGACCAGCATCATCACACGACGATCCGCTCGAAGCAATCCTCGCTGCCGACGGAGCCGCGGCATCACCAATTGCGTTCAAGCAGAATAGCAGCGTGGACTGGATCGTTTCCTGACGCCCGATGGCGTTGTTGAAAATTTGCTCCAGGATATCCAGATACTTTGACGGAGCATTTTCCAGCAGCGCCTTGGTCAACGTGGAGCTGGAGAAGCGCCGACTGACGCCAGTTTCCCGCTTTTCTTCCTCTGAAAGAGGAATCTCTTGAATAAGCAGATCCGGATGCGTGACTGTCAGGTGGACGAGCGCGTCGACGCGATTCGCGAGCAAGTCGTTCACCAGTGCAAGCATGGACGGATACGAACACTGCTCGACGAAATCCTCAGTAGACGCCCCTTGTGAACTTTTCAGAGCGTCCCAAGCCTCAACCGAAAATGAGGTTGCGCGCAGCACTAGTACGAGCCTCGCGATCTTGACGAGGATGCTGTGGCTAGACGACTCGTTTAACTTCTCGAGCGCGAACGCGATATCTTCCAGCGTCCATTTCAATGAGGAGTCGACAATCAGGCGAGAAAGTTGCTCCGGGAAGTATTTGCCGTAGTGTAACAACACAATCCTCGTAAACTTGGCGTCAGTTGAGCTTGAATCTTGAATCAGCTGAGGAGCACAAATATCTGCGAGCGATTCTGGAGAGGGGAACACAAAGGCTTCCAGATACTCCCCCGTAGCTCTAATCACCTCCGACCGATCCACAGTTCCGACGATAGCTTGGAGGCGGTGCATCACGTCAATGGACGAGACGTTCGACGCCACAAACAGAAGAGCAGCCCTCTCTAAGTTGCGATGGTGCTTCGACATGAACACTGCTGCTAGATCCGCCGCACATTCCCTGGCGAGGCGGTCGTACAACTTTGTCTCCAGCTCAAGAGCCAACCTCTCCTTCCGGTCCGATATTGAAGCTGCAACCTCCTTTCGAGCAGCTTCATTGTTAATGGCAAGGCGGAGGAGATCGAAACCCACATCCGCGCGGTAACGATACAGCGAGAACAAACTCAACAGCAAGTCGATCTGGAACGGCTTCATATCTCCGTCGGTAGATAGCACGCCTTGACGCACGTAGGAGAATACCAGCGACGGTGGGCTTTGCTGGAAAATCATGATGCTACGCTGAGATGGGTCTTCCTCGAAGTCGAGAGGTGGACGCATTTCGAACTCGGCCTCCGGCAGACGCTCGGCTGCAGCTAGACTCGCCACATGGACGATGTCATTTGGCCTCTGGTACGCCAACGAGTTCACTTGCGGGAGCAAGACGACGTACGAATCGAGAGCCGCTAGCTGCGATACCGGATACGGAATCGGCTGGGTGCAAAGGAGTTGCGGCTGCGAAGGTTGGGGCACGAGCGACTTGCTGAGCGCACGACTGGCTGCCACGTAGTGACACGGACTCCAAATGGACCACACTTGTAGCCCTGACAGAGTCGCGACAAACAGGAAAGAGCTGTTGGCCGTGATACTGGTGACCGCTGACGTGAAGTTGTAGTGCATCACCACGCGCCCAGACTCCGTCGAGCCATCTGCCTCAGCATCGCCCTGGTCTTCATCCTCCTCGACGCTGGTAAAAGAGTCTCGACTCTTCCCCACGACCACCTTCCCCACTTTGATGGGCTTGTGCATGCCCCTCGACCGCGTGCGCTCGTCCTTGCCCAGCACCTTCTTGGACATTTTCTTCCTCGTTGAATCCACTTCCTCCGACAAGAAGTAGTACAGGAATGCGTGCTTCTCCGTCGCTACCAGCAGTCGCGTGTAGCTCCTCGTCTCGACACAAACTCGGTTGTCGATAGTCTCTGGCAGGAACTTGAGCGAGCGAACGCTGTGGTTCGGCGGCAAGTAGCGCTGCAGCAGCACGCTCACGTCGTTCTCCCCAATGAAGTACGACATGGCCTGGTTCGTGCGGATATCCTGGCTCTTGACCAATCCCGCCAGGTTCCACACCTCCTGCTGAGCCTCATTGCGGCCCAGCACCATGGGGATCTGCTCCTGCTCGTCAAAGATCCGCTGCTCGTCCTGTTCGCGTCTGGTGTCGGCTTCCATCGTGCTGTAGGCCGAGCAGGACACGGGCACCTCCACGAACGCATCGAGGTCTTCGAAGCTCGTGATTTGGACGCACTGCGAAGAGTCCTCAGGCACGGCGGCATCTCCGTCCTCCTGCCTGCCGCTCCAGTCCTCGAGCGCCATCGTCTTGTCCAGCGTTGCGTCAAGCTTGGACACCTCCTCCACGTCCTTGGAGCTTCTGACGTGGATCTCCATGACGCGCACCTCCGTCTGCGAGGCGAAGGACACGTAGACGCCGTGGATGGCCACGTACTCCACCTGCATGAAGGCGTGGCGCTGCGCCATGTCCACCTTGAGCTCCATGACGTGCTCGAAGAAGCCGCGGCTGCATTGCCAGATGTTGAGCACGGAGCCCATGGCCACCACGACGCGCCCCGTGAAGCTGCAGACGGCCACGCAGTCGGCCTTGCGCTTGGACGACGGGCTCTCGAGCACGCCCAGCGGCAGCGTGTAGCCGCGCACCATCTTGCGCTCGCGCCAGTCGTGGTACACGCACAGGAAGGTCTCGGCGTCCTCGTCGTCGCCGTCATCTCCCTCCTTGGCGTCGCTCTCCAGCGTCACGAGGCTGTCCGAGAAGCTCGTGTAGTGCAGCGTGTACACGCGGCTGTGGATGGCCGCGAACTCGTGCAGCAGCGCCGAGCACGACGCCGCGTACACGCGGATGACGCCCTCGCGGCCGCTGGCCACGGCGAAGGTCGCGTCCGCCGTGGTGCGCGACGCGCTGGCCAGCGTCTGCGCATCCTGCGCCGCCGCCCCCAGCGCCAGCGAGCGCACGAACAGCGACTCCATCGCGAGCTTCGGGCGAGGGAACTACAGCGTTGGGGATCAGTTGAACGTGGGTACTTAAACGAGGTGCGCGTATGCTTGCGTATTTAACCAAAACGATACTTAGTGGAAGACTTTTGCTAGTCGCCGCGACTTCGACATGGACTTCCACCATTGACCGACGCTACCGAGTAGCTCACCCTTGTCGTGCTTGTCGTCGTTCCGTTGCCGCGAGCACCATTTTTTTGCTGTGCGAACGCGTCAGATGCGCCGAGTCGGAAGCTTGTGCGGTTGAAGCGCCTGCGCCGGCAGTCGATCGATCTCACTGCGCTCGACAAGTCGGCAAACGGAGCCCTTCCTTTCCTTCTGCGTGTTGCGATAGTTGCGCGTCGTCGACTCGAGCGCTGATAACGGTCGAGGATTTTTGTTGCTAACGCTGCTCCTGTTTCATTGCGGTTTCGACCAGCGCATTGACTTGACTAGCAAGTGCTGGTGCTGCAGCACTTCATGTAGCTTGCAGCGGAGCCCCTGCTCAAGAAGAGTGGAGTTAGCGGTGGTGCTTTGCATCAGCGCGTGCATGGTGCCTTGCTGATGTGGATGCCATCATCTCTTGACGCCTTTGACACCACGTAAAGGCTCGACACCTCGAGCGCGTGTGGCTTTGAGATGACCAAGCAGCGACGGCGCCAACTAAAACTGCATTCGCGCGATGCGGCTGCGCCCAATTCCTGGTTCAGAACTTCCTGGCTCGGCTTCCTTGCAGTCAATTGCAAAGGACTGTGCTCAGCGCTGAATCTGGGGTGTGCTTGCCCCGGATCCATCGCTGAAGGCGGCGTTGTTGGCCGAGAAGGCGAACGCCGGCCGAGATGTGGTCAGCACTGATAGGAGCGAGCTCGCGCACGCCAGCTCCGGAGATGGCGACAGTCCACAATCGCTAACCGTTCGACCAAGTACCGAGGCGACGGGCTGGTGTTGGGCCTTCATGGCTGACCGGAGCAGTCTGCGAAAAGCGCTCGAGTGCAACAGCGGTCGCTTGCCCTCTGTCACTTCAACACTACAGCTATCTATTATCTACACGCCATGGCGCTGCTGCAGATCAGGAACACCCACAACGCATCAGCCGCCCAGCAAGCAGACCCGTCGGCGCTGCCGCTAGCGCTGATCAAGAAGACGCCGCTGCTCCCGACGCTGAGCGCGCGCGGCCAGTTGGCGTCCATGACCAAGAGCTTTTTCGCCAAGGCGTTCCCGTCGCCGCACAGGAAGCTGTGGGGCTTCCAGAGCAGCCCCACGGGGGCCGACGACCCGACCGAGGCGAGCATGGCGGCCGATGAACAGGACGAAGACGCCGCGCGCGGCGAGATCTGCGAGATCATCGTGGTGGCCATCCAGAAGGTCACCGATTCGGCCACCGACGACGCCGCAGAGAACGACCGCGTGAGCTGCATCGGGCCCGGCAGACTGCACAAGTCGTCGATCTGGGGCTCCGCCAAGTGGTCGCAGGGCCAGTTGCAGTTGCCGCACCGCGTGGCCTGCACGGTGCGCAGCGGCACGACGACCAAGGTGTCCGCGCAGCCCGAGCGCAGCGACAACGAGTTCGTGTTCGACGAGAAGTTTGTCTTTGAGAGGCGGGAGAACGACGCGCAGTACCACCACGTGACCATCGAGGTGGCCAACGTCGGCTTGGGCAGAAAGCACCAGCTTGGCCAAGTGGCGGTGGACCTGGACGCCGCGTTCGCCGCGCAGGCAGCGGGCCCCATCTACCGACACAGCGCCTTGACGACGGCGGACGGCTCCGAGTCGAGCGTCGAGATCCACTACGTGCTTCACCGTCTGGTAGTCAAGAATGCTTCGGCCGCCGCGGCTTCCCGCGTGCTCACTCGGTCAAGCACCAGCCTCAACGACGACGAAGACATGGACGCCTGCGGGCAAATCTTCCCCGATTTATGGTATCTTTGCTAAGGTTGCAGTCTGCGGCAGCAGCAACTTGCTGCCAGCAAGTAAATAAGTAAGAGCGTAATATCACGCAGTTCTCTCTCCATCCTATCCAACACATCGTGCGTTTTACGGTAGTTGCTCGTTCGTTGCACGACGGAGCTCCGGTTCATGATGAACCGACCGCCACGTACCTCGTTGGCATGTTCGAGGTCGGTGCCAGCAAGGCGCGGAGCAACAGCAACAGTCGGTCTGCGGCGGCCAGCGCGTGCTGGACGGGATTTAGTCACTCGCCTCGACCGTCGAGGCCCGACGCCAGTGACGCCGCAGTATGCACGAACGAATTCCTACTGTGCATGCCCTTGCTGCGAGCGTATCTGCCACCACCAAGCAGCAAACACATGGCGAGCGTCACCGAAAGTAGAGACCGAGGCCGTCAGCTTCGTATGGCTCGGTCCGCCTTGGCTCGGCTTTTACGACGCTGACTGCGCCAGGCGTGCGGATGCAAGGCGGGAGCGCGCAAGTCTCCGCTACTGTACGTCGAGCGGGCTCAAATGCTGCGACTGGCATCGTTGCGTTGAAGTGTGTGTGTACACAGCATAGAGCTATCTCTCATACCTGATCCCTTATGCCCTACTGCTCTGTCGTGTACAAAGACTTCAGTACTTACCTATACAAACATGCTTGTTTATCACGGTGAACTGTATTTTCTTATCATGCTGACACAGTTACGACGTCTGAGGTTTCTGACTTTATTTATCCAGTTTGACGGGATTGTCGAACCCTGGTTACATTTTCGGGGCATAGCCCGAATCCGGCCCTATCAGCCAGAACTCCATCTCTCTGGCCGCGGCTTGGAGACTCTTATCGGCGCAGCAGCGGCACCGACACCACCACCACCACCAGCAGCAGCACCTGCAGCGTCGTCGTCTACGATGGCGTTCCGCCGCGTCCCGCCCAGCGAGGAGGAGGAGTCGTCCTTCTCGTCCACGTCCACCATGGACTCGGACTACGAGATCCCCGTGGCGCTGCAGAAGCTGCACGTCTGGACCAGCGAGCGCGTGTCCACCAAGGTCTCGCAGGCGCTCAGCGGCATGAACACCATCCGCGAGAGCGAGTCGATGCGCTTCAGCATGGTCACGGCCAACAAGTGGAAGAAGATGGGCTACCACCCGTACAAGCCCGACGCCTCGGGCTACACGGCGCTGCACCGCGCCGCCAAGCGCGGCGACGAGGCCGTCGTGACCTCGCTACTGGCCATGTACGACGGCAAGGCCATCGACTTGGCCTCCCTCAAGTCCTACAAGCAGCAGCAGATCGCGCTGCACATCGCCGCCAAGTACGGCAACCTGGAGGCCGTGCGCCTGCTGGCCGCCCCGGAGTTCCGCGAGCTCGTCAACCTGCCAGATCGCAATGGCAACACGCCGCTGCACTTTGCCGCCACCTGCAGCGCGCCCTCCGCGTCGGATGTGGTCGCGCTGCTGCTACTGCGAGGCGCCGACCCGACCATCAAGAGCAAGCGCGACGTCTTCCCGATCATCGCGCACGTCCTCACGGCGCAGAGCGACGACCCGGAGATCGTCAAGCTCCTCATGAAGAACGGCAGCGACCCCAACACCGTCGACGCTGCGGGTAACACGGTGCTGCACATTGCTGTGTCCCAGGGACTGTGGAAGGTCGCCGCGGCGCTTGTAAGAGAACAAGCCGGCATGACGATCCGCAATAACCAAGGCGTGATGGTTCTGGATATCCTGTCGCCGCCGCAGCTCGCATGGCTAGCCAAGTTCATCGTGCACCCGCCAGAGTGGGTACCCTACGAGACCCAGCGCTCCTGTATGGTGTGCTCGCGCAAGTTCGGGCTCCTCGTGCGGCGTCACCACTGCCGACTATGCGGTCGTATCTGCTGCGGCCCGTGCTCCAAGTACAAGCGCCATCTACCCTTTACGGACATGGCCGTGAAGCCTACAAGCAAAGGGCGGCATGAGATGATGAAGGTCTGCAGTACCTGCATCACCGTCCGCGAGGTTGCGCAGAATGATCTGTCGTGGGCAAGCACCACGGCGGACCGGTTGGTAGCAAGCGACGCTGTTATCGACTATGATGATGATTATTTGCTCGTGGAGGGAGACGAGAGGGACTAAAGAGCGGCTTCGAGTGAAGAAGTCGGCGCTCCATACAGCAGCAAAGGGAGGGATGGAGCCTCCTTGTCGCTCTCAATTGGACGCGCATCGTAATCTCGGCGCTCTCCTGCTTTCTCCATACAATTGGATGTACCATGATTAAAGGGGTTTCTAGCCTTAGAATGCACACATCTCATGAATCGAACGAAGTTTTACATGCGCTGGGCCTTCTTATCTTTCTTACCAGGTCTGATCGGTTCAAGTTTACCACCTCATGAAGCGAAAAGCTTGACGACCTACTGGCTGCTCTCTATCGGTAAGTGACGCGGCAATGCGAATCAAAACGTTGATGGAAAGACATCAGTCTCTTGACACGAGTTGGGGCGCTTTTACGAACATACCTTTTGCTTCGACACCGGCTGGCTTCGATTACGTCGCTGCCTTTGGTGTTCGTCAAGCGATGCGCCCTTATCCACGTGTCACCTCTTAGAAGCCTTTCACCGCAAGTGCGATAGGTGTCTTCAACCACAGAAAGCAATAACACGAAGCGGCTTTCACATTTTCAACCGTGCTCTTTGTTTTTCTCTGGATTATCATTCCTGCGCCGCCTTTTGCCTCGCAGGATCAGTCAGCACGATATATCCTCGCACACCTTCAAGTGTCCGTATTTGATGCAACCTAGAACCGTCTACGCCTGGTAGGCGCCGTGCGTGGGCAGCATCATCGGGCCTCCATCTTTCATGCTGCAAGGGGAAACAGAGCAAGCTACAGTTAGCAACCACATTACCCATGGGATACGGCATCCAATGGCCAGCGTACCTCTTGAAGTAGTAGTAGAGGAAATCCGCCATTATCAGCATGTGGCCAATCTGCACAAAGATCACCGTGTAGCCCACGTGCTGGCCAGCGTCCTTCTCTCCGAGCTCGTGGTACGACGAGAACCAGAACACCAGGTGCAGGAAGCTGCCGAACGAAAGCGCGTACACGAAGTGCGAGATGCACGACTCCACAGCGCCGCCGCCCTGTTATTGGTACAGCAACCGAAGCATTTTAGCGTAAGAAGCTGCACCACTCCCAGCACATGAGCCCAAACCAGACGAATACTTACGCGCTTCTGGAACATGAACAGCTGAGGCAGGATAGCCATGGCCTCAATGTACAGCGCAATGGTCCAGGCAACGTCTGAGGTCCAGTTGCGGTTCAGGTTCGGGTGGATCAGCTAAAAGGCAGCGAAAGCTTGAGGTTAGACTTTCATAACACCCTTCAGTAGCGCAGGATTCCTACTCACCATGCCGAAGAAGATGCAGGGCAGCAGAATGTAAAGGCCGCCGAGCTCCGTGGGCAGGTGCAGCCATCCGAACGTGTCGTAGCGCAGCTCGTAGGTCGAGTTGAAGCGCATGGTGACCAGGTAGATGACGCCGCAGCAGAGCGTAAGTGCCACGATCTCCAGGAACGTGTAGAGCCAGTCGCCGCTGCGGTCGTAGGGCAGGTAGCCCTGGTAGCGCAGGATGGAGCTCAGACGGAAGAGGAACACGAACGCGTACAGCTCCAGCGTCTTAAGCGACAGACCGGCCACCGAGCGCTGCGAGAAGGCCTTGAAGATCAGGAAGGCGAAGCCGAAGGCACGCACGAACGCGCCCATGGTCTAGAGGAGGAGAAGGAGGGAGAAAGCAGTTACAACCAGCGTATCCAACGGAGGATTAGTCTGGCTGGTACATGGCGGCACAAGCAAGAGAAGGGGAGTGTTAGGCTGTACCATAAGGAAGGAGAAGTCGCCATCGCTGAACAAGTGGTAGCAGAAGAACACGACCACCACGAAGCCCGACCACAGCGCGATGTTGCTCTTGTGCTGGGTCAGGAACGCGCTGTAACGCAGCCATACACAACACCGAGGAGGGTAAGATGCTGCAAGCAGAGGGGTGCAGGAGCGGGGAGGGGAAGGCCACGTACGCGCCGGGGGACTTGTCCTTGCTGTTGAGGTCCATCATGGCTGCTGCTCTGCTCTGCTCTGCGCTGGTTCACCTTTGGTACGAGGTACTGAGCACTCGACGCCCCGCCTTGCCGCAAAAGATAATGGCAACGCGCCGCGTAGGCAAGTTACTGGAAGATTTCCGGTCGTCCGGTCGTCCACGTCCCTTTCGGCCAATCAGCGCCGGATAAGAACGCGCGGTCATTTGGATACATCTGTGCCGCTGCTGCGTGGCAGCGTCTGGAGCCCCCATCTGCAAAGCGCATGATCCAGGCCAGGCGCGGAATGGGATGGCATTGGCTGGTGGAGGCAGCGGCAGCACAAGATGTCGGATGCAGGGCGTTATGCTTCAAACTGTCGGGTGTCGTAGCTGTCTCTACTTCAAGGCTGCAGCTGGCTGGTGATTGCTAGGGTAGCTTACCCAACGACCAAGCCCACTTCTGGGAGTATATGAGCGTGCTACACGCTGGCCAGAGTGCTCAACGTCATCAATGCTACTACTGTTCGGGCCCGGCTTGCAGTCGAGGTATTAGCTCTCTCCAGGGCAGTAGGCATCTGAATTCGTAAAGGGACCAACTGATGCATACAGACGATGACTGAGTTGCTATGATAAGCTCCACCAAAACGTCTGCAACTTGGCTCTAGGTTTGGTGATGGAAATGAGTCCCTCAGCTAAATAAGATCTCTACACATTGATCCGATAGTAAGTGGATTCGGCTAGAGCTAATAACTGAATATCATCGGGGCTCAATGGCAAGGAAACTCTTGACATGCTGGCAATGCAGCAATAGTAGGGGGCGCTCAGATTGAGTAGGAGAGATGATAATAGTTAGTCATCACTTTCGACTGAATCATCGTAAATCAATTCCTCCTCGCGCTTCCACCAGGGAACAAGACACGCAATACATGCACAAAGATTGGGGATGTCGAAATGCTGATTCTTCTGGAGGCGTTAGACCGCAAAACGCGAGTCGGCACCTCCCAAAGTGCCCAGCGCTTCTGGCCGTCCCAAGGGACTATCACGTCGGGCTGATGGACCCAACATCCACAAGAGGGGCCTGCTCTATGCCTCCGTGTACAAGGTACGGAAGACCCAAGCGACGCATGGAGGAGCGACGTGAGTGGCAAGTGGGGCAACTGATCAATCGGGACCATACACACGGAAGAACGCGGTGGTGCAGCGAGACGTCACTGTCGCTGGAGATTGTCGTTTTCAAGTCAAGTCGAATGGAGAAGTGTTCAAGGCGGAGCTAGCGTCGGCCACTTCCCGCGAACGACTGGACGGTATTGAACCCGCTTGCGATTGGGTAAAATGCACTGAAAATAAGTGTACGGTTAAAATGCCTCAAAACTAAACACCAGTTCGGTTTCAGCAGTTTCGAACTGTCGTTTCAGAATTTGGGCGGTCCTAAACATTATAATTAGAACGTTCCAGACTGCACACTATGCTGCGCTGCATCCACAACACCGTTCACCCTAATTAGTCGTGCCATGACTATTTACCGTGTACGACCTGAAGAGTGGCTCACCCTGTTTTGAAATTCCGTTTTCGGGAAAACTATTCCTATCTACGATAAACTAAATGCATCACGCAATTCGTCTTGCCAAGATCTACTCGAATCCGGTCTCTTTTATGGATTTAAGGTGAAAATGAAAATACTTTTCAGAACCGGTGGAATGATTATCAAAGGTGCACGACTAATTAGGTCGCACGACTAATACACGTGTGCTCTCAGCTAGCAAACATTACACGGTGAAGCAGAACAGTGGATCCTACTCTCCATTAGCCAGCGGCCGCAAACACGTTCAGGCAGTAGGTCGGTCTGTGCTTTATCGTGAGTCTTCGGAGAGGCCCTGTGCATTTGCAAGTTCAATGCATGTGGCGACTCGTACCCGAGGATCACCTGCCATTTGCCTTCGTCTAGCATAACACGAAGACTACCTCCCGTGCTAACAGAACACGACACGAAATTGAAGGCGGACGAGCACCTTGGAAGAATCAGTTGTATTAAGGAGTACGACCAATTTCGTGTTTTTTCTGAACCCATTTCAACTTGTACCTACCTATATCTCGACAACTAGGATACATTGGAAGGAAATAGGCACTGCTCCTGAATGCCGATTATTTGGGCTAGAATTTAGGCTACTTGCCAGCATTTCAACCACTCATAGTACAGTGCTAGACTTGAATCACTGCAGTGCTTTTCGTGTTGCCTTTTTGACTTGCTTATAGTATGCAGTGCCGCTCTCCTTGCATGGGATTAGTAAGGTTAGGGGACCATATTTGTACTTTTAGCGAATAGGAAAGCGTAAAAAAGACTACAGAGCTATTTAATTGGATGAAATACAACAACACAAAACTGGTTGGAAACACGAAATTGGTCGTACTCCTTAGTGGTGTCTTCCAGATCTGACGTGCCAATTCTAACTTTCACAAGTCGACTAATCAACAAACCCGAACTTCTGACCAAATTGCAATTTCCGAAGGTTTTGGATGACACCGAGCGACATTCACGCCGCATATGGATGCCATCGAACAACTTGCACATTACATTAGACAGACTCGATGGGAGAGCGAAGAGTTTGGCTTGACGTCAAGACTGTGGACAATCTGAGAATCCACCAACATTTTCCCTGCGTAGATTGATGTCGGATACCCACGATTCCACCTGAGGAAGTGGGGGCTTCACCACAAGCAATGTTTCGGTCGAAAGAAGGCAATTCTTGTTATTCCACTATACGGTTTGCCGTAGTAATGGTATCTCGGCATCGGTGTTAATGATGCTGACCGTGAGCACACCTGGTGCTAATAAACTCTATGATCATTACCACATCACTGCACCATTTCCGGGTCGTTCTTCCCAAATGCTCGATTCAATACAACCTCGTAGAAAAAGGACGCGTATACTTTTTGGCGACTTCAGACCAAATTCTCAATTTGAAATGCCCACCGTCATTTTCAATCCGCAGTTCGTAAGAACTGTCGTTTGCGCCCCTGCGGATGTTTGAGATAATGCAACATAAGGTTTTATGTTGCATTATCGGTTAAAGAGCTATTTGAAACAACAGCAATGACAGTTGTACAGGAATTGTCATACATAGCAGCGCAAACTCCGATTCATTACAGCTCAAAGCATGCTTTCGGCGACAAGCTAACCAGGCAGCAGCACTAATAAAGAGGAGTGATCAGTCAATCAATGCAATTTGTGAGGAATCGACCGAATCAGGGCAGCAAGCGAGCAATGGGTAGGTCGCCATCGTATCGGCTAAGTTAGTTTAGGCATGTGGCTGTCATTTCTAAGATACGATATCTGTATGTACATGTCGGACGCCACAGCAGCACCAACTATAAACCGTCGTTGAATAAAACAAAATTATCGCTATTGATTATTGTAATAACCGGCCAAAATGCCCACCTGTAGCAACCGCTTATTAGATCTCAATCACCTAATTAATCAGAGTATAAATCAGGTTATAAATCGATTGTGATCCATATGCATCGCTAGGCTGCACGATTGCCCAGTAAAAGGTGGGCATTCTGCTCCAAACGCGTCTATATCGACTGGTTTCACATAAATCGATCGTACCCACTCACGTATGCATCGCAGGGACGCGATCGATTTATTGTGGAAACCGATTAGATTGTCCGAGCGGATTAGCTGATAAACCATCGTTCATGAGAGATTTGACTGGTACTAAATCGGGGATCCTTATGATTGCATATGTCATTAGTAAGGGTATAAATCAGTGTAGCGTTAGTAAAATAGGGATTGCCTCATTACCCGCCAGCAATACGCGGAACGACTACTTACCACCACGAGCTGACTGTTTCGCGCTCCTACTAACGAGCAATACCATCGCGTGCATTAAATACTTCTCTGTGAACAGTCGACGTGTACTGCTATCTATTTATCAAGTTGTAAAGCCATATATTTGCGCTGTCATTTCTCGTCAGCATTAGCGTTTGTCGATTTTACCTTAAATCCGCCGCCGAATGCCGAATGGGTGTCGGACATTCGGGCTGATTAGAATGCAAATCAGTCGTCTAGAGCTTTGTAAGCACTGAGCAGCTAAATCAGCTTACCACATGGCGTTGTAGGCACAACAGACTGCTCTGTCAAATCAGAGTGCAAAGCTTAGGCTGTCGATCTAATTAGGAGGTCGGATTTAGTAAATCCGACCCGATTAAGCTTAATCATCTGCTTAACCAACCGATTTATATTCCAATTAGACAATCTAATCGGTTCCCACAATACAAATCGATCGAGCTAAATCAGGGTGCTAATCAATCGATTTACAAAGAAGCGGTTTTCACAATAATGGTCGTGGGTGCAGACTGTTTGTTAAGAGTCGACTTTGAAGTGAGGAGACCTAAACGGCATTGAAATCAGTATAGCAATTCTACAAAATCAAGTTGCAGGCGTCAAAATTGGACATATAGCCCGAATAACCCCATAAAATAAACACATTATACATTCAACATGAACCGAAGCTCGGTCTGGCAGCTTACAGCTGCGCAGTATGTACCATGAATAGCAGTAACGCTAGTGTGAGTTCATGCAGTAATAGTGAGTGGTATTTGCGGAGCGACCAATTCCCGAGGACATCATGGACGCGAGCAGCAGCTACGACATGGACGACCAAGACAGCAAGTACGACAACTTCAACTTCAACGAGATCTTCAAGGGGTACACATAGATGACACACAACTCCTACACGAGCGACTGTGTGGTGGAGAGCGTGCGCGGTGAAGAGGCGGCCGAGCCGCACCCACAATCCAATTCTTCTAGTCTCCCCGACTTACAATCCAATTCTTTCCGCCTTTCCAAGATCTCAAGACTTCCTAGTGTACTCCACTAACATGTTAGCTAATTTTACGAGACACTAACTAACAGTTAGTTGTAAACTATACATGTTAGTACTGTATAGCTGCGCTGTATAGTTTGAAAATATATTTATTAAGCGATTCTGCTACGAAGTCTAATCAACAGTCTAGTTTCTACGGGTCCTTCTCTAGGGATCCTGATATAATTAGGCGAAGCACCATTTGCTTCCTCGCTTTCAAATTCCGCTATCAGCTGCGCTGGCAAGTGGTGAGGCGGATCCCATGTGAGCTCCTCCCAACCTACCCATTTTACTAGGTAGATTGGGCGGAAATTCACGGTTCGGCGGGCGTAAATCCGTTCTGCATGATAAATCCCCGGTCCTTCAGCCGGGATTTCGGAGTCAGAGTCGTCTTCGCTTGATGTTGCATCTGATAGGTCTACATAGTCACTAACTAGGCCAATAGGAACTTGCAACGGGCTCTCAGGGGGGCCAGCCAGGGATGGTGAGTCGGGCGATACATCATTGTCGAAATCGGTATTCAACTGAGAGGGAGTTGACGGAGTTGACGGTGGGGTGGGTCGAGGGGAAGTCGACGGTGGGGTGGGGTGAGGGGGGGGTTGACGACGGCGGGGTGGGGTGAGGGGGGGGGTTGACGACGGCGGGGTGGGTTGAGGTGACGACGATGGGGTGGGTGGAAGTGGCGTCGTAAGAGGCGTTTGACTGCGCTCCCACATTCCGTTGCGCGCGTGTCGTGGCCGTAGCTCACAAGCGTTTATATAAATAGAGTTTTTCTCCTCCACCAACATTTACTCACGTTGACCTATCTTTGTGCTCTAACGCTACTACTTAGTAACATGTTAGCTCAAAATACTAGACACTAACTAACAGTTAGCTAACATGTATAGCAACTAACATGTTAGCGTTAGGGAGTACACTAAGACTTCCAGACCAAGACACAGCAGTAGCACGAGCTGCCGCACCGACCAGCACGGCGGCTAGAGACTCCGGCGCGGGGACGTAAGTTGAGTCCTCTGCTGCCATCGAGTGTTGACGTCTTTGGTGTGTGAGCATGTGAAGAGAACAAATGAACAACGAGCTATACGACCTGAGCAAGCGAGTACTGTGCAGAATAAGCCCTCTGCTTACTTGGTGGTTCATACAGGGACTAGTTAACACGGCTGGCTTGAGTCGCTGTCGAGCGGTAAGGGCCTTCACGAAGCTAGTACCAGTGGCACGAATTGGCGCGGTGAAGTGGTGATTGTGGCGATGCTTCCTGTGTGGATTGGAGACGTGGAGGTTGTGGAGTTTGTGGAGCTGTGATGTCGCAGCGGTGGATGTACCTGAATCATTTGAATGGCGGCGAAGCGGAGCGAGTGTTGTGGCGCGAGTCTTGACGTGGAGCTCGAGTAGCTGTGAGGCGGGTGTCTGCAGCCCCGTGAGTTTCGTCGGTAGAAGACCGCGACGCAAGGGGAGGACTTGCCAAAGAGAGGGCCCGGTATTTTAGCCCCCGGCAGCCCCCTTGACGAATCTCGGCGTGGTATCGAGTGCCCAACCACACCTGTGCGTGCAAGGATAAGTCGACGGCCGACCGTTGTATTCTGGATGTTGAGAGGCAGTTTGTGATCGTGCTGTCCTTGGCCGGGGACAAGACTAGCGCACTGCACAGAGGTGGCAAGACAAGACGAGCACTACAGTCACTCGGAGGAGATGTGTGTGAAAGAAATGAGTTGAGTGTGAAGAAGATGATGAGAACAATGATGACTGAGTTGACGAAGATGATGCTGATTAAACGACTTGAGGAGGAAATCGATGCAGTTATGGACATGACGGAGAACACGTGCGACAGCAGTGCAAACGCCATCATCAAGATGAAGCAGGAGACCCGCATTGACAGCATGAGCGCAGTAGCTGGATGTTGGTGGGTAGGCGAAGAACGGAGCTGCCGAAGGCGATATCGAGAATAGTTGCCAGTGCAGCAGCGACAGCAGGGTCAAGGGTTGAAGACGACAATCGTTTGGCGGTCAGGATGAAGAACATGTACGACAGCAGTGCTGACGCCATCACCAAGACGCAGAATGAGTTCCGTATCGCAGAAGCTGGAGGTTGGTGAGCAGACGAAGAGCGGAGCTACCGCAGGCGCGTGGGTTGATTTGGGAATGCCGGCCAAGACTCAGCAGCGACAGCACGATTAAGATTAACCCACCGGCGACCGTTATCCCGATTTTGCTGGGATAAGAAAAACCTCGGGGGAAAGTGCTGGTTCAAGCCATACAGGTGGTTAGCGTAACTGCGACTCTTCAAGGTCCCGCCGAGAGCGTTTTGGCCAATGCGATCTGTTTGCGGATTTCTCACCTTGAAATGTAGATGGGCATGGGTGCCGGGCTTATGCGCCACCATTGGCCACCGCACAAGCATTTACACCCGCAGATTGCCAGGTGGCCGCGAAGGATTAGCGCTTCTCCGCTATGGTAAAATTCTGAGTTGATAGGATGCACCGCTCACTAATGTTAACTTTCTTTTCCCTTGTATCATTGCACTCTATAGATCCCTTCACACGCGCGAGGTACGCTGGTCGAGGAGCTACGAGTACGGCTCTGCCGGTGCCACTGCGAAGACCGAGTTGTTTCGATCGAGACCTGGACACTCCTGTTCGTGGAGGAGCCCGACCGCAACTTCGGCAATGTACGTGAGGCGTCAGGGCTACTGGAGCTTTAGCAGAAGGGAGGCTGACGCTGAGAGATGTTGTGTACTCGGTAGGTGTGCGAGCTGGACACCATCTTCAACCCCCACAAGGTAAGGCGGCGTCTTGGCAGCTTTGGCGTTCATATCTAGGGGCTCATGCTGGTGTTGTAGGCGTATTACATTCAGAACGAGCTGTTCACCGGCTACTCTCGGCAGGAGTTGAGCAAGGAGGCGATCTTGCGCATCTGCACCCACCTAAGCTACGTGCCCCCACCGCTGAAACCATGCGGGCGCTGACACTTCACCCTAACGCGAGTCGACTCCACAGCTAATGTCCAAGCGCGATGCCGAAGGCACGACGGTGGAAACAAGCGGCAGGGAGGACGCCAAGAGCACGACAGGGACAGCGGGGTGTGACAAGACTCCAAGAACGACCGATACAACGGCGGCTAGAAGCATGGAGTCTTCATGGTCAGCTGGGGTCTGGTTACGGAGCCCACGATGCCGTACGTCGACTCGAGTAAGCTCGTCCGCTACGAACACTTCATCTTGTATTGGGTTCTCTAGACCTCGTATGACAGCTCATGGGGCGACAGCGGCTTCATTACGCTGTCAAACTCAACTGCAGGTCGAAGTTGATTAGAGTTGTGATTGATTTTCATGCAATTAATACATAGTTGTTGGTTTGACCCTCGGCGGCAATGTTAGAGTAGTGATCGTAGTCACTGCATCGACCATCTTGGTTCAGCTGCGTACAGGTGTAAATCCCGAAGGGAGCTGCTGTAAGTCATCGGAACCTGAATTGTTTTCAGTAACTTCCACCGCTTGCAAAACGAATTTCGGCACGTATTACGATGCCGCGGACACACTCGTGTTGTCAGCGCCACCAGACGTAGATGAGGTAGCTTCATGCACAAAGCACGCATTGCCAAAATCACATCTTCTTCGAACACAGTGTCGTGGCAAAATAAAAGGTGGCGGAGCTGATAAGGGAGCTGGGTTGAGCCAAATTCGAGTCTGGATCAGCACTGATAACAGTATCGCTGCCTTCAGCAATATTGCGGATGTCTGCGGTGACGACGCTGATCTTGAGCAAGTGTGGAAAGCGCGATGCACTAGACGCAATCAGCTCCATACCTCTAGCGGCCAGGTCACGTTGGATCTCAATACCAACCACACGAAATGCTTGCGTTTGCAGAGCGATTTGAGCGAGAACATTTCCCACGCCGGATCCAGCATCCAGAAACACGTCATTCACTTGAATATTCGCTTCTTCGATCAGCATGGACACCCCAGCCATTGTAATCTCCCCGGTATTTAGCTGACGTTCACTCGCGCTCACATCACGCCTGGTGAGTAGGCAGAATAGCCCTTCAGTGGCGTTGTAGGTTTCTTGCGGTGATAGGATCGAAATGGTATGTGGTGAAGGCGAAAACCGTAGAGGAGACGCGGCTTTGGCTTCTAAATGCAGTCCTGCTCGGTCTGGTGGCGGGCGGAAATAGCGTGGGGGGAAACTCAGCACGTTATTGCCATATCGTCTCTTGAGCGTCTTGATTCGCTGTTGCAGTTTGGTTGCGCTCCATGTTGACGGCCTCATGTCTTTCTCCACTGACACCCAGTCGATTCGTCTTCCCGCTTGCTCGTACACCGCCGCGAGCTGAACGAGTTGGCGATCCTCTTCATCTGAAAAGTTGGCCATTTTTCGCTTCGGATACTGTCTATACAAACTCAAGTAAAACGACCCTTTGGGGGTTCATACTGAAACCGAGTTTATTTTTTGGATTTGTAAGTCAACGTTGGGTCGCTGTCGATCGAGTCAATGTAGGCTTGTTCAGAGTCGACGTTGACTTCGCTATTACTGAAACTAGTACGTTTGAGTCAATGTCGACTTGGTTTAAGTCCATGTTGACTTCGCGATCAATAAAACAAGCGTATTCGCGTCAAAGTTGACTCGCTCTAAGAACTCGGTGACTTGAAAATGTGTATATATTCATCGTTTCGCAGCAGCACACACAACTACAGCAGACTAAGGATTAATGGTTTTCTCCAACACGCCCAATGCTTCCATAATCTCCGTGCATACACACACGTATCTGCCGTGGTCCATCGAGTGAATGACGGTACCTGTCTTGTCGTGGACCAACTCATTTCTTTCTCCCAGAACTCGACCGCAAGCGCCTTGAACTCTTCAGCGTCCGCCGTCTTCGATCCAAACGCCTCCTTCATTTTGCCCAGAATGAAGTCACGCTTCTTCTGCATTGTGCTCGTGTTACCTACATTTTTTCAATCCAGAGACAATGGGAGTCAATACAATGTCAAACCACACTGAAGCAGAAACTCAAGCGGCTTACCATTTCGGATCTCGGCGTTCCATTTTGTGAACTCTTCGATAGCTTCCTTGGTCACCGCGCTATACTTGTACGTATGCAGCTGCACCTCTCGTGTCTTGCAATCCGCTGTTCTCCGTTTTCACCGCCTCTAGCGCAGCCTTCATCGATTCCAACTGCGTTCTCACTCCATCCCGTTCTGCTTGCATCGCCGCCCTCACTTCCTCGATCCGGTTGCGGTTGGCTTCGAGCTCTTTAAACGCAGCTGGGCACCCGTTGTTCTTGAACTGCTCTTCCAGGAGCCGGGTCTGGCGCTTCATTTCATTCAAAATCTTCGCCTACCTCAGCGATATTCGGCCTCCTTGTTGCTTCTCTCGACTCGGCTTCTCTCGTTTCTTTTTATCCGCGTCCAACTGCTCCCGCTCCCGTTGCAGGCGATGCGTTACGTTCTGGAGACGCCGGCCCTCCTCTTTGAGCTTGGCCTCATGAGATTGCAGCTTCTCGGCTTTGACTTGTAGTTCTTCCTCCTTGTTCTCCGTATTCTTCTCTCGCGTAGCCACCTCGTTCTCCCGGTCCTCCAGTTTTTTTTGCGCTCGTCCACCTCTCTCGTGAGGTTGTTCATGTCTTCGTGCACATCCTGGAGTTTCTTAGCATGGCTAGCCTGCGCCTTAAGTAGATTGTCTGCGTGCGTGGTGACGGATTGTTTCGACAAATTCAACTCAGTTTCCACATGGGCAAGTTTGTTGCGCAAGCCACTTGAAATCGCCTTCTCCTCGGCTAGTTGTAAAATCGAATTCCGCAACTCCTTCGTCAACGCGATAGTTATATCGTTGTCTGGGAGATCAAAATTCCTGAGTTCGGTCAGCTCGTTTTCAGCGGCTGCTAACTGCTCCTCTAATTTCCTGGAGCGCGCTTGCTCCCCCTCTAGCTTCTCTCGGAACTGCTGCAGTGCTTGCGAAATAGAGAGTTCAAAATTCGCATACTCCCCTCGCAAAGGGTGGGTTTGCAGGCTCCGAGCTGGGGCACCTTCCTCCTGCACGGCCACGGGTGTCTGCGAGATTGGAGGCCCTGGAGCTTGGTCTGACGCTAGCGATGCTAGGTTTCTGGCTGCGGTAAGCTGCTGAGCCGCCTGGATGTCGCATTGCTCGATCGCCAGGTGCTCGGCTCCGCCACGTTGCGATAGCTTCGACGAACCCGATCCAGCGGTCTGCGCGTGTGCGTCTGCTTTCAGGGCTTGGTCCGCTAAGTAACCTCGTAGAACTCTTTCAGCAGCGCAGGATCGTGACGCTGGAGCTCTTCTGGGTTGTTTTTGAACGCCTTGAATTGAGTCAACTTGCTCAAAGCCTCGTAGTCCAAGTCGTTGCCGCTGTTCCTAGCAGCTGTGTATTTCTCCGCCCACACACGCTTCTGGTAGTCTGCCAACTAGTAGAAATCATCTGCCTTGCGCCGTGGGCCTTGCCGGCGCTCGCCCTTTTCGTCTGCGATCTTCTTTTGTAGAGCCAAGCACGTGGACCGGAGCGCGTGCTTGGGTACCAGGGGAGTCGTCTCTTCATCGCGAGTCGTCGCCTCGTTCTCCGATGCACTCGCGGCGCCCAACTCGCGCGTCGTCCCGTTGGATCCTTCGCCAGTCTTCTTGGCAGTATTCCTCTGCTTACGGGGACTTGGCGAAGTGTCTGGCCCCTCCCCCTTCTTCCGCTTCTGCTTGGCATTGCCGGTGGCAGGCGTGGTCTTGGCAGCGTTTGCTGACTTGTCAGTGGGCGCGCTCGTCCGCTTTGTCGCTGGCTTGTCCGTCGCATTTGCAGCTTTCTTGCTCCTCGTCATGGGCGCCTGGCGAGCAGCACCGACAGCAGTTCCCTCGCTCTCTGCAGCCTGAGATCGCTTCGCCATCAGCATCGCCATCAGCACTTTGCTGCACTCAAGGTTCTTTGAGAGAGTGAAACCGCAAATCCTACAGTTGAAATAAATGGATGTGGACCAATTCGATTTGGAATCAAGAGGACTGTAAATCAACGTTGATTTGGTATAAGTCGTTGTCGAGCTGGCTTCAGTAACAAGTGTCTAAGCCAGCGTAGACACGTTCCAAGTCGTAGTCGACTTGGTGACTCAATGAGAGATGTACGAGTAGATGCACATGGTTGTCTTTACAAAAAGATGCAGAAGTGGTGAGATAAGCGCCAACGCAAGAGTGGATACGTCAAATTAGACATTTACTGAAGCTACCAGTCACCTCTTCAGCATTGCCGGAGCACCTTAGCGATCACGCATAAACTCTTCCAGCGTGATGATGTAGGCGCGCGGCATATTGACGGTGGTCAGCTCGTCATCGATGTGGAGCTCATTGACGGTGTCCACCTCGTTGTCGGGGCGCGGTTCCTCCGGTGCGTTGTGTCTCCAGATGTTGAGGTACTCCACGTAAGTGCGACCAGGGATAGCGTGACCAACACGATTAGTGTTGCTTCCGCTATACCAGGGGGGCATTCGAACGCAGCAACCGCAAGCTTGTCCGAGGGAATGTGCAGATCCTGATAGCGCTCAAAATCATCCATCCGAAGGTTGCAGTTGTCGACGATAACGATATCCACGCCACGGTCGGGGCTGCGCCAAAGGAGTTCTCTGCATTGTTCGTAGCAGCTTCGATGCGCCTCCCAAAGCCGACTCGCGTCGAACACATAGGATCCTCCGCGCTGGAAGAAGAGGCCAGCTGAGCAAATCGATGCGCGGAAATCAATTGTTGCTGCATTACGAGCGACCTCTTGAGCAAACGTTGTCTTGCCACTGCCCGGGAGGCCTCTCATGGTCACGAAGAGCCGAGGCGGGTACTGCATATACGCGCGGCAGTCCTCCCAATACGCCCGGTAGTCGTCAACGATTTGTCGGGCTTTGAACTCCGTTTCTCACACGTCGGATGTCGTCGAACCTCCAAGATTCCGCTGCTTCTGATGTTGACCACACCATATCACCGACCATGCGTGAACACACATAACATAAGTCAACATTGACTTGGGATAGTCAACATCGACATCTTGGCCGGACCAGTTGCGCTCCTGGACAATCTCAACGGCGTGGGCGACCGTCGGCCAGCATTTCGGCGAGCCCGGCTACAGCGTCACGGCGAGCGTAGCGGTAGCGGGGACAGCGAGAGCAGCATGACGAGCATGGAGGCGGCCGGCACAGCGAGAGCAGCACGACGAGCATGGCGGCAGCCGGCATGGGCGACAGCAGCACGGCGAGCATAGCGGCGGCCAGAGTAAGGATCAGCAGCATGGCGAGCTTGGTGGCGGCCTTGGCGGCGACGGTCGATGCGAGCCGGGCGACGGCATAGTTGGGGAAGCGCGCTGGAGCAGTAGCTGGCGATTTCGGAAATGAGGTTTGGGATTGAGCGCCGCGGAAACGATCTTCTGGCACGGATCGCAGCGCGAGCGTGATTGGCCGCGAAATGGCTGGCCAATTACACGTCGCAAATTCAAACGATGGGTGCGCTGATTGGCGTAGATACCGGGGCGAACCCACGGGCGAAAATCTGCGTGTTGCGCGAACTCAAAGCGCAAGTTGGAAAAGCGCGCGAAAAGCTGTGTGTTGCGTGAAGCTTGATGGCTGAAGCCAGGCTGATACCACTTCGTGTGACCTTTGGATTGAGCCAATGCTGATTGGCTTATTAGCTTCAACTTCAACCCTCGATAAGCACTCCGAATTATAGTAGTTCTTGATTTAGTGACTACCTAGTACGAGGGCATTTCTTTTGCAGTTCTATAGTAA